ATACCTCTCCGACACATCGTATATAAACGACCACTTCTCCCCTTCCCCTTCCCCTTCCCAATTGCTTTCCCCTCTCCCATGGCTCCTTCTCCTGCTTCCCCTGCTGCTCCTGCTGCTCCTTCCCCTGCGTCTTCTGCCCCCTTCGGCTACATCAACGACATCTTCTACCGCGCAGACGGCCACCACAACCCCCGCAAGATGCTCCTCCTCCACGGCTACCCGACCTCCTCCCTGATGTTCCGCACCCTCATCCCCCGCCTCGCCCACCGCTACCACCTCGTCGCCCCTGACCTGCCCGGCTTCGGATTTTCTCGCCAGCCCGGCCCCCACACCTTTGCCTCCATCGCCGCAGCCATCGTCGCCTTCGTCGACGCCCTCGCCTGGGACAAGTTCGAGCTCTACGTGTTCGACTACGGCGCCCCCACGGGCTTCCGCCTGCTGCTCGCCCACCCGGAGCGCATCGCCCGCATCGTCACCCAGAACGGCAACATGTACGAGGAGGGTCTCGGCGCAGAGTTCTGGGCGCCCGTGCGCGAGCTCTGGGCAGGCACCGACGGTGCTGCCGAGCTGCTCCGCGGCATCGTCGCAGACAAGGCGTCCACCGACGCGCAGTACCTCGACGGCGCCACGCGCCCCGTCGACCCGGCGCCCGCAGTGCTCGACCACGCGCTGCTGCTGCGCGACCTCGACGCCCAGGTCGCCCTGTTCCGCGACTACGCGTCCAACGTCGCGCTGTACCCGCAGTTCCAGCGCGCCGTGCGGGAGCACCGCGTGCCCGTGCTCGCCGTCTGGGGCCAGAACGACGCCATCTTCGTCCCCGCCGGCGCCCACGCGTTCCGCAGAGACGCCCCCGACTGCCGCGTCGTGCTCCTCCCCGCAGGCCACTTTGCCCTCGAGACGCACGCCGCAGAGATCGCACACGAGATCCTGCGCGAGTGATGCGGTTATGTATGACTGAATAACAGTGGCATCTACTTGAGTAAGCTTTTTGTTCCACCGTAGGATGCTTTTTGCAACGCAGTAAGTACCAACATGAATAGCCATGCACGCCCCGAGCTGGACCAGAATCAAAATGAATCAACCATGTGTCAGCTCAGAGGTCGACGTTGCCCACGCGACGGTCGCCTAGTCTTGCTGGAGAATAAGCCCGCACTCACTTATGTGCGAAAGTCCGCCAAACTACACACTTGTCCCGCGTATGTCCCGTCCACCATGGATCCTGACCGGCTGGATCTGGAGGTCCTGATATATACTCTGCCCGCAGTTATCCCTTTGTTTCCAAGATCGGACACACTACTTTTCTCCGGAGTGCGGCTGATTAACGTTTCCTGACAATAAGCTGGAAAACTGTTGGGCGCATTCGGTCGCCCCGTGTGAATAAGGTTGCATAAAGGGGAATGCCAAGTATTCAACGTTCTCATGCATAATTTTTGTTGACCCAAAGTTTGGCAAAGCTGGTGTGGTTTTTCTCTTACATAGCTTGATGCTAAATGTGATATCAAACCCTCGTGCTGTCGAGCCTCTCAGATGAGCCATAAATTCACAAGGCACGATTCCTCGTTATCTATATTTGTAATTGGAGACCGATCCTGTTGAGGCGACTTAGTTCCGGAACTTAAGTAATTAATATTCTAATTTACTGTCACGTTACTATTTGAGTCAACTTAACGTCTTAATTCTCCATTCACGCCATAACTGCAAAATCGCCATCTGCCCAGATCATTTTGATAGAAAGATCTTTAATCTTCCATAAAGATGACCCCTTGTCTCTTGTAAGGGTACCGTTATATAGTGTTCCTACCAAAAGGCTGCTCTCACCTGGTGCCAGTCCCTTACCCTGGCGGTAATGTTGAGAGATTGCGTTTGCAGTAATGGAAGCATCGACTTCGGAACTCTCAATATTGATCCTAATGTTGGTCAATGAGTGAGTAGTGTCCAGCTTGGAGATTCTATCGTACACGTTAGCTCTGATCTCTGCCAGGCCTTTCGACGACTGACCGTTCAAAGTAAACGTAGAATTCTCTGTAAAGCTTGAATCAAAAAGCTCCACGTTTGACGTGTCGCAACCTAGAAGGTATCTATAAAGAGCATCAGCCACTGCATCTCTACCGGAAAGTGGAGGAGCTAATTCAACAGGAGTTGTCATAATAAATTTTTTGTGAGGATTCACGGTGCTCTTGTGTCCTTTATATCAAATTTCGCTCTTAATAAATTAAACCCGATTATCTCCTATGTCCCTCGCTATTTACAAAAACTCACTCGAAAAGAAAAGAAAAAACCGACTTTTGAAGATTTTCGAACGGGCTTCGTGCTCCATAATTTTCCAAATTTGGAACATGTATATCATAGGAAGGCAGTGTATATCAATAATAGTAACTACACAGAAATTTGCGAAATCTTGAAGGACTCTTTTCCCACTTTCTCAGGGGAATCGTCAATAGTCTGCGAATCATCGAGAGTATCCTGTAAGTGGATTCCTAATCTTTGCGCTTCTTCGTAAGTAAACGTACCAAAGGGATCTGTAGTATCAACTTCACCCAATCCTGTGGGCGGAGACAAAACGTTGAACAAATAATGTAGCAGAAATGAAACCACAAACCCGTATAAGAAAGCCAGTTGATATAGATGAGTTGCACCAGAAGGAATTTTTATGTCTGAGTTGCATGCGTTGATAAATCCGGGCATTAGTGGTGCAAATCCAATGACCCAAGCTGCAAATGAGCGCCAGTTGAAACCTCCAGTGAACCAGTAGATTGAGCTCCTATCTGGAGTAAATAGGTGGGTCAATCTCAATTTCCGCTTCCTCACAACCCAGTAATCGCACACCATAATTCCCGTCATAGCCCCCAAGAGAACAGCGTAGGCTGACATCACATTAATGAACACACCTGCTGTCGATAATAACTGCCATGGCTGCAAAAGAATTGAAATACACAGACCCAGATAAGCCCCGCGCTTCAAAGTCAAATATTTTGGAAATAGTCCAGAGAAATCCATACCTGCTGAAAATGCATTGTCGACAGTGTTGATTGCTAGCTGTCCTGCTAACAGCCCGAGACCACAAAAAAAGGCTCCAGCTCTGCTTTTCGCATTATAGTCGTCATCTAGCCACCGTGCTGCCAAAAGCGGGGGATTCCAGATCCCTCCATCAGTATCTGGATAGAGCTTTGCAGAAGCAGACGTTGTCAAACAGCCCATCAAGGGCACAACAGATCCATAGAACATGATTGCAACTATTTGGCCAATCAATGGATCTTTGTGGTTTCTTGCAAACCTGTTATAGTCTGGTTGATTCGTCAGACCAACAGCAATCGTTCCGATAGTCGTTTTGATTCCCGCCATAATGGCCCATCCTTTGTCCCAGGCGTTACTTGCAGTTGCTGGTGCGGACAACAGTGGACCACCACCATGTGCTGCGCTCAAGCAGTACACCATCATTCCAAAAAGTGTGACGCCTGTCATCGTATTCAGTGTGGTCAAGAGGCGAGCAGATTTTTCAGGAGGAACATAGATCATACCGCACATCAAAACACAGTAGATTACAAAGCCGGTGAACTCCTTCGTCGTCATATGAGTTCCAGGGGCCATTTTGTTTTCCATATTTTGGTATCCAGGAGCCAAAGCCGAGAGCATAGTCGAGATACAAAGACCACCGGTCCAAGATTGCGTCGATAACCAAACAACACCGAGCATGATTCTTTGAATGATGGCGATGTAGGAACCCTTCATTCCCCAAATTGCACGGCTGAACACCGGATACCCAATGTGATATTCTGCTCCAACTTGCCCATTGAAACATGCCATCAAACAAATAATAATTCTCCCAAGAATATTCGCTAGCATAGCCATCCACACGGAGTTTCCGATCGCAATCAACGTTGATCCCACCTGATAGTTCGATATGCAAAGATTGTTGATTGCCCAAAATCCCATGAATGTCCACACATCCCATTTTCTACGACTTGGAGGGAGTGGAACGATATCATGATTTATCCAAGGGGTAACAGGAACCCCATCTGCGCCTGAGTTCTTAACCTCAGCAAATCGTTTAAGCCTAGTCCAAGCAGACATAACTAATACGATCGTTTTCTCAATACCAAATCTATTTAACACCAATGGATTAGAATGTTATATAAATAATTCAGTTTAGATAACGGGTTTAAACATATCGGATATGCATGCGAGAAGCCCTCGGGGTTGCTAAAATTTTATTGGTCGATAAGCGAGGAACGTTATAAAAGTAGATAAGATTTATACCATTTTAATCAACGCACGAGCTATTGTAGAGAAAAAAAAAAACCATACTATATCTTATTTGGTTGTCGGGTATTGGCAATTTGCCCAACTGTATTGGGAAACGAATTGCGCGTCATTGATTTTGGAAAGAAAGTTGGGAGAATCGGGCTCGACCTTTAAGCATTTCACCAGCATTGATCCAAAGTTTTTCGGGAATTGCACAGGCATGTTTTCCTGAGAATGTTGCAAGAATTCGAAATATTGAGTAGATCTCATGATTTGCAAAAGGGCAATCTCTTTGTGTCTCCAGTGATCTCACCACGCAATTTATCACACTGGAGTGGCATGTTTTTGTGTATTTCAGACTTGCCAGTAGCAGATAGGCTATTATGGTCAGAGTTTGAGAATGTAGCATGAGGTTGTCATAGCTCATGTATTGTGGGAATCTCTCATGGAGTATATCAATCGCTTCAAAAGTGTTCGATCCAAAACTTGATTCAAAAACAGTTTTGTAGGAATACTTGAACCTGATCAAATAAATTTTAGACCATAAATCAACGATGGACCAATAAATTATTGGCTGTAAATAGACAGGGATTTCAGGGAGCTGCTTGTCCTTTTGAACTTTGAGAAACCACGGTATCTCTAAAATGAATGAATCCAGAATCTTAAAATGAGCATCGATAACTTTTTTGGACGAACAAAAGTTCCCATGACTATCCCAGATGCTATTAGCAATTTTCATTAATTTCGTGAGGTAGAAGTTTCCGGAGAATAGCATCGGACTGGATGCTGGATTATAATTCCGCAAAACTACGTGTGGAGTGTTTTGTTCACGGTAGTCCGGTGTTGTGCAATTTGAGTTTTTGCATTTTATAAATGGTGGCAGTTCTGTGTAGAATGAAACAAGGGTATCGATATAAAACACGTTCCACCAGAGTTGTTTCCTCGACTCCATTTCCTTGTCACTAAGATCATTCGATTCGAGGTGTAGTCCAGTAAGATAACATGCTGTTACAGTTTCACCTAGATAAGATCTCAATGCAAACAAATCTCCATTCGAAAGATAACAGTATTGTAGTATCAAGAAAACCGATATTTGCTTTTCAGTTGGATTTCGATCTAACTCATATGATCTGATTGATTGCTTGCAGGCACGGTACCAAATATTCGTATAATTGTGAGTGATAACGTGAGATTTTGAAAGAATTGTAGCGACCTGTCTTGGCAATGCTGTCGACACAGCGCATAGCATTGCAAATATCATTGCTAGATCCATCAAACTTGTGACACGTAACGTATTCTCCCAGAATAGGTGATAGGTCTCCCTAAACTGCTGTTCGTCAATGGCCCATAGTAAGCCATGAATATTTTTGAGATATAGGCCAACTAGAATATCGCAATCAACTTTACAAGGTAACAGCCTGACTAGGTAAAGAACCCAACTTGAGGTTGAATTGGAGCCGGATATTCTTGCACTTATCGATGCAAGAGAGTTGGATTTAATATGTTTTTGAACCGAGCAGTCGGAGGCAATTACTTTGATTGACTCAGGATGTCGCTTTTTGGAAGACTCTGTTCGTGAATGTTTTGATGGCTTGTGAATTCTGCTTATCCAGGCTTTCGGTGGATTCTTTTGACAATCTGCCTGAGTATTGCGTCTGACACAAGATCCACAGGGTAACTCTTGGTTGCATTTTAACTTCTTAAGGCGACAGGGTAAGCAACTTCCTCCCTTGACCGTCCGATTCGCGGATATCATGTTTTTGGTTATCAGTGTATCGGAAATTATTTTTCGGTATTCAATTTCCATTTGCAGAACTTCCCAAGAAAATCGATCCAATTAAAATCACTTTTAACCGACATGCTGTCTGATCTGGTATCCATACTTAAATAAGATGACTGTTCACTGATACTACATTCTCATCTGATTTTTCAATGTCAATGGCAGGAAAACTCCTGATTGGAGTCGATGTTGGGGGAACAAACACGGACTCGGTGCTTATGAATCCACTTGCACTTGACTCTCCAAATAGAGGAGTTCTTGCTTGGAATAAATCAGCGACCACTTCTGACGTTTCCGACGGAATTCAAAAAGCCATTATGTCTTTGATGAGTGATTGCCCCGAAATTGAAAAAAGTCACATTGCCTCAGTTACCATTGGAACAACGCATTTTATAAATGCTGTTATTGAGCAGGATGAGGCGAAACTGGAAAAAGTTGCGGTTCTTCGATTGAGTACAAACTACTCCAAGTACGCTCCTCCCTTCTCCGATTTTCCAGGAGGTTTGAGATCGGTTATGGAAGGATATAGCGCAATTTTGACAGGTGGTAACAGAATTGATGGAAACGAAGTCCGACCTCTAGATGAAGAAGCTGTTAAGACACATGCTTTCAAGATCAAAGAGCTAGGTATAAATGCGATTGTTATCACTGGGCAGTTCTCACCAATGTACCCTGCTCAAGAGGAAAGAGCAGCGGCCATAATTCGGAAGATTTTGCCAAAAGCAAACATCGTTCTTTCTCACACTATTTCCACGATCGGCTTCATCGAGAGAGAGGATGCTTCAATTTTAAATGCTTCCATCATGACATTTGCTAGGAAGATCATTCTTTCTTTTAAAGATGCAATGAAGCAAATTGGCCTACATTGCCCTGTGCTTCTGACCCAAAATGATGGCACTGTTGTTTCCACCTCCGAGGCAATGAGAACGCCAGTGAAGACATTCTCCTCAGGTGCAACAAATTCGATGAGAGGTGCAGCAACTTTATGTGCAAAGGAAAAGTCTATTCATGGAAAGCCTGTTATTGTTGCAGATATTGGGGGAACTACAACTGACGTTGGTTTACTGCTTCCATCTGGGTTTCCCCGGCAATCCTCTGCGTATTCTTTTATTGCTGGTGTCAGGACAAACTTTTCCATGCCCCATGTGGAATCCATTGGTCTTGGTGGGGGATCTGTTGTCAGAATAGGCAATGACGTGACAATAGGACCTGAATCCACCGGCGCAAAAATTTTAACCGAAGGTCTTGTGTTTGGAGGGAAAACTGTCACGGCAACAGATGTCACTTGTGCAATAGGAATGGAAGATGATTCAATTAAAGATAAGGAGTTGTTCGGTGTGGGTGATTTCAGCAAGGTGAAAGGAAAGTTTTCGAAGGATGTTAAACAGAAGTTTTCCTCTGAGCTTAAAAAGATGCTGGAAGCTGTTATCGATAGGATGAAAACGTCTGCAGATCCGATTCCAGTTGTTCTTGTGGGTGGGGGGTCCTTGATTGCACCTCCAGAACTAGAAGGAGCAAGTTCTGTTTTCCGTCCTCCCTTTTTTGGAGTGGTCAATGCTATTGGTGCAGCAATTGGTAAAGTATCAGCATCCGTTCAGGCAATTAAGAAGTTAGATCCCACGGATAGTAAGGATGAAATACTTGCAGGTCTTAAGGAGAGTGCGATTGCAAAAGCTGTCTCAAAAGGTGCTCTGAAAGATTCTCTTGTTTTTGACAATATTGTTGCAAATCCTATCCCCTATGTGCCAAACACGATTCAATTCATTGTCAAAGTTATTGGAGATGTTGACTATCATTCTATGAAATACTCGCAGCCTATCGACAACGATGATCACGATTCTGAGAAGTCTGGTGGAAGTGTTGCAAAGAACTCTACATTTTCTTCCCAGAAAATCATTGAGCATGAGGTGAAATTTGACGTTAACAGTTACAAGCCATTTATTAATACTCAAGGAGAATGGATTCTATCGGAGGTTGATTGTGAATTTTTACGAATTGGAGTTTATATTCTCGGATGTGGCGGTGGCGGAACACCGTACCATTACTTTCTTGCGTTGCGTAATATGGTGCGCTCAGGTAAGCTGGTCAGAATCATACGCCCACAGGACTTCCATAAATACCAGCAGGGTGATGGAGCAATTACTGCTGTGGGATATGCGGGCTCTCCAACAGTTGGTCTTGAACAATTGAGTGGAGATGAAATGATTCATGCATATGACTTGATCAAAAAGCATACAGATGTGCTACCTCAAGCGTCTCTTCCTTGGGAGATCGGTGGAGGAAATGGTCTGACAGGTTTGAAAATTGCAGGAGATCTAGGAATCCCATGTATCGATGCAGATTTCATGGGCCGTGCCTATCCTCTATTATGGCAAATGATCCCTGTGTGTTACTCAACTACGCCCTGTTTTCCTCCTTGCGCTTTGAGTGATGGCAATGGAACTACTCTTCTTCTTTCGGAAGCTATAAGCGATGTTATTGTTGAGCAGGTGTTCCGTGCTAGTTTGTCAGAGATTGGAGCTCACTGTGCAATGGTGTCATTTATGAACGGAAAGGATATATCTGACAAGAGTATTTTTAATACGACTTCCTTGGCATGGAGGGTGGGAAGAGCTGTACATGAAGCTAGACAGAATTCGGAGGTTGAAAAACTGCCGGAATACATCATTAATGCCTGTGGGGGATCCAAGACAGCTGAAAAGATATTTTCCGGGAAGATTATCCGTGTCGAGAGACGCACATTCAAAGGACATGTTTACGGTGAAATCGATGTTAAGTCGGAAGACAGCGACTCAGTCATGACTATTCCTTTCAAAAACGAAAATATCTATTGCGAGGTCAATCAAAACGGCAAAAAAAAGGTTGTTGCGTCTGTTCCGGATCTAATATCGGTTAATGACAAAGAAACCGGCGAAGGACTCGGAACACAAGATTACAGATACGGTCTACATGTGTTTGTCATAGCTATCTGCCCAAGTACCAAATGGACTGACACTGCAGAAGCATTGAAAAGTGGTGGTCCATCCGCTTTTGGGTATGAGTTTGGCTACGAATCCGTCGGAACTTATGTTGCACCATTCAGTGTCATCGACGAGTATAGATAATATTATCAGGCTGTGTAATATCGTAACTAAACTAAACTATTTTACCAGTTCCTAATTTTTGTGATAACGAGATTCTCGTTTCCCGATGAGTGATGATAGCGATTTTTCCGTCTTGGAGTCATATCAATTGGCATCTTTTGGTAGAACTCTGTTGGATGTCTCCCCAAAGGTGGCCAATCATGGGCTGGCTGTAATCGATCAAGAAATTTGTTCACAGATAAGAAATTGTACGTTATACAGTACTATCCCTCAGCCATTACAGTCCAGCACAAAAATTGCACAATCTGCAGTTGAAGAGCTATTAGATCTGATTCCTGAAAAAACTGAGTGTGACTTGTTGGTGAAAGTGTATCTTTATGATATTTCTTGGTGTTATAGAACTATACACTTCGGTTCGTTCTGGGAAGACTACAAAAACTTTTGGAGATCTGACGTTTCAGCCATCAAGCTGGACTTTTTGGCTTTGCTGCTTGCAATGCTGACAGTTAGTAGCTCATTCATCTCTCCCACAATGATATCAGCTGATTTGAATATTAGATTGATTCGCGAGCTCTCAATTCCTTGGTACAATGGATGCCGTCAAGCTATGCACCTTTCAAAATTTGAGTATTCGCCTACATTACTACATCTGCAAGCATTTTCTGTTCTTCAGACATACTTTCACGCGCGAAACGATAGCCAGAGTTTACATTTATTACTTGGACAGGCTGTAGCTGCTGCACAGCAATTGGGGCTTCACAGACTTGAAGTTCCAAGTCATAATAACTATAATCACATTGAGTTTGAGATCAAAAAACGTCTCTGGTGGGATTTGTGCTCCTGTGATTCATTTCAAGCAGTCAGTCTGAGTCGTCCTCCACTCATTAGAAGCGTTCAATGTACTGTACCAATGTTGGCAAATGCGCACGATTCTGGAATTACACGCGATCATGTTGAAGAGCTTCCTTTGGAAAAACAACCTACCTATGTTTCAGTGACCATTTACATTAATCGGCTGCTGCAAATTTTCAACACTCTCTGGAATGAGGATGGGGAATATACATCATCACTGGATGATATAATACAAGTCGATCAGAGATTGGATTTTTTCCTTCGATCGCTTCCGTGGTATCTAAAATTCACAAGTGATGGTACGCTTCCAATCCTTCCTGAAGATCAACAGCTGAATCTGGTGCATTGGCAGTTTCATTATCTCTGGAGCTGTGCGTATACGCAGAAACTGCGTATGCATCGAGTGTTTTTGTCCCCAAGGGTTGATTACTCGTTCAATGCGTGTGAAGATGCTGTCCAAAAAGTTCTTCAGGCCTACAATCAGTTAAAGATGTCAGTCCAGTATATTGGAACAACAAAATTTCTAACGCAGGGTTATCAGATATTTTCCGCATCGATTGCACAAGCAATATTCATCTTAGTGGAAAAACCAAGATATTCCTTACATATCAAATCACAAGTGAAAAGCTGTTCTAAAGATTTAGAACTACTAGCAAGTTTTCATGTTATCAGTCCCGTCGTACATCAAGGGACTCGCATATTAAGAAAGCTGCTTCAACTTCTCGACAGACAAGATAGAAGGTTTATAGGAGTTCCGAAGGAATCTGGTCCCGTCCTAAAGTACAAACAATCGGAAGCAATTTCGAAAGATATTTATCCAGTTTTTGGAGGATTACATCTGACGCAGTCATATGTTCGCCGAGCTAGTACTAACGAAAGGTCAGACTCTACACACAATGAAAAAGAATTATTTCCGATATCCAAAGGGCTGGAGTCTCCAGCTTCCACTTCGAAAACCATACGTACACCAGATGATGAGAACTATGGTGAGTTTGACGAACATTTTGGCGATTCCCCAACTTGGGATCTATTTTTCAATGACACATTTTGGGATAATTGCGACTGGGGTTCATGGAACTCGTTCCCTTCCAACTTCAATTGATACATTCAAGACCATAAGAAGGTCAAGATTCTCCATCCTCTGATAGGCTCAGGTTCTGGTTCGGGTTTGTTATGATAATCGTCAAAGAGTTCAGGTAGAGGCACCTCTGTAAGCTTGACTTGGTGTGTCCCTTTGAAAAATTTCCATCCCAAATAGAGAACAACAAACGCAAGTGGTGAGCAGTACGAAGAAACAAGTGTTGATGCAGAAAAGTGTCCGTGGATAAATGTTGTAAATCCTCCTGTGAGAAGAAGAAGTACTCCAAAGAACAAAGAGATCCATGCACTTGCGGGAGCGATTTTGTTATGGTAAGGCAAGTCAGACCTCTTGTATCCTTGAGCAATCAATGCCCTGTTCATACGGATGTTGTTAATGGCAATGATGATCCATTCAAGCAGTAACACTGAAGAAGTCACACTTTGGAACCAACTGAAGACATTTGCGGCTGTTGAGTTCAGAGTCATGTATGCCAATGCACAAAAGACCAACGCAAGACTAACGCCAACGTAGGGAACTCTTAAGGTCTTGTTTGTCCGCAAAAAGATACTTGGTGCCTGGTGCTTAGCCGCAAGAGAGAACAAGATTCTTGAAACCTGCATCACTCCCAGATTTGCTTCAGACCATGCGGAGCATAACGTCAATGCATTCACAATATGAGGCAGCACCTTAATTCCTCCTCTTTCGAATGCAATCACGTAGGGAGAGTGAGCAGCCGTTCCGTCACTTGTTGCAATCTTTGGATCATTGTATGGAACAATGAGACTGAGAATGAACACTGCTGTCATGTAAAGTGCCACCACTCTATACAAGATTCTTTTTGCTGCTTTGGGAATATTTGTACGTGGATTCTTGGTTTCTCCCGCAAGCAAAGCAATTGATTGAACTCCTCCGTAAGAGTAGACGACAGATGACAAAGCAGCCCAGAATCCCACAAATTTTCCAACACTTCCTTCAGCAATATAATCTGCAAATGGGCCAGGATTCTTCCAATAGTGAAATCCAAGGCGTTCCTGGCCCTTAACGCCACCCAGATCCAGAACTAATCCTGCAAGAACCAAGATCACGATCAGTGCAATCTTTAGCAAGGCAAAAACAAATTCAACTTCTCCATAAACTCTTATTGAGAAGATATTTGTCAGAGTTATTGGAACTAAAAAGACGGTGATCCAAACACCAGCTGATAAATTCGACCAATACTGCATGACAACAGCTGTTGAGACCAATGCTCCCGGGAGAATTCCATTCCAGACTTTAAGCCATCCAAAAGCAAACCCAACAGCTTCGTCGATAAAGATCTCGGAATGTCTAATACTGGAACCTGTCAAAGGGGCCAAGGCTGCAACTTCAGCCATGGCCATTTGGTTGAGTCCAACAACAACTCCGATAATTAGGTACGCTAGGCACAATCCGACTGGACCTGTTTTGGCAAGGGTTCCACCACTACTCAGAAACAGACCAGTACCGAACACACCAACCAGTGCGATCATACCAATTTGCCTTTCTTTCAATGCTTTTTCGAGTTTGGTATCATCTTCACGGAAAATCGATCCTGCAGTGAACTCCTCCTCTTTGATACTGACTGTCTCGAGGGCGCTGGTTTGCTTCTTTTCAAACTCCGGGGAAACCGCTGTATTAAAAGACATGTTAATCTTACATCCTGTCAGGTTTTTGGGGTTGCTTTATACACTTTGGCAACGTCCAATACCGTGGCACCCAAGTCAAATTTTCCATGCCACCACAGATAGAAATTACTAAAAATCTTGCATTTGGAGATTTCAAATATTCCTTTGTCTCGGCTGCCTTGTTGAGGTCGCTTGCAGGGAATGGGAATCCGACGAGGAGAAATAACGGTAGTCGTTTTCTGACGTAGATGTCCCCATTTGGCTCTTTACATTGTCTTCTGCATATGTGATTTTGATTATTGAACAAGTCATGTGACATTAACTTATCGCAAAGCATAAAATTTCAATCAAGAGCCTCGAGCTGCCAGAAATAAGCACGTCAAAACGATTTTCAAGTCAAAATTTTGATACGGCATTAAGACTATTCTTGCAGTTGACCATCGAAGACTGCATCCTCTTCTATTCAGTTCTTAGGGAATCATACTTAAGAATAGTTTCAAGTAAAACTCGGAATCCAAGCTCAATCTCTTTCGGATCCGTATACTCTTTTGGGTTGTGGCTGATTCCATCCTTACTCGGAACGAAAATCATTGCCGTAGGGATCAGCCGATTTGTACAACAAGAGTCATGCCCGGCGCCACTGACCATATGGTGAAGATTGTCTTCCCCCACAATTTCCTTTGCAGAGGATTCAATGAGGGCGACCAAGTCTTTGTTAAATTTGTTGACAGGAGACTTGTATAGCGTTCTGCTTGAAACTTCAAGTGGAATACCGTTTCCAATAGTATTCAAAGCTGCATCTTTCAAAATTTTCTCCACCTCCTGTTCCATCTCTTGGTGAGCGACATCATCAGAATGTCTGATGTCAATTACAAAGGTAACTTTCTCGGGAATGACGTTCACAACTGCAGGCTGCAAATCCAGCTTACCAACGGTTGCCAAACCTCCATGAGACTTGGCCATTTTATTGATGTCCAAGATGACTTTCGATGATGCAAGAAGTGCATCTCTGCGGAACTCCATCGGAGTAGTTCCCGTATGCTGTGCAACACCCATGAATGTGACCTCAATCCATGTGTACGCCTGGGCGGAGTCGACAACTCCGATTTTTCTTTGCATGCTCTCCAGAATAGGACCCTGCTCGATGTGAATCTCGAAATGACATTTTAGAGGATTCGCAGAATGGCTGCACTCAATATCACCAAGGTATCCAATTCGTTTTAGCTCATCCTCGACAGTAGTCTTGTTGTCGTAGACATCCTTGAGTTGATACACCGTCTCCTTGGAACAAATCCCGGCCCAAACAGATGAGGCCATCATACTCATTGGAAATCTGGCTCCTTCCTCGTTGCACCAATCAACAAGAGTTATTGGATAGTTAGGAACGAAATTGTTTTCTTTCAAAGTCCTCAAAACTTGCAGTCCTGAAAGCACACCGTAAATGCCATCGTACCGTCCTCCTGTAGGTTGAGTGTCGAGGTGAGAACCCATACCGGTGGGCAGTGCACTGTTGTTTTTCCCAGGGTATGTTGCAAAAACGTTTCCAACATTGTCCACCTTGATTGAACATCCCAAAGCCTTTGTTTCTTGGATGAACCAGTCTTTTATTTGCTTATCTAAATCCGAGAGAGCGAGTCGTTTAACTCCCGTTTGGGTTGGATCAGACCCCCAAACACCGTGGGCCCCCAGCTTGGCTGTAGAGTGAATGGTCTCGATTAATTTCCCTGACTGTATTTGGAACCGTTTCGACAACATTTTCAAAGTGTACCTGTGAATTGGGCGAGTTTTATCAAATATATATCCCTGCGGCTTTTTCTTATCAACTTATCCGAGATCCGAACTATATAAGGAACTTGGATTATGTTGAACAAAATGTTCAACTTTTACAAACGTATGTACTATCGTTTTGTGGTTCTTCAACTCTCTATCTAAAGGGTGTGCAACTCTTCTTTGGATTGGATGTTGAAATGTTGAACAATGTACGGTTTTGATCTCATTCCTTACGGTACAGTTATTTCCAAAATAGGAAGTTGCGAAGATAACTATATATAATATCAAACGTGGAAGCAACTACCCACCTCATTTGGTCTTTAGCGATTTCCTTCTCTGAAAGTCCTTTTCTCATCAGCAGTTTTGGAAGTTGCGAACTTGCCATCAATATATAAGTACTCCTAATGCTAGAGAATTATTTCATGTCCCGCCCAATCAATATCGACCCTAACGAGGGGATTGATAAGGATTTTGATGCCTTGGTCCAGCCATGGAAACTTCCTAAGCCTCAGAAATATGCCTTCATCAATGGGGTCATTATTGATACTGATAAGGGAGTTGCAGTGAAGAAGAAGACTGTACTCACTGCCAACGGAAGATTTGAGGACATTATTTCTTCTTCAAAAGAATTTTCTTCAGATTACAAGGTTATCGATTGTGAAGGCAAGTTTCTATGTCCCGGACTCTTTGACAATCATGTTCACGTTGTCTCTGCTCCGGGAGAAACTGAACTTAGACGACTTTTTGATGTTAAGCGTGACACGGTGAATATGCGTGCTGCTAAAAATATTGAAATGATGCTAGCAAGAGGTTTCACTTCTATCAGAGACACAGGTGGGGCAGGATACCACTTTGTTAAAGCTATTGAGGAAGGAGTAATCAAGGGTCCGCGCTTGTTTTTCTGTGGTGGTGCTATTTCACAAACCGGTGGTCATGGTGATTTCCGCGATCGTGAGACTGCATCTGATGAGGTTGATTCATGTGCCTGTCACAGATCCTATCTGGGAGTTGTTGCAGATGGTGTTCCCGAATGTATGCGTGCAGCTCGGGATAACCTTAGAACGGGGGCTCACTTTATTAAAATCATGGGTGGTGGAGGTGTTGCTTCTCCAACGGATAAGCTCACCAACATGCAGTACACGGATGAGGAGATTCAGGCAATTGTTAAAGTTGCACAATCTTACGATACTTTTGTTACTGCACACGCCTACACCCCCCGGTCTATTCAAACCTGCATCAAAAATGGAGTCAAAGGTATTGAGCATGGAAATTTGATTGATGATGAAACTGCCAAACTCATTGTAAAAAATGGTGTTTATGTTACTCCAACTCTTATTACTTACAAGGTGATGAGCTCTGATCAATTTTCCAAGTTTTTGACCCCAGACTCGCTGGAAAAAAATAAGGTTATTCTACAATCAGGACTGGCATGCTTAGCAATGGCAAAGAAGTATCGTATTAAACTTTGTTTTGGCTCGGATTTGCTAGGAAGTCTCACTGGCTACCAAACGTTGGAGTTTTCTTTGAGGGCAAAAGTGCTTGAGGCGGCAGAGATTCTTAGATCTGCGACAATCACCCCTGCCGAGTGTTTGGGGGTGAGTGATGTCATTGGACAAATCAAAAAGGGGTACTATGCCGATTTGCTGATACTGGAAAATAATCCGCTCGAAAATATCGTCAGTATGGACAAATTTGAGACAAATTTGCTGATGGTTATGAAAGATGGAGTTATCATGAAGAGTAAGCTCGACTCCATTTCCAAGGATGTTAGTGAACCAGAAATATAGGTCTAAACCTTTTTATATCAGTACAATCTTAGTAACTATAGCGGTGATATAGATCCTGTTTATCAGTAAGATCATGGTCTGGATCATAATCTGGGATCTTGCCTTCTGCCTGCAGTCGATCACGACGACGATTCTCCCTGATACACATAAACCTGTATCCAAAAACGATGAGCTCAAAGACTCCCCAGAACGCAATGTTTGCAACCAATCCTGTGAAATATGTAGGATCCTTCGTGTAGTCCCACCATTGAGGGTAGACGATACCTGCTAGTGCGTATCCCACATAAAAAGCATTATTCACGATCGACTTCTTGGTGTTACCTCTGACGTTGGAAGCGTTCAAGCTGAGAAGGATGCAATAGAACGAGGTGATACAAGATCCGAGCCAGCCCCCAGTGATGACTCCCCATCCACTGCTGTGACGCATACAAACGAGCATGATATTTCCTGCTAATGGTACTAGTGTCAAAATCATGATAACTATGCATCTTTGTTTTGGAATCATCAGCAACATTCCAACTCCTATCCAAATCACTAAGAATTGGATTGCACCTGATGGCGAGGAATATTCCATTGTCTTGAACTTGTCGTAACCGAAGTCATTGATCATCAATGTAGAAAACAAGATCGGTCCCGACGTAACGGTGATCAAAAAGCCGAACAGGAAAGAGCTCCATGTGATCCAATCAGTTAGACATTCCTTTGCTTGACCCCAGTTCCAGCTGTCTTTCTCACCACGGTCGGACTCGGCAAGTATTCTATGGCTGGCTATTTCTCGTTCACGTTCGTTGAGGAACCAGGCAGTTGAAGGGTGCAACGGAATCAACACACAGAACAGAACTCCAGCCACCAAAGTGAACGCACCACAGACTAAAAATCCAAGTTTCCATGCTTCCATGGCAATAGAGTCTTCCCCTTTGCCGATACCATAGAATAGATATGTTCCGATAATTTGAGCAATTGCATTGCAAGAAATCCAGATAGCGGTTCTCAAACTATGTTCCGCCTTTTTATAGTAAACTGATGTTACAATCACAAACGACGGCGACACGCATCCTTCGAAAAAACCAAGGAAGGCTCTTAAAGTCATCAAGCCAGCGAAATTGTGAGGAGCAGCGTGTAACATACAGACCGCGGCCCAGATAATGATACATCCGCTGGTCACTGTTTTGATTGGAAACAAACTCAAAGCGTACATGTAGACAAACTGAGATCCAAGCTGAGCAATGTAGAAACCGGAGGTCAACCAACTGTACTGGTCTCCGTCGAGGTTGAGATCGGTCCGGACACCGAAAATAGCTGCATATGACAACGATGTCTTGTCTAAGTATTGCGAGAAAAACACCAAGCACATCAATGGTAAGACATAGAGATCAATCTTCTTGACAACAGCTCTTTCCTCCTCGGATGTGTAGGTGATAAAGTCTTTAGGGGTCTGGACAGGATGCACCTCGGCACCCACTTCATATTTCTCGGTAGATTTTTGAGACATTCGTGAAACGAATTGGTATACTGTTAGACGATTGTATTAGCTTATAAAGGTCTCGGATAAGTCGCCTATCGGTTCCTTTTGAAAACCATCTCGCCAGCGGATTCATGAAATAGATAAGTACAATCTCGGCTGTGCTGTGCCGAATGAGGAAGTTGCGAACGGTGCAGACAGATGTCACTTCTATCAAACAGCTTAGATGATCAGTTAATTTACCCATTTGAGTAAATGACTCCTCATCCCATCCATATTGCGCTCTGTATTGAATAGGATACCCGATACCAACTTTTGTGTAACAAAGCAAACTATCATCCCACCTTTAGTCGATTTTTGCACGTGACTCCAATTTTTCCTTTCTAATTCAGGGACTTTTTTTAGATAAGATATCATTATTGTGATATGGTCAAGTTTGTCTACGTGAAGTCGAGCCGTTCTTTTGGACGTTGCGATGATTGCAGAAGGCGCAAAAAGCGCTGCGATGAAAGGATTCCCGAGTGTGGATCGTGTGTCCGCAGAAATGTTCAATGCGTCTATAGAAAACCTAAACTGAAAAAGGTGTCATCACCGGGACAGAAAGTCACTTCCAAGTCGAAAATTGAAAATTCGTTTTCAGACTATCTAGACTACCAGTTGGATGATGTTGGAAAACGTTGGTTTTCGATTATTGAGAAATACATTCCGGCTTCTGGGAAATACCACCAGTGTTTGGAGCGCTTCATTCCTATGGCTGGGAGGAATACCTCGTTGTTGTACGCACTTTGTGGGTGGGGAGGAATACTAGAGTTGGAAGACCACAGAAGGACAAATTATTATCTCGAGTTATCTTTGAGTTTGAGCTCGGAGCTTTATTCCAAAGTGATGGGATCCGAAGGTTCCAAATCGGAGTTGTTAGAGCTTGCTGTTACTCTTACTTGTCATATGATGATCAGTTCATTCACCGGTGGATTAAGTGAATGCGAAATTGGCTTTCAGCAGTTGAAAAAGCTTTATAAACGGTTTGGGTTGGCCTCCTTTCTCGAAGAAACAGGGAATACTACATTGTCAATGATGTTATTACGATGGTTTTTCTACCACGATGTTTTGAAGCTCACGCCGAGTAGCAAGTTTGGAACCACATTCCCTCTCTCCGAGTACAAAAGAATCCTATCTTACGCCAATGATCAGCAGTTGATGATTTCCACATTGGATTCAAACAACCCGCTGATGAGTTGCTGTGTGCACCTTTTTTTGCTTCTAGGGGAGCTAAACAACTTTTATGCCGAGTTTGTTGCTCGCGAAGACTTCTTATACAAAACCTACCACGACTTGGCGGGGGGTTTGGTCAACAGAAGTCAAGAGGAGCAGTATCAAACCATCACTAGTTCTGCATACGGTGCCTACGAAGATACAAGGATTGAGTTCCATGACTGGGTTGATTCTCAAAGTCGATGCTGGCAGGAGAAAATCGATAATGCTAAACCAAATTTACCAGATATAACAAGTCTTGAGAAAGTGCAAAGCAACGAATTGCACTTGACATTCTTCGAGGCCATGCAATTGACACTGAAACTGTTTCTTCTTTCAAAGATTCGTCACATGTCTTCTCTCGACTTTGAGGTGAAGCGCTTGATGCTGCATTTGTTCAGGGCAATGAGAGTTCTATTGAACACTGACCTAAGCTCGTATTTAGGATTTCCCCTACTGATTGCAGGTGCCGTGGCTGCGGAAGATCGCGACAGATTGACTGTCAAACTGATCTATTTTGGAATCATCTCCAAAAACAGTGCATCCAATTTTGAAAGAATATGGGCAATCATTGAAGAGCTGTGGAAGACGAATGCTTACGGTCCACGGTTCTTGGATTGGCAGACGGTTGTCGATAAGCTGGGTTTGAACATCTGTGCTGGCTAAAATATACTCTGATTCTAATGAAAAAGTTACGAAGTTTAAAAAATTACATTTATTGAATTTGGAAGCAATAAGATTCATAGTTTGTTGAGAGCTGAGATGATCTCATAAACACCATAGGCTCCAGGATCAGGAGGAAAGTCCGTCTCATTATCATCAATTCCAACGTAACTGGCTCTACCAAGCTTTGGTCTGATTTTTCTGGTTCCCTCTGCGGAATCAAGTGCAACCTTGATGGATTGGTCAATATTTCTAGATTTTGAAAAGTCTCTGCAGAATGGAATCAGCACATCCATCACAGTGCGGTCTCCTTCTCTTGCCTTGGTATAGTTGCAGAGGTTTTCAATTGCATAGTCCAGAGCCTCAGCAAATAAATCTGGAAGATCGTCTTTTGGAGATGACTCCAAGATAAGCTCAAGCTTATTGGTAAGACCTTGTAAGAAAATGTATAAGATAGCCCCCAGAGTTCCTCCCATGGAGTCCTTGATCACTTTCAGCAGAGTGTTCAAGGTCAAAATTAACGAGCCACTAGAGGTGAATTTTGTGTTTTCTAAAGTGTCCAAAATGGCCTCCACCCCAATTTTAAGGCCCTCTCCACAGTCACCATCTCCCATCTTGGTGTCCCAGATGGTCAGTTCTGGTTCTTTTTCAATGATGTTCTGGACGGCTGTTCTTATAATAGTGTTCAATGTTTCAGGGTTGACTTTAACATCTCCTTGTTTCTCCACCTTCCGCGCTGACGAGTCCTCATCATAATGCTTGAAGTTATTGTCAATTCTTGAAGAGACATCAATTGGACTTGGCGACTGGTAATAATTAGCAGGCCAGTTAGTGCCCTTAACTGGTTTATCAAGGTACTCAAACAATTTTTCAACAGAAAACTTTTTGGTAGCAGACTTTGTGACATTGAATAAGGTCAAAGTAAAGATTTGAGCGTTGAAACTGGTAACAAAATGGCCATGGTACACTCTGCTGACCTCGATTCCATAATCATCTTTCAACTGGTGCAAAGTCTCAGTCATTAAAGCAAGCATTTCAAAATGCGAAACGCCACCTAAGTTGTTGAGTTGCAAGACAATCTTGTCACCCTTGTCGTACTTGAAGTATCCTCTCTCGGGATCAGTAGTGTCCAAAAGATACTTCAGCATGATTTTAATCAGTTCCTCGTTAGACGGGATCTGTTGCAATTTCTTAACACCCGGCTCATTGTGGACACCCAAGCCCAGCTCCAGCTCATTAGGCTTCAATTGACCCCAATCAGTAGTCTTGTCATGAGTAGGGATATGCACGTGATCTAATCCAGCATTAATGGAAGCAATGTTTGGGTTGACGCTGTTGCCAAGATCAAACACGGTTGAAATGTCATTTAGCTCGTCAGCACATGCACCCAAGACTTTGACCATCAAAGTTATACCACTCAAAGTTCTTCTTCCAACTCTGTCACTCTTGGATCTAGGAACGGCAACATCATCCGAGGTTCTCAGAATTCTGATTTTATCCTCACCATATTTACGGACCAGCTCCTGAGAAGCCATACCAAAGTACAGGTTGTCTCCGGTGTAGTTGGTGATTAGGAAAATAGTTCCTGCTTTGGAATGGACCACCTTTTCGGCGGCCTGAATGTTTCTGTAGTTTGGAGAAGCGAAGATTTCTCCCTGGACAGAGGCTGCCAACATTCCGTCAGCAACGAAACCGTACCAGCCAGGTTCGTGGCCTGAGCCACCTCCAGAAATCAAGGCGACTTTGTTAGAATCAAAACTGTTATTGTATAGGACCCTCTCTTTGGCCAGTAAGGAGAGGTTAGGGTTTTCGTAAACTGCTCCCTCAAGGGCCAAATTGATGGTTGCAAATGGGTCTTTTGGCAAAAAGTGTTTGGTAGACATGCTAGAACGACAAGACACTCAACGGTGAGTACCAGTATTTATACTTCCCCACAGAATCTGGGGAAGTTGGGGGAAGGCGATGAGCAGTAGGCTTCGACTCCAACCTGTCCTAACCTTCCGAATTAGGAAATTTAGGAGCTGATTCCTTGTATGGTCCGGTATTGAGAAGAGCACACCGCGTGTGGTGGAGATCATTCCAGGTAGCAAAGTTCGGAGCTTATAGAGCCACGTTATATATACCGCTTAGTGACCTGCTCCATGGCAACACATAAAAATGGCTGGTCAAAAATTTAGAGTGATCATTGGCAGCGATACTGCTGGCTACGACTATAAAGAAGCTTTGAAGAAGGACCTTGAGTCCAATCCATTGATTGAGTCTGTCACTGACGTTGGTGTTTTTGGAACAGACAAGGAGGTTGCATATCCTTTGGTGGCTATCGAAGCCGCCGAAAGAATCGCCAGAGGAGAAGCAGACCGTGGGGTTCTCATTTGCGGAACTGGCTTGGGAGTTGCTCTGAGCGCAAACAAGGTTCCAGGAATCAGAGCAGTCACTGCTCACGACTCGTTCAGCGTCGAGCGGTCGATCTTGTCAAACAACTGCCAGATCTTGTGTCTCGGCCAAAGAGTCATCGGACTGCAGCTGGCCAGAAGACTTGTGAAGGAATGGTTTACATATAATTTCGACGAGTCGAGTGCATCCGCGGAGAAGGTGGCCACTCTGGTTGACTACGAGAAGAAGACCCTTGGTAAAACCATAAAAGGGAATTAACGGAGTTGTATGAAAATTCTATTGTAATAAATAATTTCGTTGTCACAATAACAGTAAACAATCGTGGAGCAGTTGATGAATCTTTCAGCTGGAATGGAAGTGTAGCGAAGTCAGCAGTTCGCTTAAATTACCCTTTTAGGAACACATCCCCAAATTCATCGTGTGCCGCTCGGTTTATTTCTTTCGCGCAAACAATAGAGTTACGTCATGAATGCGTGGTTCGTGGATCTATTGTATACCCCAACCACTCAAAAACTTGGGGTATTTGGAGCGTGTTGCCAGGTGTCCTGGAGAAGTGCGGAGGCCATATCGTTTGAGGATGCATGTTGCAACAAAGAGGCCGGAGATTCCAGCAGAAGTTGCATGATAAATAGGATTGCAGTGCGTGTGGGGTAATTTTCTCTGGGTAAATGGTACACGGACTAAGATTGCGATGTACGATTTTTCTTCCTACCTGCAGACTGACGTAATTCCTTTTCCAACTTAAATATAAGAAGATTTCTCGCTTCCAAATCTTACAACATTAAACATGTCTTCGTCTATTAGTCCGTCGTCTAGCAACGCCGAGTCCCGGCAGTACCCAAAGTTTTTGGGCATGAAGGGCATCACTTTACAAAACATTGTCAGTTTGCTAGCATCTGTTGGTTTCTTGCTATTTGGTTATGACCAAGGTGTTATGGGATCGCTGTTGACATTGGATTCTTTCAAAAACACGTTCCCTTCTATTGACACTCAGAGACATCCAAATGCTGACACCATGCAAGGATTCACTATCGCTGTTTACGAAATTGGTTGTCTTGCTGGTGCGCTCTCTACGATCTACCTTGGAGACAAGCTTGGAAGACTTAGATGTATTTTTATCGGGTGTATCATTATGATTGTTGGTGCTATTCTTCAGTGCTCTGCCTACACTGTTGGTCATCTTATTGTCGGCCGTATTGTGACAGGAATCGGTAACGGTATGAATACCAGTACTATTCCAATGTGGCAGGCAGAATGCTCGAGAGCAGAAAGAAGAGGAAGTCTTGTGATGATTTCTGGTGCTTTGATCACCGGTGGTATTGCTATCTCTTACTGGGTTGACTTTGGCTTTTACTTCACTAAAGGTGCCATTTCTTGGAGATTCCCCGTTGGCTTCCAAATGATCTTCCCATTGATTATTCTTCCTTTCACTTTGAGACTCCCAGAGTCCCCAAGATGGTTGATCAAGAAGAACCGTGTTGAAGAAGCTAGATACGTGTTTGCTGCTTTGGACGGTGCCCACTTGTCTAGTGAGGAAGTCGCAATGCAGGTCCATGACGTGAAACAGTCTTTGTCTGAGGAGCACCTGGAAGGTGGTGACAGCTTCAACTACAGAAAGCTTTTCGTGCAAGGTGAACATAGAAACTTCCACAGACTGATGTTGGGATTGTGGGCCCAAATCTTCCAACAGATCACCGGTATCAATTTGATCACATACTATGCGGGTACTATTTTTGAGAACTACATTGGAATGAACGCCTTCAACTCCCGTGTGCTTGCTGCCTGTAACGGTACCGAATACTTCATTGCCTCTTGGATTCCATTCTATGTGATTGAGAGATTCGGAAGACGGAAATTGATGTTGTTTGGAGCTGCCGGTCAAGCACTTACCATGGCTATGCTTACAGTGACGACACACGAGTCACAGTACCGCGATAACAGTCACGCAGCTATCGGTGCTGCTGTCTTGTTGTTTATTTTCAACTCCTTCTTCGCTGTTGGATGGCTGGGTATGACCTGGTTGTACCCAGCAGAGATTACTCCATTGAGTATCAGAGCTCCAGCAAACGCTATCTCCACTGCTGGTAACTGGTCTTTCAACTTCATGGTGGTCATGATCACTCCAGTGGCATTCAAGAACATCACTGTTTACACCTACACCATCTTTGCAGTCATTAATGCTCTGATGGTCCCTGCAGTGTACTTCTTCTTCCCAGAAACTGCTGGCAGATCTTTAGAAGACATGGACGCAATTTTCGCCCAATCTAATCCATGGAGACCTTGGGAAGTCGTGGGCATTGCCAACAGACATCCTAGATCCGACCTGGGATTCGTTTCTAGCGAAAGCAAGTTGGAACAGGGCAAAGCCGAGTTTGGCACTGTTGAAAACGCTTCCGAGTCGATTTAATGATTAGCTACGTGTATTGAGAACATGATTTTAAATTCGTATTTTTAGTCGCCTTTACTCCAAAATTTCATTAGATCAGTCATACGCCACTGAGTGGACCATCCAGTGGATGATTCCACAGTTCGTAGGGCGTTGAGCAGTATTCCATACTCCTGCCTGGAAGTTAAAATAAGGCCGGCAACAAAAAGCGGTTGAATCGAATTACAGTGCGCTCCGTAATCCGAGTTTGTGATGGCAATCCCTATGATCCTTTTGGCGTGGTGCAGTAGAGACACGCTTGGGTACAAGCTGGAATCTGCTGAAGAAAGTGCAGATAGTCGTAGTGAATGTGGTTTGTTTTGCAGCATCAAAATACAGGACATGTGGTACATCTGATTGGAGGAGATGGCCTGGGTGTTTGCGAAAAATATCCGAGGAAATGACACCTTGGCATCGTAGACTTCGTAAGTACGGCCAAAGAGCTCTTCGTAAGCGGCTTCCCACCGCTTCAGGCGAACCCACAAGTCCAACCATTTGGACTTGAATTGGTCGGCCTCTTGTTCGCCGTAGATCAAGTTGACGACAAGGGAGGACAGATAAACAATGTAGTTTGCGTGCATTTCTGGCGTGTTGAAGGCCTGTTCAATCTCGTCAGCGGTCATGTACGGCAGAACCCAGTGCTCTGACGCAAGTAGTGTTGGTGACTCGTTGATGACAGAGTGGCAAACATCCATCCGAATAAACACCCAAAATGTTGCTCTGTCGATCTCATTGGTCGCGAGACCGGTTATGTTATAGCTTCTGAAGAGCAACACGCAGCCTTCCAAGTATTGCTTCCAGTTTGGCGGGTTTGAGTTCATCATCTCGAACACGCAGAGTATAACACACGTGATGATGATATAAATATCGTTAGAGGCATCGTTATAGGTTGGCACAAGGTGCTTAAGCGACTCATAATAAAGAGACTTTGTAAGTCCCTTTGGATAGTTGCTGATTTTGGAGTCGAGCCATTTGGATGTGAGTGCGAGAACAGCGTAGCGGAGTGCCTGTTTAGTTTGCATCTTTTGTGGAATTATCCGAGACATGGTCTTGTGAGTGTCAAACATGTCCAGACCAGCCCCGACGGTCTCCACGTAATGTCTGAGTAGCGAGATTTCCTGCTCAGGCTTCAGGTCCACTGGCTGGCTAAAGTCTTTAACAGAAAACTTCTCCACACTGACAAAGTATTCGGTCAACACTTCTTTGGGTGGATGGTTAATTTCTGGTGGCCTATCAAGTTTGGAGTTTGCTGTGAATGCATTAACGTACATGTACTCTCTCAAAATGTGCGAGAGATCCAAGCAGTTGTTTTCGTGCGATACTTGAAGATCTTGTGCGAACGGCTCCGTAGTGAAGAGGTCTGAATACAAGCCCATAAAAGAGCCGAAATCTGGCGGAGAAGGAGACTCGCCAGAATCGTTCGATCGAGACATCGGCGTCGGTTTATCGACCATTTTCAATTGTCCTGCTTCTGGTACAGCAGATGGAACATTTGTCTGCACTTGGTCACCACATTTACTACTTCCCGAAACGGTAGGCGTGAGCAACGAATCTAAAGGAGAGGCTTTTTTGGACCTGGACGACCCGTTCAGGCTTTTTTCGTCGTCGTTCAAGGACGAAGGTGGAGATAGTGGCCACTGGTTTTTTGATGACACCTCAGGTGACGTTGGCTCGAACACAGATTTGTTGGACACCGGCAACAGAACAGGAAATTCCGTACTTGGTTCGGACCTGGGGGCATTAGCACTTGGTGCTTTCTCCCCGCGTTTTTCACTCGTTCTCGAACGCAGGGACTTTCCCGACATGTTAATAAAGCTTGGCCATTTGCAATCCAGGCCACTAGAAGAGCAATGATCACACTTCGTCTCGCCATTGGCGTCGATATGTTTACCTTCGTCGCACTTCCGTCTTTTACGACGACATGTTAAACATCCTGTTCTCGCTCTCATCACCGCCGGTCTGGACCTCTGAGATTTCGATCGTGCAGCACTGTCGCCGACCCCGGACACTTTGTTGGTGGCGAGAGACATGGTTCCAGTTCCCAAAATGAATAATCTTGCAAGAGGAAATTTTGCCGTCCAACACAAAACACTAATTTTTTTTTGACTCCTCCCATCGTCCCTAAGGCAATCGTGGAGAAACCGTTTCCCCAGATTTTTGCAAATCCTTCCCAAAAAGGAAATTTTGCCTGACAGACCCTACCCCAACATCTTAGTAGTTTTGTGATCACTTTTATATCCACCGGTATAGTCCGTACTTGTAGCTTTTAATAATATGACCAACCCACTTGTTACTCATTCCGGGGACGAATCGCCCTTCGTGAACCCTCCAGGACCCCAGCTGCCTCCTAAGGCCCCAGACCTGTTCTCTCTCAAGGGAAAGGTTTGCGTGATTACCGGAGCAGGCAGAGGAATCGGATACACGGTTGCTGAAGGGTTTGCACAAGCGGGCGCAAACGTGGCCTTTTGGGACCTCGCGGCACCCGTCAAGGCGGCAGCCAAGGTGGCAGAAGAGAACGGTGTCGAAACCAAAGCTTACGGATGCGACGTTTCTGATGCCGACAAGGTCGATGAGACAATTCTACAGATCGTCAAGGACTTTGGCACTATTGACGTGTTTGTTGCAAATGCAGGAGTCAACCTCCTTTCCGGGTCGATCATTAATGAGATGAACAGAGACGGTCTGAAATGGAAGAGAATCATGGACATCAATCTGAACGGACTGTTTTACTGCGCTAGGGGCGTTGGAAGAGTGTTTGAACAAAGAGGCAAAGGATCCTTGATCTTTACTGGCTCTATGTCAGGACACATTGTCAACACTCCAATTAACCATTCCGCTTACAACACCAGTAAAGCAGCAGTCATACACTTGGCCAAGTGCCTGGCTGTGGAGTTCAAAGAGTTTGCAAGAGTTAATTCTGTGTCCCCAGGATACATCGACTCTGGTATCAACGACTACGTGGACCCTGCAATCCGCAAGCGCTGGCTTGAAGAGATCCCATTGGCCAGAGAAGGCCAACTCAAAGAGATTGTCGGGGCTTACCTGTTTTTCGCCTCGGACGCCTCTACATATGCGACAGGATCCGATTTGGTTGTAGATGGAGGATATACGATTAGGTAATTGCAATACAGCTACTATGGCCCATACACGACGAGGAACTCCGAGGTGAAAAGTTTTCATCCCGCTCTGCATGGCAATGTTTATTGTCCCCACAAAAAGCCGGGGTCAGCGTGGATGCACAAATTAGGAAATTTAAACGAGCCTCCGTTTCCCCACACTCGCCTACGTATCCGTTCTGAATGCTCATCAGGACACATTGCACAATCTACTCCGGCGCGAGATCAGCGTCTCCCCGTGTATAAGTACCGATAGGATAGCCTTGTTGTTGGTTGTAACTTTACAATGACCAGACCAAACTATTTGCCTAACCCTTCTTTACAAACTAACGAGCACCACGATCTCGAAATGGTGGAGGCCAAAGTTGGCACTCCCGGCCCAGGCGAGGTTGTTTTGCACCTGAGAGCAACCGGTATCTGTGGTTCTGATGTGCATTACTGGAAACACGGTCAAATCGGAGAACTCAAGGTCAAGGGCCAATGTATTCTCGGTCACGAAGCTGCTGGAGAAGTTGTTGAACTTGGACCTGGTGTCACCGAGCTGGCAATTGGCGATCGAGTGGCTATCGAGCCACAAAACCCTTGTGGTGAATGTTTCCTGTGTTTGCAAGGAGACTACAACTTGTGTCAGGAGGTTGACTTTTTGTCTGTGTGGCCATGTCACGGAACCATGCAGAGATACAGAACTGCTAAGGTCAAGACTTTATTTAAGCTTCCTGACAACATGACTTACGAAGAAGGCGCTCTTTGCGAGCCTTTGAGTGTTGCTTACCACGGAATCGAGAACGCCCAACTGGAGCTTGGTAGAGGTGCCATGATCTGCGGTGCAGGTCCTATTGGATTGGCTACTCTTGTGCTTGCTAATGCAACAGGAGCTACTCCACTAGCCATTTCAGACTTGTCTGCTGAAAGACTGGCCTTCGCCAAGAAGATCGTTCCAAGAGTCAAGACCTACCAAATCGACCTGAAGAAGACTCCTAAAGAAAACGCTGCCGAAATCCGTAAGCTGTTTGGTCCAAAAGAGGTGGATGCTCCTCCAAAGGTTCTGGAGTGTACCGGTGTTGAGACCAGTATCGTCACCGGTGCTCACGTTGTCAGAAGAAGCGGAACTTTGATGGTGATCGGTGTTGGAAGAGAAATCATCAACAACTTCCCATTCATGCATTTATCCTTCGGTGAAGTGGACGTCAAGTTCATCAACAGATACCACCAATCTTGGCCGGCCGTTATCAGACTGATCAGCGACGGAATTGTCGACGTGAAGAGTTTTGTCACCCACAGATTCCCTCTTGAGAAGGCCGCCGAGGCCATCACATTGTCGAGCGACCCTAAGAACGGTAGTATCAAGGTGATTATCGAGGACAAACTATGATTTTATACATCAATCGCCTTGCGTCGGCTGCCATCTACAGAATCTTCAAGATTGTTTTAATACCAACATTATCTAATCCCTGTATCTTATTGTTGATCTCGAGCCGCACGCATAGATAAAGCAGTCTTGGACGCAGAAAAAAGTAGCACACTCCGCACCAGATCGGTGTTGTTCATCCGACATTTGTAATCGTGTCTCTAGATAAGGCTGTTGCTGATAGCTGGAGCAAGCTGGGGTCAGCTGATTGCACAGGTATAAATACACGGGTCCTCAAGACCAGGAAGCATCAATGACCGACACCAAGGAAAAGGAAACTGTTGAGCTTTTGCAAGTGAACGAGGATCTCAACTCTTTGGAGGAGAATCAGAGTCCTTTAGATCACAGAGATGAGGTGCGTGTGGTCAACCATCAATTGGAAAGACGCATCTGTCGCAAATTTGACTTTACCATCCTTCCCTTGGCTGCGCTGATGTATCTGTTCAACTCATTGGACAAGTCTAACATCTCCAACGCAAAAACAGACGGCATTGAGACAGATTTGGGGATCCATGGCAGCCAGTGGAATAACATGTTGAGTATCTTTGTCGTTCCATATGTGCTGTTTGGGCCGCCTGTTTCGTATTTGATTAAGCGTTTCAATCCTGCCAACGTGATTCCTCTCACTATGTTTGTTTTTGGTAGCATCACGTTGCTGCTAACGTCTGCGTTCAACTACGGCTCGCTGCTAGCCGGCCGCTGTTTTATTGGAGTGTGTGAGTCTGCGTTCTTCCCGGGTATTCTCTACTACCTCACCATGTTCTACAGAAGAGATGAGCTGGCAAGACGGCTGTCGATTTTCTACGGTGCGTTCAACATTGCCTCGGCGTTTTCCGGTTTATTGTCTTTTGGTGTGTTCCAGATCAAAGACACCAAAGTGAAAGGCTGGCAGTACCTGTTTATCATCGAGGGAGGTCTCACTGTGCTATTTTCCGTTATCGGATTCATCTTTCTTCCCAGAAGTGTTGAAACTGCCAAATTCCTCACCGAAGAGGAAAGAGAGTGTGCTATCTGGAGAATCAAGACAGACTCCAGCTCGACAGAAAAGCTCACTTTCAAGGAAGCCATGTCCATCTTCAAACACCCGGTGTATTTGTTATGGTTGCTTCAGGAATTCTGCATTGGAGTGCCGTTGAACTCGTACAACAACTGGTTCCCACAGATTGTTGCTGGCTTTGGTAAGAGCACCGTCATGACCAACCTGTACACTGTTGCTCCAAGTGTCTGGGGTGCAACAGCGCTCATCATCATGTGCTTCTGCTCGGATTACTTGAAAATCAGATGCGCGTTTGCCCTAACTGCTGTGACTTCCACTCTGATTGGGTTCGTTGTTCTTGGATGTATCGACACCCAAACGAACCTTGGTCCGGCATATTTTGCTTGCTTCCTGATGACTACCGGTGTTGCTGCGTCGTCAGTGCTGACGTCCACGTGGTATGCCAACAACACGCCAAACGAGTCGCGTCGTATCGCCATAGCGTCAATTGGAATCCCAATAGGAAACGCCGGAGGTGTGGTTGCCACCAACATCTTCAGACCAAACGACGCTCCCAAGTACACCCTGGCTTTGGGAATCAGTGCTGGCTTTGGAGGACTAGCTGCGCTCATCATTTGCACCATCACTCTGTTTATGGTTTTCGACAACAGAAAACGCAACCGGCTACAAGGAGTCAAGATGACCTATAGAGATGTTCCAACGTACATGCTGGCCGAGGGCCCGAACAACCCTAGCTTTAGATGGATGTATTGATTAGCTACCGGTGCACGGATGCGATGCATTTTCCGAGTATTTTTCTCACCCTGTAGAAAAATTGTGGCACCCCCTCTGCGGACAAGTTGCGGAAACTGGGTGCCGTTTTCAGTGTGGCTTTACCGAAACAAACAAGGTTTTTTTGTTCTCGGCTGGCAGATTAGAAGCAGGCACGACTTTTCGTAGGTCTGTCAAACTATATAAGATGAATTCAGTCCGAGCAATGAGGACAGAGAAATGTCAGAGAAGTCGGAAACCAAAGCAAACGAATCGGTGAGATCGAACTCTGTTTCGAAAGTCGAGACCAAGTCTGGCTGGAAAAACTGGTTTGCTTCCACCAACGATCACCGCGAGATCGATAAGAAGCTTGCAGATGTGACTCTCGACCTGATCGACCAAAACGGGGGTAAGGTTGCAGAGCTGACTCCTGAAAAAGAGAAGAAGCTGAAGTGGAAACTGTGGTTGACGATTTTGCCGTTGGTCTTCGTGGTGAACGCTACTTTGTTCATTGATAAAAACGCTATTAGCTACTCCTCCCTGACTGGAGTTTTTAAAGATATGAAACTCACTAAAGAGGACTACAACAACACGCAGACATTTTTCTATGTTGGCTACCTAGTTGGACAGTTCCCATCGCATTACCTGTTCCAAAAGTTCCCGATATCCAAATATTTGACCGCAGCTACTGCGTCCTGGACTTTGCTATCTTTCTGCACCCTTGCTTCCAAAAGCTACGGCGGATTGTCAGCATTGAGATTCTTTTTGGGTTTTGCAGAATCCGGAATCACTCCCTGTCTTGAGCACACGATTACTATGTTTTTCACCATTGAAGAGCAAGCCATTGTCAATCCAATTTTCTGGATCTCGTGTCTGGGAGTTGACGTTCCTACGGGATTTATTGCCTATGGGTTGCAATACACCTCTAGATGGAGACCTTGGAAATGGTACTGGACGTTCGTCGGTATCATCTCGGCGATCGTGTCTACTGTGTGCTTCTTGATCTATCCAGACAACCCTGCTTCGTCCAAGCTTTTCTCGGTGGAGGAAAGAGTTCATATTATTGAGCGGGTGAAGAAGTCGTCTAGATCATCTATTGAGCAAAAAGTGTTCAAGAAGTACCAGTTCTTCGAGACATTGAAAGACCCTGTTAGTTGGTTGTTCTCTTTGGCCATCTTTTTTAACATGTTGGAAAATTCGACCTCGTACCAGTCATCCATCATCTATACCTCTCTGGGATTCAACAATTTCACCACCACTCTACTGATGGTGATTCAAAAGGGGTTTGCAACCGTTTGTGCAATTGCAGGCTCTTTACTGCTCTGGAAGTTTAAGAAACAGTCGACCTTGGTTGCCATAGTGTTTACGTCAATTTCCTGGTTAGGCGCATTGCTGGCAATGTGCTTCCCATACTCAAACAAGATTGGCATCTTGGCTGGAGTGTTCCTCACAAACGCTGATGGAACAGCCTACATTATCATCTTCTCACTATGCACAACCACGGCTGCTGGCTACACCAAAAAGCTCACGAGAACAATGATGTTTATGTTTGCCTATTCCATTGCTAACTTTATTTCTCCACAGCTATGGCAGCCACAGTACGCCCCAAGATACTATGTGTCGTGGGCCATTATGCTTGCGCTCTCCTATACATCATGCCCAGTGTGTCTGCTCATTATTAGATTCATTTTGATCAGACGCAACAAGGCAAGACTTCAAGCTTTAGCGGAAGAGGAGGACGACGACAGTGAGTATGGATATATTGACGTGACAGACGAGAACGGAGAGTTGGTTCGCCAAAAGGTCGACGCCTCCATGTTGGACCTCACAGACTTTGAGAATAAGAGATTTATTTACCCATTATAATCGAATGATATACTACTATCTGACCCATGGCTCGTACTCAGGCTTGTTTTTCTGATCCCACATGCTCACAAGTAGCTTGCGATCTCCTTTCCAAGGATCTCTACCGTGACTGACCTGGTAATTATCGACAATAGCAATATCTCCTTCTTTCCACTGATGATGGTAAGCAAGATCGATGGACTGTTGAAGCACCTCATCAAGATATTCAGTAGGAATAGGCTGAAGGTCATCATAGCTCAAGGCAGATGTCTTTTTCGAATCAGGAGGACTGTATTTCACATCAGCATAATAGGTGGCTATGCTATTGAAAAAAGCAGGATACGACTCAGAATCAGACACTTTGTACTTGCGGATTGGTCTGGAGTGTTGTCCGACAATCAAGTTGTTGTTGTCGTCCCATTCGAAATCCTCGCTCACAAACTCGCGAACCAGCTTTGCTGCTTTCTCTTGCCGTGTCTTTAGATCTTCTTCCGGACGGAGGTCTCTACCGAAGCAAAAGAAATCGTGCCATGCAGTATGGTTCGGCGACACATTGGCCCAAGTCTGACGCATGTAAAGACCCCTGTCCGCTAGCTCAGTAAGGAACTTGGGGTATTTCTGATCAATCTTTTCGAAAAACTCTCCACCATGGACTATTGGCGTTGTTCCACCCTCGGCGTCGTACCTGGTACAAACAAAGAAGAGAGTTGTTGGATACTTGTTAAACCGCGAGAACTCGTTGTGTTGATGGATAGTGTTTTCACTTGGGCCCTCGTTCGCCGTGGAAAGTACGTCTGTGATGATTGTTCGTTTGGCAGTAACTCCGGTCTGGACAAACTGCTCTTCGCCGCTACTTTCGCCAATTGCCCTCACATACTCCGATAGAATCTCAGGGTCTGTTGTTCCTGTGTTGCGTAGAACAATCGCTCCGTGTTTCTTCAACTCTTCACGGAAGAATCCTGTCGATCCCAGCTCGTTCAAATACGCAATCACCTCTGCCGAACTGTGGCGTCCATCGTCGTTCTTGACATCGTACGCTGCTGGAAACTCTTCGCCCCTAAAGACATGAGCTTCTGGCAAGTTGATTCTCTCCAGCTTAAGAACAGTCATGTTACTTTTGGTTCTAGATCATATCTCTAAATATATATGCATCTCTTATCCATTGCGGAGCAGAATTTCCGGATTAAGCTACCACGAAATTTTATAGTGGCCATCTGTAGCTGGAGTAAACTCAACAGAACTCAGTGAGTGTGGATGTGTCGGATCCCGAATGGCAGCAATAGGTTTCTTTTTCGACTCAAACCGGAACAAGGTGGAGTACTCGTATTGCTTTCCCGACACGAGCCCTTCCACGAATCTGCCAATCACAGGCAGAAACTTGAATCCATGGAAGCCACCGCCAGAGGAGACAATGACGTTTTTGTACCCCGGGATGTAATCTATGAGAAACTCGTTTTCTGCACCCACAGCAGAGTAGCAGATCTTCCAGTTCTCGATATGCAGGCCGGCTGCAACCAGGTCAGGACACCACTCACTGAAGAATTTCTGGTAAGTGTTGAGTGACCGGGTTGGCAAGGCATCCAAAGGAGTTTGTGGCACACTGAGCGGTGCTGCCGAGTCTGACGTATTGAAATTCCGCCAGAAATGGTCGTTGGCTCCAACTTTAAAGATACCGTCTCTGGTAGCAGGAAAGGCGTAAATTGCGTCTTCCCTGAAATTGCTTTCGTACGTCATCCGCCAGTTGATTTGGGGCAGATCCTGGTACTTGGCAATAAGATCAAGACGATCCTTTGGAATCTGAACGGTCACGTATGTGGAGGCCTGGCATTCTAGGTACGGAGACAGTTCCTTTGGATAAAACGATGGTGTCCAACCACCGGCAGCAAGGACAACGAGGTCGGCCTCGTGGATCACTCCGTCTTTTGTTTCCACTCCAACTGCCTTGTCGCCGTCGTACAGGATCTTTTGAACAGCTCCTTTTTCGGAACCATTGATAAAAACTGCGTTACCGGTTTGTTCGGTGAGATATCTCACCCAAAGCAGCGCTTTGTCCGCTAGAACAACACCTGCCAGCGAGTCCAGAACTCCATTGAATATGTCAGACTTGTTACGCTGCCCCAATGGGTCCAGTTTCTTGAACCATCCCGTCACCTTTGCTCTCTTAATGTCTTCCGGGTCGTTAACACCGTACTCAAACGCCCGAAGACCGTACTTGGCAAAATTCGCTAGAGTCTTCTTCTCCTCGTCATGCTCGATGTTGTCCAAACGGGCATATCCTGTATTAGCAAAAACCGGTTCGTCGTTTTTAAGGCCTTTTGGCAGATCTTTTGCAGACTGCAATTGCTGGTTCCACTCGTTGTAGATCCCGAGACTCTCGAGCGCAAGGTTCTGGTAGTGCACCTTGTCCACATAAGAAGCCCTCACCAGTTTGTTAAGATCTGTAGACGCTGCATCTGCTCCTTTCAGCGGACTATACTGATTAGAGTCGTACTCTCCTCGATCCAGCACTGTAATATTTTCATACCCTTTGGTAGCCAAATGGTATGCTGCAGATAGCCCAAACACACCCGATCCAATAATCACAATTCTAGACTGTTTACTCATGACCAATTGTCTTGCAACCAGGAGACTATATAATACGACAGTGATCTAAATGCGGAAGTGAAAAATCGCACAAATTACTGCAGGTCGATAACCAAACACGTCCAGTCGCTACACTGACCGCCAGTCAGACAATATCGGACGAGCCACGAGTCGATCCTTAAAGCCACCGCAGCTACGGTCCCCCGATCGCGAGCACCAGCGCGGATCCGTCGTCCCTGCTACCCGCACCCATAGGGACTGTGGCTCTAGCTTTGCGGATCTGGCCTTCCTATTTGGGAACGCTTTAAAAAACCGGTGTGGCACTATAATGTCTGTCGAGCTAAATCAGGGGAACCTCCCCGGAGCCGTGCATGTTTAGTTCTCAGCATATTCATCATACGTTTTATTGCATGCGCAAGAAATTTGGCAATAGGTTCCCTCGCTAACTGTGGCAGGAGTGTGGTCAAGAGGATGAAAATTTTGAAGATTCTGTAGCTTTGTTTGTGCTCCATGTCTTCGAAGCTGATCCCAGGAGTGCAGCAGTTTCGAGTCCCCGACTTCCAGAAACCTCGCGTCAAGGCATGTTTGTCTTGTCGGGAGAAAAAACGCAAGTGCAACAAAGAGTCTCCGGTGTGTTCGTATTGTCGTCGGCGCAACACCAACTGCTCCTATAGCCAGGCAGGTCACTCAAAGACGGCCAGTCTGGCCGAAACAAAACCAGAAAATACTCCACCCAAGTCCAGCTGTTCCCAATCGTCAATAGTGCCAAAGGCTTTTTGGCCGTCAAAACAAAACACAGACAATGGACCGGACACATTCAAAAACATAACTCCCAGCATGAGATACGGCCCGGTGTACACCAACATCTTCAGTTCGTCATTATTCCAAAACGGTGCATCTGGGTCCGAGGACCTGAAAGTCTTGAAATCGTACGTCCCAGACAGAAAGAAGGCAGACACGCTGCTGGATCGGTACACCAGCTCCATTCACCCAATTGTACCCGTTTTTGATCTTCGTGAGTTTTATCCGCTGTACGAGACCTTCTGGGACAACGAGTCTGTTGCAAATATAGAGTTCTACATTGTTCTTTTCACCGTGTTTTACGCTGCCTCTGTTTCGGAGTACGAGGAAATGTCCATTGACGAGCACTTTTCTCTAGTTGCAGACGAGTTAGGACTGCAGATGAAATACTACGTGGGGGCAACGGAAATTGCGCTCGCAATGCACGAATTCCCCACCCAGGTCGCGCTTGTTGATTTGCAGTCTACGTTCATCCTCCACTATGTTCTCCGCTCAGACTGTCGCACCGACGATTGCGGGTCTACAGGGTTTTTGGTCAGGCTGGCCCAGTCCATCGAGCTTCATCGAGATCCCTGGAAGTACCACCAATTCACCGATAATCGGAAAATCCAGCTACGTCGGCTCTTGTGGTGGCATATCTACTATCTCGATTGTACAACTGCCTTGTCCACCAAGATCTCGCCAATCATTGTTGAAGGAGAGTACGATACGCTGTACCCAAACGAGTACACCAAAACTGCTTCTGGCGAATATCGTCTCGATCGTTACATCGCGTTTGCAAACCGACGTTTCAGCTGGGCCGAGCTGTGCAACAGGATATTGCGATTGTCCTCGCGTCTTGCAGCGCCTGCAGACCAGGAACTTTATTCTATCCAAAAAGGTATCGATAACCTAGCCATACAATGCAACGCTTCCGTACAAAGAATCTCGGAAGCCAACACGAACATGGCCCACGATTCATTTGTGCTGTTCAGCACTTCAATCATTCCAACGCTGGCCGATAGATGTCATATCCTCGTGTACCTTGCTTTCCAGATGTCTTCGCCTAAAGAAATTTCTTCGGTTGCAGACATTCAAGTCTCCTCGATCGACCCGGATTTTGAGGAGAGCCAGGTCCGTCTTCTTCAGGAGTTTCTTCAGTACGGTTCTATGCCCAAGAACAAGAAGTTCCTATGGGAGATCCGAAAATACCAGCCTATCCAGTCAATTTTGACGCTCCTGAGAAGTTTGGTAGCAGACGTGGTTGGCTTCCAGGACCACTTTGACAGTTACGACTCGCTCAAGGCTTTGGAGTCCAGCCTTAAGGCTGAAGTCATTTCCAACGCTGTGGAAAACCTTTCGTATCTTGCCAACCATACAACGCCGCTTTGCAGACAACGATGGAATCTGGTCAAGGACTTGAAGGCTACCACATGGCAGCAGCTGTTTACGCCCAAAACCCCAGAAATTTTTGATGACAACAAAGCTGTCACCGGCAGCACTTGTTCGAACTCGAGCGACGAGTCGTTCCCGCTTACTGAAGAGTCTTGGGTGGAAATGCTTTCGGAACTGGGCAAAGTCCATCGCAAGATCGATGAAAATATCAGCATTAAAATTTGGGACAACGACGCTGGACATTACATTCTATAACGCTTATTTAAGATCATACTCGCCTTCCACGTCTTTGAAGTTCAGTCTCTTGACCTTGTAGAACATTTCTGGTGTGGACTTGGATGTTCCAGCTCCAGGGAACAGTTCTGGACACAGCGTAATGTAGTCTGGGAATCTCCACTGTCTGCCAGACCAGTTGGCCTCCACAGGAAGCTCGTTCTTCATTGCTTCGGAAACAAGCTCGCATTCCTTCCATGCTCTCAGCATGTTCAAGCCCATAAATTTCTTGATATCGTCTTCCGAAGCACCAGACTTTTCCCACACCTTGACAACCAAATCCGGGTACTTGGAGACGTCTTCGAGTCCTTTTGGACCTGTCGAGCCCATTCCATCAAAATCGGAACCAATCCCAATGTGATCCCATCCAATCAGATTGACAATGTGCAAAACATGCTCAACACAATCATCAATGGTGGCTTCTTCAACGCCTTCCCTTGCGATGAAGGAAGGAACAAAGTTGACACAAACAACACCCCCGTTCTTCTTGACCATCTGCAACACATCGTCCCTAACATTTCTCTCGTGGTTAGTGATGGTGTACGCCGAGCTGTGTGAAAAAATGACCGGAGCTTTGGCGATCTTCAGCACATCAACCATGGTTTTGTACGAAACATGACTCAGATCCACCATCATTCCAATTCTGTTGAACTCCTTGATGCATTGGTGGCCCAGCTCTGTCAGTCCCTTATCCTCCTTACCGGCAATAATGGTAGTGCATGCCGTAGCAAAAGGATTGTCGCAGTTGTGAGTCAGTGTAATGTACCGGACACCAAGATCAAAGTACTGTCTCACAACGGCCAGAGAAGTATCAACTTGGTGTAAGCCCTCAACTCCCATAGTGACAGAAATCTTGTTATTATCTGATTCGATGTAGTTTCTCAACGCGTCGTCCGCAGAAGTGACAAATTTCATACTCTTTGAGTACTTATCCACCAATCTCTTGATAATGTCAACTTGTTCAAGAGTGTCTCTCACAATACTACTGGGAACTTCAAACTCGCTGTATAGCTCATCTGGATTCTGACATTCCATCCAGCAACTGAAGAACTGAACACCAACACCACCTTGTTTCAGTCGTTGAAGATCCGTCTGCGAACCCAGTGGCTCGTCAAACTTAAACTTGTCCTCGTTAATCTCATAATGAAGCTGCCATCTCAACTGATAAGGCAAGTCATTGTGTGTGTCAATGACTGGAGTGGTCTTCAGGAGTCGTTTGAAGTCCTCGTGTAAATCGGCAGCAGGCATTGATTACAAACTTTTTTATCTACATTTTTTTATCAGCTTCTGCGCGAGACATCTCGGGCGTACTTCTTTCTGATTGGCTTCAGGTACAAACTACTTCAAAGTTAGGGGTGTACAAAACATGAAGACCTTGTATACAAACACTGTTTCCTAATTGCGTTACTCATGGAGGATTGGTAATTTTCACGGAACTGGGGCGTTTTTCTCGCGCTAATTGAATTCTTAATAATGTATCGCGAAGGCCGAACAGGTACTTAAAACTTGATTTTCATGATTTTTGGTAGCAAGAATTTTGGACATGGTTACTTACCTCGTTATTGGCGCCTCTCAAGGCATTGGTCTGGCACTTGCAGATGCACTCAGCAAGAACCGTGAAGACAAGGTGATTGCAACCCAAAGAAAGGAGTCGACGGAGTTGAGAAAGCTCACAGAGCGGAAAAACGTGGTGATTCTGAATTTGGACGTTGCAGACCAGAAATCGATCGCCGAGTTTGGAGAGAAACTTAAGGCGACCGTTGATTCAATCGACATTGCGATCTTCAATTCCGCCGTTGCAAAGGCTACTACTCCGTTGCTGGAGACCACTGCCGAATCGTGGACAGAGCATTTTGTTACCAATTCCTTGGGTCCAGTCCTAGTGTACCCGCAAGTTCACCCATTGTTGCTCAAGTCTGACATCAGAAAAGTGTTCTTCATGTCCAGTACTGCTGGCTCAATCCAGGAACAGGTGCCATACCCAGTTGATGCTTACGGTGCCTCCAAAGCTCATCTGAACTATTCTGTCCGAAAATTGAGCCAGGAGCTGGCAGGTGAGCACTTTACAATTGTCCTATTGCATCCAGGAACTGTATCAACCAACGCCTTCAATGCGGTCGTCAGCATATTGGCCGGCGGAGACACTGAATTGGAAGAAGGAGCCAGAAATATGGCTATCACTCCGGAAACCTGCGCCCAGCAGATTCTGGCTGCGATCAAGGCTCTTGAAGAGAAAGATAACGGTAGATTCGTTCAAATTAGTGATCTGGAGAACGTTTCTTTCTGAAACCTCTTCACAATGGTATGTCTTCATTTTTTTACGTAATCAGTGAATAAAGGTATTTCAAACTACTCGACTGGCTTGATGACCATTAAAGCCAGGATCGACCGGGTGACTTCTCCTGCGATAATCGAAGTGATCTCATTTGTGGAGTCACCCCAAGGAGAAACCTCAGTGACGTCTGCTCCCACGACTGTGATTCCAGCCAAACCGTCAATAATTTGGAGCAACTCTCTAGAAGTCCATCCGCCAGGCTCAATTGCACCGGTAGATGGTGCAGAAGCAGGATCCAACACATCGATATCAAAACTGATGTAAACAGGAGAATCTCCGAGGGTTTTCTTGATTTTGTGAATGATACCGTGGATTCCAATGGAATCAATGTCTCTAGCCATGATCTTGGAAAACCCAGATTCGGTGTAATCTCTTTCTGGGTCGCCAATGTCTTCGTACCAACCTCTCAGTCCAGCATGGATATTGTTGGTGTTGGTCCATCCCTTCTTGTGAGCCCAGTTCAGGTATGTGCCGTGATTCAAAGCAGCGTATTCAGTCACGTTCGGGTTCATGTGGTACGGGTTGACGGTGTCCAAGTGAGAGTCAAAATGGAGCACACTCACCTTACCATACTTTTCGTAAGCAGCACGAATTCCTGAATAGGTAATGGTGTGGTCACCTCCCAAGGCAACAAACCTTGGGTGTTTTCCAGGGTTCTCCTTAGTGGTCGTGTGGTTCAACAGAACTCTTTCGGATCTGTACAGCTGGTCCAAAGCAATTCTGTTGTCCAATGGGGTCATTGGCACGTTTCCACAGTCAACAATCTTGGCCCAGTTGTTCCAGACACTGAATCCCTTTCTGTAAGGTGAAAATCCTCCAGAAAATCTTCTGGTTCCCTGTCTGATAGAATCCGGACCAAATCTAGCACCCGGCTTGTAGGAAATACCGGTGTCAAACGGAGCTCCAATGACGGCAATGTCGAATTCCAGCTCGTCAAGCATGTTTCCATCGAAACAATGCATCTCCATTGGAAGGTGTCCAAAAGATAGCCAACCGGCCTGGGTAATGCCATTATATCTATCAGTTTTTCCAGGGTAGAGGTCGGAGGTATCGTCAGGGTCCTTGTAGGTGATATCCTGCGAGGCAATCTGGGCCAAGTCGTCTGGGAGCTGAATATCAGCAGCAAACATCAGAGCATTGTTTTCTTGGTCCACTTTATAGTAGTCCTCGAGGAACTTAATTTTAGTGTCCTCGTACTTCTTAGAGGCAGAAGCCAACATTTGCTCTTCCAAGGAAAACATCTGTTGGTCGGGTCTCAATTGGAAACCCAAAGCCAACTGGCCGAACACCAGAGAGAAAAGAAGCTGTTTTGTGAGCATTGAAAAAGTCCCGGCGGAAAAAGTAGTACTAGTTTCTCATCTTATATCTTGACCTTGTTATCTTATCTGGCACGGGACTTCCCAAAATGGAAATATACTTGTTAATTTGGGAATAGCCGCTAGCATTTCGGAAATAATTTCCTGCTGATCTAACTGCTTACCATATACTCGTCCACGTATGGGGTCGCTGTGGCTAGTTCCTAGATTATTCTCCCGATATCAAATAACAATAGAGATTATTATGTGAGTGACGCGGCCAAGATTTATGCGGCCCTGCGTGGAAACGGCACCGAAATAGAAGACATATAAATCATCTGTTTCCAATTCTAAAGAGGTGTATGAACGTTGAAGCAGCCAACGAAAAAGAACTTCTTTTACAGAAGCGTTCTCTCACCTTCCTATACGGAAAGAATGTTCCACCGCTTCCTCTGGAGGAGGAACGAAAGGTGTTTCCCCACAGACACACCAATATCATCTCCCGGGCCCTTTTTTACTACCTGAACCCAATGTTGCGTGTGGGCTACAAACGGACTCTCCAGCCACAGGATATGTATGTGCTGGACGAAAGAGACTCTGTGGATGCAATGTACGACAAGTTTCGCAACTATCTGGACGTCGAGTTGGACAAGGCCAGAGCGAAGCACATTCAGAAGAAACGGGAGGCGCGTGCAGAGTTGGGCAATACGTCAACTGTGGACGAAGATACAGATCTCGAAGATTTTGAGTTGCCCTACATTGTGATTGTCAAGGGTCTGTTCCATCTGTTTGGTTGGCAGTATATGTGGGGTTCCCTGCTGAAAGTGTTCACCGATCTTTTCTACACCTTGATGCCATTGGTTCAAAAAAGATTAGTGAACTTTGTTGAGGAGTCTGCGTACGGGTTCCATCCGACACTCGGCAAAGGTGTCGGCTACTCTATTGGAGTGGGGCTGATGGTTTATTTTGCAGGACTCTGCGTTAACCATTTTGTCTACAACAGTATTACAGTTGGTGCAAAATGCAAGGCCGTTTTAACAAAATTGCTACTTGAAAAGAGCTTCCGACTGGACGCCCGTGGAAAGCACAAGTTCCCGGTGGGGAAGATCAACTCTATCATGGGCACCGACCTTACCAGGGTGGACCTCGCAATTGGCTTCTTCCCGATCATTTTTGAGTTCCCATTCTCCATCATTCTGTGCATTATACTGCTTCTTGTCAACATTGGTGTCTCTGCTCTTGCTGGAATTTCGCTTTTTGTGGTGATACTTTTATTCACAAGCTATGTTGTTCGTGTACTCTACAAGATGAGAGTCAGAGCCAACGTTTACACGGATCAACGAGTCAACCTGGTGAAGGAATTGCTTAAAAATTTCAAGATGGTCAAAATGTATGGCTGGGAAAACTCGTATTTCAAACAGTTTGTGGACACCAGACAGAAAGAGATGACCATCGTCTTGCGCATGCAACACATCAGAAACTTTTTGGACGCGCTGTCCTTCTGGCTCCCAATTATCACGTCAATGGTTTCCTTTTTGGTCCTCTACCACCTCCGTAACAACAGGACTGTTGGAGATATCTTTTCGTCGTTGACTCTTTTTCAGGAGCTAACCGGCCAGTTTGCCATGGTTACTCCTTCATTGTCGATGGCGACCGACATGGTTGTCGGGTTCAAAAGAGTCGCGCAGCTGATTTCATGTCCGGATGCACCAGCCCTGGAAGAATTCCATGATCTTTTGGATGATGAGAAGCTTGCTTTGAAGCTCGCGCATGCCTCCTTTAAATGGCACACTTTTGAAGAAAGTGCAACTACAGAGGTTGTAATTGTGCCAGAAAGTAAGACTTCTTCTTCGAAGGATGCCTCTCGCACAGAATTCCCTGGTCTTCATGACCTGACGTTGTCCATCAGCAGAGGAGAGTTCATTGTTGTCACTGGAGCGATTGGTTCAGGAAAATCGTCTCTTCTCAGTGCTATTTCTGGTTTCATGCCCAAAACAGGTGGATCGGTCGCAAAGAACGGAAGCCTTCTTCTCTGTGGGTACCCATGGGTCCAGAACGCTACCGTCAGAGAAAACATTTTGTTTGGCCAGCCGTTTGATCAGACAAAGTACGATGAGATTGTCAGAGTTTGCTCATTGGACACTGATTTCGAGCTGTTTTCTGCAGGAGACATGACAGAGGTTGGAGAGAGGGGAATCACACTGTCTGGTGGTCAGAAGGCCAGAATCAACCTTGCCAGAGCAGTGTACAGTGATAGAGATATTATTCTTCTTGACGATGTTCTGAGCGCTGTGGATGCAAAAGTTGGAAAGCATATTATGGAGCAGTGTATTCTTGGCTACCTCAAGGGTAAAACTAGAATTCTTGCAACTCACCAGCTCTCGCTTATCAATGCAGCAGATAAGGTTATTTTCCTAAACGGAAACGGCTCCATTGATTACGGGACTCTCCATGAAGTCAGAAGCAGGAACTCGGCATTCATCAGACTGATGGAATTCAGTCATGATCCTGAAGAGGAGCAAAGACCTGACGAGGCCGATGAGAAAAAGGAAGACGAGCTCAAAGCGGAAAAAGAGGAAGACGGAAAGCTCATGCGTGACGAAGAACGTGCCGTGAACAGCATTTCCAAAAACGTGTACAGCACGTACATTCTAAGTGGATCAGGAAAGTTGGGTTATCTGTTCCCTATTCTGATTCTCTTTGCATGCGCTGTGTCAACCTTCTCTGATCTCTTCACGAATAACTGGCTTTCTTTCTGGCAAGACAAGAAGTTTCGAAAACCTCCTGGATTCTACCAAGGAATATACATTTTGCTTGGATTCTCCACTCTTTTGCTATTGACTTTCTACTTTGCCCTGATTGTCCAATTCTGCAATAAGGCAGCTAATCAGTTCAATACCAGCGCTTTCCAAAATTTGCTTCACGCCCCTATGTCTTTTATCGACACTACCCCCATGGGGAGAGTGCTCAATAGGTTCACGAAAGACTCCGATGTGCTTGACAACGAGATCCAAAGTCAGTTCAGAATGTTTATCCAAGAATTTTCAGTCGTTGTGGGTACACTGATTTTGTGTATCATCTATCTGCCGTGGTTTGCAATTGCAATTCCAGTCATGATTGTGGCGTACTACTTGATTGCAAACTTCTATCTTGCCAGCTCCCGAGAAATCAAAAGGCTTGAGGCTGTCAAGAGATCTGAAGTGTATTCTCATTTCAACGAGGCTCTCTCTGGATTGGACACCATCAAAGCCCATTCGTCCTCAGAAAGATTCATGGAGACCAACTCTAGACTCATTGATCAAATGAATGAGAGCTACTTTACATTTGTTGCTGTTCAGAGATGGCTAGCCTGTAATTTGGACATCATGGTGAGTTTCATGTGCTTATTTATCTGTCTTCTGTGTTCGTTTAGAATTTTCCATATCAGAGGAGCCTATGCCGGTTTACTATTGACTTGTGTGTTCAACATTGTGGGAATGCTTTCTTACATGCTACGTGCCATGACCGAGATTGAAAACCAGATGAACTCTGTTGAAAGACTCAAGTTCTACGCAGTTGACCTGGAGCAAGAAGCTCCATTTGATATTCCGGAAAGGAACCCAAGTCCTTTGTGGCCTCAACGTGGAGCAATTTGTTTCAGCAATGTTACAATGAGCTACCGCGAGGGACTACCGCCCGCTGTTAGGAACCTGAGTCTTGATGTTGCTGGAGGAGAGAAGATTGGTGTGTGTGGCCGCACGGGAGCAGGCAAATCCAGTGTGATGTACTCTCTTTTCCGGCTCGCAGAGTTTGATGGACGAATAACCATTGACGATGTCGACATTTCCAAGATTGGTCTTCACAAACTGCGGACTAGTTTATCAATTATTCCTCAAGATCCGGTGCTTTTCAGTGGAAATATCCGTTCAAACCTCGATCCGTTCCAGGAACACTCAGACGACAATCTTTGGGATGCTCTGTCGAAAGCCGGCTTGGTAGAGACGGACGCCCTAGATCTGGTGAAACACCAAACAAAGAGCGATAGGAACTTGCACAAGTTCCATCTAGCAAGACTAGTGGAAGATGATGGATCCAACTTTTCTCTGGGAGAAAGGCAGCTTCTTGCTTTGGCTAGAGCTCTGGTCAGAGGATCCAAGATTTTGGTCCTAGATGAAGCAACCTCAAGTGTTGATTACGAGACCGATGCCAAAGTGCAGAAAACAATCACCAACGAGTTTGCAGATTGCACTGTTTTGTGCATAGCACACAGGCTGAAAACTATAGTCAAGTACGACAGAATCATGGTTCTTGACAAGGGAGAGATTGTGGAACTGGGTAAACCAATTGAGCTTTACCAACACGACGGCATTTTCCGCTCAATGTGCGAGAAGAGCGGAATCACCAGAGCAGACTTTGATATTTGAAATTCAAACCTACAATGTTCGATGCGGCGCAGATATTACATAATTCACTACATTAACGAAATTTATTTCTTGGTAATGCTTATCTGAAAGAGAAAATTTTTACGTGAGCCGAGGAAATTGGCATGGGAAGGCCGAAGCAGGAAAAGCGTAGCTATACCACTAAGTAGGTTTTAGTGAATGGGCTGTCGGAGTTTGGATTCCAGATCATATACAATCGCACCAAAACCATTAGACTGGCTTTATGTTCCCCTGATGACTCTGTTTGTAGAACGAGTTAGATGGGTTCTATCGTCGTCTCGGTACTTCACCCGGGTTTAAGAGTTCGGCCTAAAACAATAGAAGGCCATACGGGTGCGGCACTAGCTGAAAAAAAATGCGAGATAATAATAACTGGACCCCGAGCTTGTGCAGATATTTCGGGCTTCAACTAACGTATATAAGCGTGCGTCTTGCAACTGATCGGGTACCACCCGGCTACCTATTTATCAACCTTCTTTCATCCTGACTACCTCGTGATGGATATAGAAGCTAGAAATAAAGACCTAGTGTTGCAGAAACGCGCGTTCACGTTTCTGCTCAATAAGAAAGTTCCCCCACTGCCTGCTGAGGAGGAAAGAGTACTCTTCCCCCATAGACATACTAATCCCGTGTACAAATGTCTTTTCTGGTACCTTACGCCGCTCATGAAAGTCGGCTATAAACGTACGCTTCAGCCTGAGGATATGTATACGTTAGATGAAGATGAATCCATTGAAAATATGTATAGCAGGTTCAATGGGTTTTTGGAAATGGAGCTGGCTGCGGCCAAAGCCAATCACGTTGCCAAGAAATGCGCAGACCGCGGCGAAACTCCTGACTCCTCGAGCTTCGACCAGGAAGCAGACCTTGAGGACTTTGAAGTCCATTATTATTCCATTGCCAGAAGTTTGTTCCATGTGTTCGGGTGGCAGTACATGTGGGCAGCTCTGCTTAACATCACTTCTGACCTGACAATCGCGTTGGTTCCCTTACTTCAGAAGAAGCTTGTTAACTTTGTGGAGAAAAAGGCGTACGGATTTAGCCCAGACATTGGCAAAGGTGTGGGCTATGCTATTGGATGCTCGCTCATGACGTACTTCGCTGGTTTCACGATTAACCACTACGTTTACAACGGTGTGATGGTGGGATCGAAGGTTAAAGCCGTGCTAACCAAGCTGCTTCTTGAGAAGAGCTTCAAGCTCGACGCCAGAGGCAGACACGAATTCCCAGTAGGAAGAATCAACTCCATCATGGGAACCGATTTGACCAGGGTCGATCTTGCAATTGGATTCTTCCCAATCATATTTGAGTTCCCAATCTCGCTTGCTGTTGCTATTGTTCTGCTCATCATCAATATTGGAGTCTCTTCACTTGCAGGTCTTGCAGTGTTCTTTGCCTCCATTGCATTCACAACTTTCATGATCAGACTCCTTTACAAGATGAGAAAAAGTGTTAACGTGTTCACGGACAAAAGAGTAGATCTCGTTAAGGAGCTGCTTAAGAACTTCAAGATGGTCAAGATGTATGGCTGGGAAAACTCGTACTTCAAGCAGTTTGTTGACATCAGAAAGAAAGAGATGAGGATTATTATGCAAATGCAGTTTGCAAGGAACATTCTTGATGCAATTTCCATTTGGCTGCCAACTGTCACATCAATGGCTGCATTCGTTGTTTTGCACCATGTCGATCCTACCAGAAGTGTTGGTGACATCTTCTCTTCCTTGACTCTTTTCCAGGTGATTATCGGTCAGTTTTCCATGATCCCTACTACTTTGTCCATGTCTGCAGATATGATCATTGGCTTCAAGAGAATTGCCAAACTGATTTCCTGCCCGGACGCCCAAGATCTTGAATCTTTCCACGAACCTTTATCCGACGAAAAGCTCGCTCTGAGACTGAACCATGCCACTTTCAATTGGTATACATTTGAAGACATTGATGCTGGAGAGTATGTTTCCGATAACAAGAGCGAAAAATCGGTGCTTTCCTCCACTACTTTCCCTGGCCTCTTGGACTTGAACTTTTCGGTTGCAAAAGGAGAGTTCGTTGTTGTTACGGGATCAGTTGGATCCGGAAAGTCGTCGCTATTGAGCGCCATGTCTGGCTTTATGCCGCTCAAAGACGGGTCGGTTGCAAAAAATGGTAGCTTGATTTTGTGCGGTTACCCTTGGATGCAAAATGCAACGGTGAGAGAAAACATCACCTTCGGAGAGCCTTTTGATCGGGAAAAGTACGATACAGTTGTCAAAGTGTGTTCTTTGAGAGACGACTTTGCCCAGCTGCCTGCCAGCGATATGACGGAGGTTGGAGAGAGGGGAATCACACTGTCTGGTGGTCAGAAGGCCAGAATCAACCTTGCCAGAGCAGTGTACAGTGATAGAGATATTATTCTTCTTGACGATGTTCTTAGTGCTGTGGATGCAAAAGTTGGAAAGCATATTATGGAGCAGTGTATTCTTGGTTACCTCAAGAATAAAACTAGAATTCTTGCAACTCACCAGCTCTCGCTTATCAATGCAGCAGATAAGGTTATTTTCCTAAACGGGAACGGCACCATTGATTACGGGACTCTCAATGAAGTCAAAGGCAGAAACTCGGCATTTGTCAAGCTCATGACGTTTAGCCATGGTGTCGGTAAAGACGACAAACAGGACGAGACTAATGACGAAAAAAAGAAGGACGAGTTTGAGGATGACGAGGAAGATGGAAAGCTCATGCGGGAGGAAGAAAGAGCAATCAACGGTATCTCTTGGGATGTTTACAATAGCTACCTCTTGACGGGCTCCGGAAGTTTGGGATACCTTTATCCTGCATTGATTATCATCGTCGTTACTCTTTGTACTTTTGCAATGCTCTTCACCAACAATTGGCTGTCGTTTTGGGAAGATAAACGTTTCCACAAGCCTTCGAACTTTTACCAGGGAGTCTATGTGATGCTCTGTTTTGTCAGTTTGGGGCTTTTGACGCTTTTATTCTTGTTGATGGCTCGTTTCTGCAATACTGCTGCCACTGAGTTTAACATTTCCTCGTTTAAAAGACTGCTTCACGCCCCAATGTCTTTTCTCGATACCACTCCAATGGGCCGAGTGCTGAACAGATTCACCAAAGACGCAGAGGTGCTGGACAACGAGATCCAAGAACAGCTCAGAATGCTTCTCTACCAACTTGGACAAATTGTTGGAACGTTTGTGCTCTGTGTGATCTACCTTCCGTGGTCTGCGTTAGTATTCCCTGTGGTGTTTGTCGCGTTTTACGTGTTGTGTCACTTCTATCTTGCAAGTTCAAGAGAAATCAACAGATTGGAGGCCCTGAAACGGTCTCAGGTCTACTCGCACTTCAACGAAGCACTCGCAGGAATGGACACTATCAAGGCGCACTCTTCTTCCAAACGGTTTTTGAAAGTCAACGGAAAGCTGATTGACAATATGAATGAAAGCACTTTCACCTTCCAAGCCATTCAAAGATGGGTTGCTAGCAACCTGGAGCTGATGGTCTGTGGACTTTCGTTCGTGATCTGTTTGCTATGTACCTTTGGCGTATTCAACATCAAGGGTGCTTATGCTGGTCTGATTCTTACGTATGTGTTCAACATCGTGGGTATTCTTTCTTTCCTGCTGCGTTCTGCCACCGAAGTCGAAAACCAGATGAACTCTGTCGAGAGACTGAAGTTTTATGCTTTTGACTTGCAACAGGAAGCAGCCTTTGATGTCCCTGAAAACGATCCTGAATCCGAGTGGCCAGCGTTTGGGGCCATCAGCTTCAACAGCGCTTCGATGAAGTACCGCGAAGGTTTGCCTTATGCGGTGAAGGGTTTGGATCTCAAGGTTGGTGCGGGAGAGAAGATTGGTGTTTGTGGCCGCACTGGAGCAGGTAAATCCAGTGTGATGTACTGTCTGTTCCGGCTGGCGGAGTATGACGGACAGATCACAATTGATGGAGTCGACATCTCCAAGATTGGTCTGCACAAGCTACGAACAAAACTCTCAATCATTCCGCAGGATCCTGTGCTTTTCAGTGGCACGGTTCGATCGAACTTGGACCCATTCCAGGAACACTCGGACGACAAGTTGTGGACTGTGCTCACTAAAGCTGGTCTGATTGACGCTTCCATCATTGATCAGGTCAAGGTCCAGAAGAAAAGCGACAGAAACCTGCACAAGTTTCATTTGGAAAGACTTGTCGAGGACGACGGATCGAACTTTTCTTTGGGTGAGAGACAGCTTCTTGCTTTGGCTAGGGCTTTGGTGAAGGGTTCTCGCATTTTGGTCTTGGACGAAGCCACTTCGAGTGTCGACTACGAGACCGATGCCAAGGTCCAAAAGACCATTTCCAGAGAGTTTGCCGATTGTACTGTGCTCTGCATTGCTCACAGACTGAAGACCATTGTCAACTACGACCGGATCATGGTCCTTGATAAGGGAGAGATTGTGGAGCTTGACAGACCAAGAAATCTCTACGAACAAGGTGGCATTTTCCGCTCTATGTGTGACAAGAGTGGAGTCGTGGAGGCTGATTTTAATTAATATCAATTGCGGACTGTACACACTTCCTGTACTTAACGAGATCAGCCCTGTAGATGGTATACGTACATTGCATTCAGCACACTAACCAAAGAAGCTTGCTGTTCATTATTTGATAGTCAAAGTACCCGTCGGGAATAAACTACTTCCCATTTGCGCATAGCCGCTTATCTCTAGAATTTCTGATAAGAAAATCCTTGGAAAAATATTTTGTTCATGTCCGAAGATAGCTCGCTGGTCCAGGAGGCCTTTCCGAGCTACACGGAGGATCCCATCAAGTTTGAAGCGGCTACGACCACACTCAAAGATGAGGTGCTCTACATTGTGGAAAATGCCATTCCCACTGTGGTGACGTTCTCTTTCCAGTTCACTTTCCAAGTCATGGCCCCAATTTATTTCGCTGGCCAGCACGGCGACCAGTATTTGGCCGCATCGTCGCTTTCCATGGCGATATTTTGGATTACTGGCCCGGTTATCGTCAACGGGTTCTCAACAGCAATGGACACAATGTGCTCGACCGCTTACGGAGCAGGTAGCTACGATAAGGTTGGATTGTACTATAAAAAATGCGTCACGATTTTAATCTTGGCTTTTATACCTATGAGCTTCTTCTGGCTCAATTCAGCCCCTGTAATACGTCTCACCACGGACGATGAGGATATGGTGGCTCTTTGTGATCTGTACCTGAAGCTGATGCCGTTTTTGGCAATTCCTATGGTGGTGTTTGAATGCTCAAAAAAATTCCTCCAGTCGCAGAACAAGTTCAACGTTCCAACCAGAATCATGCTGCTAGGACTGCCAATCACATTTGCTCTCAATCACTTCTTATTTGATATTGGATTTCTGGCTCCACCAATCTCTCTTATTCTGGGCTACTGGATAATCACGGCACTCATTCTAGGATATATTTGTTTTATCGACGGCTACCAATGTTGGAACCCAAACACCACGATGCAGCAACTGTTTAGCGACTGGGCTCCCTTCTTTGACTTGGGTGTTCCAGGAGTTCTAATGATCATGTCTGAGGCGTTTGCGTTCCGGATTATCACGTTCTTGTCCGCGAGGTTTGGTCCTCTAGCAATTGAGGCCCAGACGATTGTCACCACCGTCGCATCACTTTCATACCAACTCCCATTCTCTGTTGGGATTTGCTGCTCTACCAGAATAGCTAATTACATCGGGGCACGCTCTGGAAACTACAAAATGGCACTCAAATGTGCAATTGGCGCCGGCTGGGTGCTCAGCTTTTTCAACTTGGCCTGGATGTCGTTGCTAAGATACCCAATCGCCAAGATTTTTGCCAGAGATGAGAAACTAATTGAGTTAAGTGCCCGTCTGTTCATTGTGGTAGCAATCAATCAGTTCCTAGATAGCATCAACATCATTTGCGCTGCGCTTCTGCGAAGCCAGGGCCGCCAAAACGTCGGTTCTGTCCTGAGTCTGTTATGCTACTACGTGGTTGCAACCCCTATAGGAGTGGTAGCAGCTTTCCCCTTTGGTCTGCAAGTTTATGGTCTTTGGTTTGGTCTGGCTATAGGAGTTGGGATCTTATCGATTGCGGAACTGATGCTGGTTCTGAAAACAGATTGGATGGCTATTTTGAAAAAATCTACTAACATTGTATAATGATTTTTATCTTTTGCGCTTTTTTAAAAATTACTAATTATGGCTAAAATCATCGTTATCGGGTAAGTCAAGAACGCACTCGTCTAACCGCCAGATGCGGAGTCGTCGGCATGACCACGGCTCTGGAACTTGTGCAGCAAGGTCACCAGGTTGAGATTGTTGCTCGCCACTTGCCAGGAGATATCGACATTGAGTACACGAGTCCGTTCGCCGGTGCCAACTGGTCTAGTTTCGCAGGCCCCAACGATCTTGAAATGCAAGAATGGGACAAGATTGGTTACCGCAAACTCTTAGAGCTGGCAGACAATGTTCCTGCTGCCAGTGTGGTCAGAAGAACATACCAAATGCTAAATGTCAAATCTGAGCCTTGGTTCAAGGATTTTGTCGAAGACTACAAGATCCTGACTGATCTGCCAAAGGGTATCGAGTTTGGCTACGAGTACACTTCTGTGGTGATTAGCGTTCCAATCTATCTGCATTTCTTGCTGCAAAAGCTGATTAGTTCAGGAGTCGTTATACATCGGGCAAACTTGAAGCACATCAAGGATGCTGCCACACATTTCACCGGGGGCCAGGTGGACGTCACAGTCAACTGTTCTGGGCTTCTGGCCTCCAAGCTGGGTGGAGTGGAGGACAAGAACGTGTTCCCTATCAAGGGACAGGTGATCTTGTCCAGAAACAGCTGTCCAACCATGATCTCTGTTGCCGTGCCTGGTGCCGCAAAAGGCGAGAGTTTGTACATCTTCCCGCGCAAGGAGGGAGGAACGCTGATTGGCGGGTCTTTCTGGCCGAACGACTGGTCTCCAAAGGTGGACAAGAAGCTGTTCAAGCGGACTGTGGCCAGAGCCAAGAAGTACTGTCCGGAACTGTTTGCAAACGGCGAGCTGGATGTGGTGAGCGTGGGATGTGGTCTGAGACCAGGAAGAAAGGGAGGCGCTCGGATCGAGAAAGAAACGATTCCAGGAGTTGGCAAGGTGGTGCACAACTATGGAGCAGCAGGGGCTGGCTACCAAAACTCCCATGGAATGGCCCGTAAAGCCGCTGCGCTGGTTGCAAGCTCGCTTCGCGAGTCTAAATTATGATGCCTTTTTTAGCTAGAAACCTTTAGGCCGTTTGTCCAACTGTAGCAGCCCAGGATGAGCAGCATGGTGAGAAAAGAAACCACCAAACTGGCAAAATAGTAGATGGCGCGCTGCACTTCGTCTTTTAGTCCCACGATCTCGTTGACAAACGTGCTGAGCGTGCTGTAAGTCCCACAGAAACCGCTTCCCAGGGCTACAAGCACGTCCAGCTGCAACTGATTGGTGATGATACGGTGGCCCGACTTGGTGGCTCCGTGAATAAGCACGTTCAAAACAGCAAGCACGATGCTGGCGCTCACATTGGTTAAAAACGTCCCTATTGGGAACCAGGAACGTGCATTCAGCTTGGACAAGTGGTAACGCGCAAAACATGCAAACGGCGAGAAAACAATGCCAAACGACCATGATGCTTTCCAGAAATGTCGATTATGCAGCGTGCATGAAAGGACAAGGTTGGCTATCCAGGCGAGCACACCTAAAACCATCGTGACCAGTTCAAGTTTTCTGACCCATCTGCGGCATTTTGGGTGGTCAAAGCCCAAGTCGCCGGCGTATCTCGTCAACACCGAGGCGAGGTCCGTTCCCAGGTGGTAGCCTATCATGGAGACACCCATCTGGGTGAATATGACGGAAAAAAACTCCATCACGCCGTATCCATGGTTTGGAAGCTTCTGCGTTGTGTTTAGTACGTCAATAGTCTTGGCAAGAATTTCCAGAACCAGTGTTGAGAAACTGGAGAAACTTCCAGCAAACCCAGTGGTCAGGGCCAAGTACAGCACAAGCGCTTTCTTGTTGGGGACCTTCTCCTCGAACATCAGCACTTTCCAGGGCAGATTGTAGTTGTTCAAGAACGATATCACCAAACTGGCTGTGAAATTCGACCATATACAACTTCCTCCGAGAAGATAGTTCGGGTTGATGTAAGAGTTGGTGTAGAAGGTCAGCTTTGTCAGCCCTTCACGGGCCATGAAGCCCAGAATCGACCAGAACGTCAGCTGGAGGTACAGATCCCACCATTTGAACTGAGTCATTAAATAAAGAGTAAATAAAAGAATTAACACAGCCAGATTATATTTTCAAAGCTAACAGTTATACTGGTCTATATCAGTTTAACGTCTTTGACTTGGAATTTTTCAAGCTCTTCAGTGAAAATGGCATTGACTGGAACGCCCTCCATGTAGTCGTTAAAGTCGCCATCCAGTAGTGTAGGCCGGATCCGCACCAGCTCACCTTCGTGGCCCCTAGGAATTGTGTAGATGGAACTGCCGCAATTTCCACAGAGGAACCTCCGCTTGGGCAGACCTGATCTTGTGGTAGTGACAACGTGCACTTTCAAATAACCCTTGGGATCGTTGAGCTTGAAGTCTGCGGCTTGGTGAAGCGCAGCCAACTGGCCAAAAAAGCTCGAAAACTTGCGACAGTCGGAACAGAAACACTTCGTGAGTTTGGAGGGCTTGGCAGCCAGCGTGAACGAGATCTCTCTGCAACCGCAAGAACCAGAATACATGACTAATTTTTTTCAAGATAAAGAAACAAGATGATCAGTTTTCTGGAAATACAGATTATCGGGCAAATAATTCCCCGTGAGTGGGGGATTCTGGCCCGACACTAAAATTTTCGGACACCTTGTTTGGGGGCCGTGACCCGCTCGCAACACCAGCGTAGGCAAGATAATGCCACAATCAGAGATGACGTAAAATGAAAATCTGGGCTATTATTAAGTACACAAAATTAGGCCCCCGCACAGTGGCCTCCGTCGATCAGCAGATCGGAACCGGTCATGAACCGGGATCCGTCTCCAAGCAGAAAGACGACGGCACTCTTGAAGTCATCAGGGGTGGCCAGTCTGTTAAGCATGGCTCCTCTCATCCAAGTGTCGTACAACTCAGGCTCCACGTCCAGTAACGATTGGGTCATGTTGGTGATAATGTACCCTGGGGAGATGGTATTGACTCTGATACCGTATTGCCCCCATTCTTGACATAGAGACCGCGCAAGCTGCAAGACACCGGCTTTGGAGGTGTTATAGGCAGTGTTGGCCAAACCACGGTTTGCAATCGATCCAGACATGGAGCCGATCAAAACGATCGATCCTGGAACGTTGGCTGCAACCAGAACTTTGGCTGTGTGTTTTGCCATGACAAACGAACCAATAAAGTTGATATCCACGATCTTTCTATACAGATCGAGAGGATAGTCGATAGCCGGCAGGGCCTGGTTAACACCGGCACAATTGACCAATCCGTGGATCGGGCGGCCGGCGCTGGCGGCCTGCTCAGCGAGTTTTGGCAGCAGTTCTTCGACCTCGGCTTCGTTGCTGACGTTCAACTGGTTGAAAGTCAACGAGCCCCCGTTTTCCTCAGCCAATGCTTTGGCCGCGGACCATTCCTTAGAAACCGGCTCTGGGAGCAGGTCAAAAGCAATTGCACTTCCCCCAACCTCAAGGATGGCACAGATTAAGTTAAGGCCAAGTCCCCGAGCGCCTCCAGTGACAAAGTAGGTTCGGTTCTTGAGGTCCAAGCCTGCTTTCACAGAAGCTGGGGAGTTGGGGGCTGGAGTACCAATAGTGGCTAAAGGGTTATAGATTTTGTAGGTCATGTTTTGTACACCAGGCAGAACGGACCTGTATTTATACAGCAGGGAGGAGATCTACATCAATGTCCGCTGGGGGAACAGTTTCCTGATTCGCAAATTTTTGCCCCCATGCATGCACCCCATACTATCCCCGCAATTTCCAACAATAGTGTGGAACTCGTGCTCGTTAGCGAGGAAAAATCTAATATATAAGCCAGCTGGCACTAATCTGTCATACTCAGAATGTATTTGGGACTCAAGGGACAAAAACTGCAATGGGCAGTGACTTTTGCTTCGGGAGCAGGATTCCTGCTCTTTGGATTTGACCAGGGTGTGATGTCTGGTCTTTTAACGGGTGACGCGTTCACACACCAATTTCCGGCGATTGATACCACCGATAACGGCCACGGTAGCTCCTCTTTACAGGGTACAGTGGTGGCTATCTACGAGATCGGGTGTTTTTTTGGCGCCTTGTTCAGTTTTGTGTTTGGTGAACGACTGGGCAGAAGATGGAGTATCATGCTCGGGTGTATTACTCTTTCCGTGGGGGCAGCGATCCAGACCTCCTCGTATAGTATTGCGCAGCTAATTGTTGGCAGAATTGTGGCGGGGTTAGGAAACGGTATGAACACTGCCACCATCCCTGTTTGGCACTCGGAGATCTGTAAAGCCCATAACAGAGGACGGGAGCTGTCGATCGAGCTGGCTATCAACATTTTTGGAGTCATGAGCTCTTACTGGGTCGACTACGGCATGAGTTTTGTCAACAGCCCGGCCCAGTTCCGGTTCCCCATCTGCTTGCAGATTCTATTTGCTCTCGTGACCTTTTTCGGGGTGCTAGTGCTTCCAGAATCTCCGCGGTGGCTGATTGCACACAACCGGCAAGCGGAGGCCCAGCAGGTGATCCACCTGACAATGCCCAACGCAAAGGACATTTCTGAGACTGACTCGAGCGTGCTGTACGAGCTCGAGCTGGTCAATGATGCGCTGCAGGAGGAGCGTGAGTCCGTGAGCGGCGGGTTTGGTGCTGTGTTCAAAAATGGGCCGCAGAGATTTTTCTGGAGAACGTTCCTGGGAATGTTCTCCCAGTTCATGCAACAGCTGTCGGGAATCAACCTGATCACCTACTACGCCACGAGCATCTTCGAGGAGTCTGTGGGAATGAGCCACAACCTGGCCTTGTTGATGTCGGGATTCAACGGAATTGCCTACTTTGCGTCATCGCTAATTCCTATCTGGCTACTTGACCGAGTGGGGCGGAGAAAATTAATGCTTTTCGCCGCCACGGGCCAGGGCGCTTGCATGGCGATCCTCGCGGGAACAGTTTCCAACGGTAACACCGCCTGTGGTATAGTGGCCACCGTGATGCTGTTTGCGTTCAACTTCTTCTTTGCTGTGGGGCTGCTTGCCATTCCGTGGCTGCTACCAGCAGAATATGCTCCGCTGGCGATCAGAACCAAGGCTGCTGCGCTGGGTTCTGCCAGCAACTGGATTTTCACGTTTCTGGTGGTGGAGATTACTCCGTCCAGTGTGGCCAACATTGGCTACAAGACCTACGTCTACTTCAGCGTGTTCAATTTCTGCTTCATTCCGATGATCTACTTTTTCTACCCAGAAACTAGAAACCTCACTTTGGAGAAAATCGACCTGCTGTTTGTCGGAGAAAAAGTCCGCCTGTTTTGGTCCGATGACCTGGATCACACATGGCCGACAGAAGAGGAGAAGCTCGTTGTCGAGATGTCGGAGAATGCTAAGTAGTTTGCAACTTGATGGTTTCCGTATCGGGAAGAATTTGTCGCACAGTAAAAAACAGTCCCCCGCATCACCTGCCAGATCGGGGAATTTCGCGCGCACTTTTAGTGGCTCTTAGTCGAGGATAAATACCTCCGTAATGTCCCTCTCCGAAATCAATGACTGTTGATCAATCTCCCTCACACAACCTTGTTCTGGGCACCTTCAGATGCCTCATTGCTGACCTTGTCCAGCAGTACGGCGGCGGCCATCCCGGCGGCGCTATGGGCATGGCTGCCATGGGTATTGCTCTGTGGAAGTACTCCATGAGATATTCTCCGAACAACCCCGACTTCTTCAACCGCGACCGGATTGTTCTGTCCAACGGCCACACGTGTCTGTTCCAGTACGTGTTCTTGCACCTGACCGGGTACAAGCACATGACTATGGAGCAGCTCAAGACGTACCACTCCACGCGGGTCGACTCTTTCTGTCCCGGCCACCCCGAGATCGAGCACCCTGGAATCGAGCTGACCACCGGGCCGTTGGGCCAGGGAATTGCCAACTGCGTTGGACTGGCCATTGCGTCCAAAAACCTGGCCTCTCTGTACAACAGGCCCGATATCGCGGTGGTGGACAACACCATCTACTGCATTGTCGGCGACGCCTGTTTGCAGGAAGGTGTTGCTCTGGAGGCGATCTCGCTGGCCGGCCACTTGGGACTGGACAACCTGGTCGTTCTGTACGATAACAACGAGATCACGTTTGACGGCAGCGTTGATCTGACCAACACCGAGGACGTGAACAAAAAAATGGAGGCAAGCAACTGGGCAGTGCTCGAGGTTGAAGACGGTTCCGACAACGTCGACGGCATTGTCGACGCTATCAGCAAGGCCCGCGACATCAAGAAGCCCGTGTTCATCAACATCCACACGGTTATTGGCATTGGTGCCCTCAACGAGGGCCAGTCGTCCGCGCACGGCGCGGCTCTTGGCGTTGACAACGTTGCGCAGCTCAAGAGAAAATGGGGCATGGACCCAGAAAAACACTTCAACGTGCCAGACCAGGTTTATCAGTTCTTTGCCGAGTGTCCAGCAAGAGGCGAGCAGTACGAGGCCGAGTGGAATGCCACGGTTGCCAAGTATACTGAAAAGTATCCGGACGCTGCTGCAGAGTTCAAGCGCAGAGTGGCCGGAAAGCTGCCTTTGGATTGGAAGAGCTACATCCCTAAGGAGTACCCAGCCGAGCCTACTCCAACACGGAAATCCAGCGGCTTGGTGATGAGTCCTCTGGCCAAGGCGGTGGACACTTTCTTTAACGGCTCGGCCGATTTGTCTCCATCCACCTTTGTTGGCTGGTCAGGCAAAGCAGAGTTCCAGAACCCGGCCGTGCAACCAAAAGCAGGCGACAAGGGATCCTACTCCGGCAGATACCTCCATTACGGTATCCGGGAGCACGGCATGGCGGCAATTGCGGCGGGCATCTCTGCCTACAACAAGGGAACGTACATTCCAGTGATTTCCACGTTCTTAATGTTCTATTTATACGCTGCTCCCGCCGTGAGAATGGCTGCTCTGCAGGAGCTCCAAATGGTCTGTGTTGCCACGCACGACTCCATTGGCACGGGCGAGGACGGGCCAACGCACCAGCCGATCGCGCTGCCTGCGTTCTTCCGCGCGCTACCAAACACCCTGTTTGTGAGACCGGCCGACTCTGAGGAGACTGCTGGCGCATGGGAGGCTGCTGTCAACTTTACTCACGGACCAAGCGTTATCTCGTTGTCCAGACAGTCTCTTCCTCAACTCAAAGGCCTCACCGACAGAGCCAAGGTCAGTCTGGGAGCATACGTGGTGAAACCGGTGTCGCAGCCAGACCTGCAACTTTTTGCCAGCGGCTCGGAGGTGCATCTGGCCCTTGAAGCTGCCGAGAAGCTGGAAACGGCCGGAATCAAAACCAGAGTGGTCAGTTTCCCGTCAACCAACCTGTTTGAGAAACAAAGTTCCGAGTACAAGGCTCAGATATTGCTCCGTGGAAAGATCCCATCCGTTATTGTTGAAACTTATGCCGTCAACGGCTGGGAGAGATATGCTACCGCTGGATACAGCATGAAAACGTTTGGCAAGTCGCTCCCAGGAAAAGACGTGCTGGAATACTTTGGCTTCTCCGCCAACGAGGTGGCTACCAAAGTGGAGAAGTACTACAGATCGGTCACCAAAGAGTCCATGTGGACGTTCCAAGACCTGAACTAATCCTAGTTTAATCTATTCACTCCAATGATCCCGTAAGTCCTGGATACGCCAGCCGGTGGACCAGCCTGTAGTGTCTTCTATTTTCTGCAAAAGGTCCACAATGACCTGCTGCTCTTCCTTGCTACTCATGAACTTGCCTGCAACCCAGATAGGCTGCAGTGCGTTGTTCAAACAGCCGTGGTGGCCGTTGGCGAGACTGATCCCCACTACGCACTTGGCGTGCCAGATCAGACTCTTGCGCATCACCGGGTCCGTCTGGATCACCGGTAGCGGCCGCAGCACCCTGGTCTTGAACTTCATCAGCAGAATCACCGCCGTGTGGAACATCTGCGTACCGCTAATCGCAGGCGTGACGCAGAACAAAATGCTCGGGAACGGACAGTTTTCCGTATACTGAGTCACGACTGGCTTCATTTCTGCAGGCCGTTCCTGCCACCACCGGTCGAGCTCCGTGTACAGCTGGATCCACTCGGATTCGAACCTCTCGGGCGTGATGTCCGTCGAGTACACCGTGTCGCACACGCGAGCCAGCAGGAAAACGATGTAGTTCGCGTACATGTCACGTGCGGCTGTGAGGTTGGACTGCGGGAGCAAAAACAGGTTTTTCGCCTTGTTGACCGAGTACCCCGGTGGAAGCCATCTTTCACACGGTATCACAGTCGACGTCTTGGCGGAGATCGAGTGCATCACGTCCATGCGCGCAAAGCACCAGAAAACAGCCTGGCGGAGCCTGCCACAAAACCCGTGCATCTCGGAAACTCTGAAAAGAGCAGCACACCCTTGCAGGTGTTTTTTCCAGGTAACAGACGGGTCGGACGCCATCATTTCAAAGCAGCACAGGATAACGCACGACGCAATCACTCTGGCATCCGGGATCTGCCGCACTTTTGGCAGCAGCGACGCCAGCGACCGTTCGTAAAGTCCGTATGTAAGTTCGGACCCCGGCTTGTGGTTCTGTAGTTTGTCTCTCTGGCGACTGGAGATGGTCAGAATTGCGTACAAAACCGACTCGTCCTCTGCCATAACCGACAACGTCGACGTGAAATAGCATTGGTGGTCGAACATGTCGAGCCACGGCCCGATCTCCGTCACATATCTAGTCAGTAGTACAAGTTTCTCGTCGGCCGAGAGGAGTTTGTTGTCGTCGCTGTAGTTGTCGCCCGAAGAGCTCGAAGTGTGCTGGAACTCGTTGATAGCCTTTGTCCAATTAAGTAGCTGAGCGTCGATCGACATGTTGCCATTCAGATCTGTGGACAGGTTCGGAGATGAGGGGCTTGTAGTAATGGCATTGAGAAACATGTAATCGCGCAGCCTCTCACGCAGAGTGGCGTATTCGAACTCGGGGCTCTCCACAGAGACCTCGGAGTCGATGCTGGTGAAGTCCCAGCTCTTTTTATCGTTTGTAGAGGGGAGAGAGGTGGTAAGTTGTGGGGTCAATGGAGGCGGTGGAGGAGGGTCGTTCAGCAGTAGTTTGAGGTCGTACAGACTTGAGTTGCGCGTCGGAATACTGGCCGGCGTGGATACACTGACTGTGGGCGGGCCCACGGGCGCCACCTTGGTGGGCCTCTGGTCTCCCGGCACCATCAGGTGGAAGACATCTCCCTTGGACGGCCAGTGACACTCCAGGTTGCGTCGCACACAGAACCGACATGCCGGGCGCGTCTCGTCGCACTTCTTATGTTTCTGGCGGCACGTGAGACATCCCGTTTTCACGCGGCGTCTACTCGCGGTGTGAGTTAGACTCAGCTGGTCCGGAGACATATAAGACAAAAAAATCAACTACCCCATCTTTCGTCCCCAACCGGGAATTAATTGTCGACACCCGTACACCGACTCCGCGAGGAGACGTTGGGCCAACTGAAACACAGGCTATTCCATTCAATCCGTAAACACTACACAGGCACGGGATCCATCTTAGGGAAGATCCGGGCCACCTGGAAGAAGATGTGGGCTGCTGCGGCCGACGCGATCAGACTCTTGCACATTGGCCGGGAGTTGATGTCTCCGTTGGTCTTTGCTCTGTCGTCTTCTCCCGGGCTGAAATTCTTGTGGCCGCCAAACTCTTTGCGGTATCTGTCATAGGTGCGCGGGTCCAGCTTGTAGATATCGAAAGAGCAGAAGTAGAGTCCGTCCGATGGATCGTACATGTACTTTCTGAAGTACGACACGTGACGTAGGATCTCGTTCTCACAGCACTTGCGAGTGGATTCCGGAGCTACCTGGCCAAAAGTGATCAAGTAGTCCACCAGACCCTCGATCATGAGCTGAATGAAGTAGGAAGGTCCGTGCCAGTACCGCTTGCCCCAATCGTCGTAGTCTCTGTCAAACAGCGTCTTTCCTCTATCGGTAGCAGCCTCGGCGAGCTTCTTGGCCTTATCCTGCCATTGCGGGTCCTTATCATATTGGTATAGCAGACAGATAGCCGTGAGAGTGTTTCCCGTGTTGTACGAGTACTTGCTTCTGTCGATGCCCTCCGAGTCGTACGCACAGCCGTCCATGACGATGTTGTCGCCCTTGTCGAGCATGAGCTCCCAGATGAAGTTCACACACAGCTTGGCGAACTCGTACAGCTGTTTCTGCTCTTCTGGTGGAGAATGCGGGATGAGCCTCATTGCTCCGGACGCTGCCACGCAATTTGAGATCGAAGCCATGTACTTCTTGCTGATGTGCCACTTGAGACCCTTGACGTGGAACTTCTGATGCTCCACCACGCCGGTCATCAAGAACCGCATCAGTTCCTTGGAAAGGTCCAAATACTCCTGGTTTCCCGTGGCTTCATAAAGAGCAATCATCCCGCGCACAAGGTGACCGCAATCGTCGTAGTTGATATCGTCGTCTCCAGAGTTCTGGGCACCGTGGTACAGCACGGCGTACGCACCATACTTAGGGTTCCGATAGCAGGTGCATGCAGAAACCGTTGGGGCAGTTATCGGCCGAGTCATGTCTCGGTAGACCGAACAAGATTCTGCCACCGCATGGAGAACCACACCCATAGTCCAGCACGAAAACTTGCCATCGCGCGATTCTTTACAGGGAATACCCGTCGAGAAGTTGCCGATGTTGGGGTTCCAGAAGTTGTGCCAGAACGACTTGACAATGTTGTATCCTTCGAGATTATTGTCAAAAGACATAGCAAACGGAATTAAATCTAGAAAAAATTAAAGCCGATGCCCAGATAGATAAATTTCGGGTATAAAAACTTCGGTCTTTTCCCATTTCTACCAGACTAAAGCTAACCGTTAATGCAACAATCAGAGACCGTTCCTCAGATAATCGAAGAAAAGCCTGTTGTGGACCCCCAGTCGGAGATTCCCAATAAGTTTAGAGGCCGCGGACTGACCTCTGTGATTGGGTGTCTGCTGTTTGCGTTCAATTCCTGGGGTGCAAACTCGGCATATGCGATATATTACCAAGAATACCTAAACAGCGATGTTTTTCCAGGCACATCCAAGTACGAGTACGGTATTGTTGGTGGCTTGACGTTTGGATCTGGACTCACGTTCGGCCCTTTAATTAACTTTCTCGTGGGGAAGATCGGACTCAAGCCTACAATTGGCATCGGAGTCGTTTTTCAGTTTGTCTCGCTGATGCTTGCATCTTTTGCAACAAAATTTTGGCAGCTGGCTTTAACACAGGGAGTGTGGCAGGGCCTTTCGCTGGCCCTGATAGCCATCCCCAACATCGTTGTTATCCCCCAGTGGTTCTCCAGTGGCAAGGGAGGCAAAAGGAACCTTGCACTGGGTTTCTCTGCTGCCGGGTCCGGTTTTGGTGGTATTCTGTACAATATCGGAATGGAAAAACTATTGACCAACCATGGCTACCAATGGTCTATGAGAACACAGGCAATTTTATGCGCCTTCCTTAATATTATCGCACTCATCCTTATCCAATCCCGCAACAAACATATCAAGCCTATCTTCAAAGTGTACGACAAGGTCGTGTGGACCAACTTTGGAGTCTGGTGTCTGTTTGCCTGGATCATGTTCACACTGTTCGGTTATGTCACGCTCATGTACAATCTCGGCGATTTTACCCGGTCGTTGGGCTACGGATCCACTGAGGCGTCTGTCGTGTCTACCATGGTCTCGGTCGGTATCTTGTACGGAAGACCATCTATCGGGCAAGTGTCTGACATTTTTGGCCCCGTTAATATGACCATCGTGGCCAGCTGGCTCGTGTCGCTATTCGCACTCGCCATGTGGATCCCCTGCCGCAACTACCAGACCGCCCTAGTCTTTGCCCTGTTCGAAGGATCCCTCATGGGCACTATCTGGGTCACCATGCCCTCGATGGCTTCTGCTCTTATCGGATTACGTAAGCTGGGTATTGCGATGTCGCTGGCCTGGATCGCGTGCGGTTTGTTTGGATTCACGTCTCCCATTCTGGGAATTGCCTTGAAGAAAGACGGCCCCGAGAATCCGACCCAATACCAAAACGCTGCTATTTTCGTTGGTCTTTGCTACTTTGCTGCCGGCGTCATGCTGGTTATTATGAGAGGATGGATGCTTGCCAGACGCCAGCTGGTCGACACAACGAAGGAGGAGGAGCTCTGGTCCGTCAGAGTCCCCATCAGATCGGCGTTCATCCGTGTTTTCGACTGGAGATTCTACAAAGTTTAGAAAAACTTTATCACTAATATATCCAGTCGAGATCTACTATTTATGTATATCGTAGCCCTGCTCTTCTGCGTGCTGCTGGTGGCTCACGATATCCGTGCTTTCCCACGGGTACGCAATCCAACAGTCGGGGAACTGGCCGCCTGCAATGTAATGGCTGTCCATAATCTCTTTTGGTAGCTCCGCTCTCTTAGGCTTATTTTTATTGTGCAGCACGTAAATGTAGAAGTCTGTGTTCGGCGACTCCAGGCCTTGCTCCTTGGCTTGTTCCGCAGCGTCTTTTTGCAGCTCCTTCAGTGCGTAATGAAGAGTGGTTCTTGTATCGTCGACCTCGTCCACAATCAGAACTTTTTTGTTGCACAGATCGATACCGCTCTCTTTGTAGTTAATCCACTGAATCCGTTTCACCTCGGCACCCACTTGCTCCTCCTCGGTCGAAACAGTGTTTAGGTCTTCGTAAAGCGACAGAACGATCGCAAAGATCTTCAAGTTGGGGCGTCCGTCCTGTTTCAGAAACGTTCTTAGAATCCGTGCTGGAATAAAGCCACCACCACCAATAGCAATGATCAGATCCACATCCAAAGGCTTAATAGTTTCAGCAGCTTTCTGACACAGCTGATGAACGTTGTTGTACGAAATATACCGTTTTTCCTCCATGCTGGAGGATTGCAAAGCTAAAGTATTTATAACTGAAATATTACCAAAAAAAATTCACCGGATTTTTCACCGGTGATAAGATAAGCTAATTGAGTAAGTTGCCCAACAAGGAGCACATTGCTGGCCGGAACCGTGCGTGTGTGTGCTTTTGCTGCCGCATGGACCTGATCTTATCAATTCTGTGTCTGACTGTCAATTTCCACGTCCTGTCAGCTGTCTCCAAGGTGTGCCACCATTGCGCTGTCATTGCTACAAAAGGTCCGGGTAACAAGCGTGTTTTTTAACTTTGTTACAAATGCCTATCCTTCGCAGTGCAAGACGGCTGCGAGGCCAGCTGGGCGAGCTGGGCGACGATTACGTCGATATAGTCGACGAGTACGACGAGGGGCGCGCCGATTGGGCCGACGACGCGCAGAGCGAGGTGGAAGAGCAGATCCCGGAGGTGGACATCCAGGAGATGGTCGATCTTGCCAATGAGCTGTTGCGCAACGGCCACGGGCAGGCGAACATGCGCGTTCGTGCGCGCAACGTCGAGCTGGCGCGCGAGATCATTCTGGAGCACGACAGACGCACGGGCCGTGCCCCGCCACAGCGATTGGACGACCGTCCGTTGTGGATGAAGATCGTGGACTCTGTGACTTTGACGCTGTTCCCGATTGTTCTGCTGCGCATAGTGAAGAATCTGCTGAGTGTTTCGTCGTTTTCCATTGACATTCTGCAGGACACGTTCGACTACATCGATTTTGTTCAAGGCGTGGACTCATCGTCGGGCAACGTGTCGCTTCTTTTGAAATTCGGCAAGATCATTGCAGAGGAGTTTCCGCAGCTGGGCAGCGGGTTCCAAATCGTGCTGACATTGACCGTGTTCTACGTGTACACGATCTTGTTTTCGGTGTTTATGGTGATATCGCTAGGGTTTCTGATCATGTGTCTACTATTTTCGCTTGGGAAGCGGTGGCAGAGTCTGGAGAAACTGGTTGTGGGCATCGTCAAGGACGGCCAAGGGTGTATATAAGGCGAAATGTATGGGATCGAGCAAAGGAGGTTTAATTATTGGCCATCGAAAATATTTTCCAGATATTATTTGGTTTGTAATTTGTTGTTGCGAATGGACAAGAGAGCGTTTGATCAATTAGACGCCGAGCCCACGTCGACGCCGATCTCCGAGACGCCCTCCAAGCGGGCGACGCCAGACCCGGGTGCGGGAGGCGGAGCGAACGGGGGTTCCTCGAAGGTGCCAGCACACGTTCTGCAGCGGCGTCGCGAAGGTCGGCTGAGGGCAATGGAGAAGCTGCAATCGCGGCTCGACGAGCTGGGAATCAAGCGGGTCGACCAGGACAACGCGCTCAAGTTCAGCACGATCCCGGTGATCCAGGCCATCAACCAGAAAAACTACTACACCGACTACCTCAAGAAGGACGAGCAAATCATGATGATCCGCGAGATGCGGCAGCGGCTGTTGCAGGCGCGGCTGGCTAAGAAACAGGCAGAGCTCGAGAAGAAGCAGGAGTCCCAGAACATGGTCAACAAGATCAGCTCGCACGGGTTCGACTTTGACGACAACGAGGATGAGGACGACGACGAGGACGATGCCAAGATGGGGTCCAAGATTGTGGTCTTGCAGCCCGGGTCGGCCAATGTGCGTGTGGGGCTGTCCAGTGACGTGGACCCGTTGGTGATACCCAACCTGGTGGCCCACAGACGGCCTGCTGGTGCGGCCCCCACCGAGACCAGTGTGGATCCGCTGCGCACTGTTGACCAGGAGTCAGACATCCATCTCACGGACGAGAGATTCGCCGAGGCCAAGCGCACGGTGACGGCCAGTTTCAAAGAGCGCATGAAGTTCTACAAAAGACGCATTCTGCCGAACTCCAACGAGCAGTGCTACAATTACAACAAGAGAGTGCAGCCGGAGTCGATTCCAGATCTGGACGACGTGCACAAGCTCGACTATTTCGACAAGGTGCGCGAGGACTACGTGACGGGCTCGGACGTGTACCGGATCAAGGATCTCGAGAACTGGGACATTAGAAGCCCGTTCCTGAGCGGAAAGCTCAACGACAAGGACCCAACGTACAGGTCGGAGCAGGAGCTCCAGGGCGACATTGAGCTGTTGCTGTGGGACGCTTTGAAGCGGTTCAACATCTTCAGCAAGAAGACGCTGAACACTTACAATTGCGTGCTTGTTGTGCCGAATCTGTACGACAAGGCGTACTGCGAAAAATTAACCGGCTACCTGTTTAAGCTTGGATTTGGCCAGGTTGCGGTGATCCAAGAAGGGCTTGCGGCGACTTTTGGTTCCGGAGTGAGCTCTGCGTGTGTTATCGACATTGGCGCGTCGTCCACCAAGATCTGCTGCATCGAGGAAGGGTACATTTTCCCCGACTCTGTGATTGAGCTATCGTACGGATCCAACGACATCACCCGGGCGCTGATCAAGAACCTGATTGGACAGCAGTTCCCGTACCGTGAGATCAACCTCAACAACCTTCGGGACTGGGCGCTGGCCACGCAGCTGAAAGAGAACATTGTCACGTTCAACGACGCCAACGTTGCTGTGCAGATCTTCAAGTTTGTGAACCGGCAGCCGGGCAAGCTGAGCGAGAAGTACGAGTTCAAGGCGTTTGACGACGTGATGATCTCGCCGCTTGGCCTGTTCTACCCGGAGCTGTTCACAGAGGCTGGAGAGCCGCGCAAGGAGAGCACTTTACTGGGCAAGCTTTCTCCAAACAAGCAGCTGGTTCCTGGGCTTCTTGCTGTGGACCCGGCCAAGAGCGTTGCGCAGAAGAACCAGACGGAGCATGTGTTGATCTCCGAGATGGGCACCAAGGAGGTGGTGGAACAGCTTGCGCGCACGTCCGAGGAAGGAGACTCGCAGGTGGACGCGAAGCAGACACAGGTGTCGCAGACCAACGACTACCGCGTGAACATGACGCCGCTGGACAAGGCGATCATCGAGTCGATCACGTACGCGGGCCACGGCGACCAGCAGCGCATCGAGAAGCTGTACCAGAACCTGCTTGTTGTCGGGGGTGGGTCCAACATCGAGGGCCTGGACACGATACTACAGGACCGGCTGCACCTGAACCGGACGCCGCTATTGGCGTCGAACAAGCTGGCAGAGATCACGAAGCTGGCACAGCAGTGGAAGGACAAGGACAAGGACAAGGAGCTGACTGCGCAGCAGATCGAGGACCTCAACAACATGGTGGCAGGTGGGGGTGTGACCACGATCGAGGTGATTGCAAACGACGAGAACCTGGACCCGTCGATGCTGGTGTGGAAGGGCGCGGCTGTTTTTGCGCGGCTGAAGATCGTAGAGGAGCTGTGGATCGGCGAGAAGTACTGGGACATATTTGGCGGGCGCACGCTCAGCTACACGACTCTGTTCAACTACTAGATAACTGAAAAAAAAACGGTAACTTGGAAAAATGCATGCAAGGTGTCCACCTCGCACCTCGCCGCGCTTTCACCCGGTCGGGTTGGCGGTGCTGGTCAGGGAATCTTGAAGACAACAAAAACCAACTCATTCTATATTTCTTGTCTAAAAATGCTAAGAAGAGCCTTCTCAACCTCCAGAGCCGCCAGAAACTACTCGGACACCATCAAGAACCTGAAGATCAACAAAGACACCAAGGTGATCTTCCAAGGTTTCACTGGAAAACAGGCCACTTTCCACGCTGAGCAGGCCCTGGCCTACGGTACCCAGATTGTGGGTGGTACGAACCCAAAGAAGGCTGGCCAGACCCACTTGGACAAGCCTGTGTTTGCCACGGTGGCGGACGCTATCAAGGACACCGGGGCCACTGCCTCGGGAATCTTTGTTCCACCGCCAATTGCTGCCAGTGCCATTGAGGAAGCTGTCGCGGCAGAGATCCCATTGGTGGTGGCCATCACCGAGGGAATCCCTCAATCCGACATGCTGCGTATTTCCCAGCTGTTGAGAACCCAATCCAAGACCAGATTGGTCGGACCTAACTGTCCGGGTATCATTGCTCCAGAGGAGTGCAAAATCGGCATTATGCCCCAGAATATCCACAAGAAGGGTAGAGTGGGAATTGTGTCCAGATCGGGTACCTTGACCTACGAGGCCGTCAACCAGACCACAAAGGTCGGTCTTGGCCAGTCTTTGGTGATCGGAATGGGAGGAGACCCATGCCCGGGCACCAATTTCATCGATGCTCTGACACTCTTTTTGGATGACCCTCACACCGAGGGTATCATTATGATTGGAGAAATCGGAGGAGAGGCCGAGGAAGAGGCTGCCGACTTCCTCAAGCAGTACAACCTCACCAGAGACGTGCCTAAGCCCGTTGCCTCCTTCATTGCCGGTGTCACTGCTCCACCAGGAAGAAGAATGGGCCACGCCGGTGCTTTGATTTCCGGTGGTAAGGGTACTGCCAAGTCCAAGATCGAGGCTCTCACTGCTGCCGAGGTCGCTGTTGTGCCTTCCCCGGGCAGACTTGGCAAGGCTCTTTACGACCAATTTGTCGAGAGAAAACTGTTGTAGACACTAGATAGCTATTACTAGTCAATTTGAATCCTGGAGTTTCAACGGTGCTGCAGTTTTTGTTTCAGCAACAGCAGCCGGTTATTTAGCACGGCCACTTTCTCCAATTTGTCCGCGCTCGTTTGGTGTTCTGTTTCCTTGTACAGTCTGTAATACTCCTTGTACAATGCCTGGAACTTGCGTATTGTCTGGACGGTTTCTGTGTTTTTGGATTTCGCCGCTGCTCGTTTATTTGTCGGGGTCAATCGCTTGGTCACTTTGCCGACGTGTTTTGCCGCGCCGTTGGCCGTTGTTTCAAACAGCTCGGTGCCCTTTTCCGAGAGCCCAGCAACAGCGATCTGCAAGCCAGGCGACTTGATCCCCACTATCTCGCCGTTCTGCACCACCACTTTCAGCTGGCCCGCACTCGCCACCAGCGCAGCCACCTGCTGGTCGTTCAGGCGCACCACCGAGTTCTCGAGCGGCGAATTTTCCCCCGTCAGTGAAACAACCTGCGACATCATCTCCAGTTTTTTTTAACACCCACAATTTAAAAAAAATATACATCTTGTCTTGTTTGTTTCTCTTCTCCCAATGGACCCGTTCGAAGACGTCTACAAAGAGGGCATCTCGGAGCTCGGCCGGCTGCGGTCGACGTCGCCCAACTCGATCGACTTCAACAACATCAAAATCGACCTCATCGAAATTATCAACGACCTCGACAACGCCCTGGAGGTCATTCAGCAATCGAAGAACCGCGCAAGGGCAGGCAACGGCAATGACACGTTCTCGCACATCGACGACTCAGAGGTCCAGGCCCGCAAAAGCAAGCTCGATACCCTCAAAGTCGACTTCAACAAGGTGCTCCAACAGGTAAACCTCCCCGGACACTACTCAGACAACCCGTTCCAGGACCCGCCTGCGATTGACCAGCAGTACACACAGCAACTTCTACAGGAACAGGACGACATCATCTCGCACGACCTCACGCGGTCGATCCAGACTCTGCACCAGCAGGCCCTCACGATAGGAACAGAGCTTGACCACCACCAGGAGCTTCTGGACGACGTGGAACACAACATAGACAGACTCAACTTCAAGCTCGTCAACAACGGCATCAAGAAGATCAACCGGTTTTTGGAAACCAACCAGCGCGGCGGCAACTGCTGCATTGCCGTGCTCATTGCCGTGCTCGTGGTTATTTTGGTGCTACTGGCGGTGCTCTAATAGAATTCGACGTTTCTTATAACATTCATACTTAGTTGTTAAACACCTGCTTCAGGAACGCATCTTCCTCGGCCATGTGCATGGACTTGGATCCAGCAGCAACAGACGCAGATGGGTCTCTTCCAGCGTATCTCAGTTGCAGCTTCTCCAAACCGTCCTCTTTCAAAACTGTCTCCACCCTAGGAGTCACGTAAGAGTAGGCTCCCATGTTGAAAGGCTCCTCCTGACACCACACAAGGTCCTCCAATGCAGGGAACGACTTCAGCGAGTCTCTCAGCTGTGCGAATGGGAATGGGTGCAGTTGCTCGATCTTGATGAAAGCAGTCTCTTTATCTTCTAGCTGTTGTCTTCTCTTGTGCAAGGCAGTGTACACCTGGCCCGTGCACAAAACAACTCTCTTGATGCCAGCTTTCTCGTTGATGGACTTTCCAAGCTCCACGTCCTCGATCAGCCACTGGAAGTGCGACTCGCCCGTGAACTCAGAGATGCTCGATCTGGCCAATGGGTGTCTCAACAAACTCTTGGAGAAAAACATCACCAATGGCTTTCTGAACTGACGGTGCATCTGTCTTCTGATCAAGTGGAACAACGAAGCTGGAGTCGATGGGTACGCAATCTGGATGTTGCAGTCCTGGTGCTGTCTGTCGAGCTTCTCCTGAGTAGGGAAGAACCGTGGGTCCTCATTACACAGCTGCAAGTATCTCTCTATTCTTCCGGAAGAGTGCTCTGGACCTTGTCCGTCGTAACCGTGAGGCAACGACAGAACAATTCCCGATCTCTGCTTCCACTTGGACTCACCAGCAGCAATGAACTGGTCAATAATGACCTGCGCAGTATTGGCAAAGTCACCGAACTGGGCTTCCCAGACAACAAGAGCGTCTGGCGAGGTCAAAGAGTATCCGTACTCAAATCCCATCACACCGTACTCAGAAAGCGAGGAATTGCTGATCACGAAATCTCCTTGGTTCTGGTCCAAGTGCTTCAATGGGATGTATGTGTCTTCGTTTTTCTGGTCGTGCAAAACAGCATGTCTTTGAGAGAAAGTACCTCTCTCCACATCCTGTCCAGAGACTCTCACGTGGTAGCCCTCCATGACCAACGAACCGTAGGCCAAGGCCTCACCGGTGGCCCAGTCGATTCCCTCGGAGTTCTCAATAGACTTCAATCTAGCACCCAAGATTCTCTTGAGGTTTCTGTGCAAATGGAAGTCCTTAGGAACAGTAGAGATCTTCTCACCAATGTACTTAGCCTGGTCCTCAGGAATAGCGGTTGGCAAGTGGGGCAAGATCTCGGTAGCCAATTCCTTTGGCGACTTGAAACCTTCCCATGGAGTAGTTAGCCACTCTCTCGAATCTGGCTTGTAATCCTTCGACTTGCCGAAAGAGTCCTCCAACGTGTTCCACACCCATTGTTTGTGCTCGTTGATGTCCTCTTCGGTGAAAGTTCCCTCCTTCAGCAACTTATCAATGTACATGTCCAGAACTTGCTTCTTGTGGGAGATTCTCTCGTACATCAAAGGTTGTGTGAAGGAAGGCTGATCGGTCTCATTGTGACCGTGTTTTCTGTATCCAACAACATCTAAAATAACGTCAGAATTGAAGGTGGCTCTCCATTCGGCAGCCAAGTTGAACATAAACACAACAGCTTCGACATCGTCAGCATTCACGTGGAAAATTGGAGCATTGATAGCCTTGGCAATGTCAGAAGGATATGGCGTGGATCTAGCAAATCTAGGGTCGGTGGTGAAACCGATCTGGTTATTCACAATCACGTGGATGGTACCTCCTGTAGCGTAGGCCGGAAGAGCGGTGAATCCCATGGTCTCGTAAACAACACCCTGACCAGCGAAGGCGGCGTCTCCATGCAAAAGAACACCAATTGCCTTCTTAAACTCGCCGACATCGTTCTTGTAGTGCTGGATTGCTCTGGTTCTTCCGAGAACAACTGGGTCCTCGGCCTCCAAGTGCGATGGGTTAGCAACAATCGACAGGTTCACAGTCTTTCCTGATGTGGTTGGTCTGACGTAGTTCATACCCAAGTGGTACTTCACGTCACCGGAACCTTCGTCAAATTCCTTCGATCCGGTAAATTCAGAGAAAATTGCTTCAGTTGGCTTACGCACAACATTGGCCAACATGTTCAGTCTTCCTCTGTGGGGCATACCAATGACAACGTCCTCAACACCAAGGTTCACGGCAGTATCTATCAAAGCCTTCAAACCAGGCACCACCGACTCGGCACCCTCCATACCAAATCTCTTATCGTTTGGGAACTTGGTGGACAGGAAGTTCTCGAACTCACAAGCCCACATCAGACGATCCAGGATCTGTCTCTTTTGGTCAGGAGTGAACTTGAATGGGGTAGGGATCTCGGTTCTGGCTCTGAGCCAGTCACATTTTTGTCTGGATGGAATGTGGACGTATTCGACACCATAAGAGGAGCAGTAGATTTTCTCGCAGGTAGCAATCACGTCTTTCAATTTCATGGTGGTTGTTCCCTGCTCAATGAAATGTGGCAAGATACCTGGACCAAGAGTGATCTCCTTCTCAAGGTCGGCTTCCGTAAACCCGTAGTATTCTGGAGTCAGCTCTTTAGGTTTAGGGGTGTTCTTATCGTCGCCGAACGAGATGCCCAAAGGATCAATGTGGGCCTTCTGATGGCCACGCACCTGGTACGCTCTCACAAGCAACTGGGCCTTCAAATGGACCAGAATGCCCTCGCTCACATTTCCGGATCCAGATGGAACCAAATTTGGGATGCCTCCTTCTGGTTGCGGAATCAAGGTTGGCGGAGCAATGTAGGCGCTCGATGCCGGCTTGTTGCCGTTCATGTTGCGGAAGTATGCGTCCCACGACACGTGGACACTCTTTGGGTCGTGGGTCCATGCCTCGTACATCTCGTCGATGTAGTTGGCGTTGTTTGTCTGGAGAAAGCTGTCAAAGCCAGTGGCCAACGTTCTGGCGGGCATCATGGCCCTCACACGGGCCCGGAGACCATGTCTGGCGGCAGATCTAAGCATGATGGGTTCAGCAGGGGTAAGTGACACACACGTTGACTTTGTTGAGTGTGCCGAAGATTAATTTGTTTTTTATAACCTTCTTCTTTTATATAGCCCACAAAATTCGCTCCAAATGGCAACGCTGACGTAATCTGTTTAGCTAGCAAAAGTTCCCCAGAGGAGCGCTATTAGGAAATACACGAAAATGATTGGCTGCAGCGCAATATTACTCGGCTTCCGGGGACGTAGATGCACAATTTTGTCCGAGTCGGGGTCGACGCAGATTTTCCACGCGTCGATCGGCCCGGGTCTATTTTTCAAAAAAACAAGGCCGATATTTTCTCTATTCAACAATGAACAACCACCAGCGGGTTCTGGCAGGTTGGCGACGGCTGCACTATTTCCGGGACGTTGAAATGTTTAGTGGTGCTGAAGAGCCGAGTTTGCCAGTTGGTCCGTTTCGTTTGGACTACAAACTTGCCCGGGGAATCGAACGTGGTGTTGGATCTGCACGGCTTGTTAGTTGGTTCAAAGAGCATCCAAACGAGACATTGACCCCGGCCACTGTGCGACGGCTATCACGTGCTGTTGACTCGAGTGAGTATGGCGACCTGTTTGAGCGGCTATTAAGCTCTGGCCAGCGGTTTGAGACCGGGTCGGGCATGTCCCAGGTGATCACCCGACTGTCTTCAGGAACAGCCCGGGAAAAGGCCATTTTCCTGCTAAAATCGCGGCCGTATGACTCGAACCCGTTCATTTCGCAGTACTCGGACGACATGCGTGTTGCCACGATCAAAAGACTCACAGAAAAGACATACTCGACCGAGGCTCTGCATTACCTCGATCTATACAAACAGACACTTTGCCAGGACTCACCGAACTTGAACACGTACTACCGTCTGTTTAACGACCTGTTGTTGCAGCACGGTCGTCAGCCCGAGCTCACCCGCGAAAATATCCACTCCAGTATCGATCTAATCCTCAGATACTACTTTCTCGTGGAAAAAGACCTCGAGAAGGGCCTCAAGATTATGAACCGGTATTTTGACATACCCAACGTGCAAATCAGCGCAACCACCATCAGCCTAATCAACAAGTATTTTTTGAAATGTCTCAGTCACACGCCTGGCGTCGACCCCGTCGTTGTTCTGGGCTATTTGACCACGATGTATCCGTTCAGCTACCGTTTCCTGGAAACCAGTGGTTTGCTCAATATGGTGTACAATTACCGTGTGCAACCGGTGTTTAGCCCGGAGAAACAGCTGCTCAGACCCAACATCCGCGAAGAGCTTGTTGACCCCTTGTTCCCCGTGTCCCTGGACATGCTCGCCTTTGCATACCATTCGTACTTGTATGGCCGTCGGCCGGGGAAAATCAAGACACGGCTGCTTTTCGAAAAGTACCTTGCGCTTTCACAAACAGACTTGCACACCGACGCGTTTGCGTCGACCGCGGTGCTTGAAACGTTTCTGGGCTATGTTGTTAACGTGCTACAACTGCCTCGTTTTGCTGCCCGATTCTTGCAGCTGTTCTGTGACCACAACGGGTTTGCTAAAGCTTCGCGCGTGCACTCGACGGGAGTCAACAACCTGCTAGTGAGACTGGCGCCGCTCGATCTTGCCCGCGCCATTTCGCTGGCCAAGCAGCTCGCCAAAGTCGTCTCGCTCAATAATAGAGTCTACTACACTTTTATCCACCAGCTGGTCAGACTCGGAGACACAGAAACCGCTGCCGTGTTCTACAGAAAACTGCTGGAGTTGCAGTCGTTGCATCCAGCCAACAGCACTTATCTTGGCCAGCGAAACCTCGCTGAAATGTGCAGCAAGTTCAACTGGCCACCGCCCGTTATAAAGCCACACGTGGAGCACTCTCCAGTCATCGCAGAAAGACCAAAAGTCAACTACTTGGAGATTGTGCGCCTGCTCGACTCAATGAGACCAGGAAGCTTCGTAAACGACGAGCTCGATACAACCCCGTTTTAACGCTAATTAATATCACCTAACGAATATTTTGTAATCCTCAAACCAATAAATAATTAAATGTCCTCGCCAAAAGCGTCCAGCGTGATCATCTGGCCCGGCTTGAATGCGGGCAGCCCCAGGTACGGACACCCGTCACAGCGGAACGCGTCTCCGAGCGCACACGAGTTGCAACCACCTGTTTTTCCTTCGATGGTGAAATCGATCTCCGTCATGTCCGTTTCCGAGAACTTGATCTTCTCGCCCAGCTTGCGTCTTGCGTCCTCGCGCTTGGCCCGTATTCTCTCCTCAATTTTGATGGCCTCGTCCGTAGCCGAGCGGGCCATGTTGCCCAAGATGGTGTCCTGCACCGACCGCTGTGCTCTCTCCTCTGCCTCCTCTTTCTCCTTCAATCCACACGTGCAGTCCTTGCATGCCCGACGTCTCTTCTTTCCGGTGGTCGTGCACTGCACTGGGGTCACCAGCGGTTCGGTCAGTTTCAGGTCCGACGTCTTGAGCAGCTCGTTGTCATCTATGTATGTATCGTTGGCGTCGTTGTCCGAGTCCGAGTCGTCGAAGAACACGAGCTTGGTCTCCTTCAGTTTGCTCTGCTGAGCCGCGTCGTTCTCCTCCTCGTCACCCTCAGAAGAATCGGTTAAAACCGGTGGCGAGGCGAGTTTCTTAAACATTGGCAGTTTTTTAGCCGGCAACTTGTTCTGGCTCCTCGACTTCAAGGGCACAGCAACAGGAGCTGTCTGTGTAGCGTCCGGCTTGATCCAGGTCTGGCCATCTTCGCTGATAGTGAAACCGGCCATAATCGCGTCCAAAGCAGAGTCCGCCGGTATCAGACCGGTGAACTTGCCTCCCTCAACAAGAGAATCGTACAATTGTCCAATCAGAGCACCATTGAACTTATTCTGAGCGGCCTCGGCAGGCGCAAGATAGTAAACCAACTTGTACTGCTTGGATCCCAACGTTTGTTGCCCAAGAGCCACGCGATCTATGACATGCTGGACCAAGTCTGCCTCGGGGTTTGATAATATGAGCTGTTTCTTTGTTTGCTCCACAAGCTGTGGAGTCGTCACCACAGTTGGATGGATCAAAAGAAGAACTTCAGACATCGTGAAAAGCGAAACTTGTGCGAAAAAGGGGGATTTCCCGATGTTATATAGAAATGCAAAATAGTTTCCGCTTGTCTTGAATTCTAATTAGTAATTTCTAATCTACAAAATTTTCACGCACCCGACACCAGCCACAAAAAAATTCTCTCGAGTTCTGTGGCAAAGCAAGTCATCCGAGGAACAACATTGCTACATTAAACTCGCCTCGGAATCGTCATTCCTAACATGGAGTCCGGGCTACCGTATGCGGTCTTGTAAACCGGGGTGCTGATCCGGAGAGGTGTGTAGCTTGCACCTACACCTAGTGGATATTCCGTAACTCGCAATATATTGCCTATTTCGTCTATTTAACCCTGCTATCGCTCAAGACCGTCTCTCGCTCATCTTGATCTCTCCGCCACCGCAGCAGCCTCCGCCAGCTGCCATCTGGCCGCCAAAAGTACTTCTCTTCTTCTTCTTGATGTCGTCGTTGTCACCAAGCTCTGTGTCATTGTGGATGTTCAGGAAGTACTTGTCGTCCTCCTCCTCTTTCTTGCCCTGAACGATGTTGCGACGCAGGAACAGAGAAACCTGGTCCAGGTGCTTGATTCTGTCCTCAACGCTCTTCTCTGGCATGTCAGGATCCACATTCAAGACCATTTTTGACCGGATTTGGGCGCGGGCAGCCTGGAGAGTGGCAAGATCGCCTTGAAATGCAATCGACGTAGCGCGCAGAGCACCACGGTATGCTTTGAGGGCCTCGTTAGCTAGAGACATCCTGGTATCTGCTTAGTAATGTTTACCAACTAGAAAAATCCTTTAAAATTATTTCATTTTTATTTGTTCCTTCCTTCAACTTCCATACGGCTTACGTCATCACGTGAACCGGACAAGCTGCTTGCCCTGTTTGGAGTTGGTCAGGGCCGTTTCGAACGCCTTGAACACCTCTTCTTCGGAGCCATCTGCAGAAACCGGCACATGGGTCACCTTCACGTCCACAAGGTCGCCGTCCTCCATCATTTTCTGCACAGCTTTCAAAGTGTTTTCTTTAGAGCCAGGCACTCTGGTGACGTTTGCCGTGATCCAGAATCCCTTGGCAGTGAGGTTCTTGAAAATGAACAGCTGGGTAGGAATCATGACCGGTTTCATCGACATGGCACCGTAAGAGACCAACGTAGCGTCTTTGCCGAGCTTTCTGGCCATGTTGGAGCAGTTTTCTCCACCAACACAGTTCAATGCAAGTTTGATTGGAGAACCCTTTGTCCATTCGGCGATGGTCTTGCCAAACTCTCTGGACGCGTTGTCCTCCTCGGTGATAACCTTTGTAGCACCCAGCGCGGTCAATTCGTCAACGAGTTCCTGTAAGTTGTCTCTATTTCTGACGATGGAAATCGACTGCAGGCCGAGTTTCTTGCCGATCTGGATGGCAGCACGGCCAACCTGGGAGTTTCCCCCGTTCTGGATGAACCAGTCGCCCGGTTTCAGGTCTTCGAACATGGTGAGCATCTGGTAAGCACTGGATGGGTTAACGGAGATGGTGGCAGCCTGTTCCTCGGTGATTGTCTTGCTAATTTTGAGCAAGGACGATTCGTCGGTCAAGGCATGCGATCTCCATGTTCCAAAGTTGACATTGCTTGGAATACACCAGTCGCCGGCCTTCAGGGAGGTGACCTTGTTTCCAACAGCAAGCACTTTAAATAGACCCTCGTTTCCGCAAGGGGCAACCGGTTCTGACGTTCCAAACGCAGTGGTTTTGTCCGGTTTCGAGGGATACACTCCCTGGATCTGATTGATGTCAGAAGGGTTGACTGGACTGGCAATTGTTTGCACTAGGACATCTGATCCTTGTGGAGAAGATGGCAACTCATGAGAAATACACTTGAGCACGGACTCCGGCTGGCCGTGCTGGGCATACACTAGGACTTTGGCCTTGATAGACATCGTAGTGGCGGAAGTGGAAAATTGTCTGGAAACAGTACGTAACAAACTAGATGTAGCAAACATTGTCTTCAGAAGTGGAGGGACGAAAAATTTAGGTTATAGTTATGTCAGTTCGCGGAGAATAGCTGACTTTTTTTTTCTTTTATCAAAGCGAGATAGTTTGACTTATCATGCCTCTGCAGAACTGGCGAACCGACGCACAGAAAAACCGCCGAATACGGTCTGTTGCTCTCCGAAAATCCCGCACAGACTCCCTCGTTCTGTCTGGTGCAGGAATGGCAACAGAATCCGATTCTGACGACTCCTCCGTAGATACAGACATTGACAGCTCAGGCCGGCCTGCAATCCCCAGACGAGTACTTTCTGCGTCGTCAGAGATGCTGAGCAGAAACAACTCGTTCAACTCGACATCCAAAAGACCCAGCATGCAGGAACTGTTCAGTCTGGACGCGCAGTCTGTCCCTCCCTCACCCAATGCCACCCCAGCCCCAGACACAAACAGTCTCAAGGTTCCTCCAGAAGACCATCTGGACCTGTCTGCAACCGACGACCGCCACGTGGTGTTCAAGAAGTTCATTTCCAAGCGCAAACTGATCCCCAAAGCCAAGTCGTTCCGCAGAGTTGTGACAGATCTGGAAAATGAGGTGTCTCCGCTGGACACTGAAATTCAGCACGAGCTGATAATAACCTCTGCACTAAAGGACGAGTCGCGCATATTGTCGTCCAAAATTGCCACTGCCACCCTTACACAGCCTTCGAGCCTCAACATGGACAACCTCAAGAAGTTCGAGCTCATCAACAAGGCGAACGAGGCGTGGAATAAAAAACCTTTGCATCGCACCCGCTCCAGATCCAGCTCCGTGACCTCCACCGCGTCAGACACGGCTTCTCGCCTGAAAAGACGCCAGGACGACACCCCGCCGCCCAGCTCCAAGCGGCGTATCCTGCCCATGTCGCCGTTCCTGCCCCCCTCCAGACGCAACTCCAAACTCATCCATACAACCTCTGTCGATTTGGAGTCCATGAAACTAGACGAGGTGTGAGGTGTTCCCCATTAGATAGAAAAGATTATAGCATCCGATAAGTTATTGCGAAATAAAGTTTAAACTGTAAATCTGGGGTACGGACAACTGCACCATGTTGATTCGCCGTATTTCGAGCTGTCGTCGGTGTCTGGCCAAGGTGGACACCACGTCAAAGGGTGCACGGGTTATTGCAAACTCGATTTTCCAGAATATGAACTCCAACACCTTGCCCAACAAGGATCTCTCGCCCGTCAACCCGGCCATTGACGCAGCCCGCTACTTCAGCAACCTCCAGAACAACAACATGCTACAAGGATCAGAATACAAGCAGCTCCCTGACGATTCACAATTCATAGAGAAACATTACGACGAGTTGAAGCAGTATAGAGAGCGGCTGGCCAAGCCATTTGGCGAGTTCCCATCAGTGAGCGAGTTATTTATGGAGCTAAGCAAGATGAGACCCGAGTTTGGCTCGCATGACACCCGGCCGATAGCGGACTCGGAAGTGCTGGGAAACACAAACCGTCTTGCCGTGGTGGCCTTTGACCGGTTCATTAACGACTTGGCCATCACGCTGCGCCTGAACGGTGGCCACCTGTTCACACTCGATCTCCTGCTCCATAACAAGGAGTTATTCGATAACTTTGAAAAGGGCAAAGAATGAGCTATGGCGTAATGACCCGTGTTTTATGTTGGCATATATGGAAATCTAACTTAAATTAATTCTGTCCCCATGTCTCTTTACAGTTTGAGTTTGGACAGAGACCATTTTGGGCTCTCCAAGCTTCCGTTCCACTCATTATTGGTGCATTGGCGTATTTCTGATGCGTTGTATGTATTGTTGATCATTTTCCTGGATGGAGCCGTCTTTGAGAGAATTGAACCGTACCAAAGACAGTTCACTATCAATGACCTTACAATCAGCCATCCGTTTGCAGAAGTTGAGCGTGTGAGCGGCCCAGCGTTGCTGAATATTGTGACAATTGTGCCTACCCTGATCATTTTCACAGGAGTGCTCCTGCTCACCCCAAGACACCACAAGCTCTATGTTTTGTATGTGAGTCTGATTGGACAGTACGTGTCCCTGGGAACCTGTGTTTTCATTACCGACGTATTCAAAAACTGGATCGGTCGGTGCCGACCAGACTTCCTTGCACGGTGCCAGCCAGACCCGGCCGCTCTCAAAGATACTCTTTATTACGCATCAGAAATCTGCACAACCACAAACAAAGGCAGACTACTGGACGGGTTCCGCACGACTCCCTCTGGTCATTCGAGCATGAGTTTCTCCGGGCTCGGCTACGCTACTCTGTGGCTATTGGGCCAGCTGACAGCCACCAAAAGCGACGTGGGAGCATGGAGAGCCATAGTGTCGTTGCTCCCCGCACTGTACGCCTCTTACGTGGCCATGTCCAGAACACAGGACTACCGCCACCACTTTGTGGACGTCATTCTCGGCTCAATTCTTGGGTCGCTTATCGCCTGGTGGTCATACAGACGGCTGTTCCCAGCAGTCACCAGCTCCAACAGCTACACCCCAACAGCACTACATTCCGACGACAAGGAGCACGAGTACACTCGGCTCCAAGACGAGTCGTACCAACTCGCGCCTCACAGCGAGGACGAACCCCCTGTCTAGATTACGTACCGTATTTAGCCAGCTTCCACGGCCGGGTAATTGTTCCTTTTGCGCGAACAGGATAAAAAAAACGGTTTGGTCCCACAGCCTTTTGTTTTAATCTTTACAGTCTTTAGAACCATGGATTCGTGTCCCGAGTCGGCGTATTGTCTGATTTCAGATGGCGGTCTTCATTTTCTTCCTTATAGAGAGCCCAAACACTCCCTGAGGTCTCCATACTATTCATTTCTAGCCAACAAGACCATGTCGTCTTTAGCTGCCAGCACCACCGCATCGCAACCAAACTCCGGCTCTGACATGGAGTCGCAGTCGATTTCGTCGTCGATCTCGGAGACCATGCCAGATCATCACCAGCTAGAGATACCCAGTCTGCTGGACACCTACTCCGCGCATGCCTTGTATCTTCCTGGCATCTATGTGGAGCCCTCCGATAATGGGAACCATGACGAGATCAAGAAGATGCTGGCCAAGATTTTCCCCCACTGGGAGAGCGAATCGCTCATTTCGGTGAAACATCTCACTGGCGGAATCACAAATATGCTGTTGGAGTGCACAATGTACAACAAAGCCACGGATCTCCATGAAAAAGTTCTGGTTCGCACTTATGGCCGCGGAACTGGTTTGATCATCGACAGAGACAGAGAGTTTGTTTCTCATTTGGTGATCAACTCGGTCAACCTCGCTCCGCCGATTCACGCTCGGTTCGGCAACGGACTGGTTTACGGGTTCATCGAAGGACGTTCTTTGGAGTATCAAGAGCTCTCGAACCAGGTGCTTTATCCACTGATTGCCGCGAAACTTGGCCAGTGGCACCAGCAGGTTCAGGTGGACGCTATAGAGGAGTGTTTGACCACACTCCGTCGCGAGTTCCGTGGGGCAAAGTCGGAAACCAAGTCCTCTGATCTCTGGGCCGTCATCTCAAACTGGATCCAGATACTACCGGAGATCGAGGGAATCGTCAAGAGCTGTGCCTCGAACCTGGATATCCGCGAACTCAAAGACACAAATGCATCCCTTGGCTCGATTTTAAAGGCAGAGCTGGACTGGCTACGGTCTGAGGTGGAGCATAAGTCGCCGTTCGTTGCATGTCATTGCGACCTTTTGAGCGGTAACGTGATCATCTCTGAAGAGCTCTCGGAGAAGTTGGAAGCTGGTCTTTCAACTGCCGACGTGGAATACTATCGCACGCACAACCCGATCTCATTTATAGACTACGAGTACATGATCAGGGCACCAAGAGCGTTTGACATCTCGAATCACTTCATGGAATGGCAAGGATTCGACTGCGACAGAACACGGATTCCGCAAGCGTCGAAATCGAACGAGCTTTTGCGAGAATGGTGTGCTAGTTATCTGTGGTTGGAAAATACAGAGAAAAATAGAGCCCCCATCGATAACTTAATCACCGAAATCTCACTTTACTATGGGCTTCCAGGTTTCTACTGGGGGATCTGGTCGGGCATTCAAAGTGGGATCTCGTTAATTGATTTTGACTATAGTTGGTATGCAGGGGAGAGAATCCAGGAATACTGGGACTGGAAGCGCACGTTCAAGAAAGCTCCTGAAGAACGTTCTTGAGCACCATGGTTTTCTGGATCACTCTGGATTGAGTGTTCATTTTCACTGAGCGATTTGATGATGGCATGGAGTTCATCTGTGACGCCATGAATTCTTTGAATGCATCCTGGTACACTGCGTCTGCGTCTGGCGGAAGCGAGTACACCCACCGTCTGTTTTCAAGGAGGTTCATAAATCCTTCAAACTGCGGGATGGTTTTCATGAGTTTCTCGCTGCCCAGGATGATCAGTTTCGACTTCGCCCGGGTCATCGCCACATTCACCCGCCGCCACTCTCTCAGCAGGTCTCCGGCCACGTTTTTCTCGTTGGATCTCACCAGCGAGATAATGATACAATTCTTGTCTCTTCCTTGGAACTGATCTGCTGTCAGAACCTCGATGTCTGGATGATTAGAAAGTCCCCGATAGAAATGTCTCAGCTGAGCACGATAGAACGACATAACACCAATAGATGATGCATCCACTCCGCTGGAGACGAGACACTTGATGATTTGCAGAATGAGTTGCGCTTCCACAGGGTTATCGATTTTTTCTCCGTTGGCGACCTCCTGTGCAGGCACATTGTCATGACTAAGGAACACCACCCGGTTTGTAGGCTTGAATACATGATCCATCCACCGGAGATGTTTTGGAATCGTGCTTGAGAATTCCTCCAACCGTGCTGATTGCGGGATAGGAAGTATCTGGTTGGCAACCTGGAGGGACCCGCACTTGAGCCGGCCGTCATAGATCAGACTGTTCGACAGCATCATCACGTCTGCGCTCATGCGGTACTGGTGGGTCAGTTCCACAACGCTTTCTGGATACTTTTCGCTCAAAATGCGGAACAGCGACCTATCCATGCCACCGACTCTGGCCTCTGGGCTTCGCACCAACGGTGGCAGCTGGAAATGGTCTCCAACAAGCACAAACTTGTCTGCGAACCGCAACGGGCCCAAACACACCGGCATGGACACCTGCGACGCCTCGTCGATGATGCAGTAGTCAAAGTGCTGTCTATGAATAAACACTGTGTCCTGGATGCCGAGACACGTCGTGGCCACGATGTTGGGTTCGAAGAACGCTTTCTGGAACCCTTCTGCCGAGTCCAGGGCGTAGATGGAGTCCTTAGAGTAGAGCGAGTATTTGCGCACCTTCTCGCTCAGTTTGTTGGCCGCTCCGACTCTTAGGATCTTTGGCTCGTCGATGATGTCCACGAGCTTTTCCAGGATGTTGTCCACGGCAGAGTGTGTATAGGAAGCAATCAACACCGACTTGCCATTTTCCACAAGACATTTGATCAGACTGGCCGTCACTGTAGTTTTCCCTGTACCAGGCATGCCCAGCACCAGACAGTAGTCCTCTGTACGCAGCACCTTATCGAACGCCTGCAACTGGTCCGGATTGAACTTCTTTGAGCTGAAGTTGCTCGACATGGTGGTGGTTTTGCTGAACCGCGGCGGATCGAGATCCACCACCAGTTTTCTGGTTCTTTCGTCACCTTCAGCCAGGAAAAGATTCAACAAGTTGAATCTGGCCAAGTTCAGTCCATGGAACATCTCGTCCTTGTCGATTCTGTACGTTTTCGCAGGAAGCTCTTGGCTGTAGCCGCTGGTGAGCACGCTCTGGAACACCTGATTTCTGTTTGCGTCAAAATCGCTCATCTTGACATTGGAGTTCACAAACCGACGGTCTGTGCTCACCAGAATAATTCCTGGCCGGACATTCTCCACAAACCCGAACGCCAGTCCAAACTGGCCTTCTTCGTCAGAAACGATCACTCTGTCGTGTTTCGACAGTTGCGTAGCAGTCAGCGACTGATGCACCGTGTCGTCACGCTCAAACGTGTAAAGATACCGCTTGGTGTGGCTCCGGGATACTTCCACCTCCTGGAAATGGGTCACCTGCAAATGACCAGCAGCCTTGCCGCCCTTTTGCTCGCGCACACTCGCAGAGTAGCACCACAGGTCTTTCTTGAAACTGTTGACAAACCCTTCTTCTTTGCTGAGAAGATTGTTCCAATGGCTAAAAAAATCGAGATACACCTGCTTGTTCAGATGGCCAGTGAGGCTCTCGTACAGCTCCTCTTCGATCCCGCTGTCCTTCGCCGTCCCGTTCTCCATCAACTTGTTGTATGTCATGCATTCGTTCAAAGAGAAACAGCGCTCGCAACTTGGTTGCTTCTTCAATGGAGGCAGGTCCATGGCCCCGTATCTTAAATAATGCGAAATGTGGTTGCGGATATTGACCAGCATCCGCAAGTCGTTGGCGTTCAACGCCTCGAAGTAGCTCTGGCGCATTTTCGTGTACACCAGTGCCAGCGATCGGGCCTGCACATTGTATCTTTGGCTCACCAGGAGCGTATACAACGTAGCTTGTGCTCTGTTGGAGATGTAGTCTTTGCCTGTTTTGATCTCCATCGGCACAACCACCTTGCTGCCATCTTTCAAAGACGCCTCGATGACAACGTCAATCAAACCTTTCAGTCCAAACATTGGCGACCAGATATTCTCCTCTATATCAAGAACGTTGGACACTTTCATCTGCGCGTTGTTGCGATAAGTGTTAGCAGAGGTGAATTTGGACACCCATTCCTTGATGTAGTCAACGTGGCCCAGGATAATTCCTTTCAATTCAGAACGGTCAATGCCAATGCTGTATATAGGGACAAGGTTCTCGTCAAGCAGCTCCTCGAGGTATTCATCGATGAATTCTGTGGAAATAACGTTATCTTTCAAACAAGCTTGGAAAAGTTGATGCACAATTGATCCAAGGATCAATGGAGTGGAGTGTTCTCCTAGCGACTGCAACTTGTTGGACAGCACGGCTTTCCGCTTGCAATCGACCGCGGAAGCAACCATGGTGGCAGACAAAAGAATATCCGGGTTCCATATAAGCATATTGTTGGACTTGTCTATCAGCTGCGGATTGACGCTATCCACAATAACGTTGACAATATCACCTTCTTGGTACTCCAGCTCCGTCCAAAGGTCTCGCACAACAAGGTTCTTGGGCTGTGATCCCTCGTTCTCGCATTTCAGAATCAGTTGCTCTCCACCTTTATACTTGCTCTTGACCACATTTGTAATTCGATACCGGTGACACCGGGGGTTGTGAATCTCCGCAGTCAGCGGGTTCTCCACCACTTCGAACGCCTGCTGGTTATCGTTCTCCAGCTTCATATCTTTGAATTGAGGAATCGCGCTGGAATCTTTGCTCGAAGCAAAAATCTCGTCCCCGTTATCGCTAAAATCGTCAGAAGTGTCAAACGACGTGGATGCCTGTGTGCATTTAGCAGCAACCACTGCCTCCACCGTCTCTTCAGGCTCCGCTGACACGTCTTCATGTTTCTCTTCTGGCTCTGCTGTCGCGCGCTCGGTTCGTTTCAGATTCGACAATTGGTCAAGTTCCTCCATGTCAACATCGCTAAACTCGTCAGATAGATCGTCCAGCAAGTAATCGACCTCGACCGACTGCTGCTGCGACTCTTCCTGTAGCTCTGTCTGTGTCTCCTCCCTGATAGTCTTGCCGATCATCGTGAGCATCTGCGAAACGCTCTGTGTGGGAGCCTCACTGGGAGACCCAAACCCTGCTCCATTGACCAGTCTCTTGGATGCCTTCAATTTGCTGATACTCTGCTGCATGCTTTCGCTCAACGTCTGTTTCTTGGCAATTATCGGCGTGTCTGCAATCGCAACACAGCTCTTGTGCACCAACGAGTGCGGATCAGACACCGATCTTGCTAGACTGGGAGTTCTCTCTGCATCGTTTGACATGTCATACTTTTCCAGTAAACTCTTAAGTTTTGGGTCCAAGAGCTGCATTCCGGTCAGCGCCTCATGGATGGGTGACGACAGAACGTCTCCCTGATCAAAACTGTCACAGCCAGAGGTGGTGGTGGAATTGTCCTTGTTCTTCTTGATGCTAGGAGTGAGTGCCCAGAAGATGTTGTCGTCGCTGCTTGGATGGTGTAACTCGCTGTTCATCTTCGATCCCTTGCGATCTGGCGTCTTGATGCTTAATTGGATGTCTGAGTTGGTGGACGAGCAGATATTGGGGTCCTTCCGTTGCAAAGGCACAGACTCGGTGGACGGCTTGACCGACCTGAAGACGGCCTTATCTCGGGCCAGCGGCTCCGTAAACCCAAGCGTGTCCAGATAGCGACTGTTTTCACTGTTCCTGCTGGGTTTTATCCGCTTTGTGCGTCTCTGTGGCGAACCAGACATGGATTGGATCAAGGAAAAAAAATACGCGTAAATAAAGGAGCATCAATTCCCTGCTGCTGCGCAGCATGTGATCTTAGGTCACGTGCTAGCTTGGCCGTGGGGAGTTAATTATTTTGGGTTCCCAAAAAAATGATAGCGAATTGTATATGTCTGTTCCGTACTCAGTGATTTCGAAGTTCCCATACACGCCGGAGGCGGAAAATGCGTCTGATGACCTCGCGTTCAGTGCGGGCCAGTCAATTACCGTCACAGAGGAGGTCGACGACGAGTGGTTGTTTGGCACGTACAAAGCAGGTGGCGAGCTGTTGTCGGGCTATTTCCCCAAGGCTTTTGTTGAGAAGGAGCCGGACACAGAGCCAATTGATCGCCAGCCGCAATCCCCAGTCGAGCCGAAAAGTTCCTCATCGGCTGGCCCTGCAGAAATTGCCGAGACCCCTAAAAAGTCGATAGAGAGTGTGGCTAAGCAGCCAGAAGAATCGCCAAAGGAATCGCCCAAGGAGTCCTTGGTGGAACAATCGTCAGGTTCCGATTTCAAACACAAGCTTCAAAGTTTCAACGTAACGTCTGCTCCGCCGCTGCCTGGCCAGACCGTTGCCGATACCGACTTTACCAAAAAGCCCTTTATTGCTGCCAGTCCTCACTCGTCTTATGTTCCTGCTGTCGAGCGACGCGAGAGCAAGCACGAGCCAGAAAAGCCCGTGGAGGAGTCTCCTGTTGCGTCGTCTGTGGTCAATGCTGCTGAGCCCTCATCTCCGGAGGAGTCAGCTCCCCGTTTGACCCTAAAGGAGAGACTGAAGCTGCTGGAAGAGCGGCAGCGAGAAGAACAGGCCGCTGCAGAGGCATTGCTCAAGCGCAAAGAGGAGAAGAAGAAGAAACGCGAGGAGAGAGAAAAGGAGAAGGAGCACGAGCTAAAGGAGGCCGTTACTGGAGACCAGAACGACGAGTCTGCTCCTGTCGAGAGCGAGCAACACCAACACACAGACGAAGAAGAGGAAGAAACAGAAAAGGTTCCCGAGGAGGAGGACGATGACGACGATGACGATGACGATGAAGAGGATGAGGAGGAAGTCAAGAGACGGCAGCTACGTGAAAGAATGGCCAAACTGTCTGGTGGAATGGGAATGGTGGGTATGATGGGTTTTGGCGCACCAATGCCTGTTAAGGAAAAGACTAAGAAGAAGGAGAAACAGAAAGAGGTTGAAGAACCAGAGTCTGTTCCTAGAGCTGCTCCTATCCCTATTTTCCCAACTGCTACAGGCAAATCTGTCGAGCCACAGCACGAGGAGCTAACAGAGTTAAAGGACGAAGAAACTGACGACCAGTCGAAATACGAGCCAGAGGTGGTCGATCTGACCAAATCGCAGGCTGTTGACTCTGAGGATGAGCACGAAGAGGAGCCAGCGGCCCCAAGGTCCGAACATAAGCCGACCGCTTCCCTGCCTCCTGTTCCGGGTGTTCCTCCTGTTCCATCTGCTCCAGCCGTTCCAGACACTCCAAAGACCCCAACAGCTCCTGCTGTTCCTGCAGTGCCGCCTGTGCCAACGAGCCACCCCTCAGCGCAGCTGACAGAGCCACTGGAGTCGGCAGACTTGTCGTCTGAGTCCGACATCGACGAGGACTACAAGTCTGTCTCCACCGCGTCGCCCAAGACTGCACTTTCGAATCCACCGCTGCCACACGCACCTCCCGTTCCCGTGCCAGGTGCTGTTCCGTCCGTGCCTGTTCCAACCGCTCCTCCAGTGGCTCCTGCAGCCATGACCGATTCCAGCGAGGAAGTCGTGACCGGGTACGAGGCTGATGACGACACCGACATTGCGCAGGCCGACCGAACCCTGGAATCTCCGGCAGTGCCACACCAAGTTCCACCGCCGCTTCCTTCCCACCCTATCACCAAGGCACCGACGACTCCTGCTTCTCCAATGACTGCAGCTCCTCCTCCTCCACCGCCAGCTGTCAGACCTGCTCCGCCAGTTCCAACGTCGCCAATCGCTCCATCTGCCCCACGCACCTTGACGACCTCCACTCTCGAGCACCACAGCACCGGCCCAGTTCACCACCCACCGCCTCCTCCTCCCCCAGCAGCCGGCATCCAGGCTGCCACCACGGGATCAACAATCCATTCCGCACGCAAGCCAAGTTTGGATCTCTCTGAGGTACAGCATTCGTCCACCCATTGGTGGCTCACCAAGGACCTGCCCCAAGAGCTGTCTTCGAAGGACGTGTACTACGAGGTGGACTCGCATCACATCAACAAGAGAAACGGCAGAAAGCTGGTGTATTTGGACTATTATATTGTGAACCCAGACTACTCAACCAGGGTTTGGGAGCTGTCTTACGACACTGCCCATCCAGCCAAGTTGGCTTCGTTTAACGAGTCTGTGCTCGAAAAGCCTGCACTCAACCAAACATACCTGGTCGAGGCATCCAAGAAGTACGGCGCACTGGCTTTCCAGCTGGCGTCGTCGGTCATTGGAACCTCAAAGGTGCAAGAGGACTTTGTCTTGTGGATATACAAACAGCTGCCCCACGACGTGATGCCTTCTATTGCTTCGAAAACGTTCGGAGCCACCATTTACAGAAACACAAACAACGTGGACATCCTGCAGTCGGATCAGCTGCGTCCTGGAGACATATTGGTGGTGTTGAAGGGACGGTTTGAAGGCCATTCGACCGGACCGTTCCACAAGAGCAAGTCAGCAGAGCTCGGATTCAACGGTAGACCGTACTCTGCGATTGTGAGCGGGTTCGATCCTGCAAAAAGCAAAATTAAGGTCATTGAGCAATCTTCCAAAGGAATACAGACCAACTCGTACAAATTGGGCGAGTTCAAGTCTGGCAAAATAAGGATTTTCAGAATTGTGGGCAGAGATTATTTTGGATGGTGAAATAAAAATAATTAGTATGATTTTCCGAACGCTTGTAGCATTGAATAAGCCGGTCCGTCATCGATCGATTTCGACGGTGAATCTCACATTCTTTGGGAAAAGCAACTGCGGTCTCTGTGACGAGGCCCACTCTGTCCTGGATCGGGTTCTCAAGTCCGATAAGGCATCAGATTTGTCATCCAAAGTGAAACTTGAGCAAATAGACATAACCGCAAAGGGTAACGAGGAATGGTTTGATTGCTATCGGTATGACATTCCTGTACTTCACATTGATAGAGAGGGATACAAGACGGTCAAGTTCATGCATCGTCTGGACCCACAGGAACTATTGGAGGAGCTAACCGAGGACCTTTAGCGGGTTCTTCTTTCTTCCTCGTTTGCGCTTGACGGGCTCCTGTGGTTGTTCAGATGTACCGGTTTCTGTTGCACTAGGTTTGGGTGCCGAATTCACCATTTGTTTTAAAGCTTCGATTTCCTGCTGATCTTGGATATGTTTCTTTTCGCACTCGCTGTGCTCGCCGCTTAGCTTATTGTACTCGTCCAGCAAAGATTGGTACTCGATCTCCCGTTTTGTCTGCTTGAAGTTGAGCAGCGCTTGGTCCCCCGACTGTTTTTGGCCCTCGGCCACGTCGGCCAAAGTTTTCTCGATTTCCTCTAGCTGCCGGGGAACAGAAGTTGAAGCATTTATTATCGACCGCAGCTGGTCGGACATTTTTCGAGCCACAGTCAGCATTCCCTGTTCCATCTTGGATCCGATTGTATATATCTGGCGCACTTCCTGCTCGATGTTCTCTGTAGAGCCGGGGTGTGCCTTGGATGCGAGCAAATTCGTCAGTTCTGTGTTTTTCTGCTTTTCGTCCACCAGCCTCGAAATAGAGTCTTCTAACCTCAATCTTAACGACGTCATCTCTATTTCCTGTCTGCTGATAGTCAGACTAGACTCCTGGTGTCTGGACTTGAGCCATTCGAACCGTTTTGTTTGGCACTGCAACTGGCGAGCCGTTTCTTGCGTTTTCATTTGTAGTTCTCTGGTTTCCTTCAACACCTCAAACGTTGTTCTACTCAGATCGCTGCATTTCTTCTTGCCCTGGACAACTTCTTTTCCTGCAATTACCAGTTCTGATTCCAGCGACTTAAGCCTGTCTTTGAAAGAGTTGGTTAGTTTCTTGTAAACTGCCAGCTTCCCGTTGGCTTCTGCGAGCTTGGCCTCCGACTTTTGCAATTCTGCGTCCTGTCTCTCAACGGTGGTGTTGAGATGCGAGATCGTGCTGAGCAAGTGTTCCACCGACGTTTGTGTTTCAACGCGTCTCCGTTTCCGTTGAGGCTTTGCTGGAGTGTCAGGCAAGATATCGTCCCCCTTAGTGGCCCTTGCAACGAAAACATTATCCTTGTCTCCCTCTTCAATCATACTGGAATCGTTGCAAAGCGTGGTATCTGAGAGGTCGGGCTGAACTCTGTTGTTCTGTTCAAGCTTGAACGCAGCCAAACGCGAACGAAACGCGGACGAATCTTTTAGGAAACTGGTCATAGCGTAAATAATACACGGTATATATTAATCCCCCAATTAGTTGCCCATTAAAAAAGGTAGCCAAATATTTAAGACGATCGACGCGGTAGCACTACAGTCAGATTTGCGAAAGGCAAGCGTTACTAAATGTCCTATATAATACTATCACACGGATGCAGTGGATCCGGATTGCGACAACCAGCTAGAAACAGTGTCGGAGTCGAGAGAGCTGCCGAAGTCGGTGTCGTCGTCCAATTGGACGATGTGGATTTCGCCGTTGTCAAACACAGCAGCAGCCTTCATGGACCCGCTGGTTGGTCTAGCAAAGTAGTCCTGGGATCCTCCTCCACCAGAGGAAGAGCCGTTGTCACCTTGGCCATCGTGCAAGTGGGAAATCAACTTGTCGGAGCCAGAAGAAAGGATCTCGAACAAATCAAGCTCACCGCAACCAGTAGACCAACAAGAGCACGAGGAGTCTCCGTATTGCAAAGTTCTAGGGATTTTAGCGTTCAACAACCAAATAGCAGGCATGTCGTAGTTGGTGCTCGAGGAGTCGGTGGCAGTAGGCATCTCGAACTCGAACACAAAGATCTTGGTGTTACCTGCAAAACCGTGGTAAGCAGGGATGTCAGATCTAGTGTAGCCACAGTCTCCAACAGAGTCGTCAGAACAGTCAGAACCAGACATGATGATGTACTCAACGTTGGAGTCGATGGTGACCTCGTCCAAGGCAGTGCTGGAAGAAGCACCAGACTTTCCGTCAGAGTCACAGTAGGACAGAGAGTTACCGAAACAGGAAGACCAGGTTCCGGAACCAGCAGTTCCTCCTTGGTGGTTGAGGAAAGTGACGTTGGTGATGGAGCCAGGTTGGAAGTAAGAGGATCTGCTCCATGCACCCGAAGAGGAGGACGAAGAAGAGGAAGAGGTGGCCTCGGACTCGGAGCTGGTACTGGAGCTCGAAGAGGAAGAGCTGGAGGTGGCGGAGCTGGAAGAGTTGTCGTCCTCGTCGTCGTTGCTCTCGGCCGAGCTGGTTGGAGAGGCTTGGCCGGTAGCAGACGAAGCGCTGCTGCTAGTTATCACCTTGGCCTCAGCAGTGGATGGACTGTCACCGTCGGTGATGGTCTTTCCGTTCTGGTCAACGTAAACGGTGGCTGTGACAGCAACATACTCAACAGCTCTTCTGTGGTTGTGGTGAGCGTGGATGGTGGTCTCGCAGTCCTCCTCCTCCTCTCTCTTGACCTTCTTGGAGGACGAAGAGGAAGATGGGTAGTAAACACCGAACTGGAGCAACTTCAAAGGACCTCTAAAGTGAACGGAAAGCTCTTCGTCGAGAGGAGACAAAGAGCCCGAAAAGGAGGTCGACTCTGAAGAACACGAACACGAAGACTCGTCCATGTCGGTCACATCAGAGTAGGAACCAGAGTAGCCGATTCCCTCATAGATAACAGCGTTGGTTTCAGAACAGTAATAGTTTCCGCCAACATTGGAGCAACCAGCGTGCGCAGTTGTCCAGATGGCTGAAAACACGGTAAGTAACGTGGCTCTGTTGAATAGCATAGTCCGGAGATTTGAAAAGGAATGAATACCAGACTTGACACAGTGAAAGTTAAGGAGTGAGAACTTTTTCACGGAAGAACAGAGGTAGTTGTAACAGGTTCAGAACTTTGGCTTAGCTTCAAAGTTGTTTCTCAAAAGGGATGCACTCTAAGCACGGGTCGTGTATTGACTTATAAGCCGGCACGGAATGATTTTTTTTTTTGGTTTCGGGGTGGCTGGATTCGGAAATTTCCAAATACTCTGAAACAAACCGCGTCGGGAGGGCCCTGCGAAAAATTTAGCAGGAAAAGGCCATGCATCCCTACACCACGAAGCAGACAGTTTAGGCAGTGAAAAGAACCATTTTGCGGTTGAAATGGCCCGCAAAACAGGCCCTTGGATCTGGTTGGGACCCTCAGGTTGCATCTCAGACATCGGAATCTTGCTTCCTCGGTCGACGCATGTTTTTCAGCTGCTTCCAAATGTAGCCAGCGTCCAGGCTTTCTATTGGCTACATCTGAACTTTTTTCGTCTTGGCTCTGGTAGCTGCAGCTTCAATCTGATCAGTTTTTTTCTTTTGCGCGGGCCAGCCAGACGCAACTGCAAGATCAGATTGTCTTGCCGTAAAAATTAGCACCGTGCGCAAAGAACCGGTATTTGTCCTATTGTTTGTAAGCGAGCTCCTTGCAACTTGTCCATTAGCATGACGCTTGAGCCTCGATCTTTAATCGAACGGCCTTGACAACCGTGCAGCCGTTTGCGCAATTAATGCCTATTCGGGTTAAACCACTTGCAAACCTTGAATCGAGAACCGTTGAAATGATGTAATTTATGCTTGTTCCCCTTACTTTCTTACCCTGCCTCCCAGACACTTGTCGATGTGTGCCGCAAACCGACCTCCGGCGATCTTTCGGTCGCAGTTCAGGCACTGGAAATAGCTGTCTCCCGAGGCAGTGTTTTTCCCAAAGATATCTTTGCCGTTGCGCACAAAATTGACTCTTCCCACATCCACAGCCGATCCGTTCTCTCCCGGCTGTGGTGTTCCCAGCGCCGACGAGTTTGTAGAGCTGTTGTCCGAGTTCCCTGCTGTTTGCCGTAATTTCTTCAGTGTTCCCACTGTAGTCTCCCCCTCGTCCGCAAACACCTGCTGTTGCACCGGCCCAAACTGCTGGCGTAACAGCTTTTCTTCCAAAATGGACCTGCTGATGATTTCGCCGGTGATCTCGCACAACATGTCCTCCAAAATTGAAATTGATACCGTCGAATAAGTCACACTCATGATTGATCTAAAATAGAGAAAATTAATTGCAGAAAAGGTGCGAGGGTGCTAGTATATTTTCTAAAATTTGATGGCTTCTCTGGGGGAATTGGAAGAGGGCCAGGATTGGACCCAGCTGGCATCTTTTGCGATCAAGCGAGGGTCCAAGAGCTTTGAGCCTATCCTTGACGGAGCACGGCCGTCTGAGTACGACCACGATGCGCTCCAATACCAACGGAACATCATGTACCACGCCCTATCGCAACCCAGAGGATTTCTCTCCACGCCCGAGAAACTGACACACAGCACTATCATCATAGGTTCAGAGTGCTACATAGACACTCCCAGAGGCAAATATCTTGAAACCATGGGCAAAATCGACAAATCCGGACGCTGTCACCTTACTTTCGAGGAAGCAGTGTATTTGATAGAACGAGGGACTTGTATCGCCAAACATGGTCCTGATCAGCCCATCTTGTCTCTTCAGCAGGTGTATGGAGATCTTATCAGATCGGCTCAGCAGCTCGACCAACTACTGGTGTACTCCACGCTAAAGCGAAACGGCTATATCGTCATGAAGAAAGATCAATCAGAATTGGAGAATACGGACAATCCATCACCGCGAGGAGTGTTTTCGACAATTCTTTCTCTGATTAATGGCTTTGCGTTCAAGTTCTTCCCATTTAGGTCGATTTTCGCCTTTTTGCATGGCCTGTTGACTCCAAAGCGCATTGAGCCAGCTAAAAACTCACAACTGGTCCCGATCTACAATGTGTGGAAACCTACCAAAGGGTTCCGTAAAAGTTCGCCTCCTCCGCCTCATTACCAGCTAGCTTTTGTGCGCGCGTCGAGTGCATTCCCTGATATCAGGGACTTGAAAGCCAGATTCTCAGAGTCCACACCGCTACTGGTGGCAGTAGCGGACAACGGAATTGTGAACTTCTACACTCTTTCAGAGACAAAGTTTGACAATATCGGCATTGTGTGGAAGGACTCGTGGTCCAAAAAATGGACTCTACCCTATATATTCCGTCTATTTCAGAAATAACACTAGTGCATCTTATACGATAAAAAAAAAAAACGTAGCACCGGTTGGTTTCGATCCAACGACATCAGGGTTATGAGCCCTGCGCGCTTCCACTGCGCCACGGTGCTAAATTTCTTGTAAAAAGCGTTCCTGAGGTTATACCGAGCCTTTTCGTCAGGCCCATTTATCATCCCACACGCGGCCTGATATTCCTTTTTAATCTTTGTTCTATGAGTTAATGGAGTCCAAATCTAACAAAAGCATCTTAAAGAAGATCAAGCATCGGTTATCCATCAGCCGCAACCACACCCAGTCAGCCCCCGCGCTCAGCACTCTTAACTCCGACGCACCGGCTTTATCGATACCCCGACACAATGCTACACATGCCATAGTGTACAACCCGTATGGAATCAACAACAATCACGCCGTATTTGAGGACCTTATTGAAAAGCGAGAGCCCAGCTCGGAAGAAAAACATACTACCCTGCCATATCCCACAGAATCGCCTGCCAAGCACGTTCCCGAGCCGTTTCGGGTTACAATAGAAGATTTGGAGCAATTATACCAATTGACCGAATCGAGCAGTTTTATTGGCGAAGGCGGGTCTGCATCTATCCGGAAGGTCCAGCGCATCCCGGATAAGAAGCTTGTGGCATTGAAGATCTTCAATGTGTTCAAGGAAGAAGCTGCGACCACATACTACAAACGGGTGTCTCGCGAGTTTATTATAACCAAGAACCTCACGCATGTTCACGTGGCCACTGTTTACGAGCTGGTTCGGTTGCCGGTCATTCTGTCCCGGACGTGGGGGATGGTTATGGACTACTACCATGGCGACCTGCTCTCAATTTTGCGCCAAGGTCGATGGCATAATATCCCGCTAAATGAAAAACTCTGTTATTTCAAACAGATCGTGTTCGGACTTTACCACTTGCACATCCACGATGTTGTGCATCTCGACCTCAAACCGGCAAACATTCTTGTCGAGCAGGGCGTGCTCAAAATCACAGATTTCGGCTGTGGAGACTTTGGACACCTGCAACCGGGGCATTTCGAGTCTGGCGTGCGGCTGAGCGATGTCATCCAAGGTACTCCGCCGTACCAGAGTCCGGAGATTACACGACTCCGTAACACAAAGGGCAGCTACGACCCGTTCAAGGCGGACCTGTGGTCGTTGGGGATCATGCTATTTGTGATTTTGAAGGGCCGTGTTCCTTTCAAAGAGGCACAGCCTTTGGATAAAGATTATTTGGAATACGAGCACAACCACAAGCTTTATCGCGACTTGAACCCTTCTTTTTCAAAAGACGACGTTTTAAAAGTGCCCAACAAGGGCGAACTGTCTCAGGAGTTTCCGCATCCGCAACTAGTGCGGCTGTTCTGGCGGCTGTGCGATCCTGCCGTCGAGACTCGAATGACTTTAAAACAGCTATTTTCCAGCGAGTACTTCCAAAAGATAGAGACCTGTTTCAAGGAGACCGCCGAGGACAACGTGACTATAGTTGACTACCAGGGCAACTTTGTGGAGAGCACTGGTGTTGGCAAAGTAGCGGACTTGGCCGACGTTGAAAAGGCAAGGAATTGTCTTATCGTCAACCATATCCACAGCTTCTAGCCGATCGGCGCGTCGATATTTTAGCATTGCAAAAAATTAACCAAAATAATCATTTGTATAGTTGAGCTATGGACTTGAAGAATCTGATTTCATCGGAGGAAAGACCCGCTCCTGACATGAGCCGGTCGAACTCTCAACCACGTATGTCGATTCACGACCTTGTCAATGCGGACGACTCCGCAATTCGGCAGCGGAGTAGCATCACACATCTGACCAACGACGAGGACGTGGACATGAACGGGCACAAGACGGTGAGCTTGACGAGAAGAAAGTCATCTGCGACCTCCAGCGAGGTGGGTTCTCCCTTTGCAGAGGTCCGGTCGCGCAAACAGCCCGCTCCAGAACAACTGAGCCCGATTGAGGGCCACAAGGAAAACAAACCTCCCTCCCGCAAGCCAAGACGGTACACAGAAAAGCCAACCTGGGCAAAGGACTACATTCCCACCGTACGGAAGAGCGTGCGTAAACCGGCAATGGCCACAGCTGCCACAAAACTGAGTGTTGCGTCGATCTCGGGAACGATACCTAGAAACGACTTCAACAAGGTGGTTACCGAGTGGATATGGGCCAACATCGAGGGAACGCGCCACGAGTACAAGTCGATGGGGTCTATCGACAAGTATTTGGAGCTCGAGCTGAAAGTTGGCCATATTTGGGACAAAGTCAAGGACAGAAGGTTGCGGCTACCGGTGAATAGCGAGACAATTTTGAACGTTGATTTTTTCCAGACAGACTGCTATTTCCGGTCCGGTGTGCCTGCCCAACAGTTCCACGACCTTCGTGCGTATTTGGGGAAGCTGTCGCACGAGAAACCCAACCACAAGGCGAACAAGTTTGTGGTGGAGAACTCGCACTGTGTGGACCTGATTGCTTATGAGAGAAAAAGGGACGAGAAACCAACTACTGGCCGTGTTTCCGTGGATGTGAAGACGCAGAGACGCATGTCGAGTATTCATAAGCACCGCGTGGCAGATCTGGTGATCTATTTACCGAACTCGCTGTACGACCTGCGGCTGTCGATGTCGTTGGAATTGCCGTACGAGATGAACGACGCCGGGTTCGAGAGCTTCCAGAAACGCGTGGAGCTGCGTCGCGACAAGGACCGCGTGAGCTACTCGCATCTGGCCACGTTCACCAAGATCGACATGACCAAGGTCAAGGAAAACGGATCTGTGAAGCACGAGGTGGAGCTGGAACTGGACACGGTCGAGCTGTTGAACAGCATGGCCAAGATCGGCACAGACCCATTGTATTATATCGACCTTGTCCAGGCGTTTCTGGACAACGGTCGGATTGTCAGTCGCCAGCTGAGTATCCAGGAGTAATTTCAAAGTGTACGTTAGTTTATAAATAAAAATCGCGGCTGTGTTGATTTACTTTTCCTTGTATTTATTTCATGTCCTTGACACTGGTCACCTCCGTTGTTTTCGGACTGGTGATAGGCGTACGTGATTGGTTCAAAAATGCTAACTTTAGTTCTATCTGGTGATATACCTGTTCACACACACTCCTCGCAAAGCTTTTGACAGCGAGCTCGAGTATATAACAAACAACGCAGACGGCCGGTTTAAGCTACCTCCGCGCAATGGCAAGTCCTCGGACGATATCGAGGTTTCCGTGGTGATTCCGTGCTATAATGAGCACGGGCGGCTGAAGCTGATGCTGAGCGAGTGCGTAGAGCATCTGGACAAGCAGTATGCTGGCAAATACGAGATTTTGGTGGTGGACGATGGGTCTAAGGACGACACTGCAGTGTATGCTCTGGAGCTGGCTGCCGAGCTGGAGCTGGCACCGCACGTGTTGCGAGTGGTTGAGTTTGTCAAGAATAGAGGCAAGGGTGGTGCAGTGACCCACGGGATCCAGTTTGTGCGAGGCAAGTACGCCATCTTTGCCGACGCTGACGGGGCATCCAAGTTCAGCGACCTGGACAAGCTGATGCAGAGCATTCAGAAACTGGATAAACGCGAGCCAGACACAATTCCTGCGGTTGCGATTGGCTCGCGCTCGCACATGGTGAACACAGACGCCGTGGTGAAGCGATCGTTCATCAGAAACTTTTTAATGTACGCATTGCACACGCTGGTGTATGTTTTTGGGATCCGCACAATCAAAGACACCCAATGCGGGTTCAAGCTGTTCAACAAGGCGGCGATCGCCAAGATCTTCCCCCGCATGCACACCGAGGGATGGATTTTTGACGTGGAGATCCTAATTCTGGCCATCAACCAGGGCATCCCCGTGGACGAGGTGGCCATCAGCTGGCACGAGGTGGACGGGTCCAAGATGGTGCTTGCACGTGACTCGATCACCATGGCCGTCGATCTGGTGGTGACCAGATTGGCCTACATTATGGGGATTTACTAGAGTAATGAATTTTTCATAATTATTTATGCCCGAGTATATATTAAGGGACGGGCTGCGGTTTGTGAAGCCGTACTACCGCGAGAAACGGGTCTCTGTGAAGGGCCGGTGGTATGGCCGGTTTCTGCTGGACGTGCTGGGTTCCGAGTTCAGAGACACCACCGTGGATATCCACCGCGAGCACATCGAGTCTGGGCTGGTGAAGGTGCATCGAAGAATCAAGAAGGAGTCGGTTGTTTTCCAGCAGAAATCACTGTTCAAGCACCTGTTGAAGAACGGCGACCAGATAGTCACCCAGATGCACTGGCACGAGCCTCCCATCGTGGATGCTCCAATTAAAGTCATTTACGAGGACGACGACTTGGTGGTGGTCAACAAGCCGTCGGGAATCCCAATCCATCCTGTGCGGACGTATTTCTACAACACTTTGGTCGAGCTGTTGAAACAGCAGGTGCATGCGAGCGAGCTCAAGCCCTGTTTCCGTCTCGACAAGGTGACCAGCGGTATCTGTATTTTGGCGAAAAAAGTTTCAACGGCTCACGAAATACAGCAGGGCATTCGCGACAAGCAGATCACCAAGGTGTACGTGGCGCGCGTCGAGGGCAAGTTCCCCGAGGAATGTGTGTGCAACGACGACGTTTTGGTGGTTGACTCGAAGCGCGGGCTGGAACACGGCGTGGAGTCGAGGTCTGCCACCACCCAGTTCAAACTTGTCAGGTACTCGGAGAAACTCAACCAGTCGATTGTCGAGTGCCGCCCGCTCACAGGACGCACCCACCAGATCCGAATACATCTACGCAACCTTGGTCATCCGATCGTTAACGATTATCTATATAAACAGGGAGTTTTTGCTGCAAACAAGGATTACTCGAATCCAGAGGTGTTTGACAGCCTTACGAAAAACGCAGAAACAACGCGCAAAAACCAGATGTCCGGCTCTCGGTGCACGGAGTGCGGCACAAACTTGTATCTGGAGCCGGAACGCAGCAAGCTGGTGTTGTATCTGCATGCAATGGAGTATTATGATAATGGGGGCAAGTGGAAGTACTCCACCGAACAGCCCGACTGGTGTCAGATATAGTTCTCTTATTTTAATGGAGGAAGTCCGTACGTCTTGCAGACCGCGCTGATACGTCTTTCGTCCAGTCGTCCCTTGGGGTCTGGCTCAAACGGGCCTTTGTGTCCGCGGAGGCTTTGCAGAGCCTCCGCGATGCAACGATCCAGCCGTACAAAGTCTGCAGTCGTCACCGGTCGGATAAACAAGTGGAACTTGTACACCCCGTCGTATTTCTCTCTCATGTTGTTCTCCATGCAATATTTGAAGAAGGTCTTGCGGTAAAACTTTGTAGTCTTTGTCCGGTGGACAGAAAGAGAAAACGGGTGAAACTTGACTGTATCTATGCCGATATTGCAGCCTTTGAGTTGTGCCATGGCGTCCGGGTTGTTAAATAGCGAGGTCTGGTCGAACGAAAACAAAATCGCCGGCTTGGACTTACGAATCCGACCAACAAACGATGACTCTGGATAGAATGACAGCGTAAAGAATTCGCACTTGTAGATGGGCCGTCTCGTAGTCATCCGGGTCTCAATAGCTAGCGAGTACAAGTTCGATTGCACACCTTTCAGTTCCTGGAGCGACTGAATATACGGGGTATTTGGGGTCACAACGCCAATAGGAGAGCAAGGAATCAGTCCAGGCACGGCATCGAGCTCGTCCTGAGTGACGGGGTATTTATATCGATTGAAGTGAAACCGTTGAACTTCCTCGATCGGCGGATATGTTTCCTGCTTGTTTTCAAATAGCGATACCACCAAGCTCTTGGGTTTTGGTGCTCTCTGGATATTCAGTCTCGAACAGACGTCTCCTATAACCTTCTCTCGGTTTGTTTTCGGCTCCTCGTCGGTTCTAATGCCAACCAGGTTCTTGGGCTTCACTTTCCTGATCCCCAAAAAGCTGACAATCCCCCGTCTCGCCACCAGAGAAAGAAACTTTGCCCGTCCCATACAATTTAACTATTATTTGCAAACTAAAAAACCTGCCTTTTGTATTTTGGTCCTTTTTCCTCCCAATGAACACCTTTTCCTATTTGAAGAGAAACAGCCTTCCTCCGCCGGAGTTTGGGCCTTCTGTTTCGAACCCGGGCTTTGTGCCCGGATTTGGGCAGACTCCAAGTCCGTACATTACTCTCACGGCATCTTCTCCAAATACCCATCAGAACCCTCAACTTCCCCAGCCGGCAAGAACACGTATTTGGGTGAAGCGGCCTGGCGGGAACGCAACCACCATGTTTGTGGGCCCCGGTGACCTTGTCGACGACGTCAAGTCCCAGATAATGCTGAAGTTCCCGACAACACTGGCTCAGCAATTTGACCCATCCGAATTAATTCTCAAACTTGAAATTCCCTCCCAGAGCTCGCCTGTGGCCAATTCGTTCAACCTCCAGCCCCACCAGCCTCCAAGAGAGCACACGTACCAGGGCTCGCCACTTGCCTCGCAACCTTCCTCGTTGCCTCCCAAAACTCTAATGAGTCGTTCCAGCAGCACCAACTTGTCAAACAAGGTTCCAAAACTCCGACAGACGGGCTCCGTCGCCGAAATGGCCAGTCTACACACAATCCCGGTGTCTCCGATCCCGATTCCTGCCTCCAAGTCGTCACTGTTGAACCACCCTGAACCGTCGATTGCCGATAGAATCCCTGAACCGTCATCTCACAAACCATCGCCGCTGAACCAACTGAGAAACCAAGCAAGACCTCGCACCACCACAATTGTCCTGGAGCCTGACGCATTCATCATGAAAATCGTGGACCAGTACTTCCCTGGTGGAATGAAAGTGGAAGATTCCTTCATAATTGATACTCCATATCCGGTGGCTGAGAAAAGGCCAGGTCCGGTGCAATACAGACAAACCACAGACACGACTTCTTTTGTTCAGCCTAGTGCTGCTGGCTCGGGATCTTTCAACTCGGAGATCGCCAAGGACTCTGCAAACGCTCCTGCTTTCTTCAATGGACCTCCAACGGGCCGGTCCAACCAGGCAAGAACACCGCAAGATCCAGTCTCCCCAGAAAATAGCTACACCAGCAAGGTGGCTATTCTCGGAGAACAAAGTTTGCCCCCACCAAGAGACATCACGAGATTTGGCAAGGGATCGGTGCACGAAAACGGGCAGTCGTCTTCAACAGTGATCTTATTCCCAAGAGGAACAAGAAATGGCAGCAAGTCTCCTTCTTCGCAGCACTCGAATAATACAGGAACCCCTGGTAGGACGCCAACATTTGATGAGCCTGCTTCTGCAGACACAGCAGAGAAGTCGTCCGAGGTCTCGGAGACTACCTCCGCGTCTGTTAAGTCGCTTTCATCGAAAAAGGGCCCTAAAAAGGAAGACGTTGCTTCGGCGTTGAAAATCAAGCAACAGCCAAAGCCTGGAATTAACAAGATCTTGACAAACATTAACGTGCTGGTCATCGAAGATAACCTGGTGAACCAAAAGATTATGGCTCGACACCTCAAGTCTTGTAATGTTCATTTCAAGATCGCTACAAACGGTGAAGAAGGTTTGGAAATGTGGAGAGAGGGTGGATTCCACCTTTGTTTCATGGATATTCAGTTACCTGTGATTTCTGGAATTGAGGTCACTGAGGAAATCAGACGCTTGGAAAGACTAAACAGAATTGGCAACTTTGCCAACCTGGCTCAGGCCAACGAGCCCGAAGAGCTCACAGCATCTGACCGGCTAGACCATAACCTGTTCCGTTCTCCTATTATCATTGTCGCACTGACCGCTTCGACTTCTGCTGCCGACAAACAGCAGGCTCTGGCAGCCGGATGCAATGACTACCTGACCAAACCAGTGCAGCTTAAATGGCTAAGAAACAAGCTCACCGAGTGGGGATGTATGCAAGCGCTGGTGAACTACGATCAGTTCAGAAACTTCAAGGATTAGTCTCATAATTTGTCCTCTCTATTCGCAGTGGCTATACAGAATCTACATTTCAAGTTGATGGAGAGCCATTCTGTTCCCGTGCGAAGGCACCGGGAAGCGCACGTCTGAAGCTCTCTGATTTTCTTGAGACGCGAGAATGCAACAATGTTTCAAGATCTGAATATTCTGGGGAAGAGTTCCCCGCAAGGTACGAGTTTGTACCGCAACACTCCAAATGTTCATTATTGATCTGTTTTTGCAGATACGTCAAGAGTTCCAACACCTCAGGATTCTCATACTGGGCCAGCTCCGATTCAACGAACAAGTATGCGAGATTGTGCGGAGTCGGAGGGGTCGAAAAGAAGATGAGCACTTCTCCAAGAAGCTCAATTTTGTGTCCAGACTTGATCAGCGTGAATATGTATTTGAAGATTTTGAACTGCGACGGAACAAACGGCGTCATGTTCCACTCGGCAAACTTCCTATCAAGTTTCACGTGCTTGGACGTTGAATACTTCCAGCAGCAAACGCAATATTTGACCACCACCTCAATGAACGCGCCGATCAAGATGGTTGGTATTCCGTTTCCTGGCTTGGTGACGTATTCAGACTCGACCAGTTTCTCGATAAGAATGCCGTACGACATAAGGAATATGCGAGGGTTGTTGAATTTCTGTGTTCCGAGAGAGTTTGTCAGGAGTTTTATCAACTCGATCGTCTTGGACGCCGTGTCCAGTGACGAGTTGAGCAGATTAAGTCTGATCATGGTGAGATCCTTTTCGTACTCAACCACAGAGCTGTCAGGGTTGATTGGCAGTTTCGGGAACAGCATGTCCACGGAAAGTAGCTTATTGTCCTTTCCCTCAGCAAACTCCTGGATCATGTCCAGCGGCTCGAGCTCGTAAAGTTGCACCATGGTGTACACAATTTCAGGCTCCTTGATCTCCCTATACTCTTCAGGCTCAGGAGAGTTTTGTTGATTGTTGTTGTTGTCAGCAGCGTGAATTTCGCCGTACAATCCGTTCCCGTTTGTAAATGTATACTCGTTCAATCCGTGTTCAGTGTAATTCAACCCAGCCGCAGTTTCTGGCGGCGGTGTAGTTTTTATACCATCTGGGGAAATACTTCCCTGAACAATGTCGATCGGCGATAGTCTTGAATCAATCACTGATCCCCAGCTCGGCATGTATCCGCCGTCTATTGGAGACGAAGTCTGTGTTCCCGGAGAAAGTCTATTGGATCTGTACAGATCTTCGTCGATCTCACGCTTGGAGAACTTCGAAAGGGGATGTTTCCACGAGTGAGGAGTCTTGGCCAAACTTGTTGGTTGTCTCACATTGTCGGAAAGAACCAGGCTGCTTCTGGTCACGCCGTGTCCGTTGGAAGATGCGCTGTAGGGAGACGAAGAGAACGCCGAACCCCTGACCTGGTGGCTCGATGCAGGGCCCGTGTGCGTGCTGCGCTGGTTGTTACTCTTGGACTCTCCGTCCTTCTCCTCATCGCTGGACTTGATATTCTTCTCGTAAAGACTAACGCGCCTGAGTAGAAGACTATACTCGCGGTAACCGAAATAAACGGCTCCAATGAACACGGCCAAGAGAGTCAGGAAACACACAATCAAAAACACAAGTACCACCACGTCCTTTTGCTCAAACGTGTGCTTCAGCGGCAGAGCTATCTTGGTGAAAATTGAGCTTTGGTTGAGAGACTCGGTTGCATTTTCAGCAGCTACCGCTTCTTCCAGGTAGCTGGCATCTGTGTACTGTTTGAAATCTGCAGCGATATCAAAGTTGTCACCTAAAAGGTCTTCAAAATCATCTCTTCTGAGGATACCCATTTCTCCCGGAAATATGCTAGATGATTGAATTAAATCTGGCAACGAGCGTCTAAAAATGGTTGCAGCTCAGACTTGTTATTTTTTTCCCCCGGAAAATATCTGCACAGCCCGCCAAAAACTCTTAGTCTCTGGCAAACGGCAGGTCCTCGTAGTGGGTCTTGATGAACGCCCGGTTCAGATACGTGTCCCACAGCTTAGCTGCACTTTCTGTGTCGACGTCGGACTTGTCCACTGGCTTGGACTTTGCCAGCTTGCGTGCAAGCTTGATCCAATCAGCAACCAGCAGACTCTCCATGTTGTAAGGTTTGCTGTCTGTTGAGTATTGCGGCTTGAAATCAAACACCCACTCCTCGTCCTTGGCGGCCTCTTCCAAATCAAGGAAGTACTGCGTGTAGCGTTCAGGAGAAAATAGTTGCGGGGTGTACGCAGGACCAAGAGCTGCAGTGTCGGGCATGATTGGCGGCAGCGTCTTGTCCTTGCGTGGGACGGCAGCAGACTCAACTTGTTCCGCTGCTATATCGTTCTCTTGAAGCTCGAGCTCGAGATCGGCGAAAAAATCGTCCCATGGCTGGAATGTTTCCACCTCTTTTTTCTGCAACTCGGTAACGTTGTACTCCCAAACACGGAACCCAGGATTGAAGGTGGGGACTATCGAGGCAGAAACGTGCGCAAACGAGTATCTTTCACCGTGTCTGCCGTATTTCTTCGGTCCCTTGAGTTTCGCGTAAAGAGTATCTCTGACTGTCTCTAAATAGGTGACTTTCCCAGAGGTGGCTCCCTCGTACCTTTGCGAGGCACGCAAAACGTCGAAATCGTCGTCAAGTAGATCAAACTGCTCATAAATATCCATGTCGTCGATATCCTCGTCATCATCGTAGGTCTTATAACCAAGTTGTTCTCGGGGTCCCAGTTTTTTCTCAAGCATTCTCCAGGACTTGACACTATCCAGTGGAACAAAGTGGTCAATGTTCATGTGTCCATATAGAGAGCCGATGATAATGTCACGGTACTCGTGCTGCCAAACGCTCATTTTAGCATGACAGCTATAGTGGAGGTTTTTGGGCACCGGTGGAACATGGCCAGTCAGCCAGACCTTCATCTTGCGTTTCCGTAATTCTTTCAACACCACTCCGAGCCATTCGAAAAGCTTGTAACCCGGCTGTTTACGATTGTAACAGTTATCGCAGAGCGGATTCGACTTGAACAAATACAGTGTGTTGATGGACACCACTGCCAGCTCGTTGGGTATCACCTCTCTGAAAAAGTAGGCGCCTCTATCAAACGTATGGAGCTGTTCTGTGGGAACAAAGTTCCTCCATATCTTGTACATTTCCCTCGTTTGCAGCGTCGGACCAGGAGCGAAAAGATTGTGCGGATAGACATCATTGTTTCCCAGGCTGGGGATAATCTTGACCCGACGGTCAAGAGGATATATTGTCTCTTCTCCATCGTCCAGGAATGTCTCGCTCATCCGTTTAGCAACCTTTTCATTCATATCAAGAATCTCTTTTTCGAACCGGGGGTATTTTCTATCGTTATCATGTCTCACGTTGTCACCAGTCCAGACAACGAAATCTATTTTATCCTTGAGATTCTCTCTAATCCAGGCCAGAGTATGTTTGTACAAATCCAACGACGAATCGCAGCCGCTCATTGCGTCTCCGAAGCGGTGCATTTTCTCGTCCGACTTAGCTTTCTTGTCGGCTTTATGACACTGGTTAACAAAGGCTCCGCCAATTTTGCACAGTTCATCCGGGTGGAGGTCTGTAATGTGTAAAAACCGTCCGTGTAGCACTCTCTTGTCCGTGACAGTTTCTCCTGACAATGTGGTCACCTCCACGGAATGGTGGGGAGTTAAACCCAACCGTATGTACTCCTCAGGGTCGGAGTCAAAAATGGGCGAAGAAATGCGAATTACCGGCGGAACTGCGGTTGCCAGAAACTCGGGGCGAGTCTCCAGCACACGCCGCAGTCCGCTCATTGCCAACAGGGCAACCAATACCACAACTACCTGACGAAACATAAACGTGCCAGAAACAGGCAGTGCACAAATAAACAAGAAAAATACTTTTTAACCTCTAATTAATTCAAGTACCTCTTTTGCACAGCCCCAACTTTCGATAAAGCCCAGGCTTCCACAACCGTAGTTGTGCACGAGCTTGGGGTTTTGCGGGTCGAACTCAATTCGCGCGCCGCTGTCTCTGTGCGGTCTGAACCCGATATTGTGCTTCAGGATGTTAATCTTTCCCTTGAGCTCAGGAATATGCTTTTCTGCTTTTCTCTGCAGTCTCTCGACAAAGTCCTGATGAATTGAGGCATCAAATCTTGGGGACGTGGAGTCGTAGATTCCACCGAGCACAGAACCTCCTTCCTTTCTTGGGAAAACCATCAAGAACTCGCCTTCTTCAGCCGGGTCCTCCTCGTTGAATGTAACCTGATAAGGAAGACTGTTTTCGATCAGCAAAGTGTGGCCTCTGATGGGACGTAGTTCAGGGTCGTTGCGTCCCTCCAAATCGTTGTACTGGATACCTGTACTGTTAACAATGTAGTCAGGATCTTCTCCCTTGAATTTGACAGCATCAAGGTCTCTCACAACACCACGGTGGATCTCCACACCTTCCTTAAGTAGCAGACTTGCCAAGTACATCAGGTACTGCGGAGGAGAAATGGTGAAAGTGTTGAATTTGTAGATATGAGACACACCTGGGAACTTGACGGGATCTTGTCCGATGTATTCGTAGCCATCAGCAAACGACTTCTCGGCTGGCTCCACAAACGTCTTGGAAGTTGACCCGATCTCTCCACAGTACAATGGGATCTTCATGATCCAAGCCTCAGGAATTTCACTCAACTCTTTGTAAATCGGATACGAGTACTTGGCACGCTCGCTCTCCTTTGGCATCACCCATTGAGCTCCAGCTTTGGTAGAAGTGTAGATAGTGTCAGTATCACCAGGGATCTCCTTGGCAATCACAAGCACCTCGCATTTTAATTCTCTCCTCAGAGTTAGGGCAGTAGTCAGTCCAATGACACCGGCTCCAACAACAACGACCTTCATTAGATTGTAATATTTACCCGGGCTCTAGATCCAATAGATAGTCACCCCAGCGCATCCAAATCGAGAAATTGGCGATTCTATCTAAATCTAATAGCTACCGAGATTCGGCGCGTCGATAGACCTCATCGTCATCGAGGTGGATGGTTTTTTTTTTTTTTGGTTCGCTTGCTTTTACCCTCTCCAACAGAAACCTGTTTCTGCTTTGGGAAATTTGTTTTAATCCATGAAACGATAAGATCCATGAGTCTTGTATCTGAACAACAACGTTTACAGAATCAGCTCCAGCTGAAGCAGCTGGACGAGCAAAGACAAAAACAAGTGGAACAAACAAAGAGTTTCCAGTCTCGGGGCTCTTCACAACAAGAAATGCTCCAGAACTTGCGCAACAAAGAGGCAGTCAAGCGCGACCCAACAGACCCTCTGGTTGTCCTTGTCCCCACCGATGCCAACCCTACAGAGATTCTGGCAACACGGTTCGGGCTTTGGCGGACCATCATTGGATGTCTGGTGCACTATTTGAAAGAGATAGTGTCTGTCCATGAAGAAATCAGCAGACAGCAAATCCGGTTGCACCATGCCATCACGTTCCCGTTCGTGACCCAAGGACTTGACGGAGAATACTACCAGCCAGTTAAGGTGAACTCTGTGGCTCCCCAGACGGGCCAGGTTCTTTTCGGCCACAAAGAGCAAACCCGTCCAGAGCCCAACGAGGATTTTGAGATTGCTGAGAAGTCGTTTTTGCCTCTCGGAAATGGAAGTATCCAAGATCTCCCTACGGTTTTGTATCAGTATCATTCCAATGCTGCGCTGTTGGCGCAATCTACCGTGAAGGAGCTGAACGGCACCATCATCCCACGTTTGGAGGATTTGAAGCGGGACCTGATGGTTAAAATTAAAGAAATCAGATCTCTTCAAAGTGATTTTAAGAACCAAGTTGGGAGATACCAACAGGAAACGAAAGCCGAATTGAATGCATATGTCAAGGCTGTCGAGACGGCTAAAAGTCGTCCGCAGAACCTGACTCCTAAAGACGATCCTTATCTTCTTAGATTCAGTGTCAATAGACTCATCAAGCGGCAATTAACCGAAGAGAACTATCTGCATGAGGCATTTAACAACCTACAGACCTCTGGAAAAGAGTTGGAGAAGGTGGTTTACATTGAGATTCAAACCGCCCTGACGGTCTATGCAAAACTGTTGGGTCAACAGGCCCAAAACGTGTTTGATGGACTCATCTCCAAACTCGACTCCGGTCTTCTCACCAAAGACCCATCATTCGAATGGGATTCGTTCATTGCTAAAGATCCAAAGAATTTTATTGATTTGAACCTCCCTATGAGACATCTGAGTGAAATTCATTATCCACATCAAAATGACCCGCTTACTTTTGAAATCAGAGCCGGATACCTCGAGAGAAAGTCCAAGTATCTCAAGTCGTATTCCAAGGGATACTATGTGTTAACACCAACATTCATTCATGAATTCAAAACGGCCGACCGCAAGCGCGATCCAGTCCCTATCATGTCTTTGGCCATTGAGGACTGCCAAATTGCGGAGCATTCTAGAAAAGATGAGGCAAACGCCAACTCGTACCACAAATTTGTGTTGCATGCCAAACAGAACGGATTATTGCGCAAGGGCCACAACTGGGTGTTCAGAGCCGAGAGTTACGACTCGATGATGAACTGGTACAACGATCTCAAGAAGGTGACAGGACTTCCCACTTCCCAGGCCCGCTCTGTGATTGGATGGGAGCGTAAGAAGCAGGAGAGATTATCCTCGTTGGCATCTTCGTCAATGGTGTCCAGAAACCGCAACACCACGGCTCTGAGCAGTATCACCGACCAGTCTAGCTACAAGCGTGAGCTTTCACCACAGCCTTCGATCACCAACCAGTCGCTGAACACCATTCTTTCTCTGCCAAAGAACGTGGAGCACAGCATCCACTCCGTCACTGTTGCTGCTCCCGAACTTGGACTCAAACAAAAAACGCACCCTACCGACATCAACAGCCATTCGTTTGTGACTCTCGATACCAACAATGCGTATGTTGACGAGAAGGTTGGCGATATGACTCTTTCAGACGAATCTAAAAAGGATACTCAAATGTAGTATCCGCTTTATATGCTTACATAAGTTGTAAAATAAATCATCGAAAAAGAGACAATGGTGCAAAGTCCGCTTGTGATTCCTAAGGCGTTCCAGGACGCTGTGGAGCCTGCTGTTCGCACCAAATGGGACGCTACGTATGTCGTCAGTTTCCTCATCACCATTGTGGCAATTATCTGGGGGACTTATAAGGCGGTGGAGGCGTCTGCCTTAAGGTTTCTTTCAGTGCCTCCTCACAATTATCGAGAATTGATCGAGAAAGGACTGGATAAAGGTTCGATTCCTGATTCTTCTTTGGGTGTCAAGAAAGGTGCTATCAGAAGACGGCTGATTCTTGCGGCCAACAAGCCCCAATTATACTCCACCATGAAACTGAACAAGGACTCTGTTGTGGGGAATAATCTTCGATTGGCCAAGGTTGATAAGGACGATGACGGGTTTCTGGCCCGTACTAGACCAATGGACCCTGACTTTGCGGAAAGACCGGTGATCTATGGGTTTTTCCATCCTTATAGCGACGCCAATGGCGGAGGCGAGCGTGTTCTATGGGATGGCGTCTACTATACTTTGAAACAGTCGTCACGCAACTTGGTGGCTATATACACGTTTACTGCCACAGACGAGATCTGTGTGAGCTCGATTTTGCGATCCGTGAGGTCCACGTTTGGCGTGGATTTCTTTGAAGACGAATTGAACGACCGTATTGTGTTCATTCAGCTGAACAACAAGTACAAGTGGCTGGTTGAAGGCAAGGCGTGGAAACACTTTACAATTGTCGGACAAGCTCTCGGGTCTGTATTTGTGGTTTTGACCAGTCTATACAAACTGGTTCCAGACGTGTTCATCGATACCATGGGTCTTCCGTTCTCGTACCCTGTGGTTTCGTTTCTGGGAATTCCTGTCATCGCGTATGTGCATTATCCGTTGATTTCGTCAGATATGCTGAACAAGCTGAACCTGTGGAGCGTGTACGGCTGGGCCAAATGGGTTTATTGGAAATTGATGATGGAGTTCTACGAGTTTGTGGCCCAGTGCATCGACATCACTCTGTGCAACTCGACATGGACGTGTAACCACATCAAGTCTGTTTGGTCCAACGTAGTGGAAACGCATCCTCCCAAGATCCTATACCCTTCCACAGGGATCGACGAAACCAAGATCGCCAGTCCGTTCGGCAAGAAGGACCGCACCATGCTGTATCTTGCCCAGTTCAGACCGGAAAAGAGACACGGACTTTTGATCGAGGAATACGCCAAGTACCTGGAGACTTCTGAGAAGCCGTACAAGCTGGTGCTTGTGGGATCCACGAGAACTGCGCAGGACGAGGAAACGGTTGTCGAGTTGAAAGAATTGGTCAAGAAGCTGGATATCGAACAGTACGTGGTTTTCGAGGTGAACGCTCCGAGAGACGTTTTGGACGAGTACCTGTCGAAAGCCGACTTTGGTCTCAACACTATGTGGAACGAACACTTTGGAATTGCTGTGGTGGAGTACCTGTTCAACGGAGCCATTCCTATCGTGCATGCCAGTGCAGGCCCGCTTCTGGACATTGTGCTGCCGGTGAAAGACGGCAAGGTTGCCACTCCAGAGACGCTTGATGCGACTCCGTCTGGTTTCTTCTTTGCAGACAAGTCCGATCCGGACTACACTGGGGTGTACCCGTCGCTGGGGTCTGTTTTCGACAAGATCGAGAGTCTGAGCGAGACCGAGAAAACCGCTATGCGCGCAGCAGGACACCTGGTTGCCGAGAAGAAGTTTTCCAAATCGGTGTTTGGCCAGGAATGGACCAAGCTGGTGCAGTTCCTGGCCACGTTCGAGCGGTTCAAGCGGAAACAGAGAAATAAAGTGGAGCTGGTTTACTGATGGTTTACTGATTAAGCAAGATTGCGAAGGCTAGCTACACCGCCTGATAAATTTTTCTGCACAATTTTTTTTTTTTTTAAAATCTTCACTTCACCATGGCTGAAGCTACAAAACTCAACACAAACCCAGAGGTGCTTCTCAAGAAGCGGAAGAATGCCGACAGACTCCGTATAGAGAAACAAGAACAGGCTCGCAAAAGACTGGAGGAACAGAGAAAACGCAGACAGCAGAAAAGAAAAGCCAAATTCATCAGAGCAGAGACTCTGGTCGCTAAGCATCGTGCATCCGAAAGAGAACAGTACCGTGTGAAACGGGTTTCTCAGCATGAAAGACTATCTGCCAAGGATACAGACGACACAGAAGAGAGACTGCTTTTTGTCGTGAGGATTCCTGGCCCGCACGGAGCCAAGGTTCCTTCTGCTGCCAGAAAAGTCCTCGATCTGCTCCGTCTGGAGCACGTCTACACGGGAACATTTGTGAAACTGAACTCTACCGTTGCGCCGCTGCTGAAACTGACCAGTCCGTATCTCTCGATCGGAACTCCTTCGCTTGCTACTGTCCGTAACTTGATCCAGAAACGTGCCTCTGTGACGATCCAGGAAGACGGTCAGTCCAAACAGGTGAAGTTGGACGACAACAACCTCATTGAAGACAGACTCGGCGACCACGGCATCATCTGTGTCGAGGATATCATCCACGAAATAGCCAGTCTCGGAGACTCGTTCAAGCAATGTGTCGGCTTTTTGGATCCGTTCAAGCTGAGTGCGCCTGTTCATGGATGGAGTCCACTCAGTAAATTGAAGCGGTTGGAACTGAGAGAGGAAAAGAGCAAGGTGAACAACGCCGGGTCTGCTCCTCTGGAAGAGGTCGACATCGACCAGTTTGTTTCTGAGCAGATCTGATTTACATAAGGTGTAAAGGTGACTTAATATCTGAAATGTCGTAAAATTAAAATGTGTATCATATTAAAGATCCGTGTCACCAATCTGTTTGCCCAAACAAACAAGCTTGTGGCTGATACTGGTGCGAAGCTCAAAGTCCAGATCCTGGATATCAAGTCCAGCACCATCGGACACGGACGTGGAAGAAGTAGATTCGCCAGACTGGCTGCCACCAGTTGTGGTGCCAACATACAGTCGCAGATACCCGACAAGTGACTCCACTGTCTGCTTGTTGCGGGTGTTCTCGTCGTCGAGCTCCTCGACGTGCTCCGAAATAGCAATGACTGTGCGAAGAAGTCCAATAAGAGTCAGCAACGAAACAGACTCTGACAACCCTGAAATATTCAAGTAGTTGATGAGACGGCATGCGTTCGAAGTCTCACCAGCCTCGAAGTAATGCAAAATCAGGGTGCACGTCAGACAAAGCCTGATTTCGTCCTCAACTAGCTGGGAAACTCGCCCAGGCTGCTGTGCAAACCGGTAAATTTTGGAAATAGTGCTGTCGGTCACCAGAGATTCGTTCTGCTCGTCTGACTCGGTAGGATAGATCGCCTCGGTGTACTCGACCAGGTCCTTGACACTAGCAAGGACCATATCAAACGTCTGCTTCACATTGTCAGAGTTGGGATCAAGTAATCCGTTGAGAATCGCTGTGTGCTTCTCAAGTTTGACACACGTCTGTGGAATGAGTGGTAGCTGCGTTTTAATCTTCTCGACAATCGAGGCAAGCTCAGTGTCGCTGTTGTCTGGGTCGTCAGCCAGCACAGAAATAGCAGCCGTCTGGTAGTCTTGCAGTAATTGATCGTATCTAATAACGCATATTAGGTTCGCTAAAGAGAGTTCTGAGTCCTCGGAGTTCTGTATGAATTCAGCAATGTTCGATCTTGTGTTGTTAACTTCCCGCCACTTCAGTATATCAATCAGTCGCTCGATCACGTCTTCATTTTCGAAAATCTCCATGTCATTGTTGATCAGTTTCAAAATGGTGACTGCCTCTTTCGAGAACTGGCTAATATCCTTAGTTTGCTTTAAGTTCTTCACCAACCCAAGAACCAAACTGTCTGCCTTCCGCTGAAGCCCGAGCACACTGCTGAAGAACCCTCCAACTTTTGTGATCATCATCTTGGTTAAAACAAGTCGCGTAAAGTGGAATTTGATGGTTTCGTCAGATATGATAATCTCGTCAATTCCATCATCTATTGCAAATGAAATGAAGTAGAATTTGAAAAGGGGTTTCCAGATCAGAGTGTACGTTGTCTTGCTCTGATTTTCTAGCGTTGTGGTCACCCACTTGGCGAAAAATCTGTTCAAAGCTTTTAGAGTGTCCAACTTTTCCTTGAGATCGACAGACGTGATGTGGAGCTTTGAAGCGAGAAGTCGTACCACGTTGTACTCACTCAAGCTCAAATCTAGCTCTGATTGTCCAAGCTGGACAGCCTTCTGTTTCGGGGCCGTGAGAGAGATGTACAAAGGCTGCAGAATCAAAAACAGGCCGCCAAAAAACAACAGTATCCGCGAAACATTTAGCGCGGTGGCAGCATGTGGAGATTCGAGAATTGGGAACAACTGTTGCAACGGGAGGAACGACAAGCCTCTGTAGTTTGTATCCTGGGGGTCAAAAAATTGCGTGCCAACCATGGCAGTCATACCTCCCAACATAATCTTTGATCCCAGCGGCATGTGCTGCTGCGGCCCCATCACATAAGATTGATTCGAGTTGTGATGCGGGCTGGGATTTGGAGTGTAGTGGGCGGGGGTTGGGTGCTGGTTCATGTATGGAGTGTTCAGTTGACTGAAGTGTGGAGTATCCTGCTGACGATAGTTCTGGTGAGCCATCTGTTGATCAAGGCTTGTCCTGAGCATTGCGATCTCATTCATGAGAGCAGCATTCTTTGACTCCAAATGTCTAATGTACTCGGTGGCCTTTGATAGAATGCTGGCCTTATTGACCTTGTCCGCCGGAACCAGCCCTTCTAAGTTCTCGACCGGCGCACCATTTTTTCCCGATGCAGCACGCAACGACGGCACCGCATCTCTAAGCTCAAGAATCTTGGTATTTATGTTCATTCGGTACTTCTTCTCCACAACATTGTGAGAAGAACGGTCCTTTTTGACTTTGCTCCCATTAGAATTGATTATAGGAGACACTCTCGGAGCGTGAGAGGAATCTGAGTGCGAGATCGCCGACTCTGGAGACGAGAATAGCGTCTTTGTCTGCTCTGTGTCCAAGTCCCCAGTGTCTAGCCAGTCAGCAATATTATCTTGAAAATTGTAATTTGCAACGTTTGCGACCTCATTTTGAGCGGGCGACGCGCTGGAAGGGTCTGAAATCGGCGTATCTGGATTCTCTGAGTTCAGAGACATCAAGAAGGCCTCCGTCTCGTCGAAATTATAACCAAAGTTGCCTGTCATAGCAAAAACAAAGGATTAGGACCTCCCCTAAATTTTAAAAGGCACACGGATTACCTAATTAGCTGCTTCTGGCTCCGCTAAAGGACATGAGAAAAAAAAAAACATGGTTCTTTATAGATTACCCGGCCTTTTGGCTAAAATCTGGACAGCCACTTTTCGTCAACCATCCCGCGAATTTCGAGAAGTTTCCGCTGGCCAAGGGGCACAAATTTCGCAATGGTGCCCGGTGAACAAAAATACCGGAACGGAATTTTTGGGGCAACCGCGATTTGGTGAATTTGTCTTGTTGCCCGTAGAGGTAAATTTCTTTCATTCTAAAATTTAGAACCCATAATCATACATGTCGTTAAAGAGAATCAATAAAGAATTAAGTGATCTGGGAAGAGACCCACCTTCTTCGTGTTCCGCCGGTCCTGTGGGAGACGATTTGTACCACTGGCAAGCCTCGATTATGGGTCCGCCAGACTCGCCGTATGCTGGAGGAGTGTTCTTCCTTTCTATCCATTTCCCTACAGACTACCCATTTAAGCCTCCTAAGATCTCGTTCCAGACCAAGATATATCACCCAAACATTAACTCCAACGGTAATATCTGTCTTGATATCTTGAAAGATCAATGGTCTCCGGCTCTGACCATCTCCAAGGTTCTTCTATCTATCTGTTCGTTGTTGACGGATGCTAATCCAGATGATCCTTTGGTTCCAGAGATTGCTCACATTTACAAAACCGACCGTGCGAAATACGAGGCCACGGCAAAGGAGTGGACTAAGAAGTTTGCCATCTAGGTAATGTAAGTAGGTAATAAAGCATATAATGAGCGACCACAATCCGCCATCGTCACCAGTATCCTCCCTTTAGTGTGTATGCATGGTAATTTCTATCTCGTAACCTCTAACCTTGTTGCTGCCTCTTTCATTTTCAAGAACGGCACTTCGCCCTTCCACATTTCTGGTCGACGCGTCGATCGCCTTTTTTTATGGATAAACCTAAATACAGGAGGAACTACCTAGCCTGCTTAAACTGTCGCACGCGCAAAGTCAAGTGCGACTTGGGCTCTGCGGACTCTCCGCACGATCCTCCATGTGCCCGCTGCAAACGTGAGCGCAAAGAGTGTGTTTTCACGCAGACCAAGCGTGGTGGCTCTCGCAACGTTGTGATGGGTAAGCTTCGTAAGGCCAACTCAGACCCTAGCAACTCGCTCACTCCGGTTTTGCCGCCGCCATCGCATTCTCTCAGGCCGTTGCTAACGTCTCCTGCCGATTTCCCACGCGAAGAGACCCAGCAAAACACAAGTAACTCCACAATGGTGTTTCTGGCCCATATTGCAGGGAACTTTGCCAAGGCCGACGAACGGGATCGAATCGACGCCTATGAGCGGATCCAGAACCTGGAAAAACGCGTGGACTCTCCTAGAGATCCTGGGCTGCTGGACGTGGCCGGTGTTTCTGCTGGTCCAGATCTTCCGTCTGTCGGGTCGGCCTCAAGCAATCAGTCGACTTTGGATAATTCAGAGCGTTCCAAAGCGGTTTCTGTGTCATCGGCCGACTCCTTCACGGCTGAACACGACACTTCGGGCGCAAAGGAGTCGTTTGGCCACGACTCCTCGCTTCTGCCATTATTCAAACAGAGTCGTTTCCACATGCCTCCTGTTCGATCCACTCTAAAGATCAGACCCAGACCGTCTGCCGATTTGAACGACGTTGAGTACATCGGACCCGACAAAGTGCTCACCAGCCAGGAGGCCCATAGACTCATCAAGCTGTTTTTTGCAACCATGCACCCGTTCTTCCCCTTCATTCCGCAAGAGCTCCACAAACCAGAGGTGCTACCGGGCTATCCCATGCTGTTGTGCTCGATATTGACCGTCTCTTCGCGGTACCATTCACTGGACACGCCAAACAGACACATCGAGATCCACGAACAGCTGTGGGTCTACTGTCAGCGACTCATCAGTATGACCGTCTGGGGAGAGTCTAGTAGCAGAAGTATCGGGACTCTGCTGTCGTTCCTACTCTTCACCGAATGGAACCCGCGCGCAATCCACTTCCGATGGGGCGACTACGCCAATACACCGGAGGACGAGGCCCAGGAAGAGTACACGGGGCTCAGTGCCATGAAACGGTCGGAGATTATGTCTTTCATGCTTATTGGAACAGCTACCAGACTCAGTTTCCTTTTGGACGAGCACCCGCTCACTTTCCTAGCAACACACATCTCCGAGACCCATTCGGCCATCAACCTGAACAAACGGTCGATGCTCTCACAGACACTTAGCGACGTTGACATCAACGACCCCAACTTTGCTTTCAGTCTTCACCAAAAGGCAACCATAGAACTTCTCCAGTTCACGTCGCTGTGCTACGAGTCGTTGTACGTGCACAACCCGAAGCTGGGTAGTCTTAATAAACACCAGAACCTTGCTGTTCTCGATATCCTTTCTCCGTTGCTGGAGAACTGGTACAAGAAGTACCACAAACTGCTGAAACCGTCCACGCCGCACACAATCAACGACAACTACGACGAGTTCATCGTACAGGACTCGTCGGCCAAGATCTACAAAGAGGTGAACCACCAGGTGGAGAAAGAGTCTCTAATTTTGGATTACTACTACGCAAAATTGTATCTCTATTCGCTCGCCTTGAATGACGACACGTCGATGGGTCTTTCCAACACTTCCAAGAAAGGCCGCAGTCTGCGTCTGGACGAGCTGGCCAAGTACTCCCGGTACGTGGAGCTCGCTTATAAAGCGGCCAAGGAGGTCATCTCGGTGATGCAGCGGGTGAACAGACTCAAGCTGCTCAAATACATGCCTGTCAGATGGGTCACGCGAGTAATTAAAGCCGTGGCATTTATTGTGAAATGCTACCTGACTCTCACAACGCATACGCCGGTCTCGCAGCCCGAGTCAGACCAGAGTGCCAGCGACATCATCAGACTGAGCATCATCCCAGTGGAAGAGATTATCCTGTTGCTCCAGAAAACAGCAATCTGTTTGAGAGACGCTGCTCCCGACGAGCTCCACTTGTGCACCCGCTATTCCACCATCCTAATGTACTTGTGCTCGCAATTCAAGACTAAAGCAGTCAAGAAGACGGTGGTCGACTTTGAGGACGAGATCAACAAGCAGGACGAGCCCGTTAGACCTCCGCAACCGCAGGCTCCATCCCCGCCGAATATGGAATATCCGCAATACCAAAACCCTGACCAGCAAGGCTTTGACGATTACTTCACCAACCAATCGGAAACGCTTTTCAACTGGTTCTCGTCCAACAACAACCCGGGTCTAGACTTTGTGGACCAGTTTACCAGAGAAATTGAAAACGAGTTCTTGAAAACTGGAATGAATAAATAGTGTTTATGCAATCATCTTCTTAATCAGACGTTTGAATCCGTGCTTCTTTTTGTCGGGCTTGGCAGGCTTGGTGCTACTAGAAGTGGAGAGCGACACTTTTGAAAGTTGCGGCGAAACAAGGTCCTGTGTGGGCGGTGTCACGTGGTCTTTTGGACGCAGCGATGGAGACGGTGTCTTGACAGACTCCTTGCGCAAAGCAGGTGGAGACATGGGCAGTTTTTCTTTTTCCTTCTCCTCATTCTCGGTGTCCGTAGAGTCGGCAACAGTGACAGAGGCGTTCGACGACAACACGCTTGGAGCTGCCGAGTTGCTGTGGTTGCTCACGGGGCCTCTTTTCAAAGTCAGCAATCTTGAGTTGATTCTGTCAATTAATCCTCCTTCCTGGTTTTCTTCCTGAGGATTCCACAAGGCCGGCTTTTCGTGGTAATTGTGAGGTTTCTTGAACGTTCCTTCCGCGCTTGTGTCGTACCAGTAATACTGCGACTCGATGTCGAGATACGCAGCCTCTGTTGGCAAAACTTCCGAATCTGTGTGCTTCCTATTTTTGGAACTCGACCGAGAAGCTATATTTGCAGCTGAGGCCGAAGGTGGAGGCACTATTTCTTCAGACGGTGGGTCCACCGTGATTGGCAGCCGGTTGTTGGCGGCAGACTTGAGCGAAAGGTAGGATACCTGCGAAACAACAGAGCTCTTTCTGGCTGCCAAAACCGTGCTGTTGGGCATGCTCGACTCGCTATCGGATGCCCAATACTTGTCGCGGGCTCCTTTTGGCGGCCGTATGGTGCTCTCGTCGCCACTCGTAGCATTTGCAGTGTAGTCTGACTCAACTTCCTGGTCCAATTCCACGATCTGGTAGAATAAGATGTACGGATCTTCCTGCTCCATAGCCTCTTGGAACGAGATAGGCTTAGCTTTCTCTTTTTCCTCTAGAATGTCATTGAATAGCAACCAGTTTTTCGACTCGGATGGTTGCGACTCGCGAGGGTTAAACGGGTGTTTCCTCACAAGCGACACATAGTGTCCGGAACTAACACTCTTACCTCGATGGCATATACAGCTCTCCAAAACCAGCATGAAAGAGCCAAAAGGAGCTTGGTTGTCTGTCGACCGTTTGAAATCAACGATTCCCGGCCGCGAACTGTCTTCAGCAATGAAATATGGGTACTTGATCACCTCGGGGATCACCACCTTGCGATTGATTTTCTGCGATTGTCCGTCTTCGTCCCAAATGTATTTTTTCAGACAAATTGGAATGGTCGGACGCTTGCTGTGAAATCTCTCTTCAAACTCTGAAATCTGTGGAGCCACCTCCGACGAGTCGACAGTATCGTGCGTGACACTTCTGGAAATCCGCTTGTACAGTTTCTCTGGTGCTTGCAATCTGAGTTTCACTTTTGGATTGGTATAATATGGTAACAATTGTAGGAACATCCAGGCTGGCAAGGTGACCTCGTTGTTGGACACAGACGAAGCTCTTCTCGTGAGTCTTGTAGAGTTGGGAGCCACTGCGTTGTTCAAAACCGAAGCAATGGTTGACGACCGGGTCCGAGACGCCTCCATCCTTTCAGAAAGCTTCAAAATGGACCCTGCGGTCGCCGTGCGGTCGCCCGTGGACTCTGACCCAATCACCGTGGAGTTGCTCAAGGCGGTGCTCAAATCGACCGACGACGAAGGAGAATCGTGCAAAGACGAGTCCTGCTGGTCATCGTTCGAGGTAACTATTCCCAAACGCTCATAAAGTGGAATGTCTTTGGAAATTTCGCTTCTGGTATGGTCGTCAATGGTGTCGTCTCTATCTAAAGTCCGACGGCGCTCGAGGTGTCTTCGTACGGTGATGCTGTTGTTGAAGTACATGTTCAGACACTCTTCCAGCGATATCGGGGCACCATGTTCGTCTTCCGCGTGTGGAGTGGTATCTTCCGGAACAGAGATCAGCAACGCACGTTCCTCGATGATCCTCATATCGTCGTTGACATTCAACTTCCCGGAATGAATGATGTCGAGCTTCATGGTAAGCAGAGGCAAAGAGAGGCATTCGGCGAGGAATTCAAACAGCTGAAGAGCGTCTTGTTGAGTTTGGCTGACCACCATGTCACAGCCTAGTCCGTTTAGCGAAAAACATAATTGTTTCATAATGTTGATCGGGATATGTTCTCCGCCTCTAAGCAAATTGACAATAAAACGCAACATCTCTTTCAGATCTTTGATATCCTGTTGCAGTTCGGAAGAAAGACTGTCATCCTGATGACCATCTAGTAAGAAATCGAAACTGTCTGTTGAGTAAAACATTGAAACCAGCAATGAGTCCATATAGCACAACACATTTTTCCAATTGTCCATCCCTATCAAATGTATATCGCTAGTTTGCTCTCCACCATGGAACTTGTACTGGCCACGAGTGGTGATCAAACGTCCCTGGCATGACAATTGCCAATACCTATAGTATCTGAACAACTTAGCGACCGTGGATGTGTTGTTTGAAGTCAGGTCAAGCAACACTATCAAACTGGAAATCAAACGCTGTGCATCTTTATTTAGAGATCTGGTTCGACTGTGTTGAACAACTGAGGGCGTAACAGCCTTGAGCAGCGCCTTCTGATCATTCGAAAGCTTGATGGGGAATTTTTTGTGGTCCCGATGGTCCTGCAAAAGAACGCCGCTGTAATTTGGGGGAGGTTTCATGGGAAGAATTTTTACTAAAAATGATTTTAATGAAGCAGGAAAGGAGTACTAAGACAAAATAAATTCTTATCATTTCTTCGTTACAAAATAATTTCCTGATTTAACATTCGCTCTTCCAGAACTCAGTCAACTGTCTTCCTCTCCAGCTCATTGAGAAACTGGTCCATTTTTGAAGATCAATCAACAATTTCATAATGATGGAATGCTCATGAGATGAGGAAAACAACTTACCGGCTGTCCAGATCCCTTGCAACGAGACAATGTGACAGCCGATGTTTCTTTTAGCAGACGCCTTCATGTTGCACAGGTTAATGCCAATGATCTGCTTGGCGTGCCAGATCTGTGACCTGGACATCCCTGCGCTCTCGGATCCGACAGAGTCGCTGCGCACAGCACTTTGGAAAAGGGTCTGCTCCGACTTCTCGATCTTCACCAAACGTGGCTTTGTCTGCAACATCAAAATACAACATAAATGGAACAACTGATTGCCACAGATAGCTGTGGAATTAGAATACAAGATCTCCGGGAACAGATCGTTTCTCTTGAAACTCTGGAAGCTTCGCATGTTGGTAGAACGGTTGAGCTCCCACTTGCTCAAACTCTCCCATAAAGACTTCCAGTCCGCATCGAAGTCTATCTTGTCGTCGCCTGAGCTCACCAGCTCAAACACTTGGGCAGTCAAATACAACATCGAATGCATCTCGGTGTCGATGGACTCTGGGACTTGGGAAAACCATTCATTTGTGGGGATGATGCTTGGTTTTTCACCTCCAGAGCAGCATCCAACGTCCAGCTCGATGAAGCTCCAAAATAAAGCCCGCTCGAGGTTGTTTTCGGACGACGCAGTGATGTTACACGCCTTCAAGACAGCGGCACATTTTTCCAGTCTTGTGCGCCATGTTTCTGGATCGGTGCACAGAACTTCAAAATAGCACAGAAGCACACAACAAGTCACCACTTGGAGGACGTTCTGCTTAGAGTTCAGACTCGTGCCCAGCTGCTTCAAGGCATAGTTATAGTATTGGAGCGTCTTGTCTCCGTAATAATCGTCCCGGACTCTTTCCAGGTGTCTGGAAGATATAGCCATCATGGCATACTGCAATGCAGGGAAGGTTTCAGCCATTTCTGGAACAACGGTTAAAAACACGTTGCTATTTGGCTCGTCTGATTTGTTCAGAAGATATGCAACTTGATCGACGTATGTCTCCATAAGAAGCATGGATTCGGCGTCCTCGACAACCGGAGCTTCGAGTGTCGACTTGTCGGCGAAAAACTCAAAAATGGTTTCGTTGTTAGGAAGCGTTTCCCCCGAGCTTGTATCGTTGGTGGCAGCAACCAGACACATCAGATCTTGAAGGGTATTTGACAAGTCATAAGTCTTTGGTGCTGAGCTTTGCTTGTCTGGTTCGATGAACGAGTAGCGGTGTTCAAAATCGGACATCTCCTTGTTACCAAGAGACATATCCGAGGTGATGGATGAAGCCGACGACATCTTGCCGTTGTAAGAGTTTGCCGAGTTCATGCTGTAACTTTGGACCGATCCGTCAAGACCTTCTAACGAATTGAGGCCGTAGCTAGATGTGCGGGTCAAAAGACTCACTCCTTGTGACTCTTGGGGAAGTTCTTGGAAAGTGTTGAAAAGCCCCGATAATGGCGAGTCGGAAGTTTCCATGACGGGATAGTTTGTGGTCAACGAGCTTTCAAGGTACTCGTTTCTACGCGAGTAGCCGTCGAATGCGTCCAGATAGGTGTCGGAAACGTCCATCGAGAATGGCTTTTTGCGTCTTGCAAACTCTCTTGCCGGACTTTGGGCAAGGGATAAGCCCTGTTGGTCAAATCCAAGTGAATCTGCCGGTTGAACAAGTCCGGAACGAGACTGTTTCTGGTTGAAGCGGAAGTCTTTGAACGAGTTATTCACAAACACATTCTTTTTAACTTCCTCGGGCCAAACGCATTCGAGACCCTTGGCGGTACAAAAATCACACTTGGGCCGATTCTCGTCACACTTCTTATGCTTTCTGCGGCACGTGAGACACCCTGTTCTGACTCTTCTCTTTGCAGGCGGAGTTTCTTTCTTTGGCTTTGTCATTCTGCCGCGTTTTGTTCTTGAGCGGTACTCGTCTCTTGTGGCTGTCATTTTATCGGCTATTAAGACTCTGGGACTCAGGCTATATATAATCTGGGGCAAGAGCACGGATTCTGGTGGTCACTTGAAAATTTATACCCAAAGTGCATGCACAGGTCCTCACCAGATTGAAAATACTCCAAAGAAATATTGCCAGGAGTGGACAGAATGTGGGTTTATTGTTTCCACTATTGTTGATCTATGAGGGGAATGCTTTGTCTCAAGTTTCAACAAAAGATCCAGCGAGGAGGAGCAGAAGTGGGGATGATGTCAAATGAATTCATCAATTCCCCTTACACAATCCAGTCACATAATACCCCACTGCACGGAACTATTCTGGAGCCAGACATCCGATTGTTTTAATTTGATATCGGCATCTTGGCCCGCTCCAATGATTTCTGTTCCGTGCGCTTGTTCCGTGTGGAGTTCTCCGCGGCGCACGAATTTCTTTCGGGCTCCTAAATCAGGGAACTTTTGTGGGGTAATTAGTTGAACCACTACTAGCTTAATTTTCCACAGACAAAGAAAGAACTATGTTATTGGGTAAATAGAACTATAACTTATTAACTTTATCGTGCTTAGGCTTCTCCTTCAAGTCCAAGAAGTCGTGCAAAAGCAGAGGGTCTCTCTGGCATGCCTTAACATACGCCTCCACCTTCTTGGCAATCACACTTGGGTTGTAGCCAAAGTACTCGTAAATCACTTCTGGTGGCAGAGACTTACCGTAAGTGTTCATGCAGTACGAGGCAGTGGCGTATCTCTCCCAACCAAACGCAACATGGCCGTCAACAACAATAGTAGGAACCTGTTTACCGTCTTTTCTCAACACAGATCTTCTGTATCCGAGCGACTGCTCGTCAAATAGTCTGGTGCATGGAATAGAAAGCACTCTCACTTTGTATTTTCTGCCCAGGATTTTGGCTGCCTTGTAGGCAAACTCCATCTCTGCTCCCACACCGATGATCTGCACGTCGGCGTTCTCGGCATCTTCCAAAATGTAGCCTCCCCGCTTGACCTTTTGGGCACAGGACTTGCCTGGGTATTGCAGAACCTCGTTTCTGGAAAGGGACAGAATAGAGGTGTATGGGAGCTCCACCGCTTTCTCAAACAAACCAAACACCTCTGCAGAGTCGACCGGTCTCATGTAGTACACGTTAGGCATGGCTCTGAACAGGGCAGGAGACTCCACCGGCTGATGGGTTGGTCCGTTTTCTCCCTCGTTGATGGAGTCGTGAGTTCCGATGTGGATGGCCTTGAGCTGTTGCAAGCCAGCCATTCTGATGGCTGGAGCAGCGTAAAGGTAGAACATAAAGAACGTGGACGTGATTGGCAAGAAGGTGCCCTTGTTGTAGGCAGCCAGTCCGTTGGCAATGGCGCACATGGCATGCTCTCTGATACCGTACTCAATGTATCTACCAGAGAAGTCTCCAGCAAGACCACACTGGGTGGACAGAGTAGGGTCCATGAAGTATTTCACACCAGGCCACTGCAGATTCACAGACACCGACAGGTCCGCACAACCAGCAATCACAGAAGAACAGTTCTTACCGAACGATCTCACCAACTCTCTGGCAGCTGCTCTGGTTGGAGCGTCTCCAGTGAACTCCTGCTGTGGAAGGAACGACTTCCAGTTCTTTGGAAGTTCTCCTCTGGTTCTGGACAGGAACTCGGCACCTTCTTGAGGATACTCCTTGACGTACTTGGCAACCAGGTCTTTCCATTCGGCAACAAGCTTGTCTCCCTCTGCTGGCTTCTCTTTGAAGAAGTCGTAAACGTCACTTGGCACGTAGAATTTCTGAGCAGGGTTCATTCCGTACTTGACCTTGAGCTCTCTGACTCCGTCCTCACCCAAAGCACTTCCGTGGGCAGCGCAGTGGTTTTCAAAAGCAGCGCCGGTTCCGATGACAGTTCTGCAGTTGATCAAGGTTGGTCTGTGTTTCTCGGCTTGTGCGTACTCCAAAGCCTTGACGATGGTAGCAACGTCCTCTGAAGCGTTTTCGACCTCGATAACGTTCCAGTTGCAGGCCTTGAACTTGGCACTGATGTCCTCGGTGTTGGCAATGTCAACACTTCCGTCACAGCACACCTGGTTGTTGTCGTACAGGACAATCAGGTTGTTCAATCCCATGTGGCCAGCCAACGAGATGGACTCTAAAGCAGGACCTTCCTGTAGACAAGCGTCTCCAACCATACAGAAGACTCTGTTGGTGATGACGTCGAAGCCAGGCTTGTTGTAGGTGGCAGCGAGGTTCTTGGTTGCAATGGCCAGACCAACAGAGTTGGAGATACCTTGACCCAAAGGACCCGTGGTGACTTCGACGGCATCGTGCTCGATCTCAGGGTGACCAGGACACAGAGAGTGGAAGTCGTGGGAGTGGTACGACTTCAATTGGTCCATGGTCATCGACTTGAGACCGTAAAGATGCTGGAAGATGTACTGGAACAGACAAACATGACCGTTGGACAGGACAAATCTGTCTCTGTTGAAATAGTCTGGGTCGTTGGGAGCATATTTCATGGTGTACTTCCACAGAGCTATACCAATAGCCATGGCCCCCATGGCGGAACCGGGATGGCCACCTCCATATTGCTCGACAATGTCCAGAACAAGGGCACGGCCGTACTTGATAACACGTTGATGTTCTTCGTCGTTGATCGACGCTGCTTTTGGAATTCTCATACTCATTTGATGGTAATCGATTCCCAAGCGGAGCTATTTATACTGAAGATCTAGATGTGGAGACTAGCCGAAGGGCTGTACATTAGCCTGACCGGGTCCCAATTCCAGCCTACCCAGATTGTGAGGGGTGTGAACTAGGAAGCCATACGCCGAAATAATATTACTTCTTGGGAGATAGGCTATTTTGGTTAGATTGATCCGACCTTTGAAAAGATCTGTCATTGGTTGTCTGATAACAGCGGTGTTTGGTGTACCAGTCGTGCGTGTTCCGGGCGTTTTCATAGGCCTATCGACTCAGTTGCTCGACGCGTCGAGGACCAAAACAATTTTGGCACATATCTGTAACCCATTAGTATGCAGTTTACGTCACCAGAAACTATTTAATTAAAACCTCAGCCCGTTTTTTCCCATCCCTTATCGAACATGTCCTGGTCGGGATTTAAAAAAGCGGTCAATCGGGCCGGTGCCCATGTCATATTGCGCACCAACAAGGGCGAAGCCTCTGTGGACCCGGAGTTTGATCTCCAGGAGGCCAATTTCAAAAAACTCGAATCCTATACAAATGACCTTGACCAAGAACTAGACACTTTTGTGACAAACTTTGAGAATCTGCTAGAAACCCAATTGAACATGGCAAAGACCTTGGACTCCTTCTACGGCGATTACAGTTTCGACCTCAAGGCAGACAAGCGAGCGGATCACTCGGAAGAAGCTGGAGACGGCAAGACGAACGTTCGAGACGGTATCTCGCTCACGTATCTCAAGATGATAGAGGATATTAAGGACAGTATACTGCCGGAAGTTCTGCAACCGATGAACGTGACTGTCATGGAGCCAATTGGAGAGCTACAAAAATACAACGACGAAATTAACAAGCTGATAAAGAAACGCGCGCGCAAGAAGGTGGATTACGACGTTTTACGGTTCAAGCTGTCCAAACTTCAGAACGAGCATGCCGGGATTGAAACCCAGGCAAAGGACCAGCAGCGGGGCGAGAAGTCGGATCAGTTGCAAAAAACCTACGACAAGCTGCAGCGGGTGAAAGTTGAGTTTGATGAGGCAGAAACCGTTTACACAGACATTAATACCCGCCTTAAGAACGAGATCGAACAGTTTGTTGGGCTCAGGCTGTCTCTAGTGGACCCAACGTTTGAAAGTTTCATCAAAATCCAGCTCAAGCTGTACAACGACATCTTTGACAGACTGGAACAGAAAGATCTACACATCGACGCCATGACGACCCAGGAACACCAGGAAGAGAAGATCGACGCACGTTTGGAAGAAATACTGATGAGAATGAGCGCTCTAGATATTAAGAGTTTATAAAATGATCAGACCGGCTCGGAAAAAATGAACTCCTTTAGCTCAGCATAGGCCTTGTTAAGATCGTCATTGACAATAACCTTGTCGTGGCCTCCGGCTTTTGCGTACTCCATCTCTGCGGCAGCAGCACCAACACGTTTGGCCAAAGATTCTGGGGTCTCTGTTCCACGGCCTTCAAGTCTGGACTTGAGTTCCTCGATGGAAGGAGGGGAGATGAACAAGAATCTTGCACCCAGGTTGGTCTTCTTGACACTCTTGACACCCTGCATATCGATGTCCAGGATACATGTTCTCTTCATGACTTCAGCAACGTCTTCAACGGCCTTGATAGAGGTACCGTAGTAGTTGCCAGAGAACTGAGCCCATTCGATGAACTTGTTTTCCTCGATCAGCTTCTTGAAGTCCTCGACGGTGGTGAAGTGGTAGTCCACACCGTCTTTCTCACCAGGTCTTGGTTTTCTGGTGGTGTTGGAAACAGAGAAACCGAACTTGTCTGGGTACTCTGCGAACAACTTTTTCAAAAGAGTGGACTTTCCGGTACCTGATGGACCACTAATCACGATAGGACGGCCAACCATTGCCTGTTAATTAATACAATCAGTTAAATGACAGCTAATAAATAAAAAAAAATATTAGTCCTTCCTTTGTAGGGCAGTTTCAGACGCGACGGTAATATTTTAGTGCGATTTTATTTTCTATTAGCTGTTCTTCTCTTTGTTATGGCCTCTGCAATTGTCGATTCGGGAATTTTTCTGGCCAAGCGAGGAGTGTTTGGCCCCACCGTTGCCTCGTTAGCCAAACAGGCAGACCCAGCAGATCCTATCGATGAGGAGCCCATAGACGATAGCCCCGACGTTGGCCTGCCAGATGATAACAATTTGGATGAAACTAACCCAATGGCCGAGGAGATTTTTTCCTCTTGGGCTCTATTTATTGTGTTATTCTTGCTGTGTGCTGCATTGTGGTCTTCTTTCTATCTCCAACAAAGACGAATCAAAGCCATTCACGAAACAGTGCTATCTATTTTTTACGGTATGGTGGTTGGCTTAATAATCAGGGTCTCCCCCGGCCATTATATTCAAGACGCTGTCAAGTTCAAATCCAGTTACTTTTTCAATATCTTACTTCCTCCAATCATTCTCAACTCCGGATATGAATTACATCAGGCCAATTTCTTTCGAAATATAGGTTCGATCCTGACTTTTGCAATTCCAGGTACATTTATCAGTGCAATGGTTTTGGGAATGATTTTGTTCATTTATACAAAACTCGGTATTGAAAGTATCGGGATCTCCTTTGTCGACGCTCTTGCCGTTGGTGCAACTCTTTCTGCCACAGATCCAGTCACCATCTTGTCGATCTTCAACTCCTACAAAGTGGACCCTAAATTATACACCATTATTTTCGGAGAGTCTTTGTTGAACGATGCCATCTGTATTGTCATGTTTGAAACATGTGAGAAATTCCATGGAACAAGTGCCCAATTCTCGAGTTTCTTTGAAGGTATTGGAATGTTCTTGATGACCTTCACTATCAGTACGATCATCGGACTTATTGTCGGAATTCTGGTTGCCTTAGTTCTTAAACACTCGCATATCAGGAGGTATCCTCAGATCGAAACTTGTTTGGTGTTATTGTTTGCCTACGAGTCGTACTTCTTCTCCAATGGATGCCACATGTCGGGAATTGTCTCATTGCTGTTCTGTGGAATCACCATGAAACATTACGCCTACTACAACATGTCGAGACGTACGCAGATCGCCACGAAATACATATTCCAGCTGCTGGCTCAGCTGTCAGAGAATTTCATTTTCATTTACTTGGGACTGTCTCTTTTCACTGAGGTTGAGCTGGTTTTCAAACCCGTGTTGATCATAGTGACGTTCATCTCGATCTGTGTTTCGCGTTGGGCCGCGGTGTTCCCTCTTGGACGTGCGATCAACTGGTTTGCTCGTTCCAGGGGCGCCAGAAGAGGTGTTTCTCCTGCCTCTATTCAGGATGAGATTCCGTACAACTACCAAATGATGCAGTTCTGGGCCGGTCTTCGTGGAGCTGTGGGAGTTGCTCTTGCCATGGGTCTCCAAGGTGAGTCCAAGTCGGCGCTTTTGGCCACCGTCTTGGTTGTTGTGGTGCTGACGGTGATTCTTTTCGGAGGAACCACTGCTGGAATGCTCGAGATGCTCAATATCAAAACTGGATGTGTGGAGGAGGATGTCAGTGACGACGAGTTCGACATTGAGGCTCCTAAACCTTCGGCAGCGTCGAATTTCTACGACAGAAACTCCAACACAATGATCAGCAACAAAAACTTCCACTCCTCGAGCATTTCTCACTATACAGATAGCATGCCTCCACGGTCAAGAAACGCCTCAGAAGAAGACTTGATGAGAGACACCGAATTCGATGACAACCTCCAGCTTCCGCCAAACACTTTGGCAAACTTCCCTGGTCCGGGCTCGCTTTCAAGCAGCGCGTCTCCATCGCAGCAGGACGCTCCATTGCAATCCCAGTCCGGAATTTTCAACAGCATTCTAAGTGTGGACGAGCATGCAAAATGGTTCACGAACTTCGACGAAAACGTGCTCAAGCCGGTGTTGCTTGACAACCTGCCGTCCAAGCAGAACGGAGACAGGAAGTAGGCGACACGACTTTAAATTAATTAGATCTCTCTATGTAAAACCCCAAATATTTACAGTTCCATTCTTTCATCCAACGCTGTGTCGGTGCACCATTTGGCGAACTTGAACACGTCTGGGCTCAAGATCAGGTCGTTGAGAATCGAGTTATACAGAACAACCAGTTTGAAGAAGTAGTCCAACGTGAGTTCGTTAAGTTCGCGAACACAGCAGTTTCCAGTGTCTTTGGCAGGTGGGTCCGACAAAAACTCCGCAGTGGCCTTGTACAGCCGCGTCAGCAAAGTGAGAACTTCCGTGAGCGTTGGCGTGATGATGTTCTTGCGATCCTCGTGCTTGGCGTGAAGTAGCACCTCTGCTATCGTGATCACAGCATCGCCAACAATCACCTTGTTTGGCACTCTTTTCGCAGCTTCTCTGGATAGACTTGGAACGAACAGCGTTTCCAAGAACGAGAGGTTTGACGTGATGTAATCCAACACCAGCTGGGTGTTTTTGTTGCGCGACTCTTTCTCCAATTTGATCAACAGGTCTGTTTTTTTGACTTTCTTGCCGAGCTGGAGCAGATGGTCTTGGAATTGCTCTGCAAGTGTCTTTTGTTTAGGCTGGGGCTTTTCCACAGGCAAGAACAAGGCGTCTGTGTTTGTCTCCTGCTTCTCCTCTTCGATAGGAGACCGTCCAGTTCCAGAATTGCCAAATATGCTGTTTTTCTGGACCGGTGGAGGAGACACCTTGGCTGGACTCAGGTCGGCAGTGACCGCCATAGATGTTCCACGGATCACGATAGAGCACTGTTCCAAAATGGAGGTCCATGTGGTAGGCGTCTTGTAGAAGAATTTGCGTTCCTCTGCTGTCTGTGAGAAGTAAACGAGTTCCTGGAAAGCTGTGAGTCTCACAAACGGATGCTTGATATCTTTGAAACCGGAGATCAGGGTCTCGAGCTGGTTGTCGGAATGCGCACTCAGTGGTTTCTTAACGTTCAGACAACCGATCATGGTGTATGCATTGTATATCTCGTTCACAAGCTCGTAAATGACGGTCGTGAGCAAGGTGAGTGCAAAGAGCTGGAAGTAGAGAGAAATGGAGATGGCCATTCTTGGTAGATGGTGGTTTAGACCTAATCCCCAAACCAAGGGGAACAGAATCGAATTGAACAGGAACTTTCTGACAGTTCCGTACACTATTGGCGTGACCACAGTGATGGAAATGCTGAACAGAGAGGACTGTTTGAGAATCTGCAGAAATGGTAGTTTTTTCAGGTGCTCAATAGGCTCTTGTCTGTACGATCCGATCTTGAACTTGAGCTGGTTCTTGCCCTGGGTTAAAAACACAATCGTATAGGTCAGGGTGTTTGTGAGGGCAAAGAACCAGAAATAGAGGAATTTGTCGTTGACAAAAGGCTTGATTGTTTTGGTGGGGCTTTCGATGTAGTAGGAGAGCGAGGCCGATTGGGCCCAAACGGTTCCGTAATTGACGATATTTGCTATGGAGAATGCTGAAAACAAGGTCACAAACTCTGGGGACAGCACCGAACCGATGATCTGTTGAAACAAAGTGGAATAGGTGGAAGTTTCAACTTTCAAGGTGAGATCTCTAGCGAACCGGATCAGCGTGGCAATAGCCCAGAACAAAATCCATTTGAAAGGGAACCAGATCCAGCTTGTTCTGAAGGGAAGCACCACAAAGATTGTTTGTATCAGCGTGAGCAACAGCGCCAATCTTGAAAAGAACTTGAGTCTGGAGTGGACCACTTTGGACAAGATTTTGGCGTAATTGTTCTGTTTTTTAATCGAGTCGTCGGTCTGTTTGCGAGATTGGGACGGCACCAGTGGTTTTGGGCGCGAATCCAATCTTCCAGCCAGTCGATTTCGAGAATAAACAGACGACATTGTATGAACAAGAAATTATCGAAAACATTAAAAATATTTCGACCTTGGTGCGAGCTGCGCGCCGATCGACGCAATAACAAAACAAAAGGACGCGTTTTGTGGATACTCGATTCAACTGCAAATTGATCTCCTTTTACTTTTTATTTAATGTCTGGACAAATCTCGCGCTCGTTGCCTAAGAAACAGGACAAGACCGGTGAGCCGATGGCTGTCCCATACACTGCAGAGGAGCTTGGCCGGCTTAAAACAGCTTTGGACCGCAAACTGGGCCCCGAGTTCATCAGTATAAGAAGTGGTCCTGGACAAACGAAAGTTAATTATCTGGAAGGCTGGAAAGCCATCAACCTTGCGAACGAGATTTTTGGTCCTACGGGCTGGCGATCGGAACTGAAGTCGTTCCAGGTGGACTACATCGACGAGAGAAACGGCAGAGTCAGTCTGGGTTTGTCTTCTGTTGTTCGTGTGATCCTTAAAGACGGCACCTATCATGAGGATATTGGGTACGGGTCGATCGACAATTGCAACAGCAAGAGCGCGGCGTTTGACAAGTGCAAGAAAGAGGCGGTGACTGACGGTATGAAGAGGGCCCTCAGACAGTTTGGAAACTCGCTTGGTAACTGTCTCTACGACAAGGACTACTTGAAAAAGATCTGCAAAGTGAAGCCGATTCCATTGGCCTTTGACGAGGACGAGCTGATGCGGAACGAAAAGCCTTTGATCAAGAGCGAGCCCAAGCCAAAGGCCCTGTCGTTGAACGAGATCTCCAAGAAGCCTGTGGCGGCAGCTTCAAAACCACAAACACACTCCATGCCTACGCTCCGCCATGCAGAGCCTCCAGATGAGCAGGAAAACTCGTTCAACGACTTCATGAGCGACGACTGGCCCGACGAGCTGACAAAAACGAAAAAAGATGCATTGCCCAACTCGGAGCCCGAGTTCGACGACGACGACGACGACTTCGAGCCTCGCGCGCTGCAGGCGCCGGCTGTTCGTGGTCGCGAGCTCAAGGTGGGGAAGTCGCAGGAATTGCAACGCGAGGCCGATGGTAGCAGAACGGGGACCCCGCAGGTGGCCCGCAAGCTTGATCTGGAAGCCAACGCGGCCACGCCTGCAGAGATCCCAACCAGTGTGGTGTTTGTGAGTGCAAAGGCAGCAGACCGCGTCAAGAGAGACCCATCGCTTCAGAACGGATCCAAGTACGACGCCCGCAACACGCCCGACTCGCTCAAACGCTCGAGTTTCATCAACCACAACAAATCAACACCCATCAAGCGCAGTCTGGTACTGGACGAAAAGGAAAATCACGTTCCTGCGGCTACCAAGCGTAGCCATCGAGGAAATTAGAAATTGTAGTCAACCTGTTTTAGCTCCTTAATATTGATCAAATATTTTTTTATTACACCTATATATTTTCTCCATCAGATCATGTTTCAATCGATCAAAAACCGCTATACGCAGTTGCCATTGTTCGAACAAATCCACGGGACATCTGCTGCTCCTGGCCGGATCTTTTTCCAGATCATTGTGCTGCAAGTTTTCTACTACTTGACAGCAATTGTGCTGTTCTTTGCGACGGCCAAACTGCTGGGTTTGCCATTCTCGTTGCGGTGGTGCTTTTCGTGGGAATGGGTCTCGCTCGAAAACACGTTGGGACTCACATTGGCGGCCCTGTGGCTGTTGGATGCATTGATGAGTGTCATCTTCATCACCATCATCATTGGCCGGTCGAAGCTGGCCTGGGACTACGCGCTAACCGTTCACGTGGTGAACCTGCTACTGGTCTGGCTGAACTCCGGGTTCCCAAAAAGTATATATTGGTGGCTTTTACAGGTGGCCAGTTGCGGAATCATGGTCACTCTGGGTACATGGACAACTCGTTGGAAAGAGCTGCGAGAAACGTTTTTCGAAGGAATAGCCGACACCGAGCTGGGCCAGATCCAAGAAAGCTCGTCAACGCCCGAATCGACTGCCAAATAGCAGACCTCTCACTCATGATATCTGAACTGGGTTAATAATAACGTTCTTGACGGTAACTGTTGCACAGGAGACGGAATCAGAAGCTTGAGCTTTCCCTTCTCGTCGTCACAGTTATGCACATAACAGAAACCCAGAGAGCTGCTCTTGACGACGGATTCCAGCAACTTGTCGTCCGAATTGTCGGAATTCAAATACAACAGCGTGTCGATGTTCGAATCGTCCACGAGAGATAAAAGAGAATTCGATAAGTTGTCGGAACCAGGCTTCTTGACACGCTCCACGAGCTGCTTGAAGTTTGTTGTTTCCGGACGCATTTCGTCATCGTCAGCAAGATCTCCGCTTAAAAATGACATATTGATTGCCTCAGATTCCTTTGGTCTCACAAAAATGAAATCCTTCAGGTTCACTGTGATGTTGTACGGACTCAATTGGAGTCGGTCGATCCCATAAAAATACTCCTTGATGCACCGCTGCTGGAGCTCGCGCTCGTACTTGTCGTCCTTGTCGACGCACCCGCTGGATTTGTTCAGCTTCAGCAAAGTCACTGCTGGGTTTTGCATTTTTTTCTTAAGATCCACCAACAACCGTTCGCTGCCAACTATAGTAAGTACGTTGACATTAAAAGAATTAACAATATTCTCTATGATATCGTAGTCCTTGATGGTGAACGCTGGCGTGTCAATTATGACACCCGCTTTTTTAAGTTTCTGGTCCTGGTCGAGCCGTTGGCGCACCGACTGGCCTAGTTGTTGGACCTGGTAGTTGTACAGTTTGACGTTGTCGGAGACTTTTTCAAGCCCAAACGTCTTCACCAGCGGCTGTTTCTGGTGGTAGAACGAAGGACCGGTGGTCACCGTTTCGCCAAGGTTGATGTTCTCCACATTGAGCAGGTCGGAGATTGGGGTGGCGGACAGGTTGCCGGGCACTACAAACTGTGAGTCCTTGGGGTTCAGGTTGACCAGAACGGGCTGGTGGTCCTGTTTTTCGGCATACGATGCCAACGTGCGACACACGGCCGTTTTTCCAGAGTCTCTAGCGCCAATCACGAGCACCCTCGGACCTTCCAGCACTCGTTGTCTCTCGAGTCCCAGATGGAAGGTTAGGTACTGGCCAACACAGCTTTCTTCACTCACGTACTCGGAAAGCGGCTGACAGTTCCAGAACTGCAATCTGCAGCCAGAAAACGAAAACACACCCAGTTTCACCGAACCTTGGAAAGCGTACTCGATGTTGGGAGACAGTTCTGTTCCAAAAATCTCTGCGGTCCCTTCGATGATCTTCAGTTTGAGAGAGTCTCTGGCGGCGACCTCGAATCTCCATTCCTGGAACGCCGGAATGCTCACCGTGGTGACGTTCTCGGCTTCCGGCTTGGTTCTATTAAGGATGGATTGGAGGATGGACGGGTCGAAGGTTGTCATAAAAGAAAAGCGAAATATTTTATTTTCTTGTTAGCTATTATATTTGCCCTTATGTCTGCGTCATCTCGGAGGAAAGCACTGAAAGATTTCTACAAGTTGCAAGAGCAGACGCAGCAGCAATTGCAGAATTCCCAGACGTTGCCTGTGGAGGAGCCGAAACCGGAGGCGGAGCTGAGCGTGGACAATATTGACGAGTTCATCAGGGACTCTGACTTTGTCAAGATCCTGGAAACGGAAAACAAGGTCACCGAGGAGTTGAACACCAACCAGGCCGAGATCAAGTCTATCATCTACAACAACTACTACGAATTGATCAAAATCAACGATGTTTTGATGGACCTAAAGCTGAAAAACACACAGGAGGACGGAGTCATGGAGAACCTGGAGAAAATACGAAAAAACATCAAGACTCTGCGCAAGGACAACTACGAGCTTTTGTCGGAACCGCTCGACAAGAAGGACTCCAAGATCAGCAAGACGATCAACAAACTGTTGCTGGACAACAAGAACGACAAGAAGACGATCGACGCTATTGACAACGCGCTGCCCAAGCTACATGGCGAGAGTCTGCTTCTGCAATTGAACGAACTCAAGAGTAAATAGAACCAAAGATCAACCAAAGATGTACCTCGACCTAGTGTAATATAAATTACGGCTGTGCTAAAAGTGTTGACTCGCCAAGTATTTATGGCTGTGTCTAGGAGTTTATAATTTCAAAATGGACAGACGGTTGAGTAGGGCCAATTGGTCGACCAAAAATAAGAAACAGGCGTTCAAGCCGACGCCGCTGACCGCGGTGATTCCGGAAGATGCGCCCAGCGCTTCTGGCAGTCTTCCTCCAGCCAAACAGCCGCCAAAACTAAAGAGGCCACATAAGATCGACAACAGCGGAGTAAACAGACGGTTTTCTGTGAAACTGAACCCGCAGGAGGCGATCACTACACAGAGAACTATCACCACGCAGTTTCCTCCGCTTCCGGAGAGCGCGACCGTCAAGATTTCAGAGGCCCGGCAGCCTACTAAGGTCGACTCAGGCACGCTGCTAAGCGATCTTTCTGCAGAAAGCTACGATGCTGTTCCGTACGTGAAGGGGTACCTGAAAGATGCGAACGCTACCAAGATCGACCAGTTTGCGCGCGATCTGGGCGATTTATCGTCGTCGAACGACGGCGACGTCAAACACACCATAACACAGTCTTTCAACCAGGTTCTGACCGTTTCGCGAACCGTCACGGAGACAGAAGAGGTTTTGAAGGAACTGAAGGAGCCGGTGTTGAAACTGAACGAGATTCTGACCGCCCAGGCCGAGGAGGCGCAGGAGAAACTGGAGAATAACGGCAAAGCCAATAATCGACGGAGTGTGCTTTTGCTCGAGAAGAAATGGGCCTCGAACCTGAACACGCTGTTCAAAGAGGTCGAGGGTGCTCAGAAGTACGTTTCTGCGATTCCCGGCCGTCATGTGGTGGCGGAGTCCAAAAGATGGGGGGAATTGAATGCCATCACCTGTAAGCCTATTAGACCCGCACATTTGATTGTTCTGAACGACCATTTGCTTGTTGCCACGCGCAGACGGAGTGGCGAGCGCAAAAAGACTGTTGCCACGCAATGCTGGCCGCTGCGCGACTTGGTTTTCGGGAAGGCCCCCAACGCGGGAGAGCATACGTTATCCATCAAAGTTAACAGCATGGTTTTCCTTTTCCAGACAGACAGCGTGAGCGAGTACAACAAGATCGTGTTGCATTTAAGAGAGGCCAAAGACGATCTTGCCAGCACGTTGGAGCTGGAAAGAGCCAAACAGAAGGATCTCACAGACAGTGTTAGCAGATTGTCTGTGTCGAGTGACAGATTAAGCAAGAACTCGGACTATTTGCACGATCTCACCACGAAACTGAGCCATCGCCGTTCCAGATCGCTTGATATCTCCGACAAGACCTCCACACAGAACCTCGACACAGTTGACGAAGGACTCATGAGCATCGAATTATACATAGGACACCACAAGTACACCGAGGCTGTTGGCATCCTGAACCGGGTGAGCGACCAAATCGAGCGGTTGCAAAACCAAAGTCCCGACGACCAGCTGGTTCTGATTCTCAAGCTCAAGAAATTGAAATGGGAAAACCTCCAAGAGAAGCTCATCAATCTGTTGTCTTGGGAAATAAGCAATCCATTGAATTCAAGCAGAGATATCCAAGAATCTGTTGAGCTGTTCCAGTTGCTCCAAATGGAGGAGAAGGCAAGAGACCTTGTTCTGGAATCCAAATCTAAACAGCTGGACAAACTGGTGAGTCAGCTCAAGTTTGAAGGAGACCTGAAGAAATACATTTTACAAATGTCGTTGATCTACTTCACCTTCATCAAAAACACATATCTACTGTACGAGCAATGTTTCCGTGAAACAGGACAAAAAATCATCTTTGTTGGCTGGATAAATGAAAAGATAGCCTCATACAACAAACTGTTCAAACGTCAATTGATGGATTATAGCGAAAAGTCGGAACTGTACAGAAAATGTGTGAAAATAAGCCATACCCAATCATTAAACCTGCGCAAAATAGGTATCAATGTGGATCATATTCTGATTAATTAAATCCAGAAAGCCATGGATGTTTGAGGATCTCGTCCATTGTTGGTCTATCGTTGACCGGCTTGACTAGAATCTTGCAAATCAGGTCCACACACGATTCGCTAACTCTGTGGAATGCTGGGAAGTTGAAGCCTCCGTCCATAATTTCGTCCACGTTGCAGAACGGGTTCTCTTTGAACACCAGCGTGTACAGGAGCACACCCATTGCCCAGACGTCTTGTGGCTTCCCCTCGTACGGCTTTCCATTCAGCACTTCGGGCGCAGCATAGTCGATCGTGCCAACAAACACCCCAAACGGTCCGTTCCGGGCATATGCAGCAGATCCATAGTCGATTAATTTGACAACGTAATTGTTATCAACAATGATGTTTTCGTCCTTGATGTCTCGGTGGACCACGCCGTGTGAATGGAGATGTGCCATGGCAGAACAGCATTGGAAAAAGATGTATCTGCACTCCAACTCGGTCATGTCCGACTTGATTTCGATCAGATCAAACAGATCAACAGCAGGCGGGTTTCCATGCTGAGGGGTCTCCACGTAGTAGCACCGGTCATCTTCGAAGAAATCGACAATTCGCATCAGGTTTGGGTGTGGGTCAACGTTCAGATAATTCATGATCTGGATTTCCGATGGAATCGTTCCCAGGCTTCTGTCTCTGACCCATGTATCGACCAAGATTCTCTCTTTGAATATAGCTTTTATCACAAGCTTGTAGGCAGGGTCACCATTGCGTTGTGCCACCACCACCTTTCCGTATGCGCCCTGTCCGAGATTTTTAATGACTGTGAAATCGGTAAACTTCTTCTCTCGTCTTGCAAGCCCCACTTTTTGCGGGAAGTACTTGCTCTCTTTCCTTATTTGTGCAATCTGCTGGTTCTCTCTTTCCAGCAAAACCTTTTCGCTGCACATGTTGTCAAGTCTGAACTCGCCCAATTGCTCAGCGGTATGTTGAACCTGGTCGTCAACTTCTGTCTCTGACGTCTTTTGCGACCCGTTCGAAACGGACTTGCTTGTGGCCGAGATTGAGGAATCTGACGTGGCACTGATCTTCTTGAGCCCCGTCAGCTTCAATCCAGACGACCCGACAGTGTCCGCGGTAGCTGCGGTCTTCATGCTGCCGCTGCGGCTGGGTCCCTCCGACGAGCCGCCGCACGAATATAGATCACTCTCAACTTCTGGTAGAAGACTCATCTGAGAAGGCATGTTCTCCTCTTCGCTGTCGCTGTCCAACTGTAGGTCTTCCATACTCGAGTTGAGTTTCAGAGACTCGCTTGCGGTTCTCTTCCGAGACCCTGCTCTTGAATAGGTGATCCATAACATGTAGTTTTCGTATTCCATCACACGCAGCTGGACATCGACTTTTATCAAAGTTCCATCTCTATGCAAGGCATCAATACCTGTGGAACTAACAAACAATGCTTCCTGCTCATCTTCCGTGGATGCACGGCATTTAGCCTCCAGCTTACGGAAATAATGCTCAGGCAAGACAAGTCCCTGTTGGTACATGATGTTTGGATTCTCTTCGATAGCTAGTTCCACTAATTTAGGGAACAGGGGGAGAATCTGGCCAACAGACTTGTTCTTGAAATCAGATTTGCCAAATAAGTTATTTGCAATGGCATGGTTAAATGAAATAATTTGCAACGTTTTAGATGAAACCACGAATGCTCCTGAGATGTAAGGCAAAGCATGCAAATTGAGTCTCATCGAACCCTCGTCCAGAGACTCCGAAGTGACTGCACATGGAACGGGTTTGTCTTCGCGGAGTTTCAATGTATAATACCTGCTTTTATTGATGGTAGCAGAATGTAGGTAGCTGGAATTCTCGGATGATTTCTCGAGCTCCTGGCTCATAGTCGGTAAGATATCTGTTAAAGGACATTCTATTAGATCCTGAGAGTCGCTGAATAAGGATGTCTTGCTCTTAGCGGATGATTTGATATAGTAGCCTCCTGTCCTATTTTCGATAACAACATCGAGCTGATCGCATGGGACCTGTTCGAAGATCAAAATGATCAGGTTGTCTTTGCGCTTGGCCCAAAGAGAGGTCCAAGCGATGTCCATATTGTTCCGCTTGATGGCGATGATTTCTCCGGCAAAGACCAGCTCCTTGCCATTGCACAGCCTATCTAGAACCAGGTCACGTGCACGAGGAGCGATGAGGTCGAGAAGGCTGAGCGAGGACAAAGAGGCCTTTGAGATACCAAACACAAGACACGCTAAATCATTGGCGTTTTTGAGGTTCCACGGCGGGTCGAGTTCGCATGTGAAGTATGCTTTTGGCGAAGCCGACTTCCCGCCTGTGGTAAGATGGAACTGACGGTTATTGGAGGCAGCTTGTCCCAAAGCGACTAGTCCCATAACCGAAGGGCTGGATCCTGGTGTAGGAAGGTTGACGGGAAGACTGCCTAATAAATACGGGTTAGCTGCAGGTGTGGAATTATCTGTGAACGGAGTGGCAAGAGCGTAAAGCAGACTTTTACGTAAAGACTTGCTTTTCGCGCCTTCCTTCGAGTCCAGGATGAGTTTCTGCAACCCCATCACTTTGTCCATGCTGGAGTCATCCGACGTGGATTTGGACTCCAGGATGTTGATGATTTCCTGTAAGTCTTTGCGCAGCTCATTGTCGACTGTGGATGTTGTATTCTGTCCATCCATAAACGGCGATGCTGGAGCTTGTGAGACCCGTCTCTCCATGCGCATGACGTTATCCATGAGAGCCATCGTTGATGTTTTGCGTTGCGGGGTGTATGTTTGGCTGATTTGTGTGAAATAGTCGGATGACTCAGATGATATGGCTGGAAACAGTTCTGGACGATCCAGAAGGATTTCCAATGATCTCTTGAGCACGCTCAGTTTCAAAGCCAGCGAATTAGGGGCCAATAGTGTATACGAGTACGATTGGGGAGACTCGGTTGTAAACTTGATCACATCCTGGGGAGGCAAAGGAAGACTGGAACTTGGCGGCTTCAGGCTAGGAGTCTGTCTGTTGGAAGATGGATTATTTGAGCGGTTGTGTAGGAGGTTCTGGAACGCTCCCCGGCCTGAGTCGAGCTTGGATGATCGGCTAGGAGGCGTGTAAGGCATGAGGATAATTGCATAAAAATTTGGCGGAAATAAGCGACGGGGACGATCGTCTATGCGGGCGGTGAATGTGGGTGGTAATTTTTTCCATGCGGTAGCACTCTGAAACGAGCTACCAAATTTAGAGCACATGTGCCCTGCAGCGATGAATCCGATGCAGTGTGTGTGACAGCTGGCAATTACGCGAGATCTCGTCAAAGTTACAGGCTTGTATTTCTAAAATTTCTGCAATTACAAAAGGTTCTTGGCCAACAATAGCTCGGCAATGAGAACACCGCTTCCAGCGGCACCGATGATGGTGTTGTGCGACAAAACCACCATCTTGACGTCCAGCACCGGGTCTTCACGAATGCGGCCCACGCTCACGCCGTAACCCCCGTCTCTATCACGGTCCAACCGTGGCTGTGGTCTATTTTCCTCCTCCAAAACGTGGATAGCGTGTTTGGGAGCAGATGGACACTTAAGAGTAGTGGCCTCACACTCGTAGTCTCTAAGACATTGCTTGATGGCCTCGATGGATGGAGACTTGTTCTTGAACTTGATAGAGATGCACTCAGTGTGGCCGTCAGAAACAGCGACTCTGTTACATTGGGCAGAAACGCGGATCTCATCGTCAGACAGGTTCTGCACGCTGTTACCGTCAGCAGCAAGCTGTCCGAGGATCTTCTTGGTCTCCCACTCGATCTTCTCCTCCTCTCCAGAAATATATGGAACAAGGTTGTCGAGGATGTCGATACCAGGGAAGCCTGGCGAGAATCCAGCGCCGGAAATAGCCTGCATGGTGGTGGTGGTGAGCAGTTCGATCGGTCCGAACTTGTCAACCAATGGTCTCAGTGGAGCGACAAGACCTGCGGTGGAGCAGTTCGAAATACACACAATGTAGCCTGGCTTGGCCTCACCAGCAGCAGCAGCGTCCTTGACCTTCTTCTCGACAATAGCCAGGTGCTCGCTGTTGACAGTTGGGACAACTAACGGAACATCAAGCTCACGACGGTAGTTTTTAGCGTTGGAGATGACAACCAAGCCCGCCTCCTTGAAGGCCTTCTCGATTGGACCTGCGTACTCGGCGTCGAGACCAGAGAAAACAACAGCGCAGTCCTTGAACGCCTCTGGTGTGCACTCGGAGACAACGATCTCGCCCGCGCTGAGTGGCATCAGACTGGTTTGCTTCCAGTCAACAGCATCCTTGTATTTCTTTCCTGCCGAACGGGAGGATGCGCCCAAAACGGCAAGCTCAAACTGTGGGTGTTCGTTAAGCAGTTGGATGAACCGCTGGCCAACAGACCCAGTGGCGCCCAAAACTCCAGCTTTCTTAAGTGCCATGACGATCAATGACTAAAAGAAGAATTTTTCACAAACGTCGATCGTCCCCGAGGACTATTTCTTTTTCTACAGATCGAGTAGCCAAATGCAGCAACTCGGTGGAGATATCACCGAGACTAGCACTAGAAAAGTACCATAGTAGTTTCAGCCGTTCGTATGTTAAAGGTTTAATTAAATCAACAATCAATTAATCCTCCTTATAACAATTAATGGTCATTCCAATCTCATAGGCCAGCAAAACCACAAACAAGCACATGGTGGTCGCAATAAGCTTGGTGATTTCCAGATCTGCGACAGTGAGACAAATAATGATCACTCCTATCGGAAGACGAGGTAAAAGACGCCAAAATTTGGAAACATAGTGCGTTCCGCAATCCTGGCGACCTAGCTGCTCTGCCTGGTCGTCGATCGACTTGTCCAGCATTGCAAGTCCATAGAGCGAGAATAAAGAAACGCACAATCCGCCGGTAAAGTAATACGAAAGTCCGTGATTCTCGATCTCGTCGGCATAGCACAGCTCTGCAGCCGCATCTGCACTCAAGATCAACGAACTGATGAGGGGCATGTGCAAGGTGAACCATAAGAGCGCGGTGTTTCCTGAGCGTCTTGCAGCATGGATGGCTTTTTTCGACCCGTCTCCATTGAAGTAGAGCCATAAAAGACAATATGCAATGATCAGGAGCATAATTGCACGGCCTACTTTTTCGGACACGCCTTCACCGAAATTGTGCTCTGCGGTCGTTGCAACGATGCTGTACAGGAACTCACCAATGGCAATAACGTAGAAAGCTCCAAATCTCTCCACCTCGTGCTCGATGTTGATGGCTGTGCTGTACTTCAGCTTGAGCACCCGTTTGGTGTATGGATGGTACGAGACCACCCACGACGCAATCTCCAAGAACAGGTTCATGAAAGCGAGCCCGATCTTGACACGGACACCGACAAAAATGACTGGGATCCAGATGCAGCAGGTAACTATAATTAGCGAACCGTACAAGATGTTTTGGTGTCGGTGTTGCGGGACGTAAACCGCATACACGAGCAAGCTGATGGCCAGAGACAGACGGCACAGGATGTACGGCACTATGACTGCGGCATTGGCCCGATTGGACTCCAAAAAGTAGTTCGTTGCATTGGTGTATACGACAAGCAGGGATAGAATCCACAGCATGTAAAGCTTCTGCGACAGGTCTTCATTGAAGTAGTAGTTCATAAAGTCCTTGATGTCGGACCAGACTTGCCAGATTGGGAAAAAGAATAGCACATACTTGAGGAGTGCCACGCCAGTAGCTTCTTCAGTTGCAGAAGCAGCGAGCTTCGCCACAATTCCCACGTACAGCAAGTCAAGGAACAGCTCCACCTTACCGCTTTCTCCACGCTCAGACCGAGTTCTGTATAAAGTGCCGTTATAGAAGAAATTGAGTGCGTATGGCTTATTGACAAACCATTCTTTTATTTTCGGCTTTTTAATGTACTTAACTTTCACTGCGCCGTACTTCTGAACAAAGGCGTCAAAATCCTCTTCCTCGTCTTCCTCGAGCAAAAGGTGCTTGAAGGCGAATCCATCGTCCTCTTCAGAGATAATATCTTCAATTATTTGTTCTTCAGCCAACTGTGTAGAGCTTCCCTCTTCGTTTGCCATGTCGTCACAAACCTTACAGCAATTTTATTTTAAATTATGGTCCCTGGAAATTTGCACCTGGGCAGGGTTGCGGCTGAGAGGGAAACGAGCAGGAAAAAAATAATTAGGGATCACCCTAAAACCACGGAATTTTTCAATGCCTCCCGCTCGCATTTGTTGTCTAGAAACGTAAAGACAGAGGTTGTCAAAAAAGTGCAAGGGGTAAAATTAAACCACTAAACGCCAAAACGACGATCTACCGTTCTGCAGTAATCACCTGGGAAGAACCTGCATCTACTGAAATTAGAGCGACGTTGTCCCTTTTGCACAGGGGAATCACCGGTTTTTAACCAAGGGGCAGTTTTTTCAAGGATTGTCCAACGCGGCAATACAATAATGTCGATACAGTCGGAAAGCCAAAATAGGTAACTGTGAAGAGAATGAACAACTAAGCCCTGTTGTTTCTGTCGTTAACTGTCTTGGGGGTTACAGAAACCTAAACGGCAATCCTCAGCAGATCTTAATTCAGTTAAGTGCCAAAAAAGCACCGAAATGCAGTATGCTGTAAAATGTAAACAAGAATCTATTATGATTGAATAGAGATCGGCACAGCTAAAACAGGAGCAGAACCTTTTCCCACCGCAAATTTTTCTTCGTTGTGACTCTATCCGTGCCGACCAGCTTTACAACGGCTCCCGCACCCTCGCACCCCTATTGCTTAAATCTTGCCGAGACAATAAATTCCAACAGAAACCGAACATATTACATAGAAAATCGTTGAGATGTCTAAAAACGCACCGTGCTGCATTAGAGTGCAGTTCGACAAATTATACATCTCTCTTCTTTTTATATACCCTCCTAGATGATTTTCTAACTTGTTCAAGTTGTTATTTTCTTCCTTAACACAATCTTCTTCCCCATCCCTACAGCAACTCTGTTTGAATATACAATCCCGAACTTTCATGTGTCGGTGAACCCGACGCTCCAATAGATTATTAGTATGCAAACCCACAACAATTCCCCCGAGCCCCCTGAAGAAAACACAACTCAATTTCCCAGACTGCCCTCCTTTCGTGAGATTCAAGCACGACTCCAGGCGAGCGCGCTTCCTCCGCCTCCACCGGTTGTTTCACCTTCCACACAGGCCCAATTGCCTTCGATCTCCATGTTATTACATCAAACAAGGCCCACTACTTTACCCCCTGTGCCTTACTCATCGTATCCGGCCCTGCTTCCCGAAACAAGCCCAGTGCTAACTTCCCCATCCATTGCCTCCATGTCTATGGCCTCTTCTTCTTCCTCAAGTCACGAAGAATCCGCTAAAGCGGCCACAGACCTCTCCAAAACGAAACCTAAAAGAACCCGAAAAGCATGTGACTTGTGTAACCAAAAACGAACAAAATGCTCTGGCGAGCTCCCGCGTTGTTCTCAATGCGCAAGAACAAACAGCGTCTGTACCTATTTGCGCACCGAGAAAAAGCGCGGACGAGCAAGTTCCAACTACCCCAAAATAATCATACGTCGAAAACCCACAAAGTATATTAGTCCGGAATTGAAAACCCAGCAGGAAATCCCCACGCAACATTCGCCTCCATCGGCTGACAGTGTTTTTTTCAAATATCCCATCTTGCATCAGGTATCTCACGTCGTGACGCAACTGCAATTATCTCATGTCTTGGTTGAAGATCTTGTTGAACTCTATTTCCAAACAAGCTTCCCAGTGATGATTCTTAATCCCAACCAGATCCTGTCCCAAGACTCAAGCAGAGTCCGCAAAATTAATGAACCATTTATTCTTTCCATCATGTTGTGCGGCACGGCCCTGCTTCAAGTTTCTCCAACACAAACAATGCCAAAGGAAACGTCTGCAAAGTTACTAGACTTGCTTTTCATAAAACTCAATACGTTCCTGCAAAACTCAACCAAGCTCGACCACGATGATATTATTTCTTATATAAATCTCGCTAGAGCTTACATGATCGTTGGAGGTATGCAAGAGGCCGTCCAGGTGGTGGACCAAGCCATTGGTTTGGCTCTCAAACTGAAGATCAACGTCGAGGACTCTTCAGAGTACCCTCTTTTCATGGAAGAAAAAAGACGAGCATGGTTCTGTTTGGTGACTTTGGAATCAGACCTGAAAAAAGGAACCAATCGACCGCTTCTGGCCAGCGCTCAATCCTCAAAAATATGCCTTCCTATAGACGACCAGGATTACCTGGCTTTCAACTTTGGTGTTCGTGGTTCGGGAAAGCCATACCAAAGCCCCCTTGTGTAATGAGCATGAATAAATCGCATGTACTACTTCTCAATCTCCATTCTCTTCTCCGTTGTGTTCTCCTTCATCTGACTCGTAGCTGATCGAGTCGAGCCCCATATACACCAGCATCAACTTTCTGTGACTATCCTCGTCCTTGATGTCACTGTTGGGATTGCTGTATCCTTGGGTGATTTCCTTGTTGGAAAAGATCTTGCCGAAAATCGGGTCGTCCATCTTTTTGCACAGCTCCACGTTTTTCATCAAACATCGATCCACAGTCAAATCGTTGCCCAAATCCTTGCTGATCCGCTTCCAACGACCTTCCCAATCTTTGCGGATCGCATTAATTAATCGCAATTCCATGAATCGCGACCAAGAGTCGCTCTTGGACTTGTGGTTCCGCAGGTATCTCATCTGGATCGCCTGCCACGAATGTCTATTTTTCAGGATCTTCTCGATCTCTTTCCACGAATATTTCATCTCCTCTTTATAATATATTATAGCATCATCTTCTGCCTTGGTCCACGCACGTGATCGCACAGGTGTCTCCTTATCCATCGAGAAAAACGAAGGGATAGGACTTTCCTCTACCTGATCCGGGATATTGACGCCAAACTCACTCGTGGTTTCTGGCTCTGGCAACTGTTCCTGAGTCTCCTGTGTAGAAGACGCGTTCTCCTTTGGCTTTTTCTCGTCCTTACCCAATTGCTCTTTGAGCTGTCTTTTCAGCTGCACACGTTTGTGGTATAGCTCAACATCGTTGGAAAGATGCGCCAGCAAGTTCTGCGAAACTTCGCTCTGAGACTCGTCTTTTTTGTCAAACTTCTCCGTCATGATGGAAGACAACAATTACCCGTGTTGTAAAAAAACCACATATAATGTAATATCGATTACCCGGCCTCGTTACACCTTCCTCACGTTGAACCTGCTATTAGTCGGTCTGGGTGCACCATGGGCGCTTGTGGACTGACTTCTCGGTGCGGGCGAGAATCTGGACGTGATATTATGTGCGGCCTTTGTAGCCGCGTTGGGTGCTGTCACTGTGCGTCTTGGCAATGGGGCCTGAGGAATGCCGTTCGTATTGCTCGTTTGGGTAGGAGTTGGTTCTGCGGACTTTTGTGGACTAAAACGCGACGTTATTCTTGGGATATGTTCGACTTGTTCCACCAATGCGTGGTTGGCTTCCTTGATTCCCGATTGGAACTTATCCAAAGACAATCTATTTTGAGCATGTATCCTATCTTGTTTTGATTCTAGCCACTCTGGGGTCTGCATGTCTCGTTCTCTGAAGAACTTGACCATTGTAAGGTGAACCACTGTCTCGTCCTGATGCTTTCCGTCCTTTTCCTCGCGCCGAATGGACGTTTTTATGTCTGTTGAGAACTCCTTGAATTTGCGAAACATAGTTTAACGATTAAAAAAGAATTAATTTTAATATTCTCCCCTTTTTAAAACAAGATACTTTGATTCTATTCAACTACAACGTTCTTTACAAAGTCTTCTCGGTCAGGTAGATGCCGTAGTCATCCTTCAAGATCTTCATGATTGGATCGTTGATCTCAGGAGTCATTGGGGCATACAGACCTGGCTTGGAGAAAGCTCCCTTCAAGACCTGCAACACAGCAACGGCACATGGGACACCAACGAGCTTGGCCATGGAAGAGTATCCGCCTGGAACACCGTAGTCAACAAGAGTGGAGGTTCTGGTCTCGGTCTTGCCGTCAGCCCATTCAATACCGAACTTGTGTTGCAAAATCACCAAGTCTCTCTCGTTCTCGGTGTATTGCATCAACTCCTCAAGAGTGGCACACAGGGTGTCGAGAGGGTTTCCAGCAGGGGTGATGTTTTTGGAAGAGAACATACCGAGCCACTTGAAACCAGCCAAGATTCTCTCTCTGTCGGCCTCGTCCTTGAACTTGGTCAAGGAGTCGATCTTGGCAACAATATCCTTCTCAGAAGAGGAAGCAGCGCCAATGTACTTGGCAACAACCTCGTTCCATGGAGCAGGCTTGGAGAAAATCTCAGATGGGTCCTCCTTCAAGAATCCCATGTCGACAAGAACTTTGACGAATTCTGGGAAACCTTGGAATCTCAGAGTACCTCTGATGACGGTCTGGGCCTCTGGAATGCTGTACAATTCCTTGTACACAGTGGAGTCTCTGTTTGGATAGCAGACCAAGGCGTATCCTGGGTAAATGAAGTATGGCTTGGCAGAGGCCATAAGGTCCTCGGAAGCGATCTTCTCAATCTTACCGTTCTTCCAGTAAGTGGCCTGGTTTCTCAAAGCAAGCAAGACACCTCTAGAAGACCAAGAGAACTTGTATCCCAATGGATTGTCGGAATCCTCAGGAGCCGGCAAACCACCACAGTACGACAAGAACGAGGTGATCTTACCGCCGGCCTTGTGGACCTCGTCGATGGTCTTGACGGCATACAAGTGGTCAATACCTGGGTCCAAACCGATCTCGTTCATGACAACAATACCGGCTTCCTTGATCGCTGGCTCCAACTCCTTCAAAGCTGGAGAGATGTAAGAGGTGGTCACGACATTGGTATGCTTGGACTTGATGGCAGCCTTGACAACGCTAGCGTGGTAGATGTATGGGATCAAAGAGATCACAACATCGTACTTGTCGACCTCTTTGTCCAAAGCTTCTTGGTCGGTAACGTCCAACGACAATGCGCTGGCCACAGAGCCGGCCAATTCCTTAGCCTTGGACAAGGTTCTGCATGCAACAGTGACCTCAACGTCAGGTTGTTTAGCAAGAATGTCAACAGTTGGCTTGGCAACGAAGCCAGATCCGAGAAGTAGTACTTTCTGAGTCATTATGGACAAAGATAAAGAAATTTCTGAAAAATGGAAATAATATGCGAGGTGAGGGTGTGCTCAATTTAGGTTACAGCGACTCGGGGCGGGAACTAGTATTTTACACAGCCATGATTTTTGTCATGCTTGCCCTGGTCAAGCTTCCTGCTCCCATCTTGTTCGGAGGTCCACGAACCACATGGGCAGGTTTTCTTCTCTTGGGAGCCGCACTCGCACAGACACCGGGCCTGCCGGCTTATAGAAACTGACTCCCGGTCCGCTGACGCTTGTTTGGCGTTCTTGTCGCTGTTTTCTCTTTTGGCGACGCATTTCCACGAGTTTGAGTAGGTTTTTGGGGATCTGCGGCGACGACGACACAGAAAGATGCGGGCTCATACTGAGTTCGTTCTCAACGCTCTTGGGCTCTTCAAACTGCTCGCTCTCCTCTTCCTCCTCCTCCAGGTCCAACAATCGCTCAGATGAAACAAGCTCAATGTTTACGAGCTCCAGGTAGTTTTCCACAGCATAGTTGGCCTTGGTGTTGGCAAACAGCCTATACTCGTTCGAGATGCTGGAATAACTCCATCGCTGGATCCGCCGCAATAGACCTATCATGACTTCGCTTCTGTCCACCAACAGACAGTCATGATAAGTTTTGTAGTCCAGCAAGATCCGGAACGTCTCTGCCACCAATGATGGCTTCAGAACCATCCACTCCTGAAACTGCAAGCTCTCGTCCTCCTCGGGCACGCTGCTGGACTCCTTCAGATGGCAAAGTCGCACATGATTGTCCTCCATGTACTGATTGATGGGCCGCGGCGGTTTCTCCTCATCCAGCCAGACGATCGTCCGCAGTCCCAGCGCCTCTAGGAACGGCATGTTGATTGCGTCCAGCTGCGAACACCGGTAAAGTCCGTCTTCGACAAATGCAAAGTTATCAGGGGGCACGAGCATAAAATTATTATTTTTTATTTATTTTGTCATGAGGATTATATTTATCCACCCGGATCTGGGGATCGGGGGAGCCGAGCGACTGGCGGTCGACGCGGCGCTGGCCGTCCAGCCAGGAAACGATGTGACCATGTTCACGTCCCATTGCGACCTGTCGCACTGTTTCGAGGAAGTCAGTTCTGGACAGCTCAAGACAAAGGTCCATGGAGACTTTCTCCCAACGCATTTTCTGGGCAAGTTCGCCATTGTGTTCGCATTCTTGCGCCAATTGTATCTGGTACTGGTTCTCATTGTCACAGGCACGCTGAAGAGCTCGGACGTACTTTTCGCCGACCAGTTGTCGTACTGTCTGCCATTGATCTATCTTTTCAAAGGCCCAAAAACAAAAGTGATTTTCTACTGCCATTTCCCAGATAAACTGCTTGCGTCGCACTCGGGATTTGCCAGACGGGTTTACCGTGCCGTTTTTGATACCATCGAGGAGTTTTCCATGGGGTTCGCAGACAAGATCTTGGTGAACTCCAACTTCACCAAAAAGACAGCTAGCAGCGCTTTCAAGAGCCTCAAACCGGAGTCGCTCGACGTGTTGTACCCGTGCGTCGGCGACATCCGGCTGAACCAGTCCTCAGTGGATGAGGTATCTGAGTTCTTTAAAGAAGAACCGTTCTTCCTGTCGGTGAATAGATTCGAGCGCAAGAAGAACATCTCTCTGGCAATTCGAAAGTACCACGAGTTCATCTGCAACACAAAGTCCAACCACAAACTGGTCATCGCGGGTGGATACGACGCACGCGTATTCGAGAACGTAGACTATCTGATCGAGCTGGAAAGTCTATGCAAGCACCTCAAACTGTCGTCCATCACCATCCGTGGAAAGCTTATTGTTGCTCCACGCAACACACAGGTGTTCTTCTTACCATCCATCAGCACAGACCTCAAGAACGCGCTCATCAAAAACGCCCAGATGCTCGTTTATACTCCGTCGTTCGAACATTTTGGAATCGTTCCTGTGGAGGCCATGAAGCTCGGCACTCCGGTGCTGGCCGAAGCCACCGGCGGACCAACAGAAACAGTTGTTCCGTACGACAACAAGGATTTCACCGGTTACCTTGTTGGCCCAACAGAGGACCGTTGGGTGGAGTACCTAAACCACGTCGAGTCATTGTCTGCTACAGAAAAACGGCAACTGGCTCTTAGAGCCCAGCAACGGGCACAGAGTCTGTTCTCGTTCGAGGCGATGGCACAGAGCCTGAACCATGCCATTGAGCACTGTACGCCAGCAACCGTCAACTTCACAGCACTCCTCTACCTGAGCATTCTGCTGGGACTGGTGGTTCCTATCAAGTTTGCGATAGATAGATGATTCGTTACCTTACATAGCTATAATTCACTCGGTGTCAGTCACAATGGCCTCTTCCTCGCGGCGTTTCAAGTTTCTGAACCAATCCAGCGCGGTCTTCAGCTTCTCCATGGTGACCGGGTACTCAATAACGTAGTCGAACACACCGGACTCGACTGCGTCGTGGTAGAACGACGTGAGCGCAACGAATACGGTCTCCGAGTTGGCAGTGGACGTGTGCTTGATGAGCTTGACGAGATCGACACAGTCCAGCTTGTGCAGCTCGGTCGACGTGAAAATGAGGTCGAACTTGACATCTCCAGTCGACCGTTTGATCAGCTCCGACCCGGACGAAAATGCAACCACGTCGCACCCCAGACGGCCCAGGTTTTTCTCGATCGAGTACCGGTGGATGGGAATCGGCTCGCACAGCAGCACGTCGAAGTTGATCATCATGTTCTGGATAGCGTCGGCTGTTTCGTTGGTGGCCGACGATGTGCGTGCCATGCGTTTGGACGAGCGCTTCTTGCGCAGCCGTGTCTGTCCCACCCGGTCCTCGTTATCTGAGGACGACGGCGAGAAGTCGCTCATAGTTCTGGAGAACGACTTGGACAGCAGCCGCAAAGCAGGCGATCCGGCTTCTGTGCTGTACCCTTTCTTGTGCAACGGCCGTGCAACCGGCGAAAGGTGACGGTACTCGTCCGAAGCGTCGCTTGCCAGAGATGCATTGCGCAACAACGGCGACAGTTTCTGGTCCTTCATGATACCTGGAGAAGACGGCCGTTTGAACGGCGTAAGCAGCTGTCCGCTCGCAGAGGAGTGGCCTCGCGGCCTGGTGGCTAAGGGAACCGAGGTGGATCCAGGTGTTGTTGGTGCCGAAGAGCCAGAATCAAGCGAAGCAGACGACGACATGCTGTTCAGCTGCTCGATGTGCTCGCTTTTGAGCCGGTTGATCACATCCTTGTTCTGTTTCTCCAGAACAGCAAGGTTTCTGAACTGGAATGAGCCAAACTCAGACGAGCCGCCGCTGTCGTTCAGTCGGGAGCCTCTTCTTTCACGCTTCACAGACATCGAACCGTGCTTAGAGAGATTCGTCTTTGGAGAGTCCAGTGTGGTGGACGACGAGCTCGAGTTTGGCAATGTGCACTCCTCCAGAGCAGTTTCCGTTGGCTCTTCAGTAAACTCCTCGCTCGGGAACATGCTTAGCTGGGCTCCTCGAGCATCAAAGTACTCTGTAGACTCTGGATCCTCGTTATCGGGCACAAACGACGCTTCTTCCGTGAACAACGTGTCCCAGTTGATGCCATTGAAGTATGGGTGCCGCATGATTTCTTGCGACCCGCCGCTACCGAGACGAGAAGCAGGGTCTTTCACAAGAAGCCGTTTGATGAGATCTTTCACAGTAGGTGAACAGTACTCGGCAAACTCTTCTGGAGGAAGATTCGGCCATTGGATTTCTCCGTGAAGAATGTTTTCAAACACCTGTTTAGGACTGTTTCCAGCAAACGGAGGCACTCCAAATAGAAACTCAAACAGAATACACCCAATTGACCACCAATCACTGGCCTCATCTTGACCGATACCAGCGACAGTCTCAGGGGCAAGGTAATCAGGTGTTCCAACGAACTTGCGAGTTTCTGCCGAGTGCTGCGGATCGAACAAAGCATAATTGGTGATCTCTGTTTGTGTGTCTTCCTTGTTAATGACAAAGGATGGTTGCATTGTTGATCTTCGCGTGAGAGGACGCAGTAGAGGCGACGAGTTGGCGCTTCCTGGAGTAACTGCTTCCAACTCTTCGAAAACAGGAGCTGTGCTGGCAGAAGGAGTCACCAACGGCGAGCTAGGACTAAGCGAGAAGGGAGTGATATTGACGCTTTTCTTGGCCACAAGCGAAGCTGATTGCGGATTCACAAAAGGGTCCTCAATCACGTCCGAGTGAGTGTTGTTCTGTCTTCTGATAAGTCCCATTCGACTCAGTCCAAAATCGGTCAGTTTGATGTGGCCGTTGCGATCAATCAGCAAATTGTCAGGCTTGAGATCACGATGCACAATTCCTCTGGAATGGAGATCGTCAACACCTACAATCACCTCGGCAATGTACCTTCTCGCCCAGATATCTGGCAGATACCCCATGTTTTTCAACAGGGTTGCCAAATCTCCACCGTTTAGATACTCCATCACCAAATAGAGGTAATTTGTGCTCTGGAATGTGACAACCAGCTGTGCAACATACGGAGAGTTGGCCTGGGCCATCAAAATGGCTCTTTCCGCTTTCACGTTGGTGACTTGGTTCTTGGCGACCATGTCTGCCTTCTTCAGCACTTTGATAGCAAAATATTCACCCGTGAGTTTTCTCTTGGACAAATAAACCGATCCAAATGCACCTTTGCTGATCGGCTTGATGATCTCGTAATCTTTAATTGAAGGAAGAGACTGTTTGGAACTCTGGGGAACAAGCAGCGGCGACAACTGAGGTCGTTCCAGACCAGAAGAAGACGACGAGGGTATATCTGTTGATAGGAACAAGGGTGAGGAAATTGGGGTATTGGACCCTGAACCTGAGTTGACACTTGGATGTTTAGCATGCGACTTGGAGTTTCTTTGTATTGAACTTAGTGGAAACATCATACCGGGTGATAAAGGACGACGAGGTGAGTTATACGAAGGAGATGCAGCCCGCTGGATTGTCTTCACCGACTCATCTCCAGAGACACTGATCACCGGAGTGGAGCGAGCGTCCGATGCTGGAGACGACGTTCGCGTACTCAACGACCCAGACATTGGTTCACCGTCCAGTATCGACATCGGGCCAAATTCGTTCGTTGGTTTAGGCGACTGAATCAATAGCGGCTCGTCAATCATGTCTTCTTTAATTTTCATGATCGTCTCCTTCACAACGTTCAGGATCATCTCATCTGTCTGCTTGGTGATCCTATCAACATACTGAAGGATATGTGCGTATCTCTCAATTGCCTCAATCTTCTCCTTTGCAAGGCTTTCGGTATCATCAGTGAGCAACTTGATAGCTTGATCACTTGACAACGGAACCTCGATCGTGTTTAGATTCTTCAAAGCGCGCTCGCTATCTGGGGAGAAAGCAATCGCGTACTCCTCTCGTTTCTGGTCGTCTGTGTGTAGTTCCCCGGGATTGATTTTCAGTGCTTCGTCGCAGTATTGAATGAGAATCTCCAAATTCTTGAACGGGAATCTTTTGGCCGGAAGCAAACTGCCAACACTCTTGCGACGGCCTAGGGTGCCAGACTCGTTGGCAGCGGAGAGCGGGATGGCAAAACCTTTGTATTCGGTAATGGATGCGATGCTTCCAGAAGAGCTATTTGAAGAGCTGCTGCTGCTGCTGGACACAGAGCTAGAAGAGTTCAAAGGAACAAGGGGCGGCGTTTTGTTCACTTGACGTCTTGTGAGGGTATCGAGAACGTTCTGAAGAAGGTTCTTATGCTCAATTAGATTCTCCTGTTTCTGCTGTACTGTATCTTCTGCTCTATGCTCAACGAGACACAATTCTGCGTGTCTTTCCAGCCACCAGTTCGGAACACGTTGTTCGCAGATACGACACAGTTCTTGTGCCGGAGGCGGGAGGTTCTCTTCGTCAACAACGCCGAGATCGGTCAGATGGCACAAATAAGACTCAAACAAGTTGATTCCAAACCCAAGCCTCATTATCAGCTCTTCCGGCAATTCGAGAGTCTGGCCAGAAAGAGGAACCCAGGGCTTGACAATCCACATCGAATGCGACGGCTGGCGCTTTTGATCATGAATGAGCACTCCCTGCGCAACCAATTCTATAAGGCCACCGTCTGTGGTGATGCTGGAGTTCTCTGAATGCAAACTAACAGAGTCGGTGTCTGAATTTGACACATTTGTGTCTTGCTCTGTGGTTTCGGGACCGGATGAGGCATTTTGCAAATTAGTCGAAACAACAAATCTGACTCTGTAGGTTTCATCATCGGTCATCATGATATCTGTTGCTCTGTTGAAGACTTGTTTGTCCTCGATCTCTCCAACGATGATGTTACTTAAAGGTCGTCCCACAATTTTGCTCAATTTGGTACCCACTACGGTTTCCCATATTTTGCTCAAAAACTTGACATTACAGTCCATATCCAGCTCCATCAGAGCAACTGGGTTCTGTGCGGTGATTTCCGAAAGGTCGCCCAACGTATTGTGGGTATGGATTTCATGGTCTATCGAAGGCGTATCGACTTCGAGCGGTGAAACTGACCTCGATGGCACATGCGCTCTGGTGCCTGTGTAAAATATCGACTCGGGCCGGCCGCGAGTCGCCTTTCCGTTGAATGGCGGCGTCTCCATCGTGCAATTGATAAGAGATCGTCCACAAACAAAAATAATTGAAGACAATAAATTAATTAAACATTATTTTTCTAATCAATCTCGGAAGCAATGCTTTTACCCACGAGATGGGCGGTGTACGGCGTGTACTTTGTCTTTGACTCTTTGAATAAAAACCGCAGGCTCTTGGTACCTTCAGAGACCTTCCCCCCGTACTCTGTTCCCAGCTGCTTTGGATCCAGATATTTTGACAGCTCCTGCCCGTTGCTGATAACGACAAATTTATTCCTGGTCTTCTCAGCCACAAAAGCCGTAATCACCTTGAAAACCCACATCATGATCGACGGAACGTTCACAAAGAACTTCTTGGACAGCAGTTCCGGATAGTAGTTGCCAAACACCTCAATCACTTTCTTGGTAGTTTTCTTCACCTCAGAGTCTCTTTGGAACAGAGACACTCCTTTGTAGTCGTGAACTTGCACCATGTAGTTATTATCCTGGCTAGCGAAATCCAACAATTGAACGCTCTGCTCCATCAGTCCAACTCTCCATCTTAGAAACGCATTGGGATCGCCAAATATCTTCTTTGGATCCGTCACTTTACCATACAGATTCCAAGTGGTGATTTTCTCCAGAGGTTTAGCCTCAGAATTCACGGTGATGAACCCAATATCGTCAAATTTGGAGTCGTGGTTTTCGAGAAACGCAGCACTAATAGGATTGAATTCCTTGCGCCATTCCAATATCTTCTCCAAGTTGTCAACACTGGTCTTGTAATCCCAATCGTAAGCCGTGAGAATCTTAACCAGCAATTGCTCGTATATTTTCTCGTCGAAAAACTCGCCGTGGCTCAGTTGGTGGCCAAACAACTCGTCATACTCGACCTCGCTCACCACCTCCTGCGCCTGCTTCTTGAATTTCTCAAGAGTCTCTTTTTGCAAAGAAGTAGCCATTAAATAATATTTAAATCCGTTAATTTTCAATGTCGAATTTAGGCACGGTGCCCGAGTTACTGGACCGTCTTGAACCATATTTCCAACTGCTCAGACCGTACACAGGTCTGATCCCGCGATGGCTCGAGTACTCGCTTGTCCAAATCTACGGCCCCGAGATCTACGATGCACTAATCTACCAACTGCGACCATTTGCACCTGAAAATCAGGTGTATCTGTACATGTTCCTCAAGAAAACGTCAGAACTGGTCCTCAGATCTGGAATTCTTCTACCCCAGCTGATCAACCTGTTCCACCACAGAACTTCTTCCGGTTTATCGCCAATCTTTGGCTACACAATCACTCTAATCATCAACATAATACAGTTCTTCATTGGCATTCGCGAGCAAAACGTACTCAAATACACGGAATACGCCATCCAGGCTTTACAAACGCTTCTCGTGGTGGCCATAATGCTCACCTTCTCCAGATATAGGCGGTGGACGCCGCTCGTTGCTGCGCTCGTGCAATACCTGCTCTACTGGTGCAAGGATGCTCCTATTTTTTACCTGCAGAAACTAGTGAGCGTGTTTAGTGCGGCTGGAGTAGTTAATTTACTGGTTCTGTTGACAGGTAAGCGGAAAGAGTCTGTTTCGAGCGTTGGTGGGCTATTTGGAAGTCTTCTACAAAACGTGACACCAAACTGGTACTTCTTTGTGGGATTCGCGTTTATTGTTATTGGGCTTGTGAAAACTGCAACCACAAAAGTGCAACGTGGACCAAGGTGAGATTTCAAGACCACGTAAGCGAAAAAAAAATATAACCACGTAAAGTTTAATTATGTCTTTTGCCGATAGAGAACAACCAAAGACCATCTGTCTTTTCGACGTTGATGGAACCCTGACTCCAGCCAGATTGACCATTTCTCCAGAAATGAAGGCTACCCTGCAAGCTTTGAGAAAGAAGTGTGTGGTTGGTTTCGTTGGAGGAAGTGACTTCTCCAAGCAGGTTGAGCAGTTGGGTTCTGACGTGTTGGACCAGTTCGACTACTGTTTCAGTGAGAACGGATTGACCGCTTACAAGCAAGGTAAGCCTCTTCAATCTGCTTCGTTCATCGGATGGATCGGAGACAAGAAGTACAACGAGTTGGTGAAATTCATCCTCAGGTACCTTGCCGACTTGGACTTGCCTATCAGAAGAGGTACATTCATCGAGTTCAGAAAGGGTATGATCAACGTCTCTCCTATCGGAAGAAACGCTTCTACCGAGGAGAGAAACGAGTACGAGAAGTTCGACTTGGAGCACAAAGTTAGAGAGAAGATGGTCGAGGCTTTAAAGAAGGCTTTCCCAGACTTGGCCTTGACCTACTCCATTGGTGGTCAAATCTCGTTCGATGTTTTCCCTACTGGCTGGGACAAGACTTACTGTCTGCGTCACATCGAGAAAGAAGGTTTCGACCAGATCCACTTCTTCGGAGACAAGTCGTACAAGGGTGGTAACGACTACGAGATCTACACCGACGACAGAACTATCGGCCATGCTGTCAAGAGCCCAGAGGACACTCAAAAGATTTTGACTGAACTTTTCCACCTTTAATAGAGAATATTAATTATAATCGATTCATTAACTCATTAACCGCACATAAGCAAGAACCAGGGCAAACGTACCTGTGCAAACACCAAACAGCCACTGCATCACCTGTGTTTTCACAGACTCAATCTGAACTTTCATGTTGGCTATTTCCTCGTCTATTCTGGTATCTGTTTCTTTAATCTTCAGGTCGTAGATCGAGCTTTCTTCGCGAACACGGCCCTTTTCCAAGTTCAGGTCCAATCGCACTCCGGAAAGACTCTTGTTGAGCTCTTCTTTGAACTTGGTGCGCATTTTTTCCAAGTCGCTACGAAGGCTTTCGTGTTCGTTTCGCAGGGTGTTGAACTCAGATTTGTCGATCATTTGCAGTTCACCTTTCAACTTTGCAAAGTCCACCTTTTGCTGGTACGACATCTTGTTGAGCGTTTCTTTCGGAATCAGGTTCGCGGCGTACTTGTCGATACCGTCGTTGATGGACTTGGACAGGATTTCCACGGCAGCGTCTGCCTTTTTGGCATCAAACCCGGCGTTCTTAAGCCGCTGAACAAAAACGTGGGTGTCAAAGTGCGGTGTGTTGTATCTCGTGGGAACAGCGCTAAATCTTCGAATAGAGAGGCGTAACATTGATGTGCAAATAAATAATACAAGTTTAATTATTCTAGATTTTTTTCCTATATAGATTGGCATGTCTCGAGAACGACTCGAGAAAATACGCGCCAAAAGAGCAGAGCAGGTCGAGCTCGGCCTCAAACGCCAGAAGATAGAGCAAGAGTCCGTGACTCGCGAGCCGGAAGAGCCATCAACTGCACAGACACAAAACGACGAGATCATAAACGAATACGAGCAGGACCTGCAACAGGACCTTGAGAAACTACAGAGCGAGACAGAAAGGGCGATCAAGGAGCTGCGGAAAGCCAAATAAGGTCAAGAAAAGTCCTTTTTTCCTTATCATATTACATATTAATAACCGGTCTACAGTGTCTATGACTCGAGGTCGTAATAGGCACTGTAGAAATAAAGAATCGAAAACACAAAAAAGGCAATGGATCCGCCCAATGTGACGTTTCTCATGCTGATCTTGGTGGCCAACAGCTGGCCTCCTATGACCGCAAGCCCCGTACACAGACCATGTCCGACAATGCCTCCGAGAATAACCATCCAGTAGTCAGAACCGGCAGCCATGGCAATGGTAGCGATTTGGGAACGGTCTCCCCACTCACCGAGGAAAGTCATGGCAAAAGTTTGAACCCACACGGGAGACAGGATGTAGGAGGCGAGGTTGGAGACGTGGGAAATGGCTTCTTTCCACAACGGCTTTTTCACAACTGCGCCTGGTCCGGCCGCTTCTTCCAAACTTCCCGAGCGTTGGTTCAAAGCCGAAATCTCGATCTCCTCCTCAACCTCGGCCATCTCGTCGCCCATTCCCGCATCCTTGGACATCGACAGCCCCTCTCGGAGGAGGTTGATACCGAACACAATGAACAGCACACCGGCAAAAAATTGGGTCAATCTCTGCGGGATCAGGGCAGGCAATGCGTGGCCCACCACTCCGGAAAGCACTGTCATAAGCACAAGGGCAGCAAATGCGGCGGAAAACACCACCGCTCTAGGGTGTTTCATCGCCATGAGCGCAGCAACAAGGAACGTCTTGTCGCCAATCTCGCTCACCACAATCATGGATGTGGACATCAGGAATGCGTCGGACAGCTCGCGAGGCGCCTCGAAGTCGGCAACAGGTCCGGAACTGTCTTTTGCAGCTTCGGCTTTCAGGTTACTCAGATGGTGCTCCAAGGTTTTTTCATCTTCGTTGGCCTCAATCGACTGGATGGTCACGAGATCATCGCTGTCGATGCTCTTATCAGCAGCAACTGGAGGGTAAACAGCAGACGCAGCTGCCAAAACTGCAGCCACAGCCAAAACGTTGCGTACCTTCATGTTAACAAGAAAGAAAAATTTGGTAGAAAAATTTGGAGATCACGGGAATCGCTAATTGTAAGCAGATCAGATACCATGGTAAATTTAGAATTATGTTGAAAAGTCCGATTTAAACGCCAAACAAACAGGGAATCTTTTGCCCAGACACTCCAAAACACATACAGTTGTAACTTAATCATGAAAATAAAACGTATATTCACCAAATCGTACAAAACGGATAAAAAGCTATCAGTGATAGAACCAGACCAACTCAACAATGCAACAGTCATCACAGCCTGAAGGTTAGTAAACATCGCAACCAGCTAGATATACTTACTTGGTGGTGTTGCAGCCTGGACATTGGCAGCCAGATCCGCACTTGCATCTGGTCTCCTCCTTGCCACCACAGCAGGCGGAAGGAGATGGCTTCTTGGTGGAAGCAGCTTGAGAGGTCTCGGAAGAGCTCTTTGCGCTTGGTTTAGTGGAACATCTGCAAGCCATAACGAAAATTAAAGATTAGACGGAGGAGATTGGAATCTTTTTATAAACCGAGCGATATCATCGCCTTTTACGGAAGGAAGATACGGCGCACAGTATTTCCCGATAAGGAAGCTTGAAGAATAGCCAACGAGTAAATAATCTGGTGAGTATTTATTTCTCTGCCTTAAATAGTCGATTATGTAATCGGGGGAATATAACACCTTGAGCCACTTACAGTCTGGCAGGAGAGTCCTTTCTTGGGCTCAGTTTGTGAACCTCCTTACGGATCAGTTCACCAATGATTGGCTCAGCCTTCGAGAAGTATTCAAACACACGGTCCTGGATGAACTCGTCTGCAGACAAAATGTGGCCTGCAACGTTCTTCACCAGAGACTCCTGCTCACCCTCAGTTCTTCCAAGCACCTTCCAGAACATCTTTGGCTGGTAGAAGTCGTAGTCAACAACAGTCCAGTGGAATGGAACAACCTCGCCCTCGTACTTCTCGTCTGGTTTGCTTCCTGAAGCCTTGGCACCAACAGCATACTGCACAGGGCAGTTGTAAGCACCAGCATAGTTTGGAGTACCACCAAGATTGCCGTCAACAACCATAGCACCGTCTCTGATATGCGGAGCAAACACGCCGGACTTCAATGGACAATTAATTGGGATCTGGGAGTAGTTAGTTCCCAATCTGTGTCTGTGGGTGTCTGGGTAAGAGAACAGTCTCGATTGCAGAACAGGGTCATTAGATGGCTCCATTCCTGGAACTGTGTGCGATGGAGAGAAGGCGACTTGCTCAGTCTCGGCAAAGTAGTTCTTTGGGTTCTCGTTCAAGGTGAATCTACCAAAGTGTCTCAATGGGAAGTCCTTGTGAGGCCAGACCTTGGTAAGATCAAACACAGAGAATGGAATCTTCTTGGACTGTTCCAGAGTCATTGTCTGGATGTAGCACTCCCACGATGGGTAGTCACCTCTCTCAATTGCCTTGTAGAGGTCTCCAGTGTGGAAATCTGGGTCTTCTCCAGCGAGCTTTCCAGCCTCATCGTCAAGCAGGTTATGCACACCTTGGTTCGAGATGAAGTGGACCTGAACGTACTGCCATTCACCCTTGGCATTGTACCATTTATATGTGTGACCAGAGTAACCGTTCATTTTTCTGAAGGAAGCCGGAGTACCTCTGTTGGAGAATAAATACATCACTTGGTGAAGAGATTCTGGGTTGGCAGTCAAGTAGTCCCAGAACATGTTGGCATCCTTGAGGTTTGTAGCTGGGTTTCTTTTTTGAGTGTGGATGAAGTGAGGGAACTTGGTTGGATCCCTAATAAAGAAAATAGGGGTGTTATTGTAAACCAAGTCCAAGTTTCCGTCCTCGGTGTAGAACTTGGTAGCAAATCCTCTTGGGTCTCTGGCAGAGTCTGCAGAACCTTTCTCACCACCGACGGTGGAGAATCTGGTGAAAATTCTGGTCTTCTTACCAACAGTGTCCAAGAACTTGGCGGAACACACATCGGTGATGTCATCAGTGACTTCGAAAACACCGTAGGCACCCGCACCCTTGGCATGGACAACTCTCTCTGGAATTCTTTCTCTGTCGAAATGAGCAAGAGAGTCGATCAGCTTAAAGTCTTGGAGTAACAATGGACCAGTAGGTGGGGCATATTGGTAGCCCTTCTGGTCAACAGAGATTCTCTGGGTAGAGAATGGATCAGACACAGGACATCCCTGCGAAGTGGTGTAGACTGGGGGATTAGACATTGTAAAAAAATAGCAATGGGGGTAGACTTTTTTTTTGCTTTATATACTTCTCTCCGTAGCCTTTCAATTTATTTAAGTGCCCCCGCCATCTGCAGAGGCTATTAAAATTTGCTGCTGACTTGCCACTGTGGGGGTGACAAATGGTTACGTGATTAGTAATTCTTAGCGGTCATTGGCCAGTGAGAATTGAGACCTGGACTACATTTGCTCATATTAAGAGCCTGGCCATGGCATGATGATTATATAACGATTTCGGAGCAAACTCTTTGTGTTTCCTAATTCGGACAGCAATTGCGATAAGATTTCTCCAAAATTGCTATGGAGCCAATCGCGTCGCCTCAGAATGTAACTTTCTCGGTGCAAAGATGTTGCGGAGCAAGTTGGTAAAATAGTCTATTTGTCACTAAAAACTGGCTGTGCATTTGTAATTTTTCAACATGGTTCTAGATCACAAGTTGTAAGTACCACAAATCACAGGTGACTAACATCAAGGACGTACAGAATCCCATTTGAGTCTGCCCAGCAGGCCAAGATCGCACAGGACTCGCTGAACCCAGACTCTACATTGAAGCCAGACCAGGTCCAAACCTCGTTCTCCGTTTCCGAAAACGTACTCCAGATTGTTTTTGACGGTGTTTCGGAAAGGGCCATCAGGGTGGCAGCCAACAATACCATCGAGAACTTGAAAACCGTGCTCGAGTGCATGGAGGAGTTTGAGATCGCTAATTAATGTTTCAATATTACGCTACTTAAATCAGTCTCTCTTCGAATCTGAGCTCGTCTAATGGCTCCAGACCGATCAGGATTCTCAAAAAGTTGTCAAGACCCTGTCTCTGCTTGTTGAGACCGTTGATTGGAGTGAATCCAGGCCGGGTGATTGGTGCCTTGAGCCAGTAACTCAAGAAAGAAAGAACAGAGTGCAAGCTTTGGTACTTATCCTCGCCCTTCTTGCTGTACTGAACTCTCGATAAGAACTCGGTCATCACCAACAAATCGATAATCAATGGAGTTGCCAGCAACGAATCCTCGCAAATGTTGTGAATGCTAATTCTGTTGTGTCCACCAAGCATCAATTCCGAGTAGTACTCGTCCATGGCGACCTTGGAGTCCCCAACAGCACTCATGTACTTGATGACAATACAGTGGTCGATCTTCTTGCCCAGCTTGTCGTTGTACAAGATCTCGTTCGAGGCAATGATGTCGTCAACAACAGATGCCTTGGAAATCTCCTTGGACCGGAACTGTTTTGGAGAACTCAAGTTGTAACCGTCGTTGTTACCCAAGTGGTTGTACGAGGCAATGGAGCTGGTTCTGATACCGGCATCCACCAAGAACTGGGCCAAAACAGACTTCATTTTGGTCTGGCCACTCTTGAAGTCGTCTCCTCCAATAAAGGTGTTGTTCTTGTCAGCAAGCTCAATAAGACCCGGAACAAAAGTGTTTTGAGGACTTCCGTTGATGTATGGAACATTCTCCAAGATACTGGCAATGGCGAAAACGGTACTTGGAGCAATCTCCTCGTGGTCCTGCTTCACAGCTTCCAAAACGTTCTCGGCAGTGTCGTTCACACCTTCCACCACATTAACGTATCTCTCGGTGTTAGCAGTCCACAACACAACAACTTTGTCGAGCTTGTTGGACGCCTTGAAGTCGCGGATATCCTTTCTGATCTGCTCCACGTGGCTCCACTTGCCGGTGGTGTGGATCTCGCCGTTGGATCTGTTGAAGCAGTTGTTGGCTCTCTCGTCCTGGTTGGCAGCAATGAAGTCTGGGTAGTAGATCGACTTGAGAGGCACAATGTGCTTCATCTCGTCCTTCAACTTCTCCTGGAGGTCGAACTCCAACACCTTGGCCTTGTGCATGGCAGTGGCAAGGTTGTCTCCGTTGATATCCCATCCGCTAACAACAAAGTCGTTTGGGTTCACCATTGGTAGCAGCGAGTTGAACGGAGCGTACACGTCCAAACCGTTGGAGTCGACACCCAGCTTGACAGTGGCGGATTGGGTGACCGATCCATAGTAGTTGGCGTTCTTCAAACCTTCCTTGGTGTTGAATTGGACCTTGTTCTTGTTGGCAAGCACGGAAGCCACAAATGTGGTACCGTTGTTACCGCCCAATCCAACAAGCATCACACCAACTTTAGGCACCTTAAGGTCAACCTTGAACTGGTATGGCTCCTCCACAGGCTTGACAGAGTAAGTTCCGGAAGGCTCTTTGTCCACAACCGCGTTCTTGTACACGTAGTTGGTGACAAGCTCGTTCTCAGAGTACTTGCATTTGTCGGTTTGAACTTTAACTTTTGGGACGAATTGGACAGTCATGATGATTAGTGAGGTGCACAGGAGGGAGACATGACCCCTATTTATAGCGTGGGAAACGCTAAATAGCTTTTGATACGCGGAGTGCCTGGAGGAGGAAACCTTCGGCGTGTTCGCCGAGATTCTCGCACTGTGATTGGCTCTCGGCGAAAGTTTGTGTTTCCCAATTGGGAATTTTTGGCCGGGCTCCTCAAACACAAGGCATTCTTTATGCCTATATGCATGTGACAGAGCAGCAAAATAGTGGAATCCTAAAGAATGTTTCAAAAGAGGCGCATTTGCGCAAGTCGGAGCGCTCTGATTGGCATGATGCGTGCCCAACAATTTCTGCCCCCCTTGATCTCCGGATGGTGGGTGTGTGTGTTTCCAAAGAGGCAAGAAGACGTGCACCGGCTGGTTCTGGTCCACCTGTGGACACAACAATAGCGTCCCAGACAGATGGGTCCTCGGCAGTGGGCCGGGAGGAAGTTGGTAGGTTTCGGAATTGGTGTATATTCACGGCGGCCAATTGGACTCTAAAATTTGCCCGCAGCGCACCGTCGAGTAGCAGAACTCGTCAGAAGGTAAAGTGCATGTCAATTGTATTTGTAAAACTGCCTTTGGTTGGCCCATGTGGTGCTACCTACTGCCACCTACTGCTCTAATATAATTCTACGCCTCGCACCTGATTAATTTTATGGACGACCAAAGCTCTCAAACGACAGTCCACACGTCCGCGTCGACGCTCCGGCAGTCGTCCGTCCATACGGATGAGCTCACCATCGACGACTCGGTGCAATCGGTGTCCGAGATCGAAATTGACGACGAAGACGACCCGCTCAAGGTGAAAGAGCTCGCTTTGGCCTTTGACTATCTGATGTACAAAATCCAAGACCACACGAGCCAACTCAGCGAGCGCGTGGAAAACCACGTTATCCAATCAAAAGCAGAACACGAGGTGGATATCCACGCGATCCAGCAAAAATTAGAACAGATAAAGCTGCTTCTGGCCCATTGCGACAAAGTCGACCAGGAAATCGATAAGCTCGAACAACTCAACATCATCGCCAAGGATTTCAACCAAAGACTCCTCAGCGTCCAACGAAGAATGGACGCACACGCTAAAAAGTTCAAGTGAAAAAATGCGCTTGTATTAATACACTATTCGCCCTATCATACATCTACTGTCTGTTCTCTGTACCGACCAATGGTCTTCTTAACATGGCGTTCCTCGATTTTTTTCTTCTGGACCTGCTCCAGACGGTTTTTGAACCGCACCCCAGCAACAACGGCCAGCGCCACGGCCCGGAACGTCAGCTTCGGCTGCTGGCGTTTGACTCCGCTTAATCTTTCCAGGCTGGTCACCATCCGCTCTTTGCTCTCCAGCTCGTGGGTCAAAAAGTTGGCCATGAACTGTAGATCAGAGTTGTAGTCCTTGTACTGTTGCAACTTCATCCGGAAAAGCTGTTTCTGGCTCTCGAGCAGGTTGATCCGTTGTGTCAGATATCCGTTTTCGTGTGGAGACCGTGGTGGACTCACTGGAGACAGCGGATACTCTGTCCTCTGCATCTGTTTGCTTAGCAGCAGCTCGTGCGCAACTTTTGCACGCTCCAGCTTGATCTTCATCTCCTCGAGTTCCTGGCCCAGTTTGAACTTGTCCTTCCGAACCTGCTCATATCTGTTCAAAAGATCGTTCTTCATCTCGTTGTAGTCATTCACAAGTTTCTTGATCTCCCGGTCCTTTTCCTCGATCTCGTTCTTCAGTTTAGGTCCTGCCAGCTTCAGCTTCAAACTCTCAAGCTCGCGACTCAGCTTGGAGTTCTCGTGACTAACACGCTGTTGGTCTTCGTCCAACGACGACAAAGAGTTCATCAGCTGTTTCTTCTCCTCCAAAACATCGTCCAGCTTCCACTTCAAATCGGCCAGTTCCTTCTTCTTTGACAAAAGGTCGGACCTCAACTCATCGCGATCCCTGTTGGCTTCCTTCAATTCTCGCACAAGACTCTCAGACTTATCAAAAGTGTCTCTAACGCTGAAACTATCAATCTGTCGTTTAAGTCGGCTGTTTTCCAGAAGCGAATCGCGGTACTTGTCTTCCAATTGTGTCTTTTCCTGCAACAGTTCGCGTATTTGAACTTTTTGATCTGAACCTCCACTGTGTTCCGAAAGCTGACTAGTCAGCTTCTCGATTTGTGCTAGCAGACGTCTTGTCTCGTTCTCTTTGAACCGTAAGTCTTCCTTCAAATCGCGAATCAAAGACTCGGACTCGTACTCTTTGTCTTCAAGTTCGTGGCACTTGTTTGCGTACGAGAACGAGAGCTTCTTGAAATCACGCTCCAAGTCTAGCAGTTCAGACTCCTTGTTGGTTTTGCTCATCTGCTCAACAAATCTCTTGTGCTCAAGTTGCAGTTTCTCGTAATCCTCAACAAGCTCCAACTTTTCTCGTTTGAGCTGCTCGATCTTATTGTACAATTCCTCCTTGTCGTCCACAAGCTTGGAGTCGAGCTTGTTGACCTCGTCGACGAACCGGTTGCGTTCTTGTATGAGCTTGTTTTGCAAAGACTCAATTGTATCCATGAGATCCTCGTTGTTACCTCCGCGACTAGCATTCTTGAGACGTTTGAGTTCGTCTTCATATTGATCTAGATCTTTCTGTTTAGCTTGAAGCTCGCGTTGGAGATGCTTTGTTCTATGCTCGTAGTCTTTAAGTTTGTCGTTCAGTTCAATGATGTTATCGTACAAGGAGTTCTTTTCTTCGTCAACAGCACCGATATAGGACTCGTTGCTCATCTTGTCGTCAGATTCGGCTTCCAGTCTTTTCAGTTCCAATTGCAAGTTGGTGATAGTTTTGCTATCTTGACGATGCTGGTCATAGAGATCTTCCACCTGTTCCTGAAGATGTCTGTTATCATCCTCCAGTTTGCGGAGTTCGGTATTAGACTTGCGATCTTCAAGGCTTTTAATCTCGTCCTTGAGCTGGTCAAGTATCTCGGACAAGCGGTGATTCTTGGACTTGAGGTCCTCGTTTTTCGATTCTAGCGTATCAACCTTCTGTCTCAAAGTTTCATTTTCCTCGTACTGGCTGTCCAGCTTCTTGCCAACTTCGTCGATAAACTTGTTGGCGTCGTTAAGATTATCAACCAGTTCACCAATCTTGTCATTGGAGTCATGCTGGCTGTCCAAATTAGTCCGTGCGTTTCTTAGTTGTAATTTCAGATCTTCGTGAGAAGCTTCAAGCTTGTCTCTTTCGTCTTCAAGCGCACGCAGTTCCTGCTGAAGATTGATCACCTCGTCCTCGTTTCTGTCTGCACGCTGACGTTCCGACTCGGCGCTGCGCTTCAGCGCGTCTCTATCCTGCAACTCTGCTTCCAATTGCTCGATCTGTCTTTCGAAAGTTCGAAGTTGCTTGTCGTTGCGCGATGCCAAGTTCTCCTTGTCCTCCTCGCGAAGTTGCTGTTGCAACGTATCTAATTTGTCTCTCAGATTGACGTTTTCCTGACTGAGCTCAACATTTTGGTTCAGAATCTCAACTTTGTCTTTTGGCTGACCATCGAGGTATTTGCGAAGAGTCAGAAGCTCGATCCGTAAATTGAGGTTCTCTTCTTGAAGAGTCTTCACCTGGTCGTGTTGTTTCCGTAAGAGATTACTACCGTTCTCCACAAACGCATGATTTCCCCGTTCATAGTTCACGTGTTCGGTTTCGTTGTCTGAAAAATCAGGAAGGATATCTGCTCCCCTGAAAACACGGTCGTCTGCCTCGTCATCGTTCAGCAGATCAAACGTCTCATCAAAGGACGAACTGATCATATTGTTGCCTCTCACTGGTGACCCGTTCTCCACGTTGCTTTTCGTTGCCATGTTTCGTTGAAGCATGGGAAAATACCCGCTAGTCGGAACAGAGCTCTTACGAAGACCTCCTATGGGAGTGAACTCCAGCCCAGTGCCTCTCTGTGCACGTCGCCCATTTCTGGGAGTATCAACAAGTTGCTTATGTGACGAAAACATGCTGAAAACGCGCAACTGTATACCCCAATGCTAACAAATCTATGTTTTGTTTACGATATATCGCTTTATTTTTTTTCTTGCGCGTCCTCTGTAGCACCGTTTTCCAAAATTAGCTTACATAATCAGATATATCTATATGTCGTTGACGGTGGCCACGAATGTGTCGAGAGCCTTCTTGGCGGCTCCGGAGCTGATACTTTCTCTGGCCAGCTCAACACCGTGTTTCCAGGAAGATGCGAGACCAGAAACCACGGCCAAGGCTCCAGCGTTCATTAGGATGTAGTCAACTATAGGATCTGCACCAGGTGACAGGTCCACTTGGTTGGTGAGAATTTTTGTGAGCACTTCTGCGTTTTCCTTTGGAGTACCCGACTTGACAACGTCGAGAGAATGTTCTGGTAATCCAAAGTCCGATGGATGGAGTCTGAACTCGTCAATCTTGTCTGTTTCTTTATTATACTTCCAAACCTTTGTATAGCCAATTGGTGCTATTTCGTCCAGAACCACTTCACCGAACACCACCATTGTGTCTGCTGGAGCTCTCCCACTTTTCTTGTCGAGTTTTACGGCAGCCTCGCAATATATTTTCCCAAGAGACTCGGTGTAGACACCCAGGATCCGGCTTCTAATAGGAATCGGGTTCAGCAAAGGACCCAAGATGTTGAAGATTGTTGGAATACCGAGACTGGACCGCACAGGAGCCACTTTGGCCATGCCGTGGTGGAACGCTGGAGCGAATAGGAAACACAGCGTCGATGACGAAACAATCGCTGGCACGCTTTTGGAGTCGACCTTATGTAGCTGGACGCCGAGATTCGTCATCAAGTCTCCAGAACCCGACGACGAGGTTGCTGCCTTACCGCCATGCTTGCTCACCTTGAGTCCCATTCCTGCTCCCACTATAGCGGCCGATGTCGACACATTGAAAGTATTCTGTCCATCTCCACCGGTGCCGACAACGTCGATATATCCGTCTGGGTCGACCGTGTGGCCGGGTATTATGTCGGAAAACTTAAGAATGGTCTCGACAGCGGTTGCGATGTACTCAGAATCGAACTCAAAGCCACGGATCTTGAATGCAGTGAGAAACGAGGCCAGTTCGACGTCGTTGGTTTTTCCTTGGAACACGAGCGTCAGAGCGGCGGCTAAGTCGTCGGTCGTGAACTTCTCGGGGGAGTTAGCCAGCGTGCGCAGGTACGGAGTAAGGACTTTAGACATAAACGATCTGGTCTATTGACGAAAAGAATGTACGTCTTTTAGAGAAAACCAGAGCTGCAAAATCGCACTCTCGCTAAAAAAACAGAAACACCCGTGCACCGCCGACTGTTCTTTTGTGTTCCCCTGTTTTGGAATAATATTAGAAAACGCGTCGAATAATTTTGTACAAGTATCCTTACCATGTCACAAGTTGCTTTAGAGCCAATCGGAGTTACGAATTTGCCAAACCAACGGTACGTTATACAATACATGTGCGACTAACATTTCTAGATACAAGATTGTGTCGAAGGAAGGGGCCACCTTCACCATCATGCTTGCTGGAGAATCTGGACTTGGAAAAACAACATTCATCAACACTCTGTTCCAAACTAGTTTAAAAACACACCCAGAACTGCGCAACCGTCTTGAACTGCCTATTAAGAAGACCGTCGAGGTGGACATTGTGCGTGCCGAGCTCGAGGAGAAGAACTTCAAGCTGAATCTGAACGTTGTGGACACCCCTGGTTTTGGCGACAATGTCAACAACAAGAATGCCTGGCAGCCGATCATCGACTTCATTGACGACCAACACCACTCGTTCTTGAAGCAGGAGACCCAGCCTTTGCGTGCCAGCCGCAAGGACCTGCGTGTTCACGCTGTTCTCTATTTTATCCGTCCAACTGGCCACACATTAAAGCCTCTGGACATCGAGGTTATGAAGAAGTTGGGGACCCGTGCTAACCTGATCCCGGTGATCGCCAAGGCCGACACCCTGACTCCTAACGAGATGATCGAGTTCAAGAAAAGAATAAGGGAGATCATCGAGGTCCAGGACATTCGGATCTACTCGCCTCCTATTGAGGCTGACGACCAAGCTGCTTCGGAGCACGCCAAACAGTTGATCGAGTCGATGCCATTCAGCGTGATCGGATCCGAGGAGGAGTTCGAGGTGGACGGTGCGTTTGTGAGAGGAAGAAAATACCCATGGGGATTCGTGGACGTGGAGAACGACCAGCACTGCGACTTCAGAAAGCTCAGAAGCTTGATCCTGAGAACCAACATGCTGGACCTGATTCTCTCGACCAAGGAGCTCCACTACGAGACGTTCCGTACGCTCAAAATGCAAGATGATGCTCCATCGTCTTCCGACAGCACCACAGGATTGGACAAGAAGGTTGACCGGTTCTCGAGCAACCCAAAGTTTGTCGAGGAAGAAAGACGCATCAAGCGGTACTTTGCAGAGCAGCTGAGAAACGAGGACCAGCGGTTCAAGCAGTGGAAGCAAAACATCCACACCGAGAAGAACAGATTGAACCACGATCTGGCAACTTTACAATCGGAGCTCAAGACTTTGGAGGACCAAGTCAAGGCGCTCAAGGAGAAGAAAGGACGAATTTAAATAGTATCAATCAAAACCGAAAGGTGAATAAACACGACTCCATTTCAAACCACTACTAGCTTTACTCAAATACGTGCTAACCTCTTTAAATTACATCTCTCTAATCAGCATTTCTCTTAGCAGCCTTCTTCTGGGCCTTTCTCTCAGTACCGAAGACCTTCTTACCTCTGTTCTTCTTTTGTTTTCTTTGTTGTCTCGAAGCCTTCTCAACCTTTTGGGCAAGACCGTATCTGACAAGTCTGTATGATGGCTCGAATTTCTTAGCGTCGGCAACAGAGTTGTAAACAAGACCGAAACCAGTGGACTTTCCACCACCGAAAGCGGTTCTGAATCCGAACACGGAAACAGAGTCCTTCTCAACCTTGTACAAGGCAGAAAGCTGGTCTCTCAGTTCATCCTTGGACACGTTGGCTCTGTTTGGGTGGATCACGTCAATGACAAATTGTCTTCTGTTCAACAGCGGGTTGGTGATGACCTTTCTGGTTCTGATAGTGATGGCGTCAGACTGCATATGTTAGTATTTCGCAGGTTGGTGGTACTTACCATTTTGTTGAAGATGTTAATTTTTTTCGCCTGAAAAACTTTACAAATTATTGTCCCGGTGCGAGGGGGTGGTGTCAGGAGTGACAGTCACGGTCACAGCACGGCCTGGATAGGAGTATATGGTTGCAATGGCTGATGGGGCCCAGCACAGTACACGGCATTTGCGCGTTTCTAATGACTTTGATTATCGCTATTTAGTTCGTTATTCAAGGACCAAAATGTCCCCATTTTACAGCCTAGGCCCGTATTCTTAGGGCAAAGTTTACAATCACCGCAATCAGCAGGAAGAAACACAGCATGGTTGGGCCGAACCGGTCATCGTACGGTCCGGATCCACGTCTTCTAATAGCACTGGCCCTCCAGTGGTATGTAATCAATGCGTAAACCATGGTTCCCATGGCAATCAGTGTGAACAGAGAGGCTGAGATTCTACCCACCTTATCACCGAAGTTGAGCAATCCGATAGCCAGCGAGCCCAGAATGACAGTGAAGTTCAACCACGAGAGAAACGTTCTCTCGTTGGCGAAAAACACTTTGGGCTCGACTCTGGTTGGCAGAGCGATTCTCTTACCAGGAGCTAACAGTTAGAATTGCAGGGCCAGCGTTCCGGTAAACACACGTCGGTAAACTTCGCGACGTGCTCTACCGAGCGCTGCTGGTTATGACACTTACTTGTTTGAAGAAGAGGAGCTGAAGACATCGACAGGTAAAATGTTTAGGCAGCAGTAAATTTATACTTATCGCACGTGCGATATTAATGCTGACGTAAATTATCTTTAAATTTGACAAGAATATGAAATTTTAGAAAACCCAGATGGTGTAAAGATGGCCATGGTTGAATTAGACATTGATCTGGTGAATGGCGACAAGCTGGTAAGTTTTATTGGAGATTGAGTCTCTAACAACAGCCAATTAAGCGCGAAACGCTCGAGGAGTACTTTCAAACAGAGTTCAAAGGCGATGTTTCCGAGTTTGTACAGACAATTCTCCAGAAACTCACAAACACGTCTTCAAAGTACAAGTACATTGTGAACGCACACAGCGTGGACTCGGCAAACGCGGACGTGGCAATCAAGTCACTTTTCGGCGCGGCGTGGGATAAATCAACAGACGGACTGGCTACAGTGAAAAAGGAACTGGAAAGCGGATGGTTAGTGGTGACTATAGTGTTTCTACGTAGAGAATGAATACACCGGGGGGCATTGTTACACTTTAAACTTGGACATGAACGTCGGGGTGATGTTGTCGCGCGTGAACTCGCGCGAGATATGCGTGCACTCATCCACGATGAACCGTATCTTGCTGTCCTTCATGCGCTTGCACTCGAGCACAGCCTTTAAGAAGTCCGGAGGCAGGTCGTTGAACACTTCCAGATAGCCCGGCCAGGCGTCTGTGTAGTCCTGCTCTGTTTCGAAGTTCACCAGATAAATGAGGATGTCGAATATGTAAACGTGGTCCTCGATGATTTGTGTGTTGTCGATGTAGCTAGAGAACTGCGTGTTGATCAGATGACCGTCTCTTTCGATGACCGATTCGAACTTCTTGGTGTCGATCTTGTTTCCTGTGTTGAGTGCCTGCAAGTAGTGCAGCAAGTACGTGTCATAGACCAGTTCAAACAGCGATTCAAACAGCTCTGCGTCCAGGTACTCTTTCAGTGGCACCAGATAAGAGTCGACGATTTGCAGAGACGTTGTGACCATCTCGTCGCTCTTGTACCATCTCTTGGTGAACACCTCTTGCAGATACGGCTCGTACTCCACCACAATGAACCCGTTAAGCTTCACCAGACACTCCGTTCCCAGATTCAACACGTGTTGCGATCCTTGAGAGAGAATATCCTGCAGTTGCGGATGGAAGTTTGAGTGCACCATCTGTTCCACCTCCTTGAACTGCAACTCCAACCCGTTCATCAGCCGCACACAGTCGTTGGCCAAAATCGTAACGTACCGGGGCAGCCAGCCAACGTTCTCGTTATCCGCAGCGTCCGCAGCAGCCGTCCATCTTTGTGCACCTTGCTCGAGAACCACAACCCATCTATCGTAAAACTGGCGGAGCACTTGCACACAGAAAAATTGCAGATACTCCAGCAAAATTGGGCTGTCTCCGGCATCCAGCAAAGTGTTGACGTTGGACCGGAAGATTTCGATGAGAGTTTGGGCCATCTCGATTCCCAGCTTCTCGGCTGAAGAGTCGGAGGGCTCCCTGTCCATCGAGGCAAACAGATTGAGCGCGGGAACAAACGCGTTCTCGACCCATTCACGCGTCTTCTTGACGTTAAACTCCAGACACTCGTTCAGCAACCGTTGACGCTCGTCAACAGTAAACAGTGCAAACGGCTCTACCTGTTTCTTGGTGAGACCGAACTTCTCTCTAATGGCCTGGGCGTTGTCGTAATCGAACGTCAAAACACGCACAATGTAAGATGTTGGCAAAGTCGGGTCGTCAAGCAGTTTCTTGACCACTTTACGCAAACTGTTTTGGTACCAGCCCAGGACTTTGTTGAAAAATAGCCAGTTAGCCGGGAACCCGCGCTCAGCACCGACTTTGTAAGCAACGAGAATCTCGTAGTAGTTCTCCTCGATGATAGCAAGAACTTCGTTAGGGTCCGAGCCTTGCACAATTGCATCGAAACTGGTCTCGATGGATTCGCGGAAAAACCCATAAACCAGCCGTTTGTAGTTACGTGGAGACGTCCGTTTCACGTAGGTCGCCAGTCTGTTCAAGGCAGACTGTTCGCTGCTCTTGGACTGACTGATCAAATGGTCCATCAGCTGCAATCTCAAATCCTCGCGCTCTTCAAACTCCAAGATCTTGACCAGCTTGACAATAAGTCCAAAATTGGAGCACCCTATGATGCTCACAAAATTGTCCACAATGAGTCGCAACATGTGGTCGAACTTGGCAATCACATGGTCCAGGCGCGAAAACGACTGCATCACCACGTTTCGGAGCCCGGCTCGACTTGACTCGGACAATTGCGTGAGCTCGTCCTTAAGATCTCGCAGTCCGTTCAGCTCGTAGTGGATCAACAACAAACCTTCTGCGGGAGAGTCTTCTGGGAAGTAGTCGTTTTCAGGAAGCTCTCTGTCCAGCAGCTTGTCGACGACGTCGAGGCGTTCCTCGAGTTGGACAAAACTTGTGTATGTGGCCACAACCTTTTCAAAGTTGGAATAAACGACCGACGACTTGTCGAACAGCTCATACTTGTCAATATTGGAGATCGACTGCTGTCTCAGACTTTCGACCTTGTTTAAGTTGTCTCTGAGATGCTTAAGGTCCTTGCTGGACAATTGCAAGTTCTCTAGGACCGAGGTGATGTTGGCGATCCGTTTATCACACTCGATTTTCAATTGGGACCCTATCGACGCCTTTTCTTTCTTCAGGTCGTCCCGCAGAAGCGGCAGTCTGTCAAGATCGTCCTGGTCGCGGAGCAGGTCGTTGACTTTGGCAAGAACAGAAATATCCGGCGCCATTGCAAATCAAAACAAGGGACACTGGGTAAAAATAATTAATTTTTTCTAAGGCTTTATTTATTTACTAGGTAGCACAAAGTGCTCGATGGCCGCAATGGCAGCGTACAGCCGGTTTTCTCCTTCTTCGAACACGATCGAGTTCTTGCCGTAGAAGACCTCGTCCGTCACCTCCTCGGCATGACGAGGCAGACAATGCATGAACTTCCAGTTGGCTGCTGCCAGCTTGGTCAACTCGGAGCTCACCTGGAACGATGCGAATTGTTTGAGTTTCTGCTGTTTCTGGGCCTCTTCTCCCATCGAGACAAACGTGTCGGTGACGATGATGTTGGCATCCTTACATGCTTTCTTTGGATCGTGCGAGGTTTCGAGCGTGGCTCCTGTTTCTTCGGAGACAAGCTTGGCAGCTTCCAAAATGGTTGGGTTCATGGTAATTCCTTCAGGATTGGCAATCGACACGCTGATTCCGCTCTTTAGGGCCGCAATGGCCAGATCGTTGATCACGTTGTTGGCGTCGCCCACCCATGCGAGCTTCAGACCCTTGGTCTCGCCGAAAGTCTCCTTGATCGTCAGGATATCGCAGATGGCCTGCAACGGATGGTAGGTGTCGCAAAGAGAATTGATGATCGGCACGGACGAGTGCTGGCATAGCTGCTGGATCTCGGAGTGCGAGTTCACACGCGCAAATATACAGGACGTCATGGACGAGATGATTCTGGTGGTGTCGTACAACGACTCGTTCACACCCAGCTGGATATCGTCTTTACCAAGGAACATTGGGTGTCCGCCAAAATACACCGCTGCACCTTCCGATGAGACTCTGGTTCTTGTGGATCTTTTGGAAAACATCAGAGTCACCAGCTTGCCCTTCAAGGCGTCGCTGATCTCAGAACCAACAGGCTCTCCAGACTTGATCAGTTTCTTATGGTATGCGGCCCGGTCCACCAGCGAGGCAAACTCGGACGTGCTGAGATCCGAAATGGACACTAAATGCTTCAAACCTTTGGACATATTTGAGTACGACCGTTGTACAACTTTGAACATAGACATGTTGTGAATTAATCTGTCTGCTATTTATACGTTGAGTCACCAGTAAAATTTTCCAAACGGGTTCCCCGACAAAGTTAAGCGCACCAAGGACGAATTACCGGTTTGGGAAATCGACGCTATTCGTCCGCGAAAAAAACGGGTGCCACCAATTGTTTCTCTATTCATGCAGCCCGATTCGGACCTGTCCGGGTCCTTGGTGCCCTGCAATGTCGTCATTGAACCAACAGATCAAGCTCGCGCTGAATGTCGCTTTGCTGCGCGGCCAAATCAGCCAGTTGCTCCCGCAATGACTCTTTGCGCTGCCTGGCTGTGCTCTCCACTTTTTGCAGGCTCTCGATGCGTTCCTTGAGCCTGTCGCGCTCGCTCGTGTAGTCCAGTTCCGGCTCGTCCTCCGACAGCTGTGCATGGTACAACGCCTCCTCGATCTCGTCTTGCCGCATCAGTCGCTGCAGCCGTGCCTCGTTCGACCCGACTGCGAGTCGACCGTCCCCAAAAGCGTCGTCTAGGTCCACGTCAAAGTCGCCGTCCTCGTCCAGGTCCCGCCTGGTTTTGTGTTCGTGTTCCGAGTCGTAGTCCTCGTCGTTATCCTGCTGTTTCTGCTCGCCGAGCCGGTCCAATTGCGCGCGGTACCGACGCTCTTTCAGCTCTTTTATTTGCAGCTCGTCTGGAATCGTCACTGGAGCTTCCGCAGCAACGACGGGCTCTGGATCGGCCGAAACCGTCTCGTACCGGCTCAGCACCTCTAAAACGCTTTTCTTCTCGCCTCCAGACCCACTGGGTTCCGTGGAAACGCCCATCTTCACCTTATTCTTGCGCACAACCCGTACTCCAGACTCGGGCTCGTCCACGTCCATGGTCGACTCGGCCTCGCTCGCAAAGAGCTTGCGTTTAGCGCCCAATTTGCGCTTCCGGCTCTTGAAAACAGGCCTCCCTATAGTGCTCGGTTCGTCCTCGGCCTCGTGGTCGCTGGGAATCGAGATCCGTCTCATTATGCACCAAGAGAAAAAATTCCAAAAAAATATTTCCAAATCCACATCCACCATGAGCACCAAACAGGCGTCCAGTTTCCTGGACAAACAGCCAGATTTCTCGCAGGCGTGTCTTGCGCTGCACAGAGAAATGCTTGCCAAGGGAAAATCGTCGTATACACAGGAAGAGCTGCTTGAAATCACCGGCCAGGAATCGAATCAGGAGCTGATGAAATACGTGCAGGATCTGCTTGACAGAGGAATAGTGCGACTGCTCGAAAGCAAAGACCGAAAGGTGCTGTTCCAGCCAATCACAGAAGCAGAGGCCGTCAAGGTCAACAGCATGTCCAGCGACGAGGCCATGGTGTACTCTTATATCGAGGCGGCAGGAAGAGAAGGTATTTGGACCAAGACGATCAAGGCAAAGACTAACTTGCACCAGCACGTTGTGCAGAGATGTCTCAAGTCGTTGGAGAGTCAGTCGTACATCAAATCGGTCAAGTCGGTCAAATACCCACAGAGAAAGATCTACATGCTGTACCACCTGACACCATCGATCGAGGTGACGGGAGGACCGTGGTTCACAGATAGCGAGCTCGACTCGGATTTCATTGATTCTCTGTTAATTGTGATATGGAGGTTTGTGGCGTCGAGGTCCCACCCGCAGTGTTTCAAAAAGGGTGGACTCGACACGGAACAGTACTCGTATCCTGTGTCGCACGACAATGACCTGCCAACGCTTGAGGCGATCAGCGAATTCATCGGCTCGAGTGGAGTCACCTCTGTGGAGCTCAGTTTGTCGGACATCAGATCGTTGTGCGTGGTGCTGGAATATGAGGAAAAACTGGCCAAGGTCAACAACCTTTACAAAGCAACATGGAATAGCGTGTTGGAAGCGGGCGGAGGAAAGGTCAGGGGAGAAGATATCTATGCGCCTCAGAACGACCAGATCTTCTCCATTAGCGATAATTACCGGGTGATTAGCCCGATAGGCGAGTCGGAAAAGGACCAGCTTTTGTACTTGGACTCGTGGATGAGCATATGATGTTAGGAGTGCACTTTGTACTCTGGCGGCAGATCTAGCGTGTCGCTGTACGACGGAGGCGGCTGAGTCCCAAGAACGCTTTCCTGTTTCAATAGATGCAGCTTGGTCACCATGGTCAGCACAACTCGCTTGTTCTGGCTCATCCCCATCTCGTTCACAATCGGCGCGTTGGAGATCATCCACTCGTCCTCTGTGTCGTGGGTAGACTTGGCACTTGGCGGAGGACGTAGCGTTATGTCCTCGTCTGTCTCCAGCTGCTCTACTGTGAGAGCCATTTCAATATGGTGGGTGACTTCGAACAGCTCAACAGAGTCCGAAATCATACACGATGGGTGTACCAGGGCGGTGATCCGGTTAAACTTGGTGTAGGATGGCTCGATTGGCAAGGACAGCTCTAAATAGTCGTCTGTAATCTGGCATGTGTGCAATATTATTCTCTCTGTGGTGACTTTGGTGGAGCGTCGGGTGGCCTGGGTCAAGGCGATGGTCAGCTTGACGATGTTGTAGCAATCTGGTCTAATTGGGATCGATCTCACTTGGAAATTGAGCTTGCCTCCTAGAGCAATTCTTTTGTTGTCAATAGCCATACGATAGATCATTAAATTTCTCCAATTTCCAATAGCCAAGGAGTCGTCGATTTCCAGAATCTCAGCGCACTTGATCACTTGCACTTTCACAGAGCACGTTTGGATGTTTGCTATGGCCTTTGACTCGCGAACAATGGCCTGCAACTCGTAGGTAACATTAGCAAAATAGTGGCTCAGGGACTCGGGGGAGTCTCCGTCCAAGAGGAACTGGAAGGGGAAGTAATAGGTGCCCCCTTCGAGTAAACCGCACGACCAGTTGCGGTTCTGATATGTTAGCGTTTCAATGTTGTGATTGATGTCTGTTTTTCCTATGAGCTTCACTGTCAAACAAGGGATCTCCACCTGTTTCTTCTTAACCCGTAGAACAAGACATCCCCGGATAGGAGTCATTGTATCGGTGTTGAGGAAGATGGTGGAGTCCAGTACACAGACCTCCAGCTCAATGTTCCTTGTGCGGATCGTGTTGTCTTTTTTGGATAGCCAATTGCTCAAACTGGGCATTGCAACCAAAAGAAGGAGAATAGGGCAAACAAGGAGAGATATTTACACAACCAGTTTAAATTTACAAAGATCAAACGACAAACGTATTCCAAGATGCTACGCCAGATGACTCCCACATTTCTGCTAACCGCTTAAGAAGTAGGAGAACACCGAAGGCCCAGCGGTTCCTGCCCCATTTGAGACATATGACTAAGAATTAGCGGTTCTCGTTTCCCGCGTCGGGATTCTATGTTTGTTGCAACGGGTATCAGCGCAAAAAAAATTGCGAGCTACCCGAGCTCCATCGGTTTTGCGATGCCGATTATCGCAAACAACAAAGTTTGTGTTGTTTGACCTGTTGTTTCAATACAAATGTTATCCCCACAATTACTTGTCTAAAAATATCGACCGCTACACACCGGCCGCGACGCGTCGATATTTTTTTGCCACACTTATCTTTTCTTCCGACCAACACCACCATGTCATCTCTGTCCTCATTGCAGGGATCGAGCGGCAAGCTTCTCAGAAGAATACGTACGTACTTTCAACCGTGTCCGCTAACTTTTAGATCGTGCTTGTCGTCCGTCGTTGGACGAGCCGAATGCCGCTCTCAACCTTGAAATATGCGACCTGATTAACGACAAACAAGGGAACCTGTAAGTATATGCGATCCCAGTACTAACATCCAAGTCCCCGCGAAGCCACCGTGGCAATTGTCAAGCTCATAAACAGCAGAGACCCGCAGGTCTCGGAGCTGGCCCTTTCGGTAGGTATTTTTAGGTCCCCCCACTAACCATCATAGTTGCTTGATTACCTGGTGAAGAATTGCGGGTACCCGATCCATTTGCAGATTTCGAGAAAAGAGTTCTTGAACGAGCTGGTGAAGCGGTTCCCGGAAAGGCCACCTCCAGCCTACTCTAGAACACAGAGACTCATTTTGGGCACCATTGCCGAATGGGTCCAGACCATTTGCAAGACCTCGAGATACAAGGAGGATTTGGGGTACATTAGAGATATGCATCGTCTTTTGAGAAGCAAGGGCTACGAGTTCCCGGCGGTGAGAAAGGAGGACGCTGCTGTTCTGAACCCTAGCGACAACATCAAGTCGATCGACGAGATTCAACGGGAGGAGAGAATTGCCCAGAGTGCCAAGTTGCAGGAGCTCGTGAGAAGAGGCAGACCGCAGGACTTGAAGGAGGCCAACGACTTGATGAAGATCATGTCTGGGTTCAAGCACGACGAGACCATGGACGAGGCCAGAAACAGGGTCAATGAGGACGTGGAGAAAGTGAGCAGAAAGGCCAGCATTTTGGACGAGATGCTCAACAATGCCACCAACACCGGCACGTTCGACCCATCTGACGAGACTATTGCCGAGCTGATCAGCTCCTTGAGAGTGGCCCAGCCAAAACTGCAGACTCTCGTTCAGGAGGAGTCCGACGACCAGGAACAGGTTGGCAAGCTGCTGAGTCTCAACGACAAGATCAACTCCATTTTGCAGAAGGCCGATCTCCTGAAACAGGGCGACGTGGCCAACGCATCCAAGGTCAAGGTTGCGGGCGGCGGCGGACTGAACCTGATCGATTTTGACGACGACGAGCCTGCACCTGCTGCGTCGAACGCGCCTGCTCCGACCGCCAACGACGCCATGGCCGATCTCCTTGGCGACCTGGGTGGACTGTCGTTCGAGCCAAAGACCGGCTCCAGCTCCAACATCACCGGTGCCGGCTCGTTGGGCAACTTTGGTGCCATCAACCTGCTCGGGTCTCCAAGCACCACCAGAGAACAGTCGCCGTCCGTGGACATTTTGTCTGCGTTCTCCACGACGCAGAAGGCCGCTCCAGCACAGCCGGCTGCTCTGGACCCGTTCCAGTTCGACTTCTCGTCGGTCTCTGCGCCGGCCGCTGCCACCAACCTTGTGACCAGCGGCGACGTCAAGATCGATTACGTCGTGGACCACAAACAGCCTCTGTCGCTTACGTTCAAGTTCTCCAACACGTCTCCGATCTTCCCTGTGTCCAAGCCGCAATTCTCCATTGCCGTGACTAAGGCCTTCGAGCTCACCATGGAGCCTCCCTCCGGCTCGGTGATAGCGCCATCATCGGCCCCAGTGACCCAGAAAGTGGTCATCAAGCACAAGAACGGCGAGGCCTTCAGCTCGGCCAAGATCAAGTACAAATTCGACTACGAGCAGAACAGCACAGCTAAAGAGGTCACCGGAGTGGCTACCATCTCCATCTAGCCTCCCGCAAGGACTGTATAGATAGATTTAAAACATTGTAATTTGCAGTATGCTATGCTTTACTATTATACATATCGTCCTACCTCACGTTCTTCATCGACGGCGAGGACCCAAAGCTGTTGTTGCCCGACGGAGCGACCGACGATCCTGGCTGGTTCACCATTGGCACAACGTTGATTCCTGGCTGCGGAGAAAACCGTGTCGTGATAGAGGACGAGTTCACCTTCTTGGTGCTCGTGGGCGCAGACTGGGCCTGCTGCGCAGCTCCAGCTCCCGGAGTCTGCGGCTCGCCGCCCGCCTGCACAAACTGCTGCCGCCGCTGCTGCTGTTGCAGCTGGTGCTGGCGCAACGCCTGAAGCTGCTTGCGTTGCTGCGGAGTCAGATTAGGGTTGTTGGCAAACAGAGCAAGCTGCTGTGGTGTCAGAGCCTGGGCCGTCTGCGGAGTAGACGTCTGTTTGGTAGGAGTACTCAATTGACCGGCAATTGCGCCTCCGTTCGACGGAGCCAATGGTTGTTTGCCCGGCTGCTGTCCTCCCTGCTCCGCTGAACGGTTCTGGTTCTGCTGGTAGTTAGCCAGGTACGCCACCGCCAGTCTCGTGACCTGCTCCTTAGGAAGGTTGGGGTTCTGGGTCTGGATCTGGTTGATGATCGCAGACACCTGCGACGTGGTGAAGTTCACTCTCGAGCCGTTCCGTGGTTGCTGCGAGATCTGGCCGTTCGCATGCACGTCCTGAGGCGACGAGCTGCTGCCCGCTATTGGCTGCATGGAGAATCCAGGCTGACGTGCAAACTGCTCCTGCGTCTGGCCTGGCTGAAGTTGCAACTGCGAAAAGCTCTGCGGAGACGGAGCGGCTGAACCGGCGTTCTGCAGAACTTGCTGAGGAGTAGGCGTGGAAACAGGAGACTCCATTGGAGACGACGCCGACTGTGGTGGTCGGCTTCCTTGTCTTGATCCTTGCTGTTGCTGTTGGATCATCTGCCGTTGTCTCTGCAACATCAACTGCTGGACTTGCTCAGGAATGGGAGTTCCTTGAGGAGCTCCAGCCACTGCTTGGCCTTGGCCTATTTGCTGCTGGTAAAGCTGAGGACTGTTCGATCTGATCTGTGCTTGCTGAGCGTGTGGAGAAGCCCCAGCCTGAGCCGGAAGCTTGGTAGGAACCGCAGAACGTCTACCGTTGATTGATTGCGCAGCCGCAGCCGCAGCAGCAACAGGGTTGGCCTGTCCGTTAGTAGGGAACGGAGACTTTCTGGCGCTGTTTGACAATTGACGAGCATTCTGAGGAACACGCAATCTTGTGAATCCAGTGTTTCCGTTACCCTTGGCATAGGCTTCTTGGATCGCACGGTCTCTCTCGTGCTTGAGTTTCGACAATTGCTCGGGAGTAGGTGTGTCCATCTTCTTTTCGTCAACATTATTCTTTCTTGGCTGTTGAGATGGCTTCTGAACGTTTTCTCTTTTCTTCATCAGCTTACGCATTGCATCGAACATCGATCCCCATCTGAGACGTCTGTGTCCTCTTTGAATGGACTCGATACCGACACCCAGCGGGGAGATACGTCTCTTTGTCGTGATCTGAACCTTATGAGCAGCCTCAAGCCATTCCTTAGCTGCTAATGGATACATTCCTCTCATGTCTGAAAATTGAAACTTGTCGTTCAGTTGAATGTATCTCTCAAAGCACTGCCATGGCGTACGTCTCTCAATGTTCGAAGTGTAACTTCTGGTAGCTCTGGCTGAGAGATGAGCAGAGATAATGTTCCAGTTGAACGAGAAATCTGTAACGTATTTGATCAAATACTTGTCATCTTGCGGAAGCCAAATGGTAGGAATTCTCAGCTCCAAGTTCTTGATCGAAGGAGGAGCAGGAGGCTTCAAAATGTTGAACCTTCTAAACGTTGGTGCAAACAAACCTTTCTGATAAGGAACACTGTGCTTATCAGCATCCTTCGATTTCTTGAGAATGACCTTCTGCCACTCTGGCTCTTCGTCTGTCGGAGGCAGCATCGCAGAAATGTGGCCGTAATCGTACTTCTCGATCAAATGATCTTGCTCCGAATCCTCAAACGGAGAATACGTTGCTAAATTGTCAACCACAGAAACATCTGCCTTGTTGAACTGGTCGAGATCGGCAAACAATTTGAAAGGTTGCACTTCCTTCTCTCTAGATTTCGCCTCCTCATACTGATCAGGAGTGAACACAGGATCGTCAAAACTCAGCAAGAGAGATGGATCGATTGAAACAGCGGCTGGTTCAGACTCTGCTGAAGCAGACTGGGCCTGCTTGATAAGTTCTTCAGGAGTCACAACTTGAGCTTCTTTTTCAGCTGTCTCAGCAGCTGGTTGTTCAGAAGGAGCATCAACCATAACCTCGTCCTGTGGTTCTGAGACCGGTGCCTCAGTGGCTTCCTCGGTATCTGGTTTAACTGTGATTGACTCGATCGCTTCACTAGCTGCTTCTGATTTTTGCTCCGACTCGATCGCAGGTTCCTGGGGTTCTTCGGGCTTTTCTGGTTCCTCGATCGCCGATGGTTGTGGATTCATGATCTTCTCGATCTCTTCGTCACTGAGAAGTCGTATCTGCTTTCTCTTGATACAACAGACTTTTCCATATTTCCAATACTCTTTCACTGCTTCGGCAATGTAGTAAGATTGAACCATCTTGAATCTTCTTCCTTGTTTAAAATCAGTCGAAAGCCACTTCATCTCAGAGAGCAGATGATCCCAGTGTGTTTTCTTACTGCGTGCGAGGAATGGATCAATGCTCTTTTTGGGTTGCCTGAGCGACCAGCTGTGTTTCCGTTTCAACTCCTCCATTCTCGAGTAGAGCACAGATATCTTTCCTTCGACTAACGCGGTCTCGTATGACTCGGTGGTCAACGATTTGTGCGCCCTTAGCAAAAGCTTTGGAAGCTGTAACGTCTGCTGGTGGTAGTACAACTCGGTCAAAGAACGCGCTTCTGGTATCTTGTGTGGTTTAAGTTCGGGAAGTAGCATGATCAACAGCTTGTCAATATCAACATTTTCGTAATCCAGATCGCGCTTAGACTTCTCATCGTTACGATGGGGTTGTTGCGTTGCTTCGTATAGATGGATCAGCGATGACAACGTCGAGTTGTCCTGGTTTGTAGAATCGTTTGATTTCTTGGAAACAGTAGCCACAGGCTCTGCTGATTTCTTCTGAATTTCTTCAACACTTGACTCTGTACGCTCGGTCGCATTGTCTGTCTTTTGTTTCTTCAAAGCCGGTTCTTTTGATTCCAAAAGATCGGCCGATTGTGGTTGACTCTGAGGTGGTGATGGTCTTCTGTTTTGGTTCTCGTGAGTAAGAATGGCAATATTGAACTCGCGTCCGTTCTCGAGATCATTCTTCTCCAAGAAGGCCATCAACTTGTCTTCAATTTGAAGCACCTGGTCATTGGAAATGGGCAAAAGCGGAAGTCGTGAAACGCAGTACAGCTCGGCGAGCTTCCGCTTGCGTTCACCAACTATTTTGGCACAATCTTGACGGCGACTCTCAATGGCCTCAAGACGAATCCGGTCCACCGAATACGGCTCGCTCGGTCCACTGGTTTTAGTCTCCACGATGTCCGGTGCCATATCGTTTCTATGTTGTTAGGCGTGCACCGCCCAATATTTCGGTCGTCCTTCTTTGCGCCACTGGGGGATTCAGGAGTACCCAAAAACAGGTAATAAGCGCGGGAAAAAGCGGGTTTTGCGTGTCAATAGATAGTTCGAAGAGCGTATAGTCTGAAAAACACGTTTGATGTAACGAGTCTCAACTAAATATCCCACTTTGACGGCTCAATTATGAATTTCCCCAGCCTCCTCTATACACGACAACTTTTTGTCGAAAACTTTTTGCAGAAAATTGTGTCGGGAACGAACGCAAGGGCGATACTTCCGTACACCGCACCCGTACACCACCAGTATCGAACTACTGGCTATGGTCCTTGTCGAGAACGACGATGGCACGCCGTTTCCAGAGCCGTGATCTTGTGAACTTGGTTAGCGAGTCCTCTGTGGCTGGATCTTCCCAGTTGTTGTTGTAGTACATCCAGTCACTGCCATGGGAGAACGACTTGTCGCTCTTCCAGGACTCCTCAAGCCATTTCCAGCGACACTGTTTCTGGGGAAGGTTGGGGAACTGGAACTTGTCAAGGGAGTCGCAGCTCTTTTCCAGATTTTCGTATGTGAAAGATGTCCGTTCGAATGGCAGCATGATTTCCGACCAACCGACACCCACCCATCTGCGCTGGTTCTCAAGCACCCGGAACTCGATCGTTTTCCCTGGTGCAGCCTCCGACACCTGGAAGTCTCCAAAAACGGATAATTCGACGTCTTTGTCTTCGAGCGAGAATCTGAGTCCCGTAGCAAAAATGAAGATTCTGCGGAGCAAGACGCTTCTCCAGATCAGGTGACGGGTGGCCAACGCCCACGACGAGTGGAACGACAGTGCAAACACACCGACAACAAGCAGAAACCAACGAACGTTAAATATCCGGGTCATGATCCAAATGTAGAAAGGAGTGATTGCCACCATGCTGAAGCAAAGATTGAAGACATCTGAGCGGGAGCGAATAGCAAGCGATTCGAGAGGCTTCACAAAGCATTGGAAACGTGCCTGCATATTTGAAAGGGTATCGATAATTTCCTCCACCGTTGGAGGTTCGTCTTCTGATCTCATGTCCTCGATGCTGGTCGTTAGGAACCAGCAGATGACGCAAACAGTGAGAGCAATCAGCGCAGCAAGGACCGTATTGGATGCAACGGACCAATATTTGACCACCATGACGTAAATTGCGATGGTGATGAAGTTTGAGTATGGATCACTGTTTGTCCAAGTGACAAAGGCTAATGCTTTATCTAGCAGATAGATTATCGGGAATGCGGTATAAAGTGCCGAGGTGACCACTGGAGACATGTTCAGCAGCTGGCCCTTTGATTTGGAGAGCGGTCGGCGGGAATCAGCAAATGCGGCACGAATTTTTGGTTCAGACATTGCCACGGATCATAAATGGGGGGAAAAGCTAAAAGATGAATTATTTTAGGTAACAACTGAATTATTTGTTTAATTAGATAATTATCGATTTTTAGTGATTGCAAATGTCTGAGGCAGAAACCGTGAAGGAGCCATCGAAAACGATCAAGACGTTGGAGGAGGACGACGAATTTGAAGATTTCCCAGAAGACGGTAAGTGTTTTGAGTCGGACGCCATTGAACTAACGACAGACTGGACCGAGGAGAAGTCGCTGGGAGCTGTGCAACAGGACCATTTGTGGGACGAGAGCTGGGATGACGACGATAACGAAGACGATTTTACCAAGAAATTGAGGTGAGTATTACGGGTTTCCATGATCTCTTTGTACTAACTTGCAGTGCTGAGTTGAAGAAATAGGCTGGTTCAAAAATTAGAGGTACTACGCCGCCCTTATAGAACGCAGTCAACACCACAATCATCTAGGCGTTATTGTATAGTCCTTACGTGTCAATAGGATACATCTGATCGAAGTAAGCTGTAGGATATCGACACCGTCGACATCGTAAAAAGTCGATCGACGCGCGTCCATTTCAGGGTGGCAAAGAAATAATATTTTCATCTTATATATCATTATGTCGACACTGGAGGAACTAGAAAACGAGCCAGAATTGGAGATCGACCAAGAGATCCTGAACTCGTCGACGGGCGATCTCGTCAACCGGACAAAAATGATGGAAAACGAGATCCGTTTGTTTCGGTCTGAGCTTCTTCGTTTGCAACACGAGAAGATCGCCATGGTGCAAAAGATCGAGGACAACAAGCTGAAAATCAAGAATAACAAGCAATTACCGTACCTGGTTGGTAACGTGGTCGAATTGCTGGACATGGAGGCAGAGGCAGAGGCCAATGAGGAGGGAGCCAACGTCGATCTCGATGCGGCCAGAGTGGGCAAATCCGCCGTGATCAAGACCTCTACTAGACAAACGGTGTTTTTGCCGCTCATTGGACTTGTGGAGCCGGAGAAGTTGAAGCCAGGAGACCTGGTTGGTGTCAATAAGGACTCGTACTTGATTTTGGATCAATTGCCTGCAGAATACGACTCCAGAGTCAAAGCGATGGAGGTGGACGAAAAACCAACAGAGACATACGCAGACATTGGTGGTCTTGACAAGCAGGTGGAGGAATTGGTGGAGGCCGTCGTGTTGCCAATGCAGCAGGCCGAGAAGTTCAAGAACTTGGGTATCAAGCCTCCGAAAGGTGCATTGATGTACGGTCCTCCAGGTACGGGTAAGACATTGCTCGCCAGAGCCTGTGCCGCTCAATCGAACGCTACATTTTTGAAACTGGCTGCTCCTCAATTGGTGCAGATGTTCATTGGTGACGGTGCCAAGCTTGTTCGTGATGCTTTCGAACTGGCCAAAGAAAAAGCTCCAACCATCATCTTTATCGACGAGTTGGACGCCATTGGAACAAAGAGATTCGACTCGGACAAGTCGGGAGATAGAGAAGTGCAGAGAACCATGTTGGAGTTGCTCAACCAGTTGGACGGTTTCGATTCCGACGATAGAGTCAAAGTGCTGGCCGCTACCAACAGAGTGGATACGTTGGATCCTGCTTTGCTGAGATCTGGAAGACTGGATAGAAAGATCGAGTTCCCATTGCCATCCGAGGAGGCAAGAGCCCAGATTCTACAGATCCACGCCCGGAAGATGACGTGCGACGATAACGTGAACTGGCAAGAGCTTGCACGTTCTACAGACGAATTCAACGGTGCGCAGTTGAAAGCTGTTACTGTGGAGGCGGGAATGATTGCATTGAGAAACGGACAGTCTGTGATAAAGCATGAAGATTTCGTGGAAGGAATCAGCGAGGTGCAAGCCAGAAAGAACAAGTCTGTCTCGTTCTATGCATAATTTTACACATCAATCGTACAAATATATCTTGCCATCGAGTCCGCCCAGTCCCACCATGCTGGTTTCTTGGGGATGAGCATCGATACATGTGATGGGCTTTGTGCTGACCTTGAGTTTGGAGATGAGCTCTGCCGATCTCCATTCCCAGAAAAAGGCGAATCCGTGCGAGTCGCCGCTCATAATGTTTCTTCCGTCCGGTGTGAACGATAGACCTATTGAATAGTTGGCGGAGTTGTGGCCCGTAAACGATCTGTCTCTGTTGCGTTTAAACTTATCTTCCACGCTAGTTGTGAACGTCTGGATCATGTTGTTTGACGATTGGGCTGCAAATGCTTCTCCTCTTGGGTGTGTTTTCAAAAAAGGCATTGAGAACTGTTTCGGGTCCGCCATCAGTCTGATGGGCATGTTGACCTTGATGTCCCAGATCCGAAGCGACTTGTCATTGGCAGAAGACACAAACTGTTCGCCGTTGTTGATGAATTCCAGGCTGCTGATGGCGTCCGTGTGGTGTTCGTATGTCTGAATGATTTCTGTGGTGCGGATGTCGTAGTGCTCGATCTTCTTGTTCGACAGGCCCACCAGAAACTCGTTATCGTCGTTTGGGTTGTGTTTGACGACATTTGGAATGCCTGACAGCTTTTTGCGAAACAGACATTGGCCTGTTTCTGTGTTCCAGAGCTTCACTGTCTCGTCGTACGAACAACTCAGAAATTGCGTCCCGACAGAGTTAAAGTCCACGCATTTCACAGGCTTCATGTGTCCATAGAATCCTCTAAGCAGTTTGCGTTTATGATAAACGTCCCATAGTTTGATAGCAGAGTCGTTTCCAGAAGACAGTAGCAGATGTCCACTGTTGGGGAAGAACTGGATACATTGAGTTCCCTTTGCGTGGCCGGCGTACGTATGAATCTTCTTCTTGGGAACATAACATCTTTGAGACCCTGGCTCTTTACGTAGATTTGTATCAACGTCGTTTGGAACATGGAGATACGTTCTTCCAAGATAGTCTAATTCCGAGTCGCCGTGGAACGTTGTTGTTTCCTCGTGTGTGTCGTCCTCGGACTCTGAAGACTGTGCGTTTTCCTCGGACTCGATGTCTGATTGGTGGTCGGAAACGTCGTCTTCGCTTTCTGAATACGAGGCCCAGGGACCTTTGTACTGATTTTCGCCGTCCAATTCGGCCGGGTCGCCCTTCGACTTGCGTTTCTTCTTGATCTGTTGCAATTGTGCCTTGGTGGCTTTCGAATGGTGCTGCTGTGACTGGTACAACCGCTTGTTTCTTTCAAACTGTAGAGCGTCCATCACTTCTGTCTCGATGTTGCCGGTAAACGTTCGTTTTTTTGCCGGCTGGCTTTTCAGAGCAACTGTGCGTGTCTCCACAATGGGTGCCGGAGCAACTCTGCCCAGATCCAGCGGTTCAGAGTCCGAATCGCTCGAATATCCTGGAAACGACATGGGTGCGGCTTAAAAAAATTTGATTAAAAAAAAAATACTGAAAAATAACATCTAATCATGTCCAAGCGTACCAAAGAGGAACTCGAGAACGACGACTTGTCGGACATCGACGTCTCGTCGACCGACGAAGAAGAAGAACAGGAAGAGGAAGAACAGGAAATGGTGAACGTGGACTTTGATTTTTTCGACTTGAATCCGGCCATCGATTTCCATGCTACTAAAAACTTCCTTAGACAGCTGTTTGGCGAGGACTCGGCGTTTTTCTCGATTTCTGAGATCACCGACCTGTTTCTCACAGAGGGCCATGTTGGAACAACCATCAAGACCGACGGTAAGGAGTCGGATCCGTTCTTTGTGCTCAGTGTGATCAGTTTGACCGATAATCTGTCCAAACCAAGCATTAAGGCCATGATTAAGTATTTTCTGGAGAAAACCAACAAGAAGCCGCAATTCAACGTTGTTTTGCGCCAGTTGCTTTCCGGAACATCCAAGTCGCGTGTCGGACTCATCGTGAGCGAAAGACTCATCAATATGCCTGTCGAAACCGTCCCGCCAATGTACACTATGCTCCAGGAAGAGATCGAAAAGGCAGATAACGCAGACTCCGAGTACAACTTCGACTATTACCTGATTCCGTCGCGTGTGTACAAACTGGTCACGTCGGTGATCGACCAGGAGCTCGAGGAGACTCCGTCGGCCAAGAAATCGAAAAAACAACAGCCTCTTGCCGATACTATAGACTACTACCATTATGAAGACGAGATTTTGGAGCAAAACGCAGCTCATCACGGATACTTCGACTACACGAACCAGACCAGAGAATCCGACTCCAGAAGAGTGTTCAACGACTACGGAATCGACCCAAAGTTGAGTCTGATGCTTCTTGATAAGGCTGCTTTGAAGAAAGCCGTTTTAGAGATGCAAGCTGCCTTCCCTGCAAACTAGGAGTATGTAACTAAAAAACTGATTAGCTAAGCCGTACAAAAAATTTTTACCAGATCCACTAATACACAGATGAAGGAGACTGTTGTTGATTTCACGCCCAAATGCATCTCGGGGATCGAGTTTGGCGCGCTATCTGCAGCAGAGATTATTGGCCAGAGTGAGGTGGAGGTGGCCACCCGGAACCTGTTTGATCTGGACCACGGAAGAGCCCCTGTTGAGAACGGTGCCCTGGACACAAGGATGGGTATTTCGTCCAAATCGGGCGAATGTACCACCTGTCGCGGCACCTTGAACACCTGTCATGGTCATTTTGGCCATATAAAGCTGGCGCTTCCTGTTTTCCACGTTGGATACTTCAAGTCCACCATCCAGGTTCTCCAGACGATCTGTAAGAGCTGTTCTGCGGTTTTGCTGGACGAGTCGACCAAACGGCAGTTATTGACCGATCTCAAGCGACCGGGACTCGATAACCTTCGTCGGATGAGAATCCTCAAGAAGGTTCTGGACCAGGCAAAGAAACAGCGTAGATGTCTTCGTTGTGGAGCACTGAACGGAGTGGTCAAGAAGGCCGCTGCCGGATCAGGTCCTGCTGCGCTGAAAATCATCCACGACACTTTCAGATGGATCGGAAAGAGAGGAGCTGAGGAGAAAGTTCAATGGGACGAGGATTTCGAGGAGTTGTTTGACAACAATCCGGACCTGGAAAAATTCTTTAAACGGTGTTTTGAAGACCTTAACCCATTAAAAGTGCTGAATTTGTTCAAACAGGTCGATCCGAGCGACTGTGAGCTTTTGGGAATCGACCCATCCAGAGGAGGTCGCCCAGAAATGTATCTGTGGCGATACTTGCCTGCTCCGCCAGTGTGTATCCGTCCGTCTGTTGTGATGACCGATACCAACACCTCGAACGAAGACGATCTGACCGTCAAGATCACAGAAATCGTCTGGACGTCCTCCATGATCAGAGCAGGCATTGAGAAAGGGATTTCGATCAACTCGTTGATGGAGCAATGGGATTACCTGCAGTTAGCCGTGGCCATGTACATAAACTCGGACTCTGCTTCTCCGTCGGCTCTTTCTGGTGGCACGAGCACCAAGTCGGCAAAACCCATCAGAGGTCTGTGTCAGCGTCTAAAGGGTAAGCAGGGACGGTTCAGAGGTAACTTGTCGGGAAAAAGAGTTGATTTTTCAGGAAGAACTGTGATCTCTCCCGATCCCAACTTGCGGATCGACGAGGTGGCTGTTCCAGACAGAATCGCCAAAGTGTTGACGTATCCTGAGAAGGTGACGCGGTACAACAAGGCCAAGTTGCAAGAATTGGTGATCAACGGACCGGATGTTCATCCTGGTGCCAACTATTTGGTGAAGAAACACGAGGACGTTAAGAGAAACCTGCGTTATGGTGACCGTAACAAGCTGGCCAAACAGCTGTCTATTGGAGACGTTGTGGAGAGACACATCGAGGACGGAGACATCGTTTTGTTCAACAGACAGCCTTCGTTGCACCGTTTGTCGATCATGAGCCATTTCGCCAAGATCCGGCCATGGAGAACGTTCCGTTTGAACGAGTGTGTTTGTACTCCGTACAACGCCGATTTCGATGGAGACGAGATGAACTTGCACGTTCCACAGACAGAGGAGGCCCGTGCAGAGGCCATGAACCTGATGGGTGTGAAGAACAACCTGTTGACTCCCAAGTCGGGAGAACCGATCATTGCGGCCACTCAGGACTTCATCACAGGCTCGTACCTGATTTCCAACAAGGATTCGTTCTACGACCGGGCCACGTTTGCGCAGATGCTGGCGATGATGTCTGACGGGGCCACCCAGATCGATATTCCTCCACCTGCTATTTTCAAGCCATCGTATATGTGGACTGGAAAGCAGCTGTTCAGTTTGCTGATCCGGCCAAATAAGAGCTCCAAGGTGATCATCAACCTGGACGCCAAGAACAAGACGTTCATTCCGCCAGAACCAGGCATGCCCAACGAGATGGCTCCGAACGACGGGTTTGTGATCATCAGAAATTCCCAGATTCTGTCGGGAGTCATGGACAAATCTACTCTCGGAGACGGAAAGAAGCACTCTGTGTTCTACACGATTTTGCGAGACTACGGTGCCGAGGAGGCCGCCAATGCGATGAACAGAATGGCCAAGTTGTGTGCCAGATTCTTGGGCAATCGTGGATTCTCTATTGGTATCAACGACGTGACTCCGGGAGCAGACCTCAAGTCGAAGAAAGAAGAGCTGGTCGAGTTTGCTTATAAGAAGTGTGACGAGCTGATTACCCAGTTCAAGACCGGAAAGCTGGAGACCCAGCCCGGATGTAACGAGGAGCAGACCCTGGAAGCCAAGATCGGAGGTTTGTTGTCCAAGGTGAGAGAAGAGGTCGGAGAGGTGTGTATCAAGGAGCTGGAGAAGTCGAACGCTCCGTTGATCATGGCTACTTGTGGCTCGAAGGGTTCGACCTTGAACGTTTCGCAGATGGTGGCAGTTGTCGGACAGCAGATCATTTCTGGTCACCGTGTTCCGGACGGGTTCCAGGACCGTTCTTTACCGCATTTCCTCAAGAACTCCAAGACTCCGCAGTCTAAGGGATTTGTGCGTAACTCGTTCTTTTCTGGTTTGAATCCCCCAGAGTTTCTTTTCCACGCCATCTCGGGTAGAGAAGGACTGGTTGACACGGCTGTCAAGACCGCAGAGACCGGATACACGTCGCGTCGTTTGATGAAGTCGATGGAGGACCTGAGTGCCGGCTACGACGAGACCGTGCGGAACTCCAGCAACGGCATTGTGCAGTTCAACTACGGTGGAGACGGTCTGGACCCGTTGGACATGGAGGGTGATGCCAGACCGGTCAACTTCAACAGAACATGGGACCATTCGTTCTATATCAGTCTGGACCACAGCGAACGCGGACTGTATCCTTATGAGATCATGTCGATCACAGACTCTGTGTTGAGTCCTTTGAAGTCGCAGCTGGTTCGTGTGGACAACCTGGGCCGGCGTGTGAGCGAGACCGACTTTGACAGGCTCGAGTACGTGGACAGATACGACGCGGAGCGGAACTTCTACGACTCGGTGAGAGGCTACATCGAGGCCAAGTGCAACGCTCTTGCCAAGCTGAGAGAACAGCGTGGAATCGCTCCTATGCTGCACAAGCCTGCCAAGATGCCAAAGACGAATGCGGACCAGGAGCGCGTTGTTCTGCAGCTGGCCAAGGTGTCGGAAGGTATGATCCGGGAGTTTTTGCGGCTGTGTTTGCACAAGTACCTCAAGGCCAAGGTGGAGCCGGGAACGGCAGTGGGTGCAATTGGAGCGCACTCGATCGGAGAGCCAGGAACCCAGATGACGCTCAAGACGTTCCACTTTGCCGGTGTGGCGTCTATGAACGTCACTCTTGGTGTTCCGCGTATCAAGGAGATCATCAATGCTTCCAAGACGATTTCGACACCGATCATCAACGCTGTTCTGGTGAACGACGACGATGAGCGGGCGGCGCGTGTGGTGAAGGGCCGGATCGAGAAGACCATCCTGGAGGATGTGGCGTTCTTCATTGAGGACGTTTACAAGGAGAACCAGGCGTACTTGCAGGTGAAGATCGACGTCAAGTCGATCGAGAAGCTGCAGCTGGAGCTGACGATCGACCAGATCGCCACGGCCATTGTGGCTGCGCCAAAGCTCAAAATCTCGCGCGGAGACGTGGCCGTCGTGGGCGGCAACAAGATCCAGGTGCTGGTGTCGGATATGGGCACGGACGCGTCCAAGCCAGCCAAGTCCGTTTCTTCGAGAGAACCGTCTGTGATCAAGGACCCAGAGGAGCGCGAGCGGCTGGAGCGCAGCTCGCTGTTCTTCAAGATGCAGCAGCTCAAACGTGTGCTCACCAAGGTCGTCGTCAAGGGTCTGCCGGAGATCTCGCGTGCCGTGATCAACGTCAGAGACGACGGCAAGAAAGAGCTGCTTGTGGAAGGATACGGCCTGAAAGAGGTGATGGCCACCGACGGTGTGGTGTCGCACAAGACCAAGACCAACCACGTCCTGGAGATCTTCGACGTGCTTGGAATCGAGGCCGCCAGAGCCAGTATCATCTCCGAGATCGACTACACCATGGGCTCTCACGGTATGGCAGTGGACCCTCGTCACATCCAGCTTTTGGGCGATGTGATGACCTACAAGGGAGAAGTGCTGGGTATCACGCGTTTTGGACTCGCCAAGATGAGAGACTCGGTGTTGCAACTGGCGTCGTTCGAAAAAACCACAGACCACCTGTTCGACGCTGCTTTCTTCATGAAGAAGGATCTGGTGGAAGGTGTTTCCGAGAGAATCATCCTTGGCCAAACTATGAGCATCGGTACCGGAGCGTTCAAGCTGGCGGCCAACAGCAAGGTGGACAATGCCAAACTCAAGCAGAAGGAAACGCTGTTCGAGGAGTTATGCGCGCAACCGGTGGCTGCGGCAGCATGATGTTACTGTATAATAATAATAGCATAATTGATCCCATAACAATTCCGTGCGATACATAACCTAAGACCTCTGTGGCCACGAGAGAGTCTTGTCGATAACCAAAAGCGCTCCGTTGGCCATAATCTCGATCCGCTGGATAGCCAGCCACTCGTCCACGTCGTCCAACGACAGCTCGAAGCCCTTGTGTCCGTTACGAAGGTGGATTTTGTTGCCGTTCAAAGACGACAACACCACCTCCTCTTTGGAGAAATCGGCAATGTTCGAGCCTTGCACGATGTGCGACTCCACAAAGTCTCTGATGTTCGCGTCGGCGTCTTCGTCTTGACTCACTGACCGCGGGAACTCCCAAGGTTTCTGCGTCAGCTGCACAACGGCCTCGTCCGTTGGAGCAAAAATCAAAAGCATGTTCCCGTCCTGGGAGTTGATGTTGTAGTCGTCGTCGTTGTCGCACTTCTTGTAAAGATCCACCATATCTCTAATGTAGGACGAAAAAATGGAAATGTCCTGTATCTGGGTCAGGGCAGTGGCCAGGTTTTCTTTCTTAACTTCCGGCATCAGAGTGTATTCGAACTCGTTGTCGAACTCGGAAAGTGGAACTTGCAGCTCAAACACGTTCTGGCCATCTCTCTTGACCAGTTTCGACGCCAGCACATCCTCGTCCACCACGACGCTGTAATGTTGCACGTTCTTGGCGTCTCTTTTGCCCAAAAAGGTATCCAAATGAACCACGTTCTTGCCGTCGCGCTTGTCCAGCAGCGAATCGTCGTCCAAACTGAACTTGAGATCGTAAACGTTTTTGCCGTCTCTTTTATGTTTCTTTAGAGAACCAAGGCTGGCTTCCGAAAACTCGAGCGAAACAACGTTCTTAGCATCCCGTTTGTTTAGGACCAGTTCTTTCTCGAAAGACTTAACATCGTTGATTGTCAGTCCCTTGAACACGTTTTTGGCCATTCCGGCGCCTAAAAACAATCCAAAAGCAATATAATTCAATCTCATAATGAACAAGTTGCTAATAATTAATTAATTTAATTTTTTGAAACAGCCCACCAAAATTATCTGTTTATTATTTATTTTACCAAATGTCAAGAGATAGCCATTATTCGTATATTCATATGAAGCAGCCGCATCATATTCTTTTCCAGGAAAAATGGGAGATCGATAAGTTGCCGTTCGACGATATCGACGTTAATATCAACGGAATCCCTGGCCAAGACAATAGTCTCCAGGAGTTCTTGTCGTCGGGAGAGGAACAAGACAATGATCTGAATATTATCAACGGCGCCAACCCGATGTTCAACTCGTCTTATTCAAACAGAATGCGCCAGAAACATAAGAAACTCAATTGGAAAGATCTCGGACTCGCAGAACTGCTCAGTGCCAACGAGTCAGTGCAAGACCACACCATCTTGTCCAGACCCCAATTCCCTCCTCAACAGGACCAGCCGTCCCAATCGCCGCATGAAACCATCATGGAAGAAGACCCCATTTTGGACGAGATCGCAGAGTCCACAGACCCACAAGTGGAAGAATTCGCTACACCAGTGGTTGCTAATCGTACACTTCTTAGTAATCTATACTCCAGACATCGCAAACCCAGAAAACCGTCCATCGAGTACCAAACGCCGCAATCTCACGCAAGAATCATCAGATAGCTTCACTGGTTGCAGAACTCGCACTGCGCAATGATATAGTCGACTGTCTTTTTCGAGATGTACCAGTTACGGCGAACATGGTTGTATGTCAGCAGCGGGGCAAGACAGTCGAAATGCAAATGTGTCGCAATCACAATGTACGGGATGTCCAGATAATCCGGAATCACCACGTTTGAGTCCCGCAGATACTGCACCGTCTTTGTTGCCGGATCAAACTTGAATCTCTGGTTGATCCACCGTCTTGCGTTCGAAATAGCACGCATCTGCTGCTGGTTGGGGAAAATGTCCATATGAGAGAGTTTTTTGAGCAGAGTCTTGGTGGCAACGACTTCCTGCGAGATCAGGATCTCGTACTCCGCCTGTGTTGGACCGTACATCGAGAAACTTGTCTCATCCTCCTCCTCTTCCTCAACGTCCGATCCTGACTGTTTGGCCCAGCGGGAATAAAATCTGGCCTGGATGTCTTCGTACTTGGTCTGGAACTCCTTCACCATGTCTTTGAGCTTCTTTGGGTCGTATTTGATCTGCTGCTTGATGGTTTCCAAATTGTCTACCGTCACATAACATGGCTGATTATCATGGCCAGAAGTGTCCACCACTTTTTCCTTGACCACCTTGGGTTTCGGATGAGGATGGTGGTGATTGTCGTCCTCGCCGCCGCGACGGGTCCGCTTCCTGAGCGGCGTGTCTTCGGATGCGCCCCGTTTCGTCGGCTCGGGCGTCTTCTCTGCCACTTCCACCACCTCCACCGGCTCGGGACTGCCCTCGACCAGATGCTTGTGGTACGCCCGTTTGAGCTCGGTGAGCCCGTTCACGAGACTCTGGTACTCGTACTCGATGTTTTCGGGCTTGAGCTCGAACCCGTGCCATTGGTAGCCGCTCAACAGCTGTTGCAGATTGATAACCAACAAATTGTCGTTGCTGAGGTTCTCGTCCTCCATCACCGGCATCCAATACCGGAACGTGTACACCAGCTGGTCCAGGCCGGGGATGTCGAGCATCACGCAGATGTGCTGCTTGATTTCCGCGAGCTGCCGTTCGGTCAGCTGGGCGATCTCGCGCGGCTTCGAGTCGATCTGGGTTATCTCCACGAACTTGCTATTGTGGATCTTGACCCAGATCAACGTCCATGAATAACGTAACTTAATTGCATAGATAAGTCCGCATTGGCGTAGATCAGCGCTGCGTTCCTGGAACACGTTCATGTGCGACGTCGTCAACTTGAAATCTTCCCATTTGAGTTTCACCACCAGTTGCGACGCTTCTTTAGCTGGACTGTTGTATTTGCCAAACCCGAGAAAGTGGCGGCTTACAAACCGTAACAAGTCGTAGAAGTTGTCCTCCGTATCGAGGAGATCATCTGCGATCGCCGTCTGACGGCGCTGCCGCGGCTCTTCCGACCAAACAACAACCATCTCCGTAGAGTTATTCAATAATGCAACTTTTTGGAAGCCAAAAAAAAAAGCCCAAACCCAGACCCAGTGTCGGGCTGTGCAGCGACATAACTTTTTCTCGCTGGCTCCAAGTCAAATAAATTAACTTTACCTAATTTTCCATCATGGAGACCAAGACAGTGGGCATTTTAGGAGGCGGCCAGTTGGGCCGGATGATCGTCGAGGCGGCCAGCCGTCTCAACATCAGAACCGTCATTCTTGAAAAGGGCACCGATTCGCCGGCCAAACAGATCAACTCCAGCAGAGATCATATCGATGGGTCGTTCAATGATAAGGACGCCATTCTGCAACTTGCGCGTAAGTGCGACATTCTGACGGTGGAAATCGAGCACGTCGACGTGGAGGCGCTTAAGTTTGCCCAAAAGGAGACCGGCGTCGCAGTTTACCCGTCTCCAGAGACCATTGCTATCATCAAGGACAAGTATCTTCAGAAGCTGCACTTGTTATCCAATAACATTTCTGTGGCCGAGTCGATCGACGTCGAGAGCACCCAGGAAGCCCTGCAATCTGTTGGTGCGCTGTATGGGTATCCGTACATGCTCAAGTCGCGGACAATGGCCTACGACGGAAGAGGAAACTATGTGGTGAAGGATGCGTCGCACATCCCGGAGGCGTTGACTGTGCTCAATGACAGACCATTGTATGCCGAGAAATGGGCCCCATTCACCAAAGAGCTTGCCGTGATGGTTCTGCGGTCCGTTGACGGCCGCGTGTACTCGTACCCAACTGTCGAAACGGTGCACAGAAACAACATCTGTCACACGGTGTATGCTCCGGCCAGAGTAAACGACACTGTGCAGCAGCACGCACAGTTCCTGGCAGAGAACGCCGTGGCCAGTTTCCCCGGCGCGGGTATCTTTGGCGTGGAAATGTTCCTGCTCCCAGATAACAAACTGGTGGTCAACGAGATTGCTCCAAGACCACACAACTCTGGCCACTACACCATCGACGCCTGTGTCACCAGTCAGTTCGAAGCACACATCCGTGCCATAACCGGCCTTCCTATGCCAAAAAACCTTACTTGCTTCTCTACCCCATCCACAAACGCAATCATGCTGAACGTCCTGGGAGCCTCCGTTCCTAACGAGGAGGTTTATATGTGCACCAGAGCCCTGCAGACTCCGCACGCGTCGGTCTATCTGTACGGCAAGTCCACCAGACCGGGCCGGAAACTCGGACACATCAATATCGTTTCGCAGTCGATGGACGACTGCGAGCGTCGTCTCAGCTTCATCGAGGGGAAAACCACAGCCCTCCAACAAAGCGAGTCTGCTGATGTTGTCGGTACCTCCAAGAAACCGCTCATTAGCGTGATCATGGGCTCCGACTCAGACCTGCCTGTCATGGCTACCGGTTGCAACATTCTGAAGCTGTTTGACGTTCCGTTCGAGGTGACCATTGTTTCTGCCCATAGAACCCCAGAAAGAATGTCCAAGTTCGCACACGACGCGCCTTTGAGAGGCGTCAAGTGTATCATTGCCGGTGCCGGGGGTGCGGCCCATCTGCCAGGAATGGTGGCAGCCATGACTCCGCTGCCTGTGATCGGCGTTCCCGTCAAGGGCTCCACACTGGACGGGGTCGACTCGCTGCACTCGATCGTCCAGATGCCAAGAGGTGTCCCTGTGGCTACCGTTGCCATTAATAACGCTACCAACGCTGCTCTGCTGGCTATACGTATCTTGGGGGCCTCCAACCCGGAGTACTTTACAAAGATGGCCAACTTCATGAACAACATGGAGGACGAGGTGTTGAAGAAAGCCGACAAGCTCGAAACAATCGGGTACGAGAACTATCTGTCTAAATAGAGACTGTATTCTAATGTTATTTCTGTACATCAAACTACTAATTAAATAACCCAATTTTTTAAAAAAAAAATAACTTTGAAAAATTTATAATATAACCTAATGATCGCAAGACAGTTGCGATATATCTCGCACACAATCGCCAGACGCGGCGTCAAGATCCCAGACAATGCCCCGTCTCTTGAAGAGAACGCCGAATGGCTCCAGAAATTGAGGTCCCAAACGTCTGCGGCCGAGTTCCACGAGTTTTTGCCAAAATCCACGTTCGAGATCAATGACGTCTCAGAGCTCGAGTCAGACGCCAACCCGGACCTCTGTAAGGTCCAGCTGCCTGGCGGAAAGCACGCGAAGATTGTCCGCCTGCCAGACCCGGGGAGTCCGCAGCATTTGAAATTTTTCACAATGTCAGTGCCCGCGTCAGATTATTCTGTCGCATCGTCTCCATTTTCGGCCCTGTCAGCAAAGAAACGGCCAAAAGCAGACAGTTCGCAGTCGTTTTCCGATCTCAAGGTGGTGAACATCCGCTCCGGCAACGGAGGCAATGGCACGGTCTCGTTCTTCAGAGATACAGGTATTGCTGTGGGGCCTCCTAACGGTGGAGACGGCGGTGACGGCGGAGACATTTACGTTTCTGCCGTCGAGGGACTGAGTTCTCTGCATGGGATCCGGTCCAAATACGTCGCCGGCAACGGGCTGAGCGGTGAGTCGGGCCAGGCCGACGGCAAACGAGGAAACGACGTGCATATAACCGTTCCTGTTGGAACAACCATAACTTGGTGTGCAGACCCCAAGGAGATCCGTTCTTTGATCAAATCCAACACAGACAAAGTGTTCCACATCAAGACCGTGTCGCGGTCGTCGTCGTCCGCGGTGCCACGCCATATCCAGCTATTCAGAAACGGGTATGAACCGGGGAAAGGATGGGTGTTCAAGGAGAAGTCGGAGGAATACCATATGGAGCGGGACTTTTTCCTGGATCTCAACAAGAAAGTGATGTATTATGACAAACAGCTGCTCGAGGAAGAGCTGCAGGACGACGTTTTCCCGATTGTGGGAATCGATTTCCCGAAACCAACGAAAAAACCGGTACTGCTGCTGAAGGGCGGTCGAGGCGGCATGGGAAATATGCACTTTCTCACATCCAACGTGAGAAACCCGCGTTTTGCCAAAGTTGGACGTCCTGGACTCGAGGAGAACTTTGTGTTTGAGTTGAAGCTGTTGGCGGATCTGGGCCTGGTGGGGCTTCCAAACGCAGGAAAGTCCACCTTGCTGCGCGCAATCTCCAACGCAACGCCGCGTGTTGGCCACTGGGCGTTCACTACGCTGCAGCCAACCATCGGAACGATCCAGTTGCGTATTGACCAACCAGCCTTCACAGTGGCAGACATTCCAGGAGTAGTGGAAGGGGCCAACGAGAACAAAGGTATGGGTCTGACGTTTTTGAGACACGTTGAGCGGTCCGGAGGTATTGTTTTCGTTATCTCATTGGGCAACGAAAACCCGGTTGCAGATCTCCAGATTCTTCTCAACGAAATGGGAACTCGTCGGATGGAAAACAAACGGGTCTTGGTGGTGGCTACCAAGGCAGATCTTGAAGGCACAGAGGAGAGATATTTGGGATTGAAGCAGTTTGTGGAAGCTCAGGACTGGAAGATCGTTCCATGTTGTGCAATGCGCAAGGAAAACATCCAACAGGTGTTGGAAATGATGGCTGAATGCTCGGGAAAATTAGATAATTAATAAACTTCCATGTTGAACGACAAGGCCAGCTCTTCGTAGAGACGCAGAAGGGACGGCGAGTCAATTTCTCCGTAGTACTTGAGTGCGTCCATTAGATCGCTCAGCTTAGAGTTGTACTTTTCCTTGTAATTTCTGAGCCCTTCGTGCAATCTTCTCATTCTTGAGCCGTTCTTCTCAGGACTAAAGGTGGTTCCCAACGACAGCTTGGCCTGGTTTTCGGTGAAGAGTTGTTCGTCCATCAGTATCAGCGTTTTTCGGAGAGCCATCAGAAAATTGTGGTACAGCACAATGATAGCAAACAGCTGGTTCACGATCTGAGTGAGTCTGATCTTGGTCAGCATGGAGTCAGCAAGAATCGTGCTGAGAAAAGACTTGATCGACCCAAAAACAGACTCCAGCTCCACAGTCGGATCGGTCTTGAGACTGTCGAGAAGCTGCTCGACTTTTTTCCAGTTGGCATCAATGACGTCAAAGTTTAGGTAGAACAGACACAAATTCACGAGCGTCCTCATATTAGAATGAACTATTCTGGCCTGTTTGATCCACCGGCGCAGACCTGGATCTTCGAACGGCCAGCACCAGAACCGCTGGTGGGTGATCTCTCTCCAAGACAATTCCAAAGACTTTTCGACAAATTTTAAATACGTCAGGTTGCGGAACATGAACTGGTACTCGATCATCTGGGACTTTGTGATTATCAAGTTCAACGGGAACGGCACCTCAACGTCCAAACTAAAGTTGAACACGGAATACTGGTCAATCTTCGTATTGGTAAGAACGTTGGCCTTGACCTGGTTTTCGTTGGCTTCCAAAGTGGAGTTGAGTAAGTTTTTCAACGAACTCAAGTCAGAGGATGCAAACACTTTATCTGAGTTGGTGGTCTTTGCGCTCAAGATCATAACAAGCTCGTCTAGGAGGGTGTATTTCGACAAAGAGTGACTAGCCAAATTGAATATAAGTCGTTTACTCTTTGACCGTGGGTCTGAGTCAATACTGTCGTCTTCATGGTAGCTTCCAAGATAGAGTTTTGTCAATGTGTTGAGTGAGGCATGGTCTCTTGATTTGCGAAGCTCGGCCAGACTGGAGCTCATAAACTCGTTAAAATTGTGATTGTTTGTGAGCAGGAAGTATTTGTTCAAGCCTTCAAGAAACTCGCGAATATGGAACCCTTTGAATAGCAGATCGATGATCAGTTTGTTAGCACGGTTGTACGCCTCGTCCAACCGGATGTACATGTCATTATCTTGCAGAGTTTTAATATGCACAATTCCAGCAAGATCATCTACATCGATCCCGCATTCTTTCAGCACATTGAGGTACTTTCCTGTGAGAATCACTTTCTTTTGAACATTTGGAGGGTAGAACTGTTTCAACAGTCCCTCGCTGCGGATGGTGAACTTGTCGGCCCAGTAATCTTCGCTCACTCTGGACCCTTCGGTGGTTTGGTGGATTAGGAATTCTTCGTGGGGATCTTCTATTGAACCTTTTTCGAGCCATGAGTTAAGCATCACAACATAGTTCTGCGACACCTTGTTGAACAAATTCACAAGAAACTGGTACGCTGTGGTGTTTCCCTTGTGCTGATCGATGGCCGACTGAATGAAACTTAACACCAGTCCTCCCTTCACGACCTTGCTGTTGCGTGGATCGGATGTAACTCCGTCCAGAGTCCCCGTGTAGTGGTCGTCCTTCAGCGACTTGAGCATGCTCTCGAATCGCATTCTGTCCATGTTGGTGGAATCTTTGCGATTCTCATTTTCCTGCACGATCTGCAACACTATGTCGTACAACAGAGAAAGCTGGACCACTGGTTTTGCAGTCAGATCTTGTTCCAATAGGGTCACCGAATAATTAGCATTAGTGTGGAACTCGTGTTCGATCTGGACCAGAATGGACTCGTACGTCTTCAAGTTTTGTCTGATTTCAAAACACAAGGCCTGAACCACTGTGCCGTACTGGAGATTATCGTACTGTTCCAAAAACGTGGTCAAACTGACGTATCGTTTCCCCAGCTGGCTGATGCGTTTTGATATATCTTTCAAACTGGGAGCCAAATGTTTGTTTATTGAAAAGTCTGGGCCAATTAAGCGCTGTGTCACACTGGAATCAATATTGAACGACTCGGCGTACCGAATGTAGAACCCTTCAAGTCCTACCAGAACAAACAAGAGGTCCTGGAAAACAGCAGCCTCCTGGTCGCGAAACCCGTCCATTTGCTCGATCGGAAACCTTCTGGGCTTGGACAGTGTGCCGGTCCCGGCAAACGTCGGCGGCGACTTGACACACGGACCAACCAACAACGGCGTCGGCGTCAATCTTAGCGTATCAAAGGACATGATAAATAATAAACAAAAAAATCAATAACGCGAGTCTATCTATAATAACTAGCACAGCCCTTAAAAAAATTTCAGAAAATATTCCTTTTGCATGGTGAAGAGAAAGAGAGCCGCCATTCTGCCAACAAACATCGCGTTGTTGCAGAACCTTGTTCGCAGAGACCCAGAATCGTACCGGGAAGAGTTTTTGCAGCAGTATGCGCATTACGAATCGCTGAGAGACATTTTTTTGTTGACTCCGTCTTCTGATGATGGAGAGGAGTTTGGAGAGCTGATTGTATTCATGTCTGCTGTTTGTTCGTGCTATCCGAAAGAGACCGCCAAGTTCCCAGAGGATTTGAAGATCATATTGTCCAATAACCACCGTGATTTGACGCCCGATTTGCGGGAAAAGATCATCCAGTGTCTGGTTATGTTGCGTAATAAGGACGTTATTCGTGCCGAGTTTTTGATCCAGACAATTTTCCCTTTGTTGAGCGCTTACGGTCCCAGCGTGGAGGGCAATGTCGGTATGCACGCCAAACGGCTTAGACGCCAGATCTACGGGTCTTTGGTGTCTCTTTTGAAGTCGTGCAACACTGGGGTGAAAAATCAAAAGCTCAACAGATCCACCCAGGCTTTGCTGTTCAATTTGTTGGAACAGAAGGACGGCAACGGATTATGGGCCACGAAACTAACGAGAGAGCTGTGGAGACGGGGAGTGTGGGACGACTCGCGCACGGTGGAGATCATGACACAGGCCTCGTTGCACCCTGACACCAAGGTGGTGATATCTGGTATTCGGTTCTTTTTAGGAGCAGACAAGGAAAGAGAGGAGATGTTGGAGGGAGACTCAGACGACGAGGAGCTGGATCCAGACCAGATCCGCCATCAGATGCAGGTGAACAAGAAGTCGTCGAAGCGAGGCAGAAAGCTGGAAGCTGCGATCAAGCAGTCTAAGAAAAAGAGCAGCAGAACCAACACAACGTACTTGAACTTTTCCGCCATCCACCTTCTCAGGGACCCGCAGCAGTTTGCAGAGGACCTTTACGAACAGCATCTGGCCAGCAAGAACGCCAACAAGTTCGACCTGGACCAGAAGATCGCAATTATGAATCTTGTTTCGCGGCTGGTTGGAACGCACAAGCTGACCGTTTTGGGAGTGTACTCGTTTTTCCTCAAGTACCTGACGCCGAAGCAGCGCAACGTGACGCAGATCATGGCAGCCTCTGCGCAGGCGTCGCACGATCTGGTGCCGCCGGAGACCATCAACATGGTTGTGCGCAAGATTGCAGACGAGTTTGTTTCTGACGGAGTGGCTGCGGAGGTGGCCGCTGCGGGAATCAACACGATCCGCGAGATTTTGGCAAGAAACCCGGCCGGTATTGATGAGGCCCTGCTGCAGGACTTGACGGAGTACAAGTCGTCCAAGGCGAAGAACGTTGTGCATGCAGCACGGTCGCTGATCTCGCTGTATAGAGACGTTGCACCAGAGATGCTTTCTAAGAAAGACAGAGGCAAGTCGGCCACGATGGACATTATCCACGACGGGGCCAAGGGCGTGCCGCAGTACGGTGTGGAGACCAACGTGGTGCAGGGCATTCCTGGACTGGAGTTGCTGGCCAAGTGGAAAATGGAGCAAGGAACTTTGGGCCAGGAGAACGCCGAGGACTGGAAGCTGCCCGAGTCCGAGTCCGAGGATCTGGACGACGACATCGAGGGCGACTGGGTCGACGTGAAGGAGGGCGAGGACATCGAGATTTCCGACGACGACGAGCCTGCTGCCGAACACAGAGGTATCAAGAAGAAGTACCTCAAGTACATGAAGAAGAAGAAGACGCACGATTTCGACTCGGACCTGGAGCTTTCCGATGACGAGAGAGACGTGAAGAAGCAGAAGCCGAGCGCGGAGCAGGAACAGGCCGTGCAACAGACGCTGGCCCAGGTGCTGACTCCGGCGGATTTTGCCAAGCTCAAGGAGCTGAACCAGGTGGCAGGTGTGGAGCGCATCTTGGGCGACAAGCACAAGAACGAAGACTCTGTGGACCACTCGACGCTGGTCGGAAAGGTCAAGTACAAGCAGACCAAGGAAGAGAGACTGGAACAGGTCAAGGAGGGCAGAGAGGACAGAGACAAGTTTGGATCTCGTAAGGGAAAGAGAGACGCTCCTCATTCCACCACTAATAAGGAGAAACAGAGAAAGAAGAACTTTGTGATGATGATCCACAAGAAGGCCGTCCAGGGAAAACAGAAATTGAGTCTGCGAGACCGGCAGAAGGTGCTGCGTGCGCACGTCGAGCGGCAGAAGAAGAAAAAATAGTGATAACCAACTATATAAGCGTAATTAGATGTCTTTGTACCGTTTGCGAGCGTTGTCTCTTTCCTTGCGGCGGCGTTTGCGCTCGCCAAACCCGTCTTTCTCCATCTCCATGCGGGCCTCGATCTTCGCCTTGGACACCGCCTTGAGACTCTGGCTGATCACCTTGTTGTCGCTGATGGCCAGCTCCTCCATCTTGAGCCCGACACGCTCCTCGATCGCCAGCACGCGGCTCAGGTCGTTCGGAGTCACCATCGAGATCGCGTCACCTTTGCGGCCCGCACGCGCCGTTCTTCCCACCCGGTGCACGTAGTCGTCCGGGTCTCTGGGGATGTCGAAGTTGATCACAAGCTCCACGCTCGGAATATCCAGTCCTCTGGAAGCAAGGTCCGTTGCGATCAGCACCCGCGCGGCTCCCGCACGAAACCGGTGCAGCGAGTTCGTCCGCTCCGACTGCGGCATCTCCGAGTGCAGCGACGTCGTTGTCACCTCCAGGTGCCGCAGCGTGCGCCGCAATATCTCTGCGGTTTCTGACCGGTTCGCAAAAACTATGGCTGTGCTCTCCTTGTACTCGTCGCTCGTGAGGATATTGTGCAGCATGCTCTCCTTGACAACTACGGGAGCCAGGCAGTACAGCAGTCGCAGCGTGCTGGGGATCTTGACGGCATCCACCTGGTCCAGCTCGTGCAAAAAGACCGGCTGCTTCCCTTTGGCCACGGGCTTGTCTTTCAGCGACCGCACCGAATCCGTCACTGTGGCCGTGAACAGTAACGTCTGCCGCTTCGACGAGTCCGGCAGCGCCTCGAAACACGTTTGCAGGTGGTCCGTGAACGAATCAGTCAGCAAACGGTCGGCCTCGTCCAGAACAAGGTACTTGACTCTTTTCAGCCCGCGTGTCTCGTCCGGGTTCTCCATGATGATATGTGCAAGACGGCCGGGAGTGGCAATCAGAAAGTGAGGGTTCTCCTTGATCACGGCCACCTGGTCGGTCATGGACTGGCCTCCAATGACGAGTCTGACTTTTAGGTTGACGGTGGCTCCCAGGGCGGCAAACTGGTCGGCAATCTGCATCGCCAGCTCGCGCGTCGGCGTGAGAACCACGCCGTAGATGCCGCTCGGGTCTTTCGACCAGTTCGCCAACATTGGTGCCCCAAAGGCTATCGTCTTACCAGAACCTGTCTTGGCTCCTCCAATGCAATCTCGTCCCTTGAGGATCTCGGGGATACATCCTGCTTGAATATTTGTCGGAGTAGTGATTCTCATGGCCTCGAGGTTTTCCACGAGCCACTTGGGCAGCCCCAAAGATGCAAACGTAGACATAGATCAAAGGTTATTATCCTAGTAATTTTTTTTTTCAAATTATTTTTTTAGTTATTTTTTCCAACATAACTCAGGTTATTTATTTTTTGTTTTTTCCTCCCGCCCCATGATCGACCAGTTCCTTATATTCAGACCAACAGGCCAGGTGGAATTCAACTACCAGCCCGGGAAAAACCTGTCGGGGGTGGTGAACGCCTTCATAGACCAGGTGCTTGTTTCGGAACGCAATTTGAAAACATTCAGCCAGGCGGAGAAGGACGAGGCCAACGACATCGACGACGAAGACGGAGTCGTCGTGGGCAGTTATAACGTCGAAAAGTATAACGTCCAGTACTTGTCGGTGAATCAGCCAGACACAAAGCTAGTGTTTGCAATGGTGCACCCGTCCGTTGTGACGCTGAGATCGCCCTTCCAGTTCCTGCGCAAAATCAAGGTGCTATATTTGAATTCTGATAAGGCCAAATTCGGGCATTTTTTCGATCTCAACCTGCAATCGCTGGAGGAGAAGAAAGACGAGCCAAAGGAGGACGTCAAGGAAACCAAGCAGGACAAGGACGACAAGCGGAAACCAAAGTCCAGCAAAAAGTCCCGAAAATGGAACACCGACGGCTCGTTTTACGAGGAAGACGGCCAGACCACAAACCTCGACTTTTCCGGGCACAATGCCAAGGAGGCTCAAGGATCGGCCAACTTGGAACAGCTGGTAGGCGACGCCAGCCAGTTCGGAACGAAAACAAAGACCGGCGAGTTTCTGGTGAACGATCTGTCGCAGGAAATGGACAGAATATTGTCATTGCAACCAACGCCAAAGGCCCAGGAAGCCAACTCACAACCGTTCGGGTTCCTCAGAAACCTTATTGGCGGCAAGAAGATCACCAAGGAAGACGTCAAGAAGGTGAAATCGGCATTGTCCACGCATCTCATCAAGAAAAACGTGGCCCCCGATGTGGCCAACTCGCTCATTTCCGAGATCGAAAAGGAACTGGTTGGATCAACCACTGCAAATTTCACATCTGTTCAGGAAACAGCGAAAAAGAGTCTGGAGAAACAGCTCATCAAGCTGCTGACACCAAACAACTCGATCGACCTTCTGAAGGAGATCCAGACGAAAAAGGCCAACAAGCAGATGCCGTACGTTATTTCTGTGGTTGGAGTGAACGGTGTTGGAAAGTCCACCAATTTGTCCAAGCTAGCATACTGGCTGTTACAGAACAACTACCGTGTGCTGATCACCGCGTGCGACACGTTCAGATCCGGTGCTGTGGAGCAATTGCGCACCCATGTTAATAACCTCACCAAGCTATCCCAGGATAAGCAGCAGATCGAGCTATTTGAAGGAGGATACGGTGGAGCAGATTTGGTGGCCAAAATCGCAACGGGAGCAATCAAATACGCAAAGCAAAACAACTTCGACATCGTGTTGTTGGACACCGCCGGAAGAAGACACAACGACACGCAATTGATGGCTCCGTTGGCGTCTTTCGCCAAGGCGGCCAACCCAGACAAAATCATCATGGTCGGCGAAGCCCTGGTCGGCACAGACTCCGTGCTGCAGGCACAAAACTTCAACAAGGCGTTTGGAGCAAATAGACATTTGGACTTCTTCATTGTGTCCAAGTGCGACACCGTTGGAGACCTGATTGGATCGATGGTGAACCTGGTTTATGCCACAGGAATCCCAATTCTGTTTGTTGGTAACGGCCAAACATACACAGACTTGAGAACGCTGAGCGTGGACTGGGCTGTTAGTATGTTGATGTCTTAATCGAATTCTCCTTCGCTATCGGAAACGTCAAAGTTCAAAGCTGCTTCTTCTGCCTGTTCGTGAACGTCGCTCAATCCTGTCAGTTTCTCCAGATACTTGGAGTCCTGCAAAGCCTGTTTGACAAACTCCCAGTTGTTTTTCTTGAACTCCTCCACGACAGCGATCGAACAGGCGGAACAGTACTTGAAGTTCTTTGCGTGAAGCTTGAGCATCTCGAAATTGTGTAAAAAGCCTCTTAACTGGTGGGGCAAGGAGCCCAGAATAGTGCACGACTCGTCTGCGGAGTGTGCCGCGTACTGGCGGTCAGGATGCTGTAGAATGGACACCAAAAGCTCCACGGCTAGCGACGATGCCATCAAAGCAACGCCCGGCCTGGTCACAGTGCACATCTGGTCCAGAGTTCTGTCTGTGGTGGAGTCTGACGGAGCATACACGTCGTTGCAGAAGTAGCAACCCAATCTCGACTCCTGCTGTGATTCTAGAGGCTCTGCCGGGTTGACACACCCGTGTCGCATAACCAAATAGCTTTCGAATCCCAGAGCAGCATTAATAACTATTTTATTCTCCACGTTTCCAATAACCGTTGGTAGCCATCTTGTTTCGCGAGAGTCCATCAGCAGGAAGATGACGTCGTGCTGTTTGATGAGATCGTACAGTTTATCGAAATCCTGTTTCTGTTTCGTTTCGTTGGTGACTGGATGTCCCGCCATCGGGACCTCCAAGGAGAAGCCCTGTGCGTCCACGAGCGGGAAAATCTGCTTCATGGCGCTGGCAGCGGCCTCTGCTTTGGGCCGTCCACCGTCCACACAGTCTTCAAAACTGTAAAGCGGCTGTCGAACAGGGTTGCTGAATGAAACTTTGCCGTTGTCGACAAAGGTGATTTTGCGGACTCCCCAGGCCAACAGGGCGCGGCCAATGTACGAGCCCAGAGTGCCTGATCCAAGAAGCAGACATTTTGTCGACTTGATAAGATCCAGGTCCAAGTTTGGGACTATACGCCACTTCATTAGTTTGAGGTTCAGGTCGATGGCCTGGTCAGCAAGCTGGGTCGGGTCGATTAACGATCCCAAGTCTGCGAGCTTGGGGCCCAGTTTTCCCTGAGACGTGCGTTCCCAGCCGGATATCTTGGGCGTTTCCACCTTGGCAAGCAGCCGGAGGGTCATTTGGCAGAACGAGCTGGCGTTTGCACGATGGATCTGGACGGTGACGTTATCGTAGCCTAAAATAGCCAGCATTGTGAGGAAGTTGCGCAGAGCATAGGAGTAGGTGTTTTGCACAGCTGAGGTGTCCACGAAGGCGACTTTGATTGGCGTGGAGACGGGTAACTCCTTCAGCTTGGACAATGGGAAATATTTGTCGTCAACAACCACGGAGAACTGGTCTTGGGGCAGGTCTCCGCGGATCAGGTCCTGTTGGACGACTTCCCAGTCCGAATGGAGTGTGGGGAACGCGAACCAGTAATAGAACTTGTACTTCTTGAGGTCGGCAAAGGACAAAATGGAGAACTGCGAAAGGAGTTCGGGCTGGTCCAGAACCGAGTGGTCTTTGATTTGCGATAACAAACGAGTTCCTGCTTTGACAAGGAACTCGAGTTTGTTCTGGGTTTTGAACTCCTCGAGCGTGTTGACGTTGAAGATGCTGCCGTTGGACACAAACACGGAATTGGCCGGCAATTGCGACTCGAAGTCGCGCAAGGAACCAAAACTGGTGTCGTTCAAATTAATCGCGGGGGTTTGCCCTGGCGATAAGGATTTGTAGTTATAATAGCCATAAATGGACTTGGACGACTGATCCAACTTCAGAACGTCGAGCTTGAGCTGCGAAAGTTTCACAAAGAACGACGAGTCGACAAACGACTGTGTATTTAAATATTTGAGCTCCATGGAGTAGGATAAGAGGAAGAGAGGTAAATAAATAATAAGTTTGATATTTATTCTTTATCATGTTTTCTACAAAGTTAAGAAATAGCGGTGCATTTTTGTCTGTGCGCAAGTTCTCCAGCTCGATAGTATCCCGTCAGGTTGCCGAGGTGAAATCGATGGCCGAGTTCAAAGAAAAAGTGTTGTCTGAGAAGTCTGCGTTTGTGGACTTTTACGCCACCTGGTGCGGTCCATGTAAGGCCATTTCGCCAGTGGTGGAGAAACTTTCGGAAACTCATAAAGACGTCAAGTTCTTCAAGGTGGACGTAGACGATGCTCAGGACATTGCTGCAGAGTACGCCATCAGCGCTATGCCCACATTTATGACTTTCAAAGACGGCCGAAAAAATTTCCAGTTTGTTGGAGCCAGTCCACCGGCTTTGAAACAGATGATCCTCAACGTTAAGGAAGACTCTTGATTACCCACATTATATATCATATATCAGGAAAGATTCATTTCATCCAGCTCGTCTAGCAACTCGTCGATGTTGATCTCTGGCGCATCATCCTCTTCCTCCATATCGTCTTCGTCGTCGTCACCACGGTCACCCTCAGCTCTATACAAGTTGACGGTTTTTCTGAGCTCCTGATCCTCCTCCAGCTCCTGCAAGAACACCTCGTAGTCTCTCTCGGCTCTCTCGGCCTCCTGTCTGGCCTGTCTCGAATCCACAATCTCGCTGGCAACCAGGTCTTTGTGCTCGTTGGCCATTCTCTTCAGTTTCCAGTTTCTGTTCTTGATCCGCTTGTTCGACCGCACATAGTGTTTCTTCACCAGTACCACGTCTGGAATGCTGTCTGTGTTGAGCGTGTCGAAAAGATCGTTATTAAAGTTGGAGTTGGTGAGGAAGTATCCCATGGCAGAGTCTCCAGGGTGCAAGATTCCTCCCAGATGCGACCGCACGTAGTACTCCTGGTCGTTGACGCCCATGTCGCTCGCACGGGCCACCGTGATGTCGGCAAGAAGCCATCTGCCGTTGCGGACCCCGGTAGGGTCCACGTCCAGCACGATGAACTCGACCAGCTGCGACGAGTCGGCCAGCGTGGCAAACGGAGACCGCCAGAACACAGAAGAAGACAAATCGCCCGTCTTCAAGGTGAGAGGGTCGATAAATTGCACCGTGTTACTCACTTTGGAGCACACAACCAGTTGGGCCAGGTCACCCATGGACTTGGCGAGTTTCTTTGGCAGCACAACAAGGTCGTCTTTACAAATCGGCACGATCTCCACGGAAAACGTGAACTTGTACTGCGACGTGCCCGAATGAATGTCCTGACTGATCAACTCCTCGGACTTTTTCGACTTGATAGGAACCACGCTGTTGAGGAAATCGATCATCTTGGCTGCGTGGTTTCTCTGCGAATAATAGAAATCAAGACCGTCCTTGGACTCTTTGATAGAAATGGTATCCATGTGTGCGTTGTGTTTAAGAATGAGCTGTTCCAGGTACAAGAATGTTCTCTTATGCTGGACTTTCTGCCTGATCTGAACGGCAGCACGCCATGTATTGACCGTGTACGACTTGGCACAGTCGGGACATTGCATAGCAACAACCACGTACTCCACCTCGAAACTCTGCTGGATGATGGTGTTGGTGAGAGCCTCGCCCTGGACCGTCAATTTGACCCGAATTCTACGGGAATGCGGTTCGGTCCAGATAAAAGACGCATCTATAAGCCTGACTTTGTTGAGACCTTTCAGTCGGCGCAAACACAGAGCCAATAGCTCTCTACTCTCGAGCTCGGCACGGATCCACTGAGTTGGCGGCTGCAAAAACCGCTCGCAGTTCCGACAAAACGAAACGTTTGCCTCTCTAGGGATTCCCTCGGTGATATCCACCGTCAGCTTGATACAGTCGTAGCACATAACCAGGCCGGTCGAACCGTCCATGGGCACACCACAGTTGCAACACAGCACGGTGGCCTGTGGCTGGACGTCCTGGGGAGTCAGCTGTGTGTAATTCGACATAACTGACTGATTTAGTGAAAAAAATACAGGCAAAAAAAATTTAGATAAAAAAATTCTAGCGTTGCACAGCCGTGGAAAAAGAAAATAAAATCTCCTGGAAAGCCACTGTTTGCAAGTTTACCAATGTCCCAGTTTCTGTCGTTGCACGTGTCGAATCGCACGTCCGAGACGCGGGACATGCTGATGACCGAGCGCACGACGCTCAGCTGGATCAAGTTCAGCTGCATTTTGTCTGTCTCCGGAATGGCGGTGTGTTTCCGGACGAGCGACCAATTTGGCCGTGCCATGGGGATTGTGTTTGTGTGCCTGAGTTTGGCCACATTGTTGGTGACGCTTGTGCATTATTGGCAATCGGTCAACAGCTACCGTGCCCAGAAAACACAGGTAGCCCACCCCACAATCACCAGCGTGTATCTGGGGCTGGTGATCTTGATTCTATTGGGAGTCAATATCGGACTCATGTTGAAGAAAAGTGAGGAAGAGTACGCCCAATGAGATCACAGCAGGGCCAACAGGGCCAGCGCAAGACCAAACCGCGGAACGGGCCCCGAAACACGCGCAGCCGCGCCTTGGCTGTCGGAGCTCGAGGCGGCCGCCGCAGTCGCTGAAGGAACACTGAAGCTATTGCTCATAGCCGAATAAAAGTCGCCGAAATTAGAGTACTCCGTGTAATCTGTACTGTACACTTGCCAGACCTGGGACGCGAGCGACTCGACGTTGTAGGCGCTGTTGGACGGCGCGATCGTGAGGAAACTGGCGTCGGGCGTCACCGGGTCGGTGTAGACCCGCTCTTCAGAGTCGTAGTCCTGCGTGATGATGCTGACGTAAGCACTTGCGTCCTGGACTTTGGAATCTGAGTTGGTATTTGTGTGGATGAACGCTGCCTCGCTGGACAGCCGCGCGGCAAACGGCACCTGGGTGAAGATGTTGGAGTACGCCTCGTAGGCCGAGCTGAGCTGGCCCTGTTTGAGCACGTTCTGGTTCTCGTACTCCATGAACATCTGCACAAAGATATCGTCTGAGTTGTCCAGGATGAACTGTTCCCACTCGGCGACGTTGTACTGGATGTCGTCGTTGATGGCGAGGAGCATTTCCTGCGGGGTGAATGCGGCCACGAGATGGGCGAGGCCTGTGAGCAGAACGAGGGTGGTTTTGGCGAGGCCCATGGAAGAAGCGGCGAAGAATAGAGGGAAGAGATTTTGGTGGCCGGCAATTCTGATCAAGACCGACGGGGGACCACTACTTGTGTCTGTGAAAACGGTTTCCACCACTACATGACCATCTATCTACACTGGCTCTCTCGCTACTGCTGCTACGTCTACACCGTTTCGTGCGAGATCTTGGCTTTAATTTTTTATAGTATAGTAGCACTGCCCGATAATTGTATTTGTTTATGCTTTCGAATATTAAGGTGTTTGTGCGGTGTCGCGCAAGGAACGAGCGGGAGCTGGCCGAGAACGCGGGCGTGGTGTTATCAGTTCCGTCGCGTGAGGAGGTGTGTGTGCGTGCCGGGTCGAACCAGCGCACTTACGGGTTCGACCGTGTGTTTGGCGCAGAGAGCGACCAGGAGAGCGTTTTCGAGTCTGTGGCCGAGCCGATGCTCGAGCAGATGGTGGCCGGGTACAATTGCACGGTGTTTGCGTACGGCCAGACGGGTACGGGGAAAACCCACACAATGGTGGGCGATCTGGGCGATCTGGCGGGCACGAACGTGAAACTACGCACAGACGCTGGTATCATTCCTCGCGCTATGTTCCGGCTATTTGAGCTGCTGAAGAAAGTGCCCGACTACTCCGTCAAGGTGTCGTTCATTGAGCTGTACAACGAAAACATCAGAGACCTTCTGGGCGACGGCACGCGGCCGCTCAAGATCTTTGACGACGCGGGCAAAAAAGGTGTTTTAGTGCACGGCATCCACGAGGTGTACGTGCGGTCTCCGCTGGAAGGTCTTCGGTACGCGCAGCAGGGGCTGGAGAAACGCAAGGTGGCCAGCACCAAGTGCAACGACCTGTCGTCGCGGTCGCACACGGTTTTCTCTGTGACGGTGCACATGAGGGTGCCTGATCCGCACAAGGTGGGCGGCGAGGAGCTTGTCAAGGTGGGGAAACTGAACCTGGTGGACCTGGCCGGGTCGGAGAACATCTCGCGGTCGGGTGCCACGAACCAGCGGGCCAAAGAGGCCGGCATGATCAACCAGTCGCTGCTGACACTAGGACGCGTAATCAACGCCCTGGTGGCTAGTTCGCCGCATATCCCCTACAGAGAGTCGAAGCTGACACGACTTTTGCAAGATTCTCTTGGTGGCCAGACGAAAACCAGCATCATTGCTACTCTTTCGCCTGCAAAAACCTCGTTTGAGGAGACTCTTAGCACGTTGGAGTACGCACACACGGCCAAAAGTATCAAGAACAAGCCGCAGGTGAACGAGGTGGTCAACAAGAAGACGCTGTTGCGCGAGTACATGGACGAGATCGAGCGGCTAACCAAGGATCTGGAGGCTGCACGCACACAAAACGGTGTTTATCTGGACAGCGAGAGCTACCAAAAGCTGTGCAGCGAGAACGAGAGCAGACAGATCCGGATTGAGGAGCTGGAAGCGCGTGTGGGTGGACAGGAGGATCGGTTCGAACGTACAAAAGAGCGGTTGGAGCAGGAGCAACAGGAGAAAAAGAAGCTGGAGCAGGAATTAGCCGATTCGGTGGCAGAAACAGCCAAACTACGCGAGCTGTTGGAGAAACAGGCGGCGAAGGTTCAAGCTTCACGTTTGGAAGAGGCCGAACTCATGGACAGCGCACGGAGCATGATGAAGAGCATGGGCGAGAAGCTGGGCGAGCAGAACTGCATACAAACTGAGGCTGAAAAGCTGTTTATCAAGAATTCGAAAAACTGGGAGCTGCAGAACCAGCAAGTTCGGGAGCTTGGTTCAATGGTGAGCGAGTCGCTGACCGAAGGCATGGCACAGACCCAGAAAGCGTTTAGAGAGTTGTGGAGTGTCATCCGCTCAGACCTTCATGGTGTTTCGAAAGAGCTTTCTGGGATGAACAGTTCGTGCGTGATGGAGCTACAAAAAAGAAATGATGACACACGGGGCCAGACAGAAGGCCAGGTGAATGCACTGGAAGCAGAAGTTTGCGAACGTTTCGAGCAAATCGAGAAAAAAGTGGCGGGAGTGTTTTCGCAGTGCATAGACACGATAAAGTCTAGTCGTTCCTTGATTTGCGACCTGGAGCGGCAGCTGGGCTCAAAAGAGAACGAGATCAGGCTACTGGGCGATGAATTACGGGCGTATGTTACAGACTCCATTGCAGATAAACAGCAGAGCAGTGCCCAAGCTGCAGAGGAGCTGGTGAGCGTTTTGCGAGAAGCGGTTGTCACAAGGTACGTGCAGGAAATTGACGATTTGGTAAAAATCGGGCAGCATGCCGTAACAAAGTTGGACAATCTGGAGAAGAAAAATAAAATGCAGCCAGAGGCATTAAAAGCACTGCAGCTGCATTCGGAACAGGAAGAGCGGAATTTACTCCAGGAATCCGAAGCTATAGCCGGCAGTCTCAAGAACCGTCATATTGCCGAATGGAAACAGAATATTGCACGTTTCCGCGGCCAGTTGCTCGCACAGGATGATGAGAGATCCCTGCAGATTCGTGCAGTCTCCTTGAACATCACTGAGAACCTTAAAAAGCTCGAGACGTGCGTTGAGCAGCTGGAAACCAAGTACTCGCGAACTGTGGACCACACATCCCACGAGTTTCTCAAAGTGCAACAGTATTGCGATGTGGCATTGCATAAGCTGGGCAGGTCGTTTGATGTGGCAATGAAGTGTTGTGAGGATCTCCACGACGTTTCCAGGTTGCAGAACACCCAGATAGCCGACACACAGAACTCTTGTGATCAGCTACAGCATCAGATTGTTATCTTGCACCGCCAGGTAGAGACCACGCTTGACAGCTTGGAGAAGATGTGTTTTGGTAGCACGGCCAACACCCGCGAGACGGAACAGGCTGCAATTGTGCCAGCCAAACGTGCTTGGAACGACGACAAGGAAAACCAGGTGGCTATCAAGAAAGAGCGCACGGAACCCCGTGCTCTTGCGTCCAAAACACCGAGTCTGAACCACGGGAGGGTGTAAACACGAGAGCCACCCCATGTTGAACGAAACAGTACACCCGTGCACCATCGAACTTTTAGGCTGTCGCGCCTTTGTCGTTTAGGTCGTATTTTGCAAGATTCCCACGCGCACGACCCTCGCATATTTCTGACTTAAATAGCACAAAAAAGTTATACAAACACGCCCAATGAGTTCGAAGTAAGTATTGGCAGTTGGTGTGTTCTAACAACCAGAGTGTTTACCGATTCGGCAGTGAAGATTGTTGCTCAACCAACATTCTACCAGACGTTTCAGGAGGTGCACAAAGTTGCAGGTCTTAACTATCTGGAACAACTTTGGGCAGCCTACTACACGTATCTTGGTAATGATATCTTTGCCACTGGACTTTTGATTTTCACGTTGCACGAGTTCATGTACTTTGCCCGGTCGCTTCCGTGGTTCATAATAGACCGGACGCCATTTTTCAACAGGTACAAGATCCAGGACACCAAGATGCCTTCTAACAAGGAGCAGTGGGAGTGTATGAAGTCGGTTTTAATTTCGCACTTTATGGTGGAGGCGTTTCCCATCTGGTTTTTCCACCCGATCACGGAGCGTGTTGGAATCAGCTACAACGTGCCATTCCCATCGTTGAAAACGATGTTTTTCCAAGTGTCTATTTTCTTCTTGTTGGAAGATGCTTGGCATTACTGGTTCCACAGAGGACTGCACTACGGGCCATTTTATAAATACATCCACAAGCAGCACCACCGGTACGCCGCTCCGTTCGGACTGGCCGCGGAGTACGCGCACCCGATCGAGGTGATGTTGCTTGGATTCGGCACGGTTGGCATTCCAATTGTTTGGTGTTACTTCACCAGAAACCTGCACTTGTTCACGATCTGCATCTGGATCACGCTCAGACTGTTCCAGGCTGTGGACGCGCACTCCGGGTACGAGTTCCCATGGTCTCTGCACCACTTCCTGCCGATCTGGGCGGGAGCAGAGCACCATGACGAGCACCACCACCACTTCATTGGCAACTACGCCTCGTCGTTCCGCATGTGGGACTTCTTCCTCGACACTGAGGCCGGACTCACTGCCAAGCAGAGCCGCGAGAAGAAAGCCCAGGCCAAGGGCGAGCGTCGGGCCAAGGTCAAGACCTAAGGCGATGACCGGTATTTAAAATGGCAGACGAGGAAGAAAAGAAAGAAATGCTCGGTGAAAAATTAGTGAAAATTAGTGAACAGCGAAAGCGCTTTGTTTTTCAGTAAGTATCCCGTTGATGAACAACACACAGACCTGTACCGAAACCTTTAAGGAGGAAACGTATTGCCTAGACTGAGGGATGCTAACCATAGAAGTAATATAGTGATAATTGATATGAGCGTAGCAGGACCAACACCGTTGGTTTGGTGGTAATTGGACACGTAGAGGTCCGTAGGAAGCACAACAGGCACGTCCTACCCATTTGTATGTCCAATCCACTCACCCACTACATTCAAATACAGAATTTCCTGACTAAATTCAATTATTTATCATTGTGCCATCTGAGATGCGCTTATTTCTTAGCAGTCAGTCTTCTCAAGTAGAAAGCCAACTCCTCACCTTCCAAAATGTAACCATCGCATCTTCCAGATTGACCTGGTCTAGAGGAGATGGCAGCGTAAAGCTTACCAGAACCGAACTGGGCAGAAACAGCAGCCTCGATCTTGGACTCACCAGCACGGGCAGCAAGCTTTCTTTGCAGCTTGTTGCTCTTCTTGGTCTCTTCCTCAGCAGTCTTGGCCTTCTTTCCAAGAGTAATACCGTAGTGTTGCTCAAAGTATTGTTTGAAAGGAGTAGCGTCGATTTGCACAATAGCCGACTTGGTCAATGTGTTGGTTCTCACCAATTCGTTGTTCGATGGGTGGTACACCACACCAGACACTCTGGTCTTTCTGGAGACTCCCTCGGAAGCCCACGAGAAGTTGCCGGTCTCGATTCTCAAAGCTCTGTACTTGACATTTCCACCTCTGGTTCTGACGGAGTGGATTCTTTTGGTGCCGATCTTGGTGTTGGCGCCTTGTCTTCCCAACTCAAACTTTCTCTTCTTTCTGAACTGGGCTCTTTTAGCACCGGTAGCAGCTCTCTTGTGACGAGAATCCCTGGAAATACCCATGTTGGTTAGTGAAAAATAAAAATTTCCGTGAGAATTTTCATATAAACTCTCGCGAGCAGTGCAAAACCCTAACAGGAAGTCACGTGAGCAGGAAGAAAAAAAACCAGTGTAGAAATTATTGAATTATTATTCTGAAAAAACCTTTACATAATCAAATGTCTGAAACCATCACCGTGTACGATCAGATCGAGATCGAGGACTTTGTGTTCGACCCAACACAGCAGATCTTCACGTACCCGTGTCCGTGCGGCGACCGGTTCCAGATCGCCATCGACGACATGCTGGACGGCGAGGACATTGCTGTGTGTCCGTCGTGCTCGCTTATGGTGCGCATCATCTTCGACCAGGAGGACCTGGACGAGTACCGCGAAGGGTGACGCCGTGTGGATTCATCCCAACATCATCGCCGCTATCCCCACCACCGCCACCGCAACCAGCAGGTACGCCCCCCACCCGGGGTGCGACGGCTGTGTGTGCTGCTCGGTCTGTGTTTTCAGCTGCTGCAGTCGCACACGGTCCTCCGGGTCCTGCACGTCCTGAAGGTCGTCGACGTTGTGCGCCACTGGTGTCGCGACCTGCCCGTTTGGCTGTTCCGGAGCCTGGTACGTTTTGTACTCTTGCACCAGATCAGGAAACACATGGGCGAAATTGGCGTCCGCAAGGTTGTACGCTCTAGACTTTAATGCCAATTCCCGCTTAGTTCGCTCCGAAGTCACAACGCTTCCTGTAGTGTGCTCGTCGCCCGTCATAAACGACAGCAGCCCGGTCACGATCGTAGACACGGACCACGACGGGTTCCACGAGTCCTCGTGGAAGTCGCTCATGCTCAAACAGATCCGCGTGTTCACTTGGAACCGGCCCGACGGCGTGATCATCTTGATTGCAGGCGGTCTGAACGGGTACTCGGGAGGGAACACCACCAGACCATGGTACTGCCCATTCTCGTACGGGGTTCCTGGCGGACCGGTGATCACGTAATGCCACTCCAGGATGTTCTCCTCCAACGGCCGGCACAGAATGTACGGCGGCGGGTTTTCCTGGATCTGTTTATATTCTTTTGTCAATCGCTTGTACGCCTGTTTGTAAGCCATCGGGAAAGAACAAATAATTTAATTTAATTTAATTTAATCTGAAAATAATTCCTTGTTCCATGTCACTGCAAAAACCCCCAAACTCGATCAAGATCCTGACGGGCAACTCGCACGTCAAGTTCGCGCAACAGATAGCGGAGTACCTGAACATGACGATCGCAGATATCCATGTGATCGAGTTTTCCAACAGAGAAAGCGCCGTCTTGGTGAAGGAGAGCATCAGAGACGAGGACGTTTACATAATCCAGACGGGGTGTGGCGGACCCGAGAAACTGAACGACTATCTGATGGAACTGTTGTTCTTGGTGCACGCGTGCAAGTCTGCCTCGGCAAGACGCATAACCGCGGTTGTGCCCAACTTCCCTTACGCCAGACAAGATAGGAAAGATAAGAGCAGAGTGGCCATCTCCGCGAAGCTGGTGGCTAATCTGCTCGTCACCGCAGGGTGTCACCACGTCATCACAATGGACTTGCATGCGTCTCAGATTCAAGGATTTTTCAACATTCCTGTCGACAACCTTTACGCCGAGCCTGAGGTGCTGAAATATATAAACTTGAAACTGTCCACGACAGACCTGGTGATCGTGTCACCTGATGCAGGCGGAGCTAAACGTGTTGCTTCGCTAGCGGACAAGCTGGATACTCCGTTTGCCTTGATCCACAAAGAGCGAGCCAAGGCAAACGAGGTGAGCCGCATGGTTCTTGTGGGAGATGTGACAGGTAAAGTGTGTGTTTTGGTGGATGACATGGCCGACACGTGTGGCACATTGTGTAAAGCGTCCGATCTGCTTTTGGAGAAAGGTGCCAAATCGGTGGTTGCCATGGTGACCCACGGAATCTTTAGTGGCCAAGCGATCCCAAGGATCAACCAAGGGTCGTTGGAAAAAATTGTGTGCACAAACTCGATGCCCTTGACTGCCATGGCAGAGGTGTGTCCCAAACTAGAAATTATCGATATTTGTCCGACATTGGCAGAAGCTATCAGGAGACTCCATAATGGAGAGTCTGTGTCATATCTGTTTACCAATGCTGTATGAACAAAGCTCTCTGCAGCCTAAAGCGACCGATACAGGAACATACATACCCGATCCACATTCCATTCCTGGAGAGGACTTTAATTCCGAATCGCCGGTCTTGTCGACTTTTCACGGAACAGCGAACAACACCATGTCACTTTTCCGTCCGTAGCTATTACGTAGTGCATGTTTGTTATGCAGATACGATATTTCTATTACGCCCGTAGAGCAGGGTGTGGTTTGGGGAGTGTACATCTGTGCTTTCGGGAGATCTCCTAATCCGGCATTGTCAACTTTGATCTTGGAAAATCAATCATGGATCAGTATCTATTGCAAACCGGAGGCAGAAAGTGGTAACTGAAAGAGATAGGGGATCTCCTATGATGCATATCAACGCACTATGATACATAGTACAAGTTATGTGTGCATTGTGGTGTATTACTTATATGCACGCCTCAAAGCCGCACCGGCATACCAAAACAGCTGTCAAAACTTCCTCTGCCGTCACGTGCATAAGGCTCTTCCTGCCGTCTAACAAAAGAAAAAAGTCTATGGAAGGAGTGGAAAAAATAAAGGAGTGGTTAGTAAAACAAAAAGCTGACTGGTGGGCAACTTTACTTGCCCGCACGTACATATTTGACATTTAAAAGGCGGGCTTGATTCAAATTCCGATGGAATAAAGCAGAATTATATCGACAGTACGTAGCAAGAAGTCATGCCCCATGTCCGAGTACGGAAATACTCCTCATTTCGGCAAACTGCCGGAATTGGAACCGAAACCTAGAAACACAAATCGTAGGCAGTTACTCACGCCGAAATTCTAATCTCTCACAATAGGTCGTGCATAGGGCCAATCTAATAAGGTTTTCCTTTCAACAACCCCCCCACCTCCTACCGGATTTGTCATGAATAGCTGCAAAAATGATGTCTTGATTGAAAAATTAACATGAATTAGCAATGATGACCAAATGCTGTCCTGTGTGGTGGTTTGAATCCAACTGAAGCCTGAATAAAATTAAAACAAATAGCATAAAAAGGAAGTCAGTCCTCATATTCGTCCAAATCGTCTCCCAGGATGGTCTTCTGCATCCGTAGCCGTTGGTTGAACCGACTGTTCTGGTTTTCATGGACCAGACGCTCGTGTCTCTGAAGCGAATCTTTTCTCCTGAATTTCTTGCCGCATCCTTCTCTCGTACACACATTAAGTTTCTTTCTTCCCGGATCGTCGTTCGAGTCTCCTGCAAGAGAGCTGGACATTGACACCCCGTCCAGCTCCACCCCTCTTTGTACCTTGAGCAGGTTTTCTAAAGTCTCGGAGTGTTGCGAAAGGCAATGACGCATGAGCTCGGGCTTTCTTGGCAGTCCGATGATCCGATAGGGACAGTCCTTCACTGGACACTTGTTGGATCTCACCAACTTGAACTTGTCCAGATGTAAGATAAATTGCTCAACCGTGGAAAACTTTTCCGTACAGTGGCTACATCTGTAGGATCCCCCTTTTTTCTGCACCGATTTGAGCAGTTCCCACAAAGACGGGTCTTTTTGAAGCTGTTCCAAGCTGGAGAGCTTGGACTCGCTTGAGCCATGGTGGATGTTTTTCGGTAACGAGCCTCTATGGTGCATTCTAGGATGCAGCTGTGCGTCCTCGGTCGAAAATGACCGTGACCGTCTTTGTGCGACTCCCAAACGGTCCTCCGGTCCAACGTAAGCCATCGGCCAGCCGAGACTCACGTTGGGGGGCATTTGAAACTGGAACGGATGCTGTGGGTGTTGTTGCGGATCCTCATCCCTTTTGTCGTCCAGTATCAGATCTGTTGTTGTTGTTGTTGTTGCACTGCCCGGCTTCTCACTGTATGATGTGTCAGGCGTGTCTTGATGTCTTAGATAATTAGGCGATTGGTACGAATAATGCGACTGCATTGGCTGGTACTGGTTGTTGAATGCTAAGGGCTGCCCATGATTAATTGGAAACGGAGAGGAGGGAGAGTATTGCAACTGCTGGGGGTAGTTGAAAACATAAGGGACATATGGAGAGGCCTGCGAGGGATCCACATAGTTAGGCTCCTGCGATAGTTGATGGTGATATGTTGGGAAGTTGTGCTGGTCGTAGGGAGCCTGCCAGGTAGGGAAGGCTTTTTCTTCAGACATGAGCATTGTCCGGTGTCGCGAGTTATGTACACGGTGATGGAATGCAATCTAGATCAGTTCTAAAAATCAAAGAACAAATGCAAAAACAAGCTATGCTGACTGGCTTTGGGCAAGCCTAACCTAAGAGTGTAGGTTATATAATAGATGGTTGGTGTGAGAGAAGGGGAAAATATGACTTATAAGTACGAAAACGAGCGGCATCCTAATATACTTTGCATACTTGACTGGATCTGCATCAAATAGATACATGCGAGTTCGACATGCAATACTCCACGCAACGATAGTCTCTCCGCAAGACGGTCCAGCTTATCTGGAAATGCACTCATCGTGAGATCGGTCCGGCCTTTTTACTGCACAGACTGAGACGCAATGTCATGCAGCCGCAAAGCCCTTGCAGATCTTCTAATGTGTAAACCTTTCATGTACGCTTGCCTTACTGCCTCAAACAAAACGTCCATTAACCTCTATTACTTTCTATCGCCTTCTTCTATCCCGCGATCGCGTGGGTTTCTCTATCCTTTGGTTGCGGCTTCACGCCAACATTTAGCTTTCTCCAGATTCTTCTCGCAGCCTATACCAAGCTCGTAAAACCTTTGCAACAGTAGCATCGCTTTCGTTAACCCACAGCCTGCTGCGCGTAAGGCCCATGCAAAAGCCTCATCATAATCGCGTTCAAGATTCTTGCTCCCTACAAAATACCACGAGCACAGCCCCATCATTCCTTCGGGGTCCCCACTGCTGGCAGCCATGTTGTAAAAATGTATCGATAAATCCGCATTAGGCTCCACAATGTCACCCACCTCGTACAGTTTCCCTAGCAACGAAGATGATTTCGCATGGCCCAATGAGGCGGCCTGGAAAAACAATTTTATTGCGTACTTTGTGTCTTGGATCACAATGTCTTTGAAGCCGTTGAAAAAAATCAGCCCGAGTTCGTAAGGTGCACCACAGGAAAACTCCGATGCAACCTCTGTGGCGCGCTTGAGCCAGCTGATGCCCTGTTTCTTGGTGATGGTGTCGTCTGGGAGACCCATGAGCCCCTTGAAGCAGTAGATCCCGTACTCCATCATGGCTACTGGGTGGTTGTTGAGTGCTGCTATTTCCAAAAATTTGACAACCTTCCGCGAGTCTGGAGTACACCCCCACCCCTTTCGATAGCAGACCGCCGTACGGTACGCCCCTTCAGCGTGTCTGGCTTTGCCGGAGGCCTCGAAGAACTCCAACGCCTTCGAGTCATCCGGTTTCCCAAACATCCCCACAGCATAAGAGTCCCCGAGAAAATACTGCGCGTCCACACAACCTCCACGGGAGCTTCGCTTTAGCAAATCGTGTGCATCCGATAGAAACCGTTTGCGCGCCTTCATCTCCAGGCTCCCATTCGGTTTCGTTGCCAGGGCGTTGCGAACTAGTACCTGCGCATAGGAGAACTGCACGTCAGGATCTTTGATCTTTTTTGCGTTGCGTCCGTATAGTTCCAGCACTTTATCTGTGGAAACCAGGGAAACCGAGGTGGGGCCCAACGTCTGCTGGATATACTCGTGCGAGTCTGTTGCGGCGGAGAGGTTTATCACGGGGGACAAGATGTGGTTCTGGCTGAAGGTTTCCAATTTAGGGGTCAGACTCAAGTTGCTGGGTATGGACTTGTCCGAGCAGATTTCCATGTCGTCCGGCTTCTTTGTTCCCAGCGGCGTTCCTGGAATGGAGGGTGTGTTTGGCGTTTTGGCCTCTTGCGAGCTGGCAAACAGTTTGCACAGCTTGGTGTCAGAGGACCCGTTCAGAAGCTTGTACGACTGCGACGTGTGCGAGGTCGGCGGTTCGAGCACTTCTTTGTCGTTCGGCGTAGTGGGGGACTGTGTTTTCGCCTGCGACGGACACCAGTTGCCGAGATCTGTTGAGTGGGAAAATGATTCCAGCGTCTGCTCCGCGATGAAGGATGTGGGGAGATATATCTTTGGGTCTTTGGGCTTTTGGTTGCTGGCAGGCTGGACGTGGGCGGCGGAAAAACTTGGTCCGTGCGTGGACATGGTGATTCGGGCTTTGGTCACATTGGTTGGCTGGTCTGAACTCATTGGAAATAATTAACGCTAGGAAAAAAGGATAATTCGCAAACGGGATCAACTTATTTTGTGGGGCAGAAGTAAGCCTGGTGTTTCGATAAATTCTTTTCTGCCCCCACTGTGGCAAGTGGAAGCAGTGGGGGCAGACAAGAACAAGAGAACAACTTCGAGGTAACCATGGTAACCACCCTTTAGTTAGTTTCCCACACTTGTTTTGAAAAAAGTATCCAATTTAAATATCCCCTCTTTTTAATGGCCAGCGAGAAACCCTCGGCCCGACCAGCATGCCAGCCCAGTAACCCCGGTTGAACCGCTCAGGCGCGGTTTCTGCCCAGACGGAGACCCTGGCAAATATCGCGAGTCTTCTTTGTTCCCCGGTTGCCGCATCCCCAAATCCACAATCTATTTTTGAAAACACCTCGCTCCACAGAAATATCTTTTCGAACAATGTTCAAGAGGTGGAAACCAGAGAAGTCGAAGAAGGACTCGGCGGCCGCGCCAACGCCGCCGCCAGACGCCGATTCGTTCAAAGGCGAGTCCATCCATTTTGAAACCATCCAAACACCCGAGGAACCGATCGATCCCGCTTTAGAATTCGCCGTGCTCAACAATGCGCAGCCCCAGATGCCGTATGGAGACGGGTCCGACAAGGTGTTTGGCATGGAGAACTTTGGCTACACGTGCTACATCGCGTCCATCTTGCAAGCCTTATACTATACGACGCCTTTCCGCCACGAGATCCTGTCTTTTCCAGAGCGAGACCCCTCGCATCCACGAAAACGGAAACTGAGGGTTTCGGGGCACAAGCCCCACGCATACTTGGCGAGCTTGGCGAGCGCGCCTCCGTCCAGCGGCTCGAACGGGTCGACGGCCAACGGTAACGGCGGTGCGGGCGTGTCGCAGAGCTCTAAAGTGCGCAGTTTGTTCAAACAGGGCCAGTCGCAATCCACCCCATCCACGGCCGGAACTGTTGAGCAGGACGGCACTTTTGAGCTGAACAACCCGGAGATAGAGAAAGTGCTTCTGGCCAAGTACCCTGAGTTTGCCAAGCTCAACATCAACTACTCGCTGAACCAGCAGAAAAATATCACCATCGTTGGAGTCATGGATAACCCAGCTGCCACCAGCGAACAGCGCAAAAGACAGGCTCTTTTGCGGGGGCCCGTGATCAACCTGGACCACTCGTACTCGCAGGAGTACGGCATGTCGCAGAGCATCTTCACTGCGCTCAAGGACGTGTTTGAGTGCGTGGCTGAAAACTCCTCTAAAGTGGGGATCGTGTCTCCTCAAAGACTGGTGGAGGTGGTGAAGAAGGAGAACGAGATGTTTCGCAGCTCGATGCATCAGGATGCACACGAGTTTCTGAATTTCTTGATCAACAACGTGATCGAGTCCATCGACCTGTACTGCAAGTCCACGGGGAGGAAATCAAACATCCATCGTCTTTTCGAGGGTCTTCTCACAAGCGAAACCAAGTGTCTTTTCTGCGAAAAGACCTCCACCAGAGACGAGATGTTCCTAGACCTTTCGATAGATCTCCAACAAGACACTTCCATCACCCACTGCTTGAAGATGTTTTCACAAAGCGAAATGCTCACGGGTTCCAATAAGTTTTACTGCGACGACTGCCATTCTTTGCAAGAAGCAGCAAAGACAATTAGACTGAAGAAACTGCCTAAAATACTAGCATTGCATCTCAAACGGTTCAAGTACTCGGAGGAGCTGGGCCGTAACGTGAAGCTGTTCTACAGAGTGGAGTATTCCAAGGTGCTGCGGATCTGCAACACGACCGAGGACTCGGATTACTCCGACATGTTATACGAGCTGTACGCCGTGGTGGTGCACATTGGCGGCGGCCCGTACCACGGCCACTACGTTTCGCTTGTCAAGACGGCCAAGTTTGGCTGGCTGCTATTTGACGACGAAACGGTCGAGTGTATCGACGAGAATTTCGTTTACCGCTTCTTTGGCGACGGTCCAGGACTCGCCACCGCCTATTTATTGTACTACAGACAGATTGAGGATGAGGAGAAGTACACAGAGCAGCTGTTGAAAGAAGGACTTTCCTCTGCTCTGGATGGAGAAATAGACACCAGCGCATTCCAACACGAAGAACCTGTTCTTGTTGCTCCCGAGGCTGACGAGAAATCAGACCCGTTCGAGAAAGAGCCGGTGGAGACTCCGCCAAAGCAGGACAAACAGGAAAAGAAAAAACGGGTATTTGGCTTCAAGCTGGGAAAGAGTTGATCCAGGTGGATTTTGAAGATAAAACTCTCCACGTGATTTTTTGTTCTGTTGCCGAATAATTTCTACTGACAATGAAACGAATGTTTGCGCTGGCGGCGCTGGCGACGATAGTTTCGCGAGCCATGGCCGGCTTCGAGGAAGGCTCCGAGGACGACACAACGTATTTGACTGCGATTGCGGAGAACGTGAACAAGACTCTAATTTTTCATTGGCTGGTGTCGGTGATCATGCTGATTGTTGTTCCCTCGATCGGGTCGGCGTTCGTGCTTGCTGGACGCGTTGCCACGGGCATATTTATCCAGACGATCTGTGCGGTATACGCGGTGATCGAGGCCATGATTTTGCGGTTCCCGGATCCGACCGGCGAGGAGAACATTGCTAGTCGGGGAACGGCGTGGTTTTTGGCGTTTTTCTACTGTCTCACCATCCTTGCCGGCAACCTGGCCACAGGGACCACGCTGATATCCGACAGGATCGGTCTGCTGGGTCCTCGGATCGCCAACGTTGCGTATCGAATTTTATCGGTTTCATTAGTGCTTTGCGGATTTATTAAGTGCGGAATGGCCGTTACGTCAGCGCTGGGATTCTGCTACGGTCTGCACACGGGACAGTGTAACGCGCACGGGATCATGGGCACCGCCTTCGTAGGGTACGGGTTCATCCTGAGCATGGTGCTGGTCGTTCCGTGGCTGCGACACGGCGACGGTCAGAAACACTCGCAGGAGTTTTACGACTCCATCATGATCACCGCGTGGGGAATCGTCAACACATTCACAGAACACCGGCCATGGGAACCATGGTCCCACGGCGACTACCAACATACCAGCATGGGCATCATATTCTGGGCCTGTGGAATGCTGGGGATCTGGCTCTCGCGCAACAACAGACGCAACCCAATGCCTGCGTTGACCTTGATGTTCACCGCGTACGCCATGTCCCAGCACGCACAGCACATGGAGATCTCCACCAAAGTGCACTCGTTTTTCGGCTGGACGTTGATGCTGGGTGGATTTGTGAGAATCTGGGAGATCACCTTCCTATTGGAGGACCAAAGGTGTCATAAAAGCGGAAATATTATCTCTTTCCAGTATCTGCCACCTTTTGCGCTGGTTTTGGCTGGAATTTCGTTCATGGGAGCCAACGAGGAGCAGCTGAAGCTGGTGATGGACATGGGCGCAGACCACTCGTCGTACGTGATGGTTCTTGGCAGCGTTGCCTGCGTGGTGGAGCTCTGGTTCCTTGGAATTCTTGAGCTCTACTTACGGCTTGTTGGCTACACGATCTACGACCAGAACCACTACGACGCGATCCAGACCAACCCGACCACCGACGAGTTCGAGCTGAACGACTTCAGCGACATCGAGTCCAATCGCGCCACTCCCAGCGACCACTAGCCCGCCTCATAGCGTGTCATTACATTTCCCCGGTGTATGGTTGGATCAAAAAGTCTGCCATCCAGAATTACGTGCGCAATCCTTGATAGGCAAAAATAAAAAATAAATGTTAAAAAAAAGCTAGAAATCCCGAGTATGAGTGCTATTTTGTCTGCTGACGATTTGAACGACTTCATCACTCCGGGAGTGGCCTGTGTGAAGCCTGTGGAGTCGGTCAACACTGGTCGCGGCAGCGGGTCGTCAAATACAGGCGGTCCCGTGGAGATCCAGATCGATTCCCAAGGTCACGCCCTCGAGGTTGAGATCGATGGAACCAGTTCCCGGCTCCAGGAAGCACAGATTTCTCTTGCCGACTGTCTAGCCTGTTCCGGATGCATCACGTCTGCAGAGGAGGTTCTTGTTGCGCAGCACTCTCATAAGGAACTGATCAACGCTCTCAAACAAGAACAAGACAAGAAAATATTCGTCATGAGCATCAGTCACCAGTCGCGAGTCTCGTTGGCGTTAGCGCTGAAACTAACTGTCGAGCAAACAGACAAGCTGCTTGTGCACCTGTTCGTGAACAATCTGGGGTTCAAAAACGTGGTTGGTACCGGACTTGGCCGCCTGATTTCCACAGACGTCTTATCGCAGGACATTATACAAAATAAGCAGACTGGCGCAAAAGGCCCGGTCTTGACGTCAATTTGTCCCGGATGGGTTCTTTATGCAGAGAAGACGCATCCGCATATTCTTCCCAGGTTGAGCACTGTCAAGTCGCCCCAACAGATCACTGGTTGCATCCTGAAAAGACTGGTTAGTAAGCAATACGGGTGCGGCTCGGACAAGGTTTACCACTTGTCGATTATGCCGTGTTTTGACAAGAAACTCGAGGCCGCGCGGCCCGAGGACGAACAACCAAACGAAACACCGGACGTGGACTGTGTGATCACTCCACGGGAGCTGATCCAGCTGCTCCAGGACGAGAAAATTAATATCGACCAAATCATTTCGGAGATCGAGCATGAACAGACACCAATCGAGGCTGTCTACGAGCGGTATGCACCGAACGGTTGGCCGGACGCCCAGACCTCTTGGCTCAACAACGAAGGATCGTCGTCGGGCGGATACGCATACCAATACTTATTACATCTGCAAAAGCAGCATACAGGCGCAGAAATCCAGATTTTCAATGGAAGAAACCCTGACATTTACGAGCTGCGTCTAATTAAACGAGGCGAAGTAATGGCGTCTGCAGGAGTAGTGAATGGATTCAAGAACATTCAGAATCTGGTGAGGAAGCTGAAGAATGGTAGCACAAAAGTGGGGGGAGGTCTTGCAGCCAGAAGACGGGCGAGAGCGGGGCAAGATGCGGAGATTGGGGTGGACCAGGGCCCCCAAGTGCACAAGTGTGATCTTGTGGAAGTGATGGCATGTCCTGGCGGCTGTATAAACGGCGGTGGACAAATAAGTGGTCCTACGGAGATAGGAACTAAGGAGTGGCTGAAGGAGTTGACGCACCTGTACACCGGGATGGCGGTTAACGGTTTGGAAAATAATGAGGCGGCAAACTGGCGGCTACAGTTTGAGCAGGAATACGGAATAAGCGATACACGGATGGTTCGGACCCGGTTCAAAGCCGTGGAGAAACCAACAGATACAACATCGATAGCTCTTGGGTCCCGCTGGTGAGCCAACCACTAATACAGGCATATTAAAATTTTTCCGAGTAAAGGAGATACCGCTTGCTGCGCCACATCTCCGACAATCCCCGAGCTGGTTTTTCCCTACAGGAGGACATGCTTCCGGAGTATCTTGTGGCTAAGCAGGCAATTAAAGCTAGAGCCCGGTTGCTTTTCGAATGAAAAAGATATAAAACTGCCTTGTGGCAAATAAATAGTTACTAATCATGTCGTCTCCAATTGAGTTTAAAGAAGACACCGTCATTGTTGTTTTTGGAGCATCTGGTGATTTGGCTAAGAAGAAGACCTTCCCTGCACTGTTTGGGTTATATAGAGAAGGCTTTTTGTCCAAATCTACAAAGATTATTGGGTATGCTCGGACCAAGCTGACCAACGAGGAATTGAGGGAACGGTTGAAGCCTTTCTTCAAGACTCCTACGGAGGAGTCGAAGAAGCTTGTTGACGAGTTTTTGAAGCTTTGTTCGTACATTTCTGGCCAATACGATGCTCCAGACGGTTATCAGGAACTAAACAGTGTGATTGAGAAACATGACGAGTCTCGAGGTGTTAGCGAGTCTCACAGACTATTCTATTTGGCCCTGCCTCCTTCTGTGTTTACTACTGTGGCTGCCAACCTGAAGAAATACGCCCACCCGGGTAAAAAGGGTATTGCCAGAATCATCATCGAGAAGCCATTTGGTCATGATCTCGAGTCGGCCCAGGCTTTGCAGAAGGAACTTGCTCCATTGTGGACCGAGGAAGAACTCTACAGAATCGACCACTATCTTGGAAAGGAGATGGTGAAGAACCTTGTTCCGTTCCGGTTTGCCAATAATTTCCTATCTGCGTGCTGGAACAATAATTTTATCCGGTCGATCCAGATTTCGTTCAAGGAGCCATTTGGCACTGAGGGCCGTGGTGGCTACTTCGACTCGATCGGTATCATCAGAGACGTGATGCAGAACCATCTGTTCCAGGTGTTGACTTTGTTGATGATGGAAAGACCTGTTTCTTTCGACGCCGAGGCTGTCAGAGACGAAAAAGTGCACCTGCTCAAGTCGATCAAGCCGTTCGACAAGAAGAACGTTCTTGTTGGCCAATACACAAAGTCCGAGGACGGCACCAAGCCGGGCTATCTGGACGACGAAACAGTCGACCCAAAAAGTAAATGTGTGACATTTGCTTGTTTGACTTTGGAGGTGGATAACGAAAGATGGCAGGGAGTTCCTGTTATTCTAAGAGCAGGAAAAGCCTTGAACGACGGTAAGGTCGAGATCAGAGTCCAGTTCAGAGAAAACTCGAACGGTATGTTCAAGGACATCAACAGAAACGAGCTGGTGATCCGTGTTCAGCCGGACGAAGCCATGTACATGAAGATGAACACCAAGGTGCCAGGAATCAACACAGGCATTGCGGTCACCGAGCTGGACCTATCTTACAAGAGCAGATACTCTCACTTCTACATCCCGGAGGCTTACGAGTCGCTGATTCGCGACTGCTTGCGTGGAGACCACTCCAACTTTGTGAGAGACGACGAGCTGGACATCAGTTGGGCCCTGTTCACCCCGCTGCTTAATTACCTCGAAGGCCCAGACGCGCCTACTCCTGAGCCATATGCGTACGGCTCCAGAGGTCCGGCCGGCCTCAGAGAGTACCTCACCAAGAACGGATACGTTTACCAGGACCGCTCCATCTACCAGTGGCCGGTCACCACTCCTGACGTTTTGGAGTCAAAATCCAAGCTTACGTAACGTAGTTATTGACCCGTATTTCCGAAATGACAGTACCTAATCTGACGATAGAAGCCGTTTTAAAGTGCCGTGCGAGGATAAATGTTTTAGTCTCCTCAAGTTTATTTTGTAATGTCTGAAATTTCCACCAGTGCCCTTGACCAATGGACCCAGTCGTTTGAGAACGACCCGATTTCGAAGCTTGCCGGATCCGTTCTCCAGCACGGCAACGTTGACGAGCTGTTGATCAACAGATCACGCGAGATTGCCGATTCCCATGTGTTCAACACCAAGCTGGAGCAGGAAGGTGCTCCGGTGACTGCCCAGAAGGCTTCTGGACGGTGCTGGCTGTTTGCCTCTACCAACTTGCTGCGTTTGAAGCTGATGAGCAAGTACAATTTGAAGGAGGTTCAGTTATCTCCAACTTATTTGTTCTTCTACGATAAGCTGGAGAAGGCCAATTATTTCTTGGACCAGATTTGCCAGACGTACAAGGAGGACGTGAACTCGCAATTGGTCCAGTTCTTCCTGACAGACCCGATCTGTGACGGTGGTCAGTTTGCCATGATGACCAACATCGTGGACAAGTACGGGCTTGTGCCGAACAGCTTGTATCCGGAGTCGCACAGCTCGTCCAGCTCGCACGTCCTGAACAGATTGTTGCTGACGAAGCTGCGTGAGTACGCGCAGGTTTTGCGTGAGAAGCTGGCGGCCGGCGAGTCTGTGGAGGAGGACAAAAAGAAGATGGTGGCAGAGATTTACAGACTGCAGTCCATTTTCCTCGGACTTCCTCCTTCGCCAGATGCCGAGTTCACCTGGGAGTTCTACGACAAGGACGGCAAGTTCCAGAGCGTGACTTCGACTCCTAAGAAGTTTGTGAAGGAGGTTGTTGAGTTCGACACTCCGGAGTACATTTCTCTGTTGAACGACCCTAGAAACGAGTACAATCGTGTGATCAAGATCGACAGACTTGGAAACGTTGTGGGCCGCGAGCCTGTTTCGTACTTGAACGTGGAGATCGACAGACTGGCCGATGCCGTCGTCACCCGGATCAAGAACAACAAGGCCGTGTTTTTTGGTACCGACACGCCAAAGTTCATGGACAGTAGCCGTGGAGTGATGGACATTGATCTCTGGGACTACAAGTTGATTGGATACGACCACCGTGCTGTTGATAAGGCTTCTCGTGTGATCTACCACGAGTCGTTGATGACCCACGCCATGTTGATCACGGCTGTTCATCTGGACGAAAACGGAAAACCTGTTCGTTACAGAGTGGAGAACAGTTGGTCCAAGACCAAGGGTAATGAAGGATACTACGTGATGACCCACGACTACTTCAAAGAGTACGTGTACCAGATTGTTTGTGAGAAAAGCGAAGTTCAAGATCTGGTTCATTTACTAGACACGGATCCAATTGTTTTACCACCATACGATCCAATGGGGGCTTTAGCTAAAATGTGAAAAAAAATATAAGACCGGTATCTAGTTAAAAAAAAAAATAGAAGAAAACTGGGAAAAAATCGTTGTGCTGTTTTTATAAATGTCCTTATCGATTCCGCAGCGAGATTACCGCCAGAATCACTATTTTATGCTGGAGGTGGACCGCGGGGACGTTGGGTTGGTGCTGGAACAGTTCCCGCACGTCCGGTACGAGCATCCTTCACGCGCCTTGGACAAGTATCAGGTGTTTTCTATCAGCAAGAGTGTGCCACTGGAGGAGGTTGATTTGACAATTGACCGGCTCCAACACCTTCATGACACTGGCGTTCGTCTTTCCAAACGCGACACAGCCTCGCAAGACCCGTTACATCGCCGCCTCGCACAAGTAGGCGTCAAGGCGGTGCACTTATTACCTCCTAAAAAACTGGCTCGGCGAGCCCCCGTGCCCGTCACGGACTCGTCGCAGGAAATAGTCGAGCAAGCGCAGAAGGAGTTCAAGATCAACGACCCCATCTTTTCTGACCAATGGCATCTGATTAACGCCAATTTCCCAGGCCACGACGTGAACGTGCTGCCTGTTTGGAGACGAAACATCACCGGATCGGGAGTGGTCACAGCGTTGGTGGACGACGGCCTGGACTTTGAGAGCGAGGACCTGGCCGCAAACTTCTGTGCGGAAGGTTCCTACGACTTCAACGACAACGACCCGCTACCCAGACCACGGCTCAAGGACGACTACCACGGGACCAGGTGTGCGGCAGAGATTGCTGCAGTGAAAAGTAACGGGGTGTGTGGTGTTGGTGTTGCCTACAACTCAAAAGTCGCAGGAATACGAATTCTCTCTGCAGAGATCAACTCTGACGACGAGGCCGTCGCCATGGTGCACGGACTCGACGTCAACGACATTTATTCCTGCTCGTGGGGGCCGCCAGACGACGGTAAGGCCATGGACGCACCGGACAAAGTCATAAAAGAGGCCATGTTGAAAGGCATCCAAGACGGCCGCAAAAATAAAGGCGCGTTGTACGTCTTTGCCAGTGGAAACGGCGCTTTCCACGGAGACAGCTGCAATTTCGACGGCTACACAAACAGTATTTATTCCATCACGGTGACCTCGATCGACCACAAGGGCCTCCATCCACCATATGCAGAGTCATGCACGGCCGTGCTGGTCTCGACATATTCGTCCGGGTCCGGTGAACACATGCATACCTCAGATATCAACGGCAAGTGCACCGCCAATCACGGAGGAACTTCTGCTGCTGCCCCACTGGCTGCCGGGGTGTACGCTCTTGTTCTGGAAGCGAACCCAGACCTCACCTGGCGTGACGTGCAGGCGTTGTCTGTGCATGCGGCCGTGGAGGTGGAGTCCAACGACCCCAGCTGGCAGAACTCGTATCTGGAAGGCAGACGGTACTCCCCCGTTTATGGGTGGGGGAAAGTGGATGCAGAGAAGTTTGTGGACGCGGCACAAAACTGGACGTTGCTGAAGCCGCAATCGTGGTATTTCGGCCCTGTGCAGACGGTCGACCTCGCGCTAGAGACAGTCGACACCGTGAAAAGCACAAGAGAGGTCACCAAGCAGGACCTCGAGGCGGCCAACCTGCACCACATCGAGCACGTGACCGTGACGGTGAACATCGTGGCCACGCGCCGAGGCGACGTGTGTGTGACGCTGGTGTCGCCGAACGGGATCCGGTCCGAGCTGTCGCAGGGACGGCGTCTGGACAACGACCAGCGCGGGTTCAAGAACTGGACGTTTTCGTCTGTGGCGCATTGGGGCGAGCCTGGCGACGGAACATGGACGTTGGAGGTGAAGAACGCGAAGGAGCGCAACAGTCTCAAGGTTCAGGACTGGAGTCTGCATTTCTTTGGCGAGTGTATTGATCCGGCCAAGGCCAAGCGGTTCAGTCTGGACGAGGACTACACTGTCAAGCCACAAACGTCAGAGGAGGACAAAATAGATACCCCGGAGACGACGCAGATCGCTCCCGCAACCAGCAGCACGGTGGCGGAGGTTGTCTCCAGCACGACGAGCACGATAGAGTCGGCCACCCCTACGGTCGACGACGGTAGCAAGGAGGACGACGGAGTCTACGAGCAAACAGACTCGCACTACGAGGAGTACTTTCTGTTCTTCCTTGCGCTGGGTTTCATTATCTGCATCTGGATGCTCAAGACGCGCAAACAGCCGGGCCGCGCTCGTCGCAGGGACGAGTACGAGTTCGACATCATCCAGCCCGAGGACGACTACGACTCCGAGTACGCCTCGTCGCACCGCCACAACTCGTCCTCGTCGATCGACCCGATGGCGACGAAAGCACGCAGCTCGCTGGACGCGTCCAAGTTCAAGCAGACCGCCAAGTCCGACCAGGACTACCTGGCCCGCGAGGACCAGGAGCGCGAGCGGCTGTTCAACACGTTCAACGGCGTCGACGAAACCGACCCGGACGGCGACGAGATGTACCGCATCACCTCGCACGACTCGGCATAAGTATGACAAGATTCAATGTATCACGTGTAACTTTACTTAGAGCTCTCGAACCGCCGTTTGAGCGACGAGATGAATTCCAGGAACCGCGCCGGGTTGCTGTCGATGCCGCGTGTGTACACAAACTCCGACGCCAGTCGCGTGGCAAAGATGGCTCTCAGGTACGCTTTTGGCACGCGCTGGAGGATGTTGTCGATGCCGATCTCCGACAGCAGCAGGCGGGGCAGGGCGTCCACGAGCACGTCGTTGCGGAACTTCACGTCGTCGTCCCACAGCTCCTTGGACGACGCCAGCTCGTCGGCCAGCTTGTTGATGGCCACCGACAACTCGTCGCTCAGCACCGACAGCGGCTTGCTGGTCTGCTCCCGCAGACTCCAGAGCAGCTCGAACTCGTTCTGCGCGTTGCGCACCACGATCTGCTGCACCTCCTTGACGTACTGCTTGTAGAACTCGGGCACCTGGTGCGTGGCTTCGTCCACACACATGTGTTTCAGGAACCCGGCATCGTCGAACGACAGCGCGGCCAGCACCTCCAGCGAACTCGAGGTGACACCGCCCTTGTTGGTGGACGCGTCCTTGAACACGATCGCGCCGGCCTTCTCGAGAATCAGCTTGGCCGGCTGCGTGATGAACAGGTTGGCACCTTCCACGATGAACGGAACAATGCTCTTTCCTGTTTTCTCGTCAATGAAGCTGCTCACGTTGTTGGCGTCCAGGGAGTTTGGACGGCCACCGCACGGAACAAACAGTTTGATGAAGTTGGGCGGGAAGTTCTTCTTCAGCTCCAAATGGAAGTTGTTTCTGAAGGTCAGCCCGCTTGCAATCACCCGTCCGTCAGGAAGCTTCACGTCAACATCGTCCACCAGAATCAAATACCCTTTAGGACCGAGCTTGGATCTATCAAAGAACTGGTTGCCCTGGCGCTCGTTGGCCAGTCTGAGCAGCTCCTTCTTGTCGAGCCCGTCCTCGTCAACAACAACACCGTAGCCGTCAACTATGGCAATGTACTTCTCGTCTCTGGACAGCTTGATCTCGTTCGAGCCCAGATCGCCGTCTCCGCCAGCCATCTGGAGCTTGGTGATTTCTGCCAGGTTCGTGATCCCCAGCTTCTCGTAGATCTTCTCCGTGTACGCACGCACACTCAAAGTGGTCATACCGTACTCGTCGTGCGGAATACCGCCCAAAGTTGGCGACTTTCCGGTGAAAAAGGCCTTCCACGGGAACCCAAGCACAGCTCCTCTTTTTCTAGCGTGCAAGGTGGCCCAGTCAACGTAACCGGCGGTGTTCTCGTCCGGACCCATGTACAACATCTCTGGCTTGTTGTACAGATCAACAATCGTCTCCTTACGAGGGTCCTTGATCAACAGGTCCAGCAACGAGTCGATGTACTTGGTGAAACACTCTTTTGGTCTATCCTGAGCAGCTCCCAGATTGAGCAAGATGACTCCTTTGGACCCTCCTTCGGGAATATCCTTGTTTTTGCGCTGCTGGGTGCTTGCGAGATTGTAGTTCTCGTCAAACAGTGTTTTCAGGTTCGTGAAGTAGTTGTCTGCGGACCGCGACTTGACGATCCGGATCCCGCCTCGTGCAACGTCTCTGAACCGGATATGGAACCCTCTAAAGTCGGAGCCAACCACAAAGAACATACCAAACGGAGTCTGGGGATACTCTGTTTTGGGCAGGAACGAAGGATCCAGCCGGAACGACAGAGCGATCTTGGACGACACAAAGAAGTTGGTCTTGAGCACGCTCTTGTTGAACGAGTACAATGCACGCAACACGAGCAACTGGCCCTCGTTCGAGGTCGATCTGGCCAGAGCTTTCTCAAAGTCCTCGTCGCTTGCAATCGGGTTCACCTCAGCAACACGCTGGTACGATAAGGTCGACTCCAGCGAGTTCGAGATGTAATGGTGGTCCACAAAGTGTCTGTACAGTTGGCTGATCAACGGGCCGTTACTCTCGAACGACTCGGCAATGTACGATTGGGTGTACGTTTCGGAGGTGAGCCGTTTTTTGATCTTGCTCACGATCTCGGTGTGGTGCGGAGCGCCAGAGTGCGACAACAGCTCCCGCAACGAGTTGAACTCAGGACCAAGCCGGTTGAGGAAATGAGTCACAAAGATCACTCCGCAATGCGCGTAGATCGACTCCTGGATAGACATCTCTCCACTGGCAAACTTGTGGTAGAACATGTTGTTTGGGATACAGTACAACAACGAGGCCTCCTTGGTCATCTGGTAGATGGTTGTTTCTGGACTCAGTCCGTCGGAGTAGTCGATGTACATGGAGATGATGGAACTGCCGTTGGCAAAGTTTTCCACGTACTTGCGACTGAGTTTGACGTTGTAGTATCTTGCCAGCGTGCTCAGCGCGGAGTTGTACCGCGGAGAACTGTTTCTGCGGTACCCGATGATGATCCGCTGTTCGCCAGTGGCGGCCACCGTGAAGTGTTTGATCACGGGACCTTCAGTGGTGCTGAGCTCGTTCAAAACCTCCGAATACAGCAGCTTTGTGTGGTGGGTTGCTGTTTTCAAAAACGTTTTGTCTCCAATATCCTCAATCGACGCGCCAGTGCTTCTGCCAGAGGAAAACTGGCACTTGTAAACAAACTGACAGCGTACAACGTCGCCGGTGGGCAATCTGGAATTGAACGACTCCATCCGATACGGATCCTGGTCCGGAGCCCGATCAAGGTACTTGTCGTCGATCTCGTGCTCGAACTCGTCGTAGTCGGCCGCGTCGAAGTACACGGCATGATCTTCTGTTTCTCTGCGGTGGTGCAAAAAAGGTCTATCAGTAAGCCCCCTTGCAAAGGCATCCACTTTTGCAGAATAAAGGGCCAAAATGTGGGAAACTATCACCGAGACAGACTCCGACGCAAAGTAGGTGTCGTCGATCCCGAGCGACTCGTAAAAGTAGCGTGTTTCCGAGTCGATCAAGGTTTCGGGAATGAACCCAGTAGAGTCCAATTCGTCCATGACTTGGACCATTTGCGCTTCTTTACCAGGAAACGAGGCGGACTTGTATCCGGAGCCCTGGAGGTCCTCCTTGTCCACGTTCTGGAACGAGGTGGCGCTAAAGTTGTTATGGATGGTCAGACCAGCCAATTTGGTTTCCAATGTCATTTGGGCAGAGTAATTGCTTTCAAGTGGGGGAGGAATGCCGTTTTATACGCCATAAAATGGGTCACATGCTCCCCTGGCGGGAATAAAAAAAAGCCAATCGAAAAAACCTCTCTTTTCGGGATTATGGGGCTCTCGCATGCGCAACTTACTCAAAAAGATTTTTTTCAAGGGATTGTCACCCAAAAATTCCTGTTAAAATCGTTAATTAAGCTTTTATTACTTTATCGTAGCCCTGTAAAACGAACCCCCGGGTCCAGAATACCCAGATCCTGAGGGCTCACCTTCATGGTCTTGCTGATGCTCATGGTCTGGTTCGAGGTCGAGATAGGCAGCTGGTAGCTCAACACGCCTCGCAGAATAAGGTCAAACGGGTTTCTGGAAATATTGAGCCACTTCTCAGACGGCTCCAATATCGTCATCTCGTCTGTTTCCTCAAAAGAACAAGGATTTAGCACCTTGATTTCCGTCACACTCACATCCTTTTGCCGGGTGAAGAAGCCGCCTTGAAACCGCAGCGGAACGTCCAATCCGGTTACTGTTCCCAGTAACACGGTGCTGGCAACTGGCGGCTTTTTCTTGGGTTTATCCACGTCTTCCGACCCCAGCACGAATTCGGACCGAGCAAACACGTCAATATTGGCGTCCTGCACAACAATGTCCAGGAACCCCGGGTTGAAGCTCTCGACGCCCAAATTAAACACCAGCTCTTCTTGCGAGATGATCAGGTCGGAAATGGAATATGTGGTGTGTTGTAGCTCCTTGGTGGTGGCAAGAATGAACCCGCTGATGAACCCAACGCTCAGCAGCACAAAGATCAGCCCCACCGTGTAGCAGAAACTCTTGATCTGTCGTATGCGCACCTCGCGTGCTCCGGTAAAATCGTGCGGCGAAAAATACAGGTTGTTTGGTTTCCGTTTCAACTTGTTAGTGGCCACCTTGCCGTTGCGCGACTCCAACACGGGCTGCTGGAAATACAGGCCGCTTGGATAATTGTTGTAGTAGCCGTCAGAGTTGATGCTGCCGTAGTTGTATGCATGATCACTTAAAGACATTTCTTCCCCGGAGTCTGAATACAGATCTCCCTCGTTGAGTTGCTGGTCCCTGTAGTTCTCCTCTGGATCATTGTCAAAGTTCATTCCCGAGTATCTTCGTGGATTAACACCCTTCGAATCGAAAACTCGAGACGTGATCTGCCGCAGCTTGTTTTTATCCGTGCCGTGTGGCAGAGCTGTGGCTTCGACATGGATATCCTGGCTATTTGTGGAGTTGAAATTATTCTGCAAAACCCCGGCTTCTGACATATTGCTCACAATCTCGCTCGCAACGTCGTCTGGTCTGGTCGATTGCACCGTCCCCGTACTCGATTGCTTTTCTCGAGCATCGTCGATCGCAGGCTGTTGCAACGTCAATGTCTCCTCGTTCGCGGTCTCTGTCTCCGCCGTCGGCCGCTCGTTCGCAGAAGTATCATACACAAACGTCTCATCGGAATCAGAGCTATTTTTGTCGTCAACCTTAATGGCATCGTGCAACTTTGCCGCAAAAAATTCCGCTCGTGAAGACGCCTTGCTTTGCACCGTGGTGGTGGAGGAAACTGTGTTTGTATTTCGTAAATTCATCAGACTGGAACTTGGTCCTGCTTTTTTCGCTCTCACCGCCTCCTCAGAAACAGGCCCCTCTATAACCGACCTTTTCGACTTGAGGTGGGTCAAAAACGAGTCTGACCCCCCGCCCACGTTTGTGGGACTTGTGTTCTTATTCACGTCCGAGGAACTCATCTGGCGTGTGATCGTCACCGGCCCGTTCGTTGTGGAGTTCCCAGACCCTATCGTGGGCTGGTTGGATATCCCTGTCTGGTTAGTGGGCACATTGTTCCCCGTGTTGGTGCCGGTCGAGTTGGGCATAATATGAACAAAATTTGGGGTCTCTGCCTGCTCCTGAACAACAGATACCACTGCAGGCTGCAGATTCTTGTTCTTGGGGTCGTTTTTCGGCGCTATGCTTTTGCTCTCTGTTGAAACGCTACGTGTGTCAGAACCCCCAGAACTGATTCGTGGCGTTCCGGAAGTCGCACTTTTCGCCGACAACTCTTGTTCTCTAGAGGATGACATGTACTTGGCGTTATCACGATGGTTGGTTTCCAGATGACTCTAGTTCTAACACATCCAGTTTGCTTTTCCCGGCTAAAAGATATCTGCACGTAATTGCTCAAAATTCGTGCTTACGTAACACGACCGAGCCCAGTAGGGGATATTTTTTTCTAGTGCTGGTGGGATCAGGGGTAATCAATGATGTGGGTGGGGGGTGAGAACACAATCACACGGATCACGTCAGATAGAACTTTAAGGCTGAACGCACACGGGTGGGTCGGAGTGTCCGGATTATGCAGAGGTTATGTGCTGTTCAGAACCTACATTTCCGAAACACGCCTGAAACATGCCTGTGTCAGGGTCACCCCACACGCGCGGGAGGTATCGGGGGGTGAAACTGGTGTGACACCAGGGGTCTGGACACTGGTCCATGCAGAAATGTCATGATCATTCGTGGTGGCTCTATAGAGCTCCAGAAATTTCCGGTGGTTCCCAGAAATTTCCATGGCGGGACGGCTGGGCAAGTGTGGGCGTGTGGCGCTGCGGCTCAATTTGCAAGGTATAAATTGACCTGGTGTCTACCAGGATGAAGACCAGAATTCAAGAGAGTTAAACATGTCTTACTACAACGATCCATTCTACAGCTTTTTCGAGAACATCAACCAAGAAGTTGCGCAGATGAACAATCTGTTCAATGACCCATTCTTCAGAACTCCTCTAGCTCCGGTGGCTTCGGGCAACAAACGGTTGGAGGGCAAGTCCAAGGACGGCAAGGAGGTTGCACAGCGCGGCGGCGGCTCTGACGTTGCCAGATCTTCGTCGTGGCTGAGCGACTCGTTTGCTCCGCCAATTGACGTCCATGAGACCGACAAAGCCTACGAGGTTGCGGTGGCTATTCCGGGAGCACCAAAGGAAAACGTCACCATTGACTATAACAAAAAGACCAACGAGCTGATTGTCAAGGGAGAGATTCCTGCCAGAACCACCGAGTCGGACAAATCGTACTCGGAAAGAACTGTCGGCAAGTTCTCACGTGTTTTGAAGCTGCCTGTGCAAGTTGACGGCGAGAAAATTGGAGCCAAGTTTGAAAACGGGCTTTTGAATCTTAATGTTCCAAAACTCGCCGATGGAGAAGATTTACACAGAATTGAGATCTCCAGCACGGAAACCTATGGAAACGTGAACGAGGAAAAAAAGTAAACCTCGTAATTACAAAGTTATGAAATTTTAAGTAGGTTATGAAAATCAATTTATACTTTTTTGCCGTTTTATTTATTTTTTATTATCTTTGCCCATGTCAACTCGTAAAAAGACCATCCTCAAAGTGATTATTCTGGGAGACTCCGGTGTCGGAAAAACGTCTCTGATGCAACAGTTCATCAACGGCAAGTTCTCACAGCAATATAAAGCCACCATTGGGGCAGACTTCCTTCCTAAGGACCTTGTTATTGACGACAAACAGGTCACTATGCAAATTTGGGATACCGCTGGTCAAGAACGGTTCCAGTCTTTGGGCGTGGCGTTCTACCGGGGGTCGGACTGCTGTGTGCTTGTGTACGACGTGACAAACACGAAATCGTTTGAGAACTTGCAAAGTTGGAGAGACGAGTTTCTCATCCAGGCCAATATTAAAGATCCAGATAACTTCCCATTTGTGGTGATTGGCAACAAAATTGACGTGGAGGAGAACAAGCGGCTTGTTTCGTCGAAAAAAGCACAAACGGTGTGTGCCAGCTTGGGCAATTTGCCGTATTTTGAAACCAGCGCAAAGGAGGCGGTGAACGTGGAGCAGGCTTTTGACGTTGTGGCCAGAAATGCGCTCCAGCAAGAAGAAAGCCTGGAATTCAGCGACGATTACACCGACGCCGTGAATATCCACGTCGATGGCGATGCTTACGGGTCTTGTGGCTGCTAAGAGCGCTCGCAGCACGACTCATCAGTTAGAATGTACTTACATAAGCAATTGCTGCCGGCAAAAATTTTCTTGTCTTTTTCCTATATAATGCCTTCGCCTTCTGAAAGACCCAAGGGCGTCAATTTGAACATCACGCTTGTTTGCCCGGAATGCAAGGTGTATCCTCCCGAGATTGTTGAGCGACACAGTGAGGGAGACATCGTTTGTGCTCTGTGCGGGCTTGTGTTGAGTTCGCGGGTCATTGACACTCGTTCCGAGTGGAGAACGTTTGCGAACGACGATCAGAACGGTGACGACCCTTCGCGTGTGGGAGAGGCCACGAACGGCGTGCTGGAGTCGGACCAGCTGTCGACGGTGATCAGCGCGGGAGTTGACGGCAATCGGGCTGCCAGAGAGTTGAATAGAATCCAGAACAGAAGTGTTGTTGATAGAAAGGACTATGCTTTGCAGGCGGCGTATTCGCGGATCTCGTTGTTGTGCGATGGTTATCAATTGCCGCGTGTGGTTCAGGACGGTGCCAAGGAGGTGTACAAGCTGGTTCATGACGATAAGTTGCTGAGAGGTAAGAGTCAAGAGGCCATTATGGCTGCGTCGATCTTCTTTGGATGTCGCAAAGCCAACGTTCCAAGAACATACAACGAGATCTGGGCGTTGACCAATGTGCCCAAGAAAGACATCGGCAAGGTTTCGAAGGTGATCAAGCAAATTATCCAGAGAAAAGACGCAGAACAGGGCGGACTTATTACACACCGCAACAATAACATATCTACAACACAGACCAACCCTGAAGACCTGGTGGGAAGATTCTGCTCGCACTTGGGACTTAGTCCGCAGATCACTACTTCCGCACAACACATCGCACGCACATTAAAGGAAACAGGTGTTTTGGAAGGACGGTCGCCAACCACCATCGCAGCCACAGTGATTTATTTTGCAACCACCATCTTAAAACAGCCAGTTCCGCTCTCACGGATCAGCGAAAAAACAGGCGTCTCAGAGGGAACCATCAAGTCGTCGTATGTGTATTTGCACGGAGCCAAGGAGAAGCTTGTTGATCAATCGTGGATCGATTCCGGAAAGGTCGATCTATCAATGTTGAACTAAATCAGGCATAGTCTTTCTATAGGGGCTATTTACATATATACATTAATCCTTTCTTCCCTTCTTGGCGTAGTCTTCGATCAGTTTCTTTTGCAACTGAGGAGGGCATGGCTGGTATTCCTTGAACTCCATGGTGAACTCACCTTTACCTTGGGTCAAGGCACGCAATTGCGAGGCAATACCAAACAGGTTATTCAACGAACATAAACTGGTTATGGTGAACTCCTCGGCCGAGTTTTCTGTATCCTGAATAACTCCGCCCAACTTGTTGATCAAACCAATAACCGCACCTTGGAACTCGGTTGGCGACGTCATCACAACGTTCATGATTGGTTCCAACACAACGGGCTGGGCACTCATAAACGCCTGTTTGAACGCGAACTGCGTGGCAGTCTTGAAAGACAGCTCCGAAGAGTCCACCACGTGAGTTTGACCATCGTCAATCAGCATGTGCACTCCCAAAACACGCGAGCCCGTCAATGGACCCTTCTGGATGCTCTCGTCGAATCCCTTTTGACAGGCCAACAGATACTTCTCTGGGATCTTACCTCCAACAATCTTGGTTTGGAAGTTATTGATGAACCGGATATCGTCCTCGGCAGTGGCTCCCACGTACTCCGGATCGCACATGGTGGTGGACTTGAACTCTCCCATCACCTTGGCGTACTGACCGGCACCTCCAGATTGCTTCTTGTGGGTGTACTCGAACGGAGTCGAGCCCAAAACGGTTTCTCTGTACGAAACGCGTGGCCGGCCCACTGTGCAGTCCACGTTGTACTCACGGCGCATTCTCTCGACGTAGATCTCCAAATGGAGCTCGCCCATTCCGCTGATGATGGTCTCCTTGGAGTCCTTGTCGTAGTGGACTCTGAAAGTAGGGTCTTCTTTTTGGAACCGGTTCACAGCTTTCGAGAAATTCACCGCGTCGGTGGTCTTAGGTGTGACCGACAACGAAACAACAGCATCAGGAACGTACATCGACGACATGGAGTAGTTGACCTGGCCGTCGGTGAAGGTATCTCCAGAAGAGCAGTCGATACCGAACGTTGCGCAGATTTCTCCAGCTCCGGCCTCGTCCACGTCCTCCATGTCGTTCGAGTGCATTCTCACGAGCCGGGCAACCTTGACCTTCTTGCCCGACTTGACGTGGGTGATCATCATGCCTTTCTTCAAACGGCCCTGGTAAACACGCAGGTACGTGAGCTGGCCGTACTTTCCTTCCTCGAGCTTGAACGCCAGCACCACGGCCGGTTGGTTGGCAGCAGCCACCAGGTTCACAGGTTTCTCGCCGTTCGAAACGTCCAGGGCAGTGTTGAGCACCTCAGACGGCTCGGGCAAGTAGTCCACCACCGCGTCCAGCACAGGCTGCACACCCTTGTTGGCCAACGCAGAACCCATCAAAACAGGCGTGAACTTTCTGGCAATGGTCGACCGGCGGATGGCGTCCTTGATCAGCTGTGCGCTCGGCTCCTCCTCGTTCAAGAACACTTCAGCCAACTCGTCGTCCACGTCTGCCAGCATCTCGATCAAAACAGCTCTTTTCTCTTCAACAAGTTCTTTCAGGTCCGCAGGCACCTCTTGCTCGACTCTGAGCTTCTCACCCTGACTGCCCTCGAAATAGACGCTCTGACGGTCGATGATGTTCACCACACCGCTCAGATCCTTCTCGGCTCCAATAGGCACCTGAATAGCAGCAGCAGCCATCTTGAGCTTCGAGTTGATCTGCTCCACACACCGCCACGGATTAGCGCCCATTCTATCCATCTTGTTAATGAAAGTGACTCTTGGAACGTTGTATCTCTTCATCTGTCTATCCACAGTGACTGTCTGCGATTGCACACCGGAAACAGCACAAACCACCAAAACAGCTCCGTCCAAAACCCGCAGCGCTCTCTCGACCTCGATCGTGAAATCAATATGGCCCGGGGTGTCGATCAGGTTGAAATGGTAGTGCTCGTTGTCCTTGTCCCAGGAACAGTAGGTTGCAGCCGACTGGATGGTGATACCTTTCTCTCTTTCGAGATCCATATGGTCCATCTTGGCTCCAACACCGTCTTTTCCACGAACGTCGTGGATCGCCTTGATCCGTCCCGTGTAGAACAGCACACGCTCGGTGAACGTGGTCTTGCCCGAGTCGATATGGGCGGAAATACCAATGTTCCGCATCTTGGCCAACCGGCTCACGTCAGACTCGGTCAGCTGGCTGGACAGCCCGTCCAGCACCGCCTTCTCCTCCTCGTAGCCGCGGCGGGCAACTGTGCGGTGGAACTTGCGCGCCTGTGCGCCAAACGCCCGCGGCGCGCCCATCAGTCTCGCGAACTTAAACATGTCGTGTAGCGAAAGGTTGAAAAATCGTCAACTCGGATACTTTTTTGAAATTTTTCGCTGGAGCGAGGTGGGGGTCACGTGAACCGGCTACTTCCTACTGTAGTGCTAGCAATTGGTACATTTCGTACTTAGAACAAGGAGAACGCCCACAGACCGAGCAGCATGCCAAGGGCGCCGGGAACCTCTGCACGGCCGGCCAGGCCCTTCGACGAGGACGACGTGGTGGTGGCCGTGGCCGTGGAGGTGGCCGTGGAACTGGTAGCACTCGTGGTGGCACTGCTCGAGCCGCTGTTCTGCGCAGCCGACGACGCAGCATCCGCCGAGGACACAGACGCGTACCACGAAGATGTGTCGACCGTGATCTCGCTCGAGTAGTAGTCGTTGTCTGTGGCATTGAAGCAGTAGTGCGAGTACTCTGTGACGTCGAAAACGCTCTTCTCCACAAACTGGATGTCTGCGCACGCATAGTGCGTCACGTTGGCCTCGTCTTCCAAAGCCATGTACTCCAGCTGGATGGTGGCGTAGTCGCCCTCGTTGATGGTGGAAGGAGGGTCTGGCAGGTAGAAACACGTGTGGCCGATATCGATCTGGTTAGTCACGTTACGAGACGCCCAGGTGTCGAAGTCATCGTTGGAGGTCGGGTTGCTGTTGTAGGAGATCTTCAGGTCGACAGACCATGCTTTGTGGGTCTTTGCAACCAGAGCAACGAAACCGTCGTCGAGCGGGAACTCAGATCTGTTGGAAATGGAGGCATAAGATCCGCATGGAGCCACCGTCTCTGCCTCCTCGGACCATTCTCTATCTGTTGGATACAACATGGCGATCTCGCCCATGGAATTGGCCTCTGCAGAGCCGTGTTCCAAGGCCAATGCCTCGGCAAAAGCCACAGGGTTGGCGGCCCCGAGCGCAACTTTGCAAACCAGTGTCAGTGCGAGTGCAAATCTCATGTTTAGCGGGATTCGTATGCACTATCGCCGAATTTTATACCATGTTCGAATTTATCGGTCTCGCTTAAAAAAAAAAACTGGGCACCGGTTGCATAAACAGATTTGTGCATCTGTCTCCATTCAGGTCAACGTGTAGACATACACCAATATGCCGTATAGGTAATGGAAAAAGCTGAAAATGAGCGTATTAAGCACCAAGCCACAAATATTTAACAATGTCGTGAACGTTTCTCCGCCGTTGGAATTCCAATTAGTTTCGGGTAAGCTAGATGACGTATCTGGGAATCCGGCCGACGCAGTCAACGTGTTGGTACTGCTTATTCCAGTAAGCTCGATTTCCCCGTTGGTAATGTTCCAAAAGATTCGGTTGATGGCCTGTTGAACCAAAAAGTCAATCAGATAGTACACCAGGTAGTGAACCAGACAGTACACGATGATCAGTCCGAATGCGAACCGGCTCTTTCCCAGCAGGTCCTGATTGCGGAAATCCTGATACTCGTCTTTCTGTTCCTCCAGGCCTGAGTAGTCGGTATCGTGCTCGGGTTTGGCAGTCGTGTCGAAATGGATCGTGCTGCTCGAATGCATAACGTAATCCGGCACGACTATGTCCCGCTCGTTGGGATCGGGGCCGCGGTTAGCCCTGGATCGGGATGAGCCTCCACATACCAGATACAGCAGCCAGTACAACACCAGGTGCAAAAATAGCACAGACACAAACGACACGCCGATCAATGCGAAGTTGACGATCTTGAGCTGCACAAGAACCAGCAGATCCTTGACACAGTTTTGGATCTTGTTGTAGTTTTCGATTTTCCTGTCAATGACCGACAAATCGACTTCTTCTGTTGGAGACGAAAATAGCGGGATATTTGTCCCGTTGAACCCAAACAGAAACAGATAGTTGGTGATCAGGCGCAGGTTGGACTGGTTATTGGTGGTTGCAAGATGGCGGAGCTTGTAAAATTGCAACAGGGCGTGGTACGAAGTTTTGAACTCGATTTCCTCAAATTTCGAGTCGTTTAAATATGTGTTGGCAAGATACGTCTTCTCGCTGCGGATGAGGCCCTGAACACGACATTTGAACTTGGTGAAGCTGTATTCGCAGTTTAGGGCAATTGAGCCGTTTTCAATAAACGTGGGACCAACATAGACCAGATCCAGTTTCGGGAAAGGAGAGTCCATATAGAACTCATTCACGGGAGATTCGATGTCCTTGGCCAGTTTCAATGGAGTGACAGACTGTTGTTCCAGATCAGAGTATTCTTTCAAGAAGTGATAAGTTTCCATATCCACTTTGAATTCGGTGAGTCTGAACTTGTTGCTGAAAAGATACAATTCCTGTAGATAGTCGGTGTAAATCAACAGCGAAGCAAAGAAACTGAACAGAATGGTGAGCAAAACCCGCTTGAACACAAAATGGTTGCCAATCATTGTGAATGTTGGAATGCAATGTTTTTTCTTTCATAGCGCCTGTAACGATAAAAATAATTAATCAATTATTGAAAACCGTCAGTCCAGCTGAAGAGACACCAACCACTCCCTTTTTGGCGCCTAACTGTCCCAAACAGATCCACTCAAGGTCTTTGTCCACCACGCAAGAGTTGGACGCAATTCGGAAAATTTCAGGGTACCATTGGTAATAAGAGATTCTTTTTTCACCTTTGTCGTTGCTGAGAATGAACACCTGCGATGGATTATCGAGCGAGCACCCCAGCTGCGAGTCTGGCGAGCTCAACTCAGGGAATTCTCGTCGATCTGTAACGAAATCTTTGAACCAGATTGAATATAGCGACGCTTTGTCTTTCAAGACCACATACTCCTGGGTCATCATGACGCTCTCGAAGGTGGCGACGTTGAGCATCTTCATACTGGTCAACTTGTTGCTTAATTGTTGCTTTGTGTTCCGCAAAATGAGCGATTTGCTGGAAAGAATGGCCAAATCGTAGCCGTCAAGATTGATGAATTTGGCCTTGAGAAACTTGTCTTCCAGATTATGGTCGATGCTGGAAACAAGCTCGAAACACTCGTCCTGGACGTCCAGCTTGAGGATCTCCACTTTGGAGTCGAAAATCGCCGCCAATCGGTTGCCGACAAAGTCGAAACTCTTGACTTTATCGTCCCATTCGTACGTGGCCAACGGCAGACTGATCTCCGGCCCGTCGAGCTTGTATGCAAGTACCTGTTTATCTCCCAACACTGTTAACACACCCGAACTGTACGCGATCTCGTTGACCTTCGTAGGACCAACAAGTACCGTATGCTTGAGACGCGGCGACGAGTCCAGATCGGTCCAGACTTTGATCACCTTGTGGTCCGGAACGTAGCCAAAGAACAATCCGTCCACCAAAATTCCCACGGAAACAGGCTCCTTGTCAATTACTGTGTCTGACGGCTTAGATGTGCTTGCAAAAAGATTCTTTTCGTTGATCTCCGTGCTTTTAGGGTTAGCCTGCAACGAAATGGCCATGTCCAGATAATCTGCGCTGGACGGTGAGCTAACCTTCTCTGACGGAGTGTCCAGATGCGACTCTGGATGGATGTACAATTCGTGCGACCCGTCCTTTGTGATGTTCAAGTTGTCAGACAACTCAACAGAGGGGCTCTTTAGAAGATACAGGATCTCGTTTGTGGCCGTTTTCAAAAATTGCTTGGCCTTCACCAGCTTGGTCACGTCAACACTCGATATGCTTAGCAATTGGTCCACCTCGGACTCGTCAACAGACTTCCCCTTTCCGTTTGAATAGCCCGGCCCAGAACTCTCCAAAGCCTCAACGCGGGCCTTGAGCTTGTCATTCTCCAGTCGCAACGTGTTGCGCTCGCTCTCAAGCTCCACGATCCGCAGTTTCAACGCCGACTTCTCCAGATCGTTCATCATTCTATTGCGCTCCACCAGTGTGAACTGCGATTGCAAATACTGCATTATTCCAGGCAAAGTGTAGTGCGACCCGGCTGATCCGCCCGGGCCGAGCTCGTTCGCATCGTTGTCTGCGCCACCGTTTGGTCGCAGCCCTCCAAATTGACCCTGTTCCATCAATTTAGTTATGCTATATTATATGTTTTGCCCATATATACAAGAATTTTCGAAACCTAATCGTCTGGCCTCTGCTGACGTCAGCATGCGAAAATCGCGGCCGCCTGTTGGAACATCGGTGTGTTGGCCTCGAGAGCGAACAGTGGGTGGTGATGGTTGGGCCATTGCAGTCTGTTGAACAGCTCGGCGGTTTTGTCGTACTCGTCAATCGACAGTTTGTCGGGCACAAAGTCCGAGTAGCCGTAAGAGTGTGCTTTTTCCGCAATCTTTGACAGCTCCTGTGTGGTTAGGAACGTTTTATTGAACGAGGTCTTGGCGTCCAGACAAAACCGGCGTGTCAACATCGACCAGTTTTCACTGTTTGGGCGGTTGAGCATTTCCAAAGCGAGAATCTGGTACACCTTGTGCACTTTTCTGCCAAGGAAGAAGTTCTGGAACGCGTTGATCATGGCCACGGCGTTGTAGAACTGGTTGTTTTTCGCGAAATACGCCACGAAATGGACGAGCACGGCGGGCGGCAGCTCGTCGAGGCCTTCTTCGAGCGATTCGTAAGCAAACTCCCACGCTTTGTCGGGGTTATTTTCCATCAGCAAAATGTTCACCAATTCTGCAACCACTTTAGGGTTTGACCTAAACGCCGGTTTTTTTGACCGCAATTCCTCAACGAGCGTCTCAAATGAGCTTTTTTCCACCTCGTAACGGTACCGCAGCACGGCAGGCAAGATCGGGTCCAGCGAACACCGGTTCTCCACCAAGTATTCATACACCGGCTTTCTTTGACGGTCCAGACACTCAAACAGGATGTAGCAGGTACTCAAATTCAGCCGTTGGTTGTAGATCTCCATCTGTTTCAGATACATGGTGATCACGGTGTATTTTTTGCGGTGGCTGGCGGTTCTCATGGGCCCCAAGATGTAATTAAACGAGTCTGTTGTAGGGTAGATTTTGCGCTCGTTGAGCAGAGCCATGGTTTTCTTGATGCTGCCGTAGTCATGCGCAATGGAATAGTACTGCAGAATCGGGTTGTACTTGCTGATCTCGCGCAACAGCCCGGACTGGACTATCTTATCAAAAGCCGTGGAAATGAACTCGGGGTAGTCTTCGAACTTTCTGGTTTTCACGCGGTTTAATTCGCTTATGTACTCGTCGAGCGAGTCTGCGGTGAGCTGTTCGGGCACCTCGGGCAGCTCTCGAAGATCTTTTTCGGCGTTTAGCTGCTCCCAAGCAGTGGTATCTCTGCTCAGCTGTTCAGGAACCAGTCTTCTGAACTGGCGAACAACATGGACCTCTGAATTCGAGCCCAGGTCCGACTCCGAGTAGAAGTTGGTGCTCTTGCTGGACTTGCGCAGCTTGTGGCGCAGGTCTGCGAGCCGGTTGTGTCGCACGACCGAACTGCTAAACAGCCGTGAAATATTCATGGTGAAAAAAAATTATCTGAAAAACGCGTCTAATGACAAGCACGATCCGGGTGGTTCTAGTGCCTTCTGGCGCGGGGCCCGAGTTTGTCTCGCTTCCGCCGTACAAGTCGACCCAGTTGCTGGTCAACAGTGGGGCCGTTTACGAGCTCAACAGGACCAATTTCAAAGACCCGCATAATCAGGCCCAGAAACTCACAAAGACCCAGCAGCCGCTGAAAACGGTGTATCTGGCCGCAACCGACGCCCGAAAAGCCAGCATCCTAATTGGAAACAGCTGCGACATCTGGGTCGCCACCAAATTCAACCCGGTGTATCTTCTGCTGGACTTCTTCACCGACGCTCTTAAACACGACCGTGTTCGAATGGTCAGCTACCAGGACCTGCTGGAACAGTTTGAGACGACGCCGGTTCTTGCACAGTTGCTTGAGCACAACGTGTCGCTGGAATCGGCGCTGCTCAAGATCTGCGAGTCTGTTGACGAGAACGACGAGAGGTTTTACAGACCGTCGATCGACCGCATCCTCGAGTTTCTGCGCCAAAGAACCACAAAGCTAGCGTCCAACTTGCCGGCCTCAATCATCAACTCCACGAAGAAAAAGCTGTCCCTTCCAGGCTTCGAGCCCCCCGTCGAGGTGCTCGCCGTGAAATATACCCAATTGGCCATCGGGCTGCTGGAATCGGCAGTCGAGCCCGTTTACCTGGAAAAATTACGAAATTCATACTCGTCCAAACCGTTGGACGATTACATGGTACAATACGCACAGAAAGAAAAGATGAACGCCGTCGCCCAGGAAAACATCAGCCTGCTTCACGGAATGAGCTCGTCATCGTCGTCCAAAAAACGCAAGGTAGAGAAAAAAGAGGTGAGAAAAGAAGTCAAGCGCGTGGCCGTTGGAAAAGGTGCTCTTGACAGCTTCTTCAAGAAAAAGCCGTAGATAATTAACTGTTTCGTTAGTCCGTCATATGTACACTGTTTTCAAGCATTTTCCTTCTGTGGAGTCTGGGCCGGCTCGGAAACCACCTTTTGGGCCAGCTCTTTGTCGTTGAGTTGGTTGTAGATGTTCATTCCACTGGCAATCAGCTTGGGCAGGTTGTCCAGACTGGCAGGTAAGATCACCGTGTTGGTTTCCTTGGCCAGCTTACCGAACGCATCCACGTACTTCTCGGCAATGTTGAGAGAAACAGCCTCCTTGCCGTGCGGATTGTTGGCAATGGCGTCCGCAATGAGCTGAATCGACTCTGCAGTGGCCTTGGCCTTGAGCAGAATGGCGTCGCTTTCTCCCTTGGCCCAGTTGATCTTCTTGCTTTTCTCGGCCTCGGACTTGAGGATCTCTGTTTGTTTGTGGGCCTCACTGATGTTGATCTCACTGACCTTGAGTCCCTCAGATTCAAGAATGTTTGCTCTCTTTTGTCTCTCTTTCTCCACCACCTGGTTCATGGAGTTGATAACGTTGGCCGGCGGACGGATATCTCTGATTTCGTATCTCAGCACCTCGATACCCCACGCCTGTGCCGCCTCGTTGATGGAGGTGGTGATGTTGACGTTGAGAGTTGTTCTTTCTCTGAGCACCAGGTCCAGGGCCATCTGTCCGATCTCGGACCGCATAGTTGTCTGTGCCAGCTGAACAATGGCATACTGGGCGTCCTCGACCCCGTACGACGCCTTGTACGCGTCCACCACCCGGTAGTACAGAACACCGTCCATTTCCAGCGTCACATTGTCGGCCGTGATTGTGTTTTGCGATGGCACCTCAATTGCCACCTCCTTGAGCGACTGGACGTACTGGATCTTGTCGACAAACGGCAACAGAACAGCCAGACCTGGTTTCAAGATCTTGTTGAATTTTCCCATTCTCTCGACAATCCACGCCGTCTGTTGCGGAACAAACCTAATCACCGTGTTGGAAGGCAACCTCGACCTGTTGAAGAAGTTCAAGTTCCCGGTGGAATAGCTGTTTGCCAGCGCCAACGGTCTGGCGGAAAGAGCAGATCTGATTGGTCTGACAGATCTGACAGACCGCGCTTGTTTAATTAGCAAACTCATCTTTAAACAAAAGGAATACTTCCAAGAAATTCCAACAAGGAAATAAAATTAAATTATTTTTTTTCTTATGGTGAGAGACTACGACATCTCCAACAACGAAAGGCAGTTTGTTCTGCAGGCGCTGGAACAGAACGTGCGGCTTGACGGCCGCAAGCTGCTGGAGATGCGCGACGTGGATATCTTTGTGTCGCCAGATGAATATGGGTACGTGGAGATAAGTCTGGGCAAGACAAAGGTGGCCTGCCGGGTGACGGCCGAGATCGCCAAGCCGTACGAGGACCGGCCGTTTGACGGGATTTTTCAGATCAGCACCGAGATCTCGCCTATATGTTCGCCGTTTTTCGAGAGCGGACTCACTTCTGGCGGGAAACAGTCGAACGACGAGGTGCTCATCTCGAGATTGATAGAAAAAGCTGTTCGTCGGTCTGGAGCACTTGATTTGGAAAGCTTGTGCATCATTGCCGGATCCAAGTGCTGGTCGATCCGCGCAGACTTACATTTCCTCAACTACGACGGAAATTTCATAGATATCTCGTCGATCGCCGTGATGGTGGCACTTTTGCATTTCCGCAAGCCAGACATGGAAATCGACGGCAACAACGTCATTCTGTTCGACCAGGACCAGAGAAACCCGGTGCCGCTTTCGATTCTGCACATCCCGCTCTGTTTCACTTTCCAATTCTACAACCCCAACGACGACGAGGAAAACATCAAAGGTAACCTCAACAACGAACTAATTCTCCTGGACGCCAGCCTCATCGAGGAACGGCTCAGTCTGGGCTCCATGACGCTCACAATCAACAAGAATAAAGAACTCTGCCAGCTCGTCAAGAGCGGAGGCCTCAACATCGACGCCAGTCTCATCATGAACTGTTGTCAGCACGCAAGCAACCTAGTGGACGATCTAACCAAGAAAATCAACTCTGTCTTGAAACACGACGCTCATTTGCGTGAAAACCCGCTGGAAAAGGAATTACAAGTCGTCAATCAACGAGACACATAAATTCAAATATTAAATACTTACTCCTGTCTTCTCTCCCATTCTATCTCAGCAGGCTCTTCCGGAAGAGTCACCATCGAAGAATAATCCACCTTAGGCAATTTGCTGGTCCATTTGAAAGTCTGGATATATGTCACCAACAAGGTTCCCAACTGTGTGTATGCAAACTGTTCACCAATACATCTGTGTCTGCCACCTCCAAAAGGCAGGTATGGAGACGACACACCCTTGGTAATCTTACCAAATCCGTAATCAACAGTGTCGTTGTCAGCTCCTCCAACAGCGGACTTGGAAACGTCCCATCTGTGAGGCTCGAACGTGTCTGCGTTCGGGAAGTACTTGTCGTTGGTCATGGCAAATCCTGGCGAAACTAAAACGTAGTGGCCCTTAGGAACAATCATCTTGGAGTCTGGAACTTGCAATGGGTTCATCACTTTTCTGAAGATCGAGTGCAATGGCATGTGCATTCTCAAAGTCTCCTTGATGGTGTTGTTCACCAAAGTAAGCTGTTGCAGGTCTTCGTAAGTGACCTCCTTTCTGTCGCCAAGCACAGACTTGATCTCCTCGTACAGTTCGTTCTGCAAATCTGGTCTCTCTCCCAAGTGCAAAAGGAACCAAGCAGAAGTGGAGGCCGAAGTATGCTGGCCACCCATCAAAACACCAATCAACAAATTGGCGATCTCCTTGTCGGTCATCGAGGTTCCGTCCTTGTACGTAGAGTTTTTCATTAATGCATCGATCAAGTCTCTGTCTTGAATGTCGTTTTCCTCTTTTCTTCTGGTGATGAGTCTCATGTACGTGTCGGAGATGACGTTGTGGGCGTTATCTCTGCGCTTGTACGACGGAAGGGGCAGGTTTGGGAAAACAAAGTTAATAGGAGTGAATCCCTTGTCGAGATCGGAGTACAGCTTGGCGTATCCGTTGTCCAACATCATTCTCATCTCTTTACCAAGCAATGTTCTTGAGGCAGTAAAGATGGTGATTTCTGGCTGCGACTGCAGAACATTGACCTTTCCCTTGTCTCCAGCAAAATGAGCCTCGGTGTTAAAATACGACAACACCTCTTCTCTGATTAAAGGGACATACTTGATGAAAGAGTCTTTTGTCAATGCGACTTTGGCAAACTTCTTTTGTTCCATTAGTTTCCAGTTAGGACAGTCGTAGATCACACCTTTACCAAAAACAGGAGTAGTCAGATGGGTGTAGGCCTCTTCTGCGGAAACATCGTTCAATTTTGCGTTCAAGATAAACTCGTGGCCCTTCGGTCCAAGATAAACAGTCATCACTTTTCCCAGCAACAGGAAAGCAAAACAGTCACCGTACTTCTTCTGGCATTGTGCAAAGAACTCGTAAGGTTGCATACCGTACGGAATAGCCGAACCCAACCACGGAATCCAGTAATGAACAAGAGGAACCCTTTCGGATTTCAAAGAGTATAGTAATTGCCAAGTGAGGGAATACACAAACGGAAGAGCAATTAAGATCCCGATTTTCTGCACCAAGCTAAGCGCCCAGAGCTCGGCCAAAAAAGGCGTCAGCGATCTGTACAGCTCGTCAATCAGTCCTGTTGGTTCAGACATTCTGGGAAACAAAAGTTGACGAAATGTTACACCTAAGAAAAAAAATGGTGTGTTTTAAACGAGATACACGATCGGCGCGTCGATCGACTGCACCCGGGTGGGCCAATAAGGCCCGACGCGATGTCATCAAACCACGTCTGGTGGGGTGATCCAACAAACACAAAACCAGTCCGGTGGCTTACACATGTGTCTGGTTCGTGGACGCGCTACAAGTCTCTTGAATTCATGCATTGTTCTTCTTTCGATCTATGTACATTAAACCACAGGAATCTCGCTTTCCTCACACTTCTCGGCCTTCGTCAACTCCACCAGCTCTTTCATTATGTCGTCGGAGTGCTTGTCCTTGCACTCGATCTTGCTCTCGCGTCCGTCCGCATACACAACCTTGAGCACGCTTGGACATTTCTGCTGCTCCTCCTTTGTGGGACATTCAACACGGGTCACCTCAATGTTAAGCTCCGGGTTGTGGAAACTGATGGTACGCAGGTTCCATTTCCAGAACTTCCGTGCGCCCATGTGTCCGTCAGAGTTGTGGTTTTTGAACACCAGGTGCAGTTTCGACACCTCGGGGAGTTTGTAAGCGGAATCTTTGTAGTTGGCAATGAGGTTGAGGTTCTGGGTCTGTCTTGCAAACCGGGACGCCGGAAAGTTCTTCAGAAACAGCGCGCGGGACGCCTTTGGAAGCTGCTTGGCTCTCGTCATCAACACTATTTGGCTGAAATTTTTTCAGCTCGAAAATACATCCTTACACTTGTTAGGTAACGTGCTATATACAGTCTGTAGAACAGCCGGTCTGGGCTCGGGATCAGACCACTCTTGGGGCCAGTGACACCACCTTGCCGAAGTTCTTGCGTCTGAGTTCTCTGGCAACCACGCCGTTGACTCTGGTTCCGATCGGCTCGTCTTTCTGGTTGATGAGCACACAGGCGTTGTCGTCGAATCTGATCACGCTTCCGTCCGATCTGAGCGTTGGCGACTTGGTCCTCACAATCACGGCACGACAGATATCGCCTCTCTTGACTCTGTTGCTGGCGCTTGCTCCCGTCAAGTGCTGGTTAAGAGACTTTGCGTTCTGCACAACAACCACGACTTTGTCTCCGATATTGGCATGGTTGGTGGGTTTTTTTCCCAGAACCTTGATACATTCGACAAGCTCGGCGCCGGAGTTGTCCACCACACGCAGCATGGACTTTAGAAAGATCATTGTGTCGGGGTTTTATATATCGTTAAAAAGATACTTTTCATGAATTTTTCAGCTTGGTTTCCGGGTGGACCTGGCACCACCATCTGCATCCGTACACCACCAAACTTGTCCCCGTCCTCTATTTTCCAGACGCGTAACTCTTGAACGGCAAATATTTCGCACCGCAAATGGAATCAATCAGAGTCGACGCCAGCAACATCGCCCAGTTCACCAACAAGACCGTCCGTGTGATTGGCAAACTGGTGGACAAGTCGTCCAACCAGGGCACGGCCGTTGTTCAAGCCAACGGGTCTGTGGAGCTGAGATTCAAGAACCAACAGACCCTGCTCGAGTCGATGCTGCTCAACAACTGGTACGAAACCATTGGAATTGTCGACGCCGACAACACTGTCAAGGTGATCCAGATCATCGACTTTGGCAGCCAAATCAGCGAGGCTGCGGTGACAAAACTCGTGGAGCTGAGCCACAAGGTGCCCGAGATCTTCTACACCACGGTTAACTAACTTGTTTACGCTTCAATATATCGCTATTTGTATTCACTGTCCACTAATCGTCCCACCGTCTCTTCTTGAGCTTTCTGTGGGCGTTGTCGAGGGTTGCGCTTTGCAACCGTTGACTTGGCTCGTACCAACTGACTTCACTTGGGAAAGGCGCAGGAGTGGCGTAGTTCACCAAGGAGCTCATGGTGTAGGACCATCCAGGGGTTTTTGTAGAGTACACGCTCGGAGTACCCGCGATAGTGGTGAAGTAGGTGACCGCAGAGGTAGGGAATCTTCTGGACCATGAGGTGGCGGTGATTGTGCTACCTGGTTGTAACTGCATCGGAGCGTATCTTGTTTTTCCAGTTTGCAAAGTGTACGGCACGGTGAACGATTTGGAGTCGACCGACTCACTAACTCCCGCAGTCTGTGCGGCAGGAGGGTCTCCAGAACCCGAGGCTGCCAATGAACCGGTCATTCCCTTCAACTGGAAACGAGGAGTATAGTGGATGGTGTAACTGGACGAGCCGAAACTGGCGTAAATTTGAATATAGTACGAGCCACTAGCTCCAACGTCAGCATCAACAGTGACTTTGTATTTGTTGTCTGTCAGGTCGGAAAGCGAAATGGATTCCGCCAGAGTGCTTCTGGCAGTGATGTCTGTGTTTGGACCGGTCACCAAAGTGATTGTGAACGAAAGCGCGGTGCTGATATCAGGCGAGGTACCGTCATCGTCAAAGCCAACCTCGAAACTAACCGAGGATCCGCTCACCGTGTAAACATCGCCATCGCTGGGTGCGGTAGGGTTCACGTCTGCCAAAACAGAAACCCAAAGTAATACGAGCGAAAGCAACCAGTACGTTGTTCTCATGGACGTGGAACGGTCTTCTATTTTTAACAGAAAGTCTTGAACCTTTTTTTTTCGCATTCTTGTTTTCTAAGCATTGTTTACATCCGTACACCAGTTACATCTCGAAAAGCAACGAGGAAAACAATCGGGGTTGATCGACAGTGCCTAAGCGGCCTGGTGCAGCTGCTGGATGAACGCGCCCACCTGGTCGCCCTTTCTCATGAGTGCCTCGCCGATGAGGAACCCGTAGATACCGTGTTTCTTGTACTCCGACACGTCTTCTGGCTTGGAAATTCCGCTCAGAGCCAGTAGAATAATTTTTGTGCCTGATTTTGGCAGCAGATCGTTCATTTGCGTTGTTGTCGACAAATCCACGTTGAAATCGTGCAGGTTTCTGTTGTTAACGCCGATCACGCGCGCGCCCACCTGGATTGCCTGCTTGAGCTCGTCCGCGTTGTTGATCTCCACCAGTGGCTCCATTCCCAGCCCACGCGAGTATGCAACAAGTTGGTCCAGCAATTCGTATGGAAGCATCTTGACGATCAGCAGAACCGTGTCTGCTCCCGCCAGACGGGCCTCCAGGATCTGGTATTTGTTGAAAATAAATTCTTTCCGTAAAACACACGGTCTGTTGTCGATAGAGTCAATAGCCTGTCTTGCAACCTCGAGATCAGCTATGCTACCTTTGAACCAGGTTGGTTCGGTCAGAACAGAAATGGCAGCAACTCCAGCCTCCGCGTATCTCTTTGCTTGCACGGCAGCGTTTGCAGTGCCATCGATCAGTCCTTTCGACGGAGACGCTCTCTTGATCTCGCTCAAAATGGCTATTTGGGAACCGGCAATGTTCTTCTCCAATCTGTCGTAGAAATTGACCAGCTTTGGAGCTAATCCCAGAGAAAGATACGTCTCCAGGTCCTGGAACGTTCTTCCCGGCTTGGTCACCTCGATCTCGTAGTCTTGTTTCCGTTGAGCATAAATCTGGTCCAAAATACTCTCTTTCTTTGCAATCGGACCGTTGTCCTCCCAACAGCCGCCAGAAACGTTGAGCATGTTTCTGATCATCAAATGGCCTTGTTCGGTCAAAATACTCTCTGGATGGAACTGGACCCCCTCAATAGTGTACTTTCGGTGTCTAACACCCATAATGATTCCATTTTCAGTGCGGGCGGTGACTTCCAGTGTATCTGGCAACGATTTCAAGGTTCCAGCCAACGAGTGGTATCTTGTCACAGAAACGTCCTGGGGAACGTTTTTGAATAGTCCCTTATTGTCGTGCTTGACGGTAGAGGTCTTTCCATGAACAATTTCTCCAGCATACTCAACGTCTCCGCCGAACTCCTCAAAAATACACTGTTGGCCCATACAAACGCCAAAAACAGGTATTTTACCCTTGAAGTGTCCAATCACGTTTCTGGAAATCCCCGAATCGGTCTTCGGATGGCCAGGACCTGGGGATATCAAAATGATGTCGGGATTCAGCTTCTCAATACCCTCAATAGTGATCTGGTCGTTTCTGTAAACTTCCACCTTGGCACCTTCCTGACAAAGGTATTCGTACAAGTTCCAAGTGAACGAGTCGTAGTTGTCGATCATGACAACATTTTTAGTGGTGGAAGGCATTTGCACAAAATGACTATTATTTTCAAGATTTTTTTTCCTTAGCAGTTTAATTTAAAAAGCTACTATTAAGATATTTTTCAGTAATACTTCATCACTCATAAAGCTATTCATTTCAAATAGAAGTAAAGAAAACCAGAAAAAGAACTTTTAACCTTAATGCTTTGAGAATAAAAAACATGTTTGTCGTCCATTTGGTCCAAATCGCTTAGAATCTGGCCAATCCGGTCTCCTCGTAAGTTCCCAATCTGAAGTTTGGAATAGTCATGTCCAAGTCTGAACCAGAGTATCCAAGATCCTCGGCAACCAAAGTGGCAGCCTTCTCACCAATGGTCAGAGCAGTCGAGTAGGTGTTGCAACCAACGTTATCTGGGCAAACAGACAAGTCTGCAACCTTCAAGCCCTCGACTCCGTGAACATTGAGTCTTGCATCCAAGACACCTCCCTTTGGAGCCAGCTTGTTGCCCTCTCTTGGAGCAATCGAGCAGGTTCCCAAGCAGTGCCAGGTGGTCTCGGTGTGCTCCTTGATGTAGTTGACAATGGCTTCGTCATCCTCGGCAGTGTACTCGATATCGGAGAAGAGCTCCACTTGGTTCGAGGTCACGTGCAACTCGTTCTTTGGAAGGGCCTTCTCGATAGGAACGGTCCAGGATCCGTGGTACAAGTTGGCGCTGAGGTGGTTAGGACCAGCAAAGGCCTTGCAGGTCTCCAAGTCCAAGTCCTTGGCTCTGGCTGGAGAGTCCACCTTGTACTGAGGGTGGTGAGAAGTGACTTCTCCTGCAAAGCTCTCCATTCTTCTGGCAGTCTCTCTGGACTTCTTGTAAGCCCAGACCATTGGCCACAGGTCTCTCTCGTCGTTGAGGAAACCGGTGTCGAAATCTGGACTGTCGTAAGGGTTTGGAGAGGTGATTCTGATGAATCCTCTGGAGAATGGGTATTCCAAGAAGTGGAACATGGTCATGAACTTTCCGTTAGGGATCTTGGTGTGGTCACCGAAGAATCCAGAAATCACAGAGTAATGCATCAATGGTTTGTCTGGCTTGTTGGCGAAGTAGTCGGCGTAACCTTGTCTGAAGTCTTCGTCGGCAGTAGCCAGTTCCTCCTCGGTTGGTCTGATCTTGACACCGGCTTCGATACCGTTGGTGGTCAAAGGACCATCCTTGTTGGAGTACCATTGGTCGAATGCGTTCTTCTGGGCAGTTGGGTCGCCTCTGACGAAGTCGTCAAACGTTGGAACATCTGGCTTCACGTAGTAAGGAGTGAAGAAACAGTAGTGGTCCTGGAAGTTCTCACCGACACCAGGCAAGTCGACAATTGGCTTAACACCAACAGACCGCAAGTGGTGAGCAGCACCAATACCGGATCTTTGCAGAACCAATGGAGAAGAGCAGGTACCGCAAGAAACAACAATCTGCTTTCTTGCTCTGAAAGTTCTGGAAACAGGCTTCTTTGGGTTCAGAGGCTTCATTGGAACAGTGCGCACAGCAACAGCCTTTCCGTCCTCGATGATGACCTTGTCGGCCTTGGTCGAGGTGATCAAGAAGAGGTTGTCCTTGTTTCTCATGGTTGGGTGCACATAAGCGTGCGCAGAGTCGGATCTTCTACCCAAGTCTCTGTTGATCCACTTGAGCCAGTGCTCAGCACCGTGCGAGGTCTTGAGGTCCTCCAAGTCGTCAACGACAGGAATTCCTTGCGATTCAGCAGCTCTCAGGAAGTCTTGGCAGTGTGGGTATGTGTAGTTACCGAACGAGACCTTGATAGGACCGTCGAATCCGTGAACGTCTTTGTTGTTGCAAGGACGTTGGTAAGTTTCGAGTTTCTTCATCAATGGCAGCAACTCGTCGGTGGTCCATCCCTCGGCCTCCCAGTCGTCGTAGTCCGAAGCAGAGGCTCTGGTGTACATCAAAAAGTTGATCGAGGAGCCACCACCAAGAATGTTGGCGCATGGAACAATAGCTCTTCTACCGTTCAAAGCCTTGGAAGGTCTGGCAGTGTAGAAAGTAGCAGTCTTGGAGTCAAGTCTCATGTTTCTTGGGTAAACTCCTGGAAGATACACCCATGGGTTGTTGATGTTGTTCTCACCACCCTCGATAAGAGCAACAGTAAGATTTGGATCAAGATTTCCCAATCTACCGGCAATACAGGAGCCGGAGGATCCACCACCAACAACAATAATATCGAATTCGTCTGGAATAGCCATTTTGATTTAAGATGATAAGTATCTAAATTAGATGCAAGCTGACTGTTTATTCCTTGTCATGATGGCCTGTATTTATACAAATCACAAGTGGAGATGAACTTCACCCTCCTTCACCCACTTTCTGGACTCCAGTAGGGTAAAAACCGGGGAAAATACAATCTGTATGGGGATTTAGATTAAGCACTGCACTTACCCGCGATATCTTGCGGGGGGCTGTCATAAGTAACGTTGGCAGATGACCATTGGTGGCCACCAATACCTAAAACATCCATAATGGGTGATTTCCCGCTAAGAAAGCTTTGATAGCCTATTAGACCTCTTAGTACCGAAACGAGCTTCTCACGGCTGTTTCTCGGGGTCACCCGCACTTGTGAGCCGCTGATGCATCACCAGACCCCCTCAATTTCCAATTTTAAGCACTCTACGCGACACTATATGAAAAAATTGGTGCGGAGGGCCCGTGCAGGGGTTTTTCCCCGTATCTGTGTCTCAATAATAACTGCATTAATCCACGTTTCTCCATGACTACACGCTACAGAGTGGAATACGCGCTGAAGGAGCATCGTCGAGACGGTCTTATTGAGTGGATTAAGGGGCTTTTGGCGACCCCGTTTGTGCTCTACGCGGTCAAATCGAACGGCATTTCTGCCGTTGATGATTTGATGGTCAATTCGGAAGCGAAACGACGCTACGCGGAGATTTTCCATGACCTGGAACTCCTCATCGACGACAATATCGAAATGGCTAAATCAGGTACTCCTGAACAGTCTCGTTTGGTCCAGCTAGTTCCTGGAGTTGGAAGTTTCTTCACTAGGTTGCCGTTGGAGAAAGCTTTCTATATTGAAGATGAGCGACGTGCAATTAGCAAACGACGTTTGGTAGCACCGTCTTTCAACGACATCCGTTTGATCCTCAACACAGCCCAGCTTTTAGAGATGTCTCGGTGTTTCCATTCCAAAACCTCGGAATATTTGAAATTGCAACTAATCACCTTTGATGGAGATATCACGCTGTACGACGACGGCCAGAACTTTGACGCCAAGTCACCGATCCTCCCGCACATGATCCAATTGATGGCCAAGAACCTGTACGTCGGTATTGTCACCGCGGCTGGATACAGCGACGGGTCCAAATATTACGAGCGTCTGAAAGGTCTTATCGACGAAGTCCAAACATCGCCGTTGTTGACCGACTCCCAAAGAGATAACCTGCTCATAATGGGAGGTGAAGCCAACTACCTATTCCGATACAATCACCAACAGAAACAACTACAATTCTACTCCAAAGACCAATGGTTGCTCGAAAACATGCAAAACTGGTCCGAAAAGGATATCATCGAGACGCTGGACTTTGCACAGGACATCCTCAACGAACTTATCCACAAACTCGACCTGGCTGCCATAGTCGTCCGCAAAGAGCGTGCCGTCGGCATGGTGCCGCTTCCGGAGGTCAATTTGGTCAGAGAACAGCTTGAAGAAGTTGTCCTTCGCGTCGATAAGCGTCTCAAACTCTACCCACCATCCAAGAAGATCAGATGGTGTGCATTCAACGGCGGCTCGGACGTCTGGGTTGACATCGGTGACAAGTCGTACGGTGTACGGGTGTTACAGGAGTTTATCAGGTCGAACGACAAGGTGGCAGCAATGCCAGAAAACACGCTGCACGTTGGCGACCAGTTCAGTTCTCTGGGGTCTAATGACTATGCCAGTCGCACTGCTGCTACAACCTGCTGGGTGTCGAGCCCTACCGAAACGAAAAACTTGCTCATCGACCTCAATAACTATATCAACGATAGAGCTACGTACTGATTATGTAATATCCTTTTTGGGGCTGACTGTCATAGATAATAAAAAAAAATTATAGGGACCGTTAATTAATATTATCAAGTATAAGAAAGTTGAGTAATCGGAACAAGATTGCTATGGTTTATTCTGCTTGAACAGAAATTACACTGGATACACAACTTTGCAACACATCCAAAGACATTCCCCTGTTTGAAATTGCTATTTTGATCCAATCATGTTTGGACCAATATTTGCCCTGATTGGCGTCTGGGTTTCCTATTTGTACCCATTGACGGAATCGTTCAAGTTACTAGCTCACATTGACCAGTCCAAACAGCCTGTTGTATTGCCGCCTCAAAGCCAGTTCCAAAGATGGTTTGTTTACTGGTTAGTTCTAGCCGTTTGCACGATGGTTATCTCTAACCGATTTGTTGCCACCATTTTGAGAGTCGTTCCGTTTGGGTCTTTGATGGTGTTATATTTGAGATTCTGGCTGGTATTTCCTCTTGTTTCTGTTGATCCCACAGGGTCCAAAGTGACAGGCTCTTATGTTCTTTATCATTTTTACTTCATGAAATGGCTTGTGCTACTTAATCGGTACCTTGGAGAACTTAAGACCGCAGACTTTGTCAGATTTGTTGCCGATATTTACAACAAGGTGATCGACCAGTACTTTTCCAACTACCAGTTTCTCAAAGTTTCTGCTCCGCTCAAAGAGGATAAAACAACAGTGGAGATGATGAGCGATTTCTGGCAAGCTTCCGGCTGGGGAAAACCTCCTGGAGACCAGGGTCCATTTGCCGATTATTTCCCTCAACTACTGGTTAGCTCGCTGGTTTCTCCTCTCAAGTCCATGTTGTATGGCGAACACAAAGACGTTAAAGAAGATTACGACCTGGTGAATAAAGACGAACTTTCCAGCGAAAACGCAAGTTCCACAAGTCTGCCTCGGCTGAGACAGCAAAGCTCCTCCAGCTCTTTGCGCAAAACCACTCCGTCAGGAACGGAGTCGCAGTACAGAGCCTCGTCGTGGGGTTTTGGATGGAAATCCAGAAGCAGCTCTGTGAATTACGTCGAGGAGCACTAACGATTCTGCTCCAATGCTCTGATTTTTTTTTCCTTATGTTTGATTTATATATATGTACAGGTTATAGCTGTATATGCTGGGTAACAAGTCTTTCGATCTTAGCCTGTTTTTCCCGGAACACCACCTTGTTCTTGGCGTTTCTCATCTGTTTCTCCACCAATTTTGGAACAAAGTTCTTTGGCTGTGGTTGCTGGTCGATGATTCCGCCAAACGCTTTGGATGGCTTTTCCACGTCGGATCCAACTGCGTTGGCCTTGTCTCTGGAATATGCGTCTCTTTGCTCGATGTACTCGGCCTGGGTCTTGAAGTATTCTGTCTCTTCTGGCCACACAAACGGATCTATCAGATCCACGGTCATCTTCTTCTTCTGTGGCTTTCTGTGTCTGGAACTGATTCCTCTGCCGAGCGGGAATTCCCATTTAGCTGGGGTGAGCGCCACGGTGACGTTCAACACCCGCAAGCCATAGATGTGGTACAAGTAGTCTCTCATGTCCATCTTGTTGAATGACTTGGGAACAAGGAACTTGGCTTGATATGGCGTCTGCTTGGCGTTGGGACGAAGCAAAACAACTCTCGCAGAGGGAAAATACAGCTTTTTGGCACCAACAGAGAAATGTGGCTCGTCGTTCTCGATGGCCTTGCGAACAAGCTCAACGATCTTCTTGGACCGTGTTGCACGCTCTTCTCTTGGAACAGTAGGCGGTTTTTTTTGCGGGAACGGTCTCAGACGTCCCATTATGATCGATCTTTGCGGTTGGACAACGGTCCGCTCAAAAAGCCCGCTGAAAGTCGGCTTTAGACTGGCGAACATGTTAGGTGAAAGGATTAGGTTTTTTTAATCTTTTCACGGACGGTTGAAAAATTCAAAGTGGACCGTGTCCGGGTAAGTTGGGGAGAGTACTGGTTTTCGTTGAAAAAAAAAACTAGTTGAAGGCGAATAATCCAGCATAAACATCCTGTTTTCCTGTGAAACACTTTGTTTGAGCCATTGGAAAGTGTACACATCCGCTGAATTTAGTGTGTTGTGATTTTTGGAGACGTTTGAGGGTGATTTCCAGCAAAAGGTATTCAAAATAGTGTACTTTCCTAGTCAAACATGTCGTTCAATGATAGCATGTATGACGTTCCGGAATACGAGATGATCACAACAGAAGACTGTTGGACGGTCATCTCGTCTTTCTTTGAAGCAAAGGGACTTGTTTCACAGCAGTTGGACTCTTTCGAGGAGTTCATCGAATCATCTATTCAAGAACTGGTTCTTGAAGATAAAAAGTTGATCCTTGATCAGCCAGCACAGCATATTTCCGAGGACGACGATGTCAACAGAAGATATGAGATCACGTTTGGTGATATTTTCCTTTCTAAGCCATCTCAAACCGAAGCCGACGGAACTACAAGTACTCTTCTTCCTCAAGAGGCAAGATTGAGAAACCTCACTTATTCTGCCCCACTGTATGTGGAAATGAAGAAGATGGTGAAGGAAAGTATAGACGATGACGAGGTGGTTACCACGCAGGTTGTTTGGTACAGAGAGGGAGAGATCACCAGATATAGAAACGGAGAAATTGAGCAGGACGAAATGGTCATTATGCCTGCCAACTTCGACGACGAAAGCGACGAAATTATAGAAGAAAGACATGGCATCAAGGTCCATCAATCCGGAGCAGAGTCCCAGACCATTTTCATCGGAAAAGTCCCAATCATGTTGAAGTCCAAGTTCTGTTCTTTGTACGGTCTGTCCGAAGACGAATTATACGAAATTAGAGAATGCCCATTTGATATGGGAGGATATTTCATCATCAACGGTTCCGAGAAGGTTTTGATTGCTCAAGAAAGATCTGCCGCCAACATTGTGCAAGTTTTCAAGAAGTCTGCCCCATCCCCTGTGTCCCATATTGCTGAGCTTAGATCTGCGTTGGAGAAAGGCTCTAGATTAATTTCTTCTATCCAGGTCAAGTTGGCCAGAGGTGGCGCTTCGAACTTCAAGAGCGGTGGCGTCGGTAGATCAATCAAGACCACTCTGCCTTACATCAAGGCCGATATTCCAATTGTTATTGTCTTCAGAGCCTTGGGTGTGATTGAGGATGGTGACATTTTGCAACACATCTGTTACGATGAGAACGACTGGCAAATGCTTGAAATGCTGAAGCCATGTATTGAAGAAGGATTTTTGATTCAATCTCAGGAAGTTGCCTTGGATTACATTGGAAGAAGAGGTAACTCTATCGGTATCAAGAGAGAAAGACGTATTCAATACGCTAAGGACATTCTTCAACGTGAATTCTTGCCACACATTTCCCAGGACTCCGGTTACGAAACCAACAAGGCTTACTTCCTTGGTTACATTGTCAACAGATTGCTTCTTTGTGCTTTGGAAAGAAAAGAGCCAGATGACAGAGATCACTTTGGTAAGAAGAGATTGGACCTGGCTGGTCCTCTTCTTGCTAACTTGTTCAGAATTCTGTTTAGAAAGCTCTCTAGAGACATTTACAGATACATGCAAAGATGTATCGAGAGAGGAGACGACTTCAACATTGTTAATGCCGTCAAATCTAACACCATCACTTCTGGTCTGAAATACTCTCTTGCCACAGGAAACTGGGGAGAACAGAAGAAGGCCATGAGCAGCAGAGCCGGTGTCTCTCAGGTCTTGAACAGATATACCTACTCTTCCACCTTATCGCATTTGAGAAGAACTAACACGCCAATTGGAAGAGACGGTAAACTGGCTAAACCTCGTCAATTACACAACACGCATTGGGGTCTTGTTTGTCCTGCTGAAACTCCAGAAGGACAAGCTTGTGGTTTGGTGAAGAACCTTTCCCTGATGGCATGTGCTTCCGTTGGATCTGCTTCCGAGCCTCTTACATATTTGCTGGAGGAATGGGGATTGGAGCCTTTAGCAGATTACGAGCCTCAGGAGCATAAGAATGCAACCAGAGTGTTTTTGAACGGAAACTGGGTTGGAACGCATAGAGACCCAGCCATGTTGGTGGACACCATGAGACAGCTGAGAAGAAGCGGAACCATCTCTCCAGAGGTCTCTTTGATTAGAGATATCAGAGAAAGAGAGTTCAAGATCTTCACTGATGCTGGAAGAATCTACAGACCATTGTTTGTTGTTGAAGACGATCCAGACAGCGAGCACAAGGGCGAGCTGAAATTGACCAAAGAACACTGTCGTAAAATTCTTGACAGAGAGGTCGAAGAAGTTGCCCAGGATGAAGAGTTCGACGAAGATGGAGAGCCTCTTGGCCCTGTCGAGAGAGTGTTTGGCTGGGAGTCTCTGTTGAGCAACGGTATCATTGAGTATTTGGATGCTGAAGAAGAGGAGACTGTTTTGATTGCCATGTCTCCTGAGGACTTGATTCCTACATCCGACTCTGACATACAAAAGGCCGAGCACGAACTTGACCCAGCCAAGAGAATCAAGAACGTGGTGAAGGCACACTCGTTCACGCACTGTGAGATCCACCCTTCGATGATTCTTGGTGTTGCTGCCTCTATTATTCCGTTCCCTGATCACAACCAGTCTCCTAGAAATACCTATCAGTCTGCTATGGGTAAGCAAGCTATGGGAGTGTTTTTGACCAACTACAGCGTGAGAATGGACACCATGGCCAACATTTTGTACTATCCTCAAAAGCCGTTGGCAAAGACTCAATCTATGGAGTACCTGAAGTTCAGAGAACTCCCTGCTGGTCAGAACGCTATTGTGGCCATTGCATGTTACTCTGGATACAACCAAGAAGATTCGATGATTATGAACCAGTCTTCGATTGACCGTGGTTTATTCAGATCCTTGTTCTTCAGATCTTACATGGATCAGGAGAGAAGAAACGGTATTTCTGTTGTTGAAGAGTTTGAGAAACCAATGCGTGCAAGCACGCTCGGATTCAAGCAAGGAACCTACGAGAAGTTGGACGATGACGGATTGATCGCTCCTGGTGTTCGTGTTTCGGGAGACGATATTATTATTGGTAAGACTGTTCCTATTCCACCAGATACTGAAGAGCTTGGACAGAGAACCAAGTACCATACCAAGAGAGACGCATCCACTCCGCTGCGTACTACCGAGAACGGTATTGTTGACCAGGTGCTGTTGACCACCAACGCTGAGGGTCTCAAGTTCGTCAAGGTGAGAATGAGAACAACTAAGATTCCTCAGATCGGAGACAAGTTTGCGTCGAGACACGGACAGAAGGGTACCATTGGTATCACTTACCGTCACGAGGACATGCCTTTCACCGCCCAGGGTATTGTTCCGGACCTGATCATCAACCCGCACGCCATTCCATCGCGTATGACAGTCGCGCACTTGATTGAGTGTTTGCTGTCGAAGGTCGCCTCGATGAGAGGTTACGAGGGAGATGCCACTCCGTTCACTGATTTAACTGTGGATGCCGTCTCTAAACTGCTGAGAGAAAACGGCTACCAGAGCAGAGGCTTCGAGGTGATGTACAATGGACACACCGGTAAGAAGCTGATGGCACAGGTGTTCTTTGGTCCTACTTACTACCAGAGACTGAGACACATGGTGGACGACAAGATCCATGCCAGAGCCAGAGGTCCGTACCAGAACCTGACCCGTCAACCTATGGAAGGTAGAGCCAGAGACGGAGGATTGAGATTTGGAGAAATGGAGCGTGATTGTATGATTGCACACGGTGCTGCTGGGTTCCTGAAGGAGCGGTTGATGGACTCTTCGGACGCCTTCCGGGTGCACGTCTGTGGTATCTGTGGACTGATGAGTGTGATTGCCAACTTGAAGAAGAACCAATTTGAGTGCAAGTCTTGTAAGAACAAGACCAACATCTACCAGATCCACATTCCGTATGCGGCCAAGCTTCTGTTCCAGGAGCTGATGAGTATGAACATTTCGCCACGGTTGTACACGCAGAAGAGTGGCATAACTACGAGATGATGCTGACCACTCACTGGTTTGAAAAAAAAAAGCTATAATATGTAAATTAAGAAAACCAAGAATAAACTCGAGTTTCGTACTAAGATGGTGTATTCACAAGTATATGGGGGGAGGACATGTACATTAGATTTTTCTGCCGTTGAGTTTGGCCTCGTACTCCTGCAACTGCCGGGTTCTGTCTTCGAGACTCTTCACTTTTTCCAGCACCTGGCTATGTTGATCGGCAAATGCCACCAAGTTCTGTTTGTATGGGTGTTCGGACCCGTCGTATACCTTGAGTCTGTTGAGTCTTGTCCATCTGTGTTTGTTTTTCGGTAACATTTTGCTGACGGCTCTTTTAATCACTTCGGAATAACCATAGTCTCTGACGACTCTGTTCATTGGCGTGGCCGTTCCAGATCCTGGCCGGAAACTATGGCTCCAGTACGTCTTGTCATGCATCTTGTTTCCTGTCACACGCAAAAACTGGGCGTTCGACACCACCACGTAGTCGCCAGCGTCCTGTGTTTCGTGGGTGATGGGCTTATGTTTCCCCATCAAAGTGATGGCGATCTGCGACGCCAACCGACCCAAAGTTCTTGTATCCTGAGCCAGGTCGACGTGGTGCCACGCGCGCGCAAATCCCAGTCCGGTTTTCCCAATTCTATTCGACATGGTAAAATGAATGCTGGTTCAACTTTTTTTCGCAATTTTCTCTCGCCGGAAGAAAAAATAGGTGAAAATAATTACAAAACACCATGTTTTTCATCAAAGACCTCTCGCTCAATTTGACGCTCCATCCGTCCTACTTCGGGCCTCAGATGAACCAGTACTTGCAACAGAAGCTGCTCACGGACGTGGAGGGCACTTGCACGGGCCAATTTGGATACATTGTCTGTGTGCTGGACAGCATGAGCATCGACGTTGGAAAGGGCAAAATCGTGCCTGGTCAACAGGGCTACGCCGAGTTCGAGGTCAAGTACCGTGCGGTGGTTTGGAAACCGTTCAAGGGAGAAGTGGTGGACGCAATAGTGTCGTCTGTGAATAATATGGGCTTTTTCGCCGACGTGGGGCCTCTTTCTGTGTTTATCTCGAAACATCTCATTCCAAAAGACATGAAATACACTCCCTCCAGAACGCCGCCAGCCTACATCAGCGAAGACCAGGTTATCATGAAGGGCTCCAAGGTCAGAATAAAGATCATCGGTACAAGATCCGACGTCAACAGCATCTCCGCCATCGGAAGCATCAAGGAGGACTATCTTGGTCCGTTGTAACGTGGCCATCGCACGTGCTCCGTTTGTATCCTATCTATAGTCTGGCACTATCAATCACGACATGTACTCTATATGCGCACACCCGTACACCACCAACGTTCCCACAGGCTCTGCGCCTACAAAAAGAAAGGCGAAATTAATTTAAATCACCACCCGTTTCATTTGCCGGTTATGTCCGTTGATCAATCTATAACCACTGTTAAAAGTGTAGGTTACCAAATTAAATTTTCTAACTTTTAAGGAACTCGAGTTTCTCCACAAATCCGGCGTCATCCAGAAAGACCTGCTAGACCAAGTTCTCAACGCATTACCACAGACTTCTAAAGACATGAGTGCCAATCCCGGACCATCTGGCCAAGCCGAGCTGGCTGAGGCAATCTACGACTACAAGCCCCAACAACCAGAGGACCTCGAACTCCATGCCGGCGATAAGATCACGGTTCTCCAGAAGGTGAGCGAGTCCTGGTGGAGAGGCTCCATCAACGGCAAGGAGGGCATGTTTCCTGCCAATTACGTCAGAGTCTTGGGCTCGGCAGGCCCTACTCCTCCGCCGGTTGGACCTCATCCACAGCAATACCAGCAGCAACAGTACCAGCAGCAGTACCCACAACAGTACCCACAACAATACCCACAACAATACTACCAGCAGCAGCCAATGGCCCCAATGTACGCTCCACAGCAGTACTACCAACCGCCCCAGCAACAACAACAACTCACCCCAATGAGCGTGGCTGAGGGCCAGCCTCAACAGCAACAGCAACAGCATCACGGATCGGGCATGTTCAAGAAATTTGGCGCCAAACTCGGTAACGCAGCCATCTTTGGTGCTGGTGCAACCATCGGAAGTGACATTGTCAACTCGATCTTGTAAACGGGCATCTACTCAGTATACTACACTCGCTCCCTCGAAGCTTATATAGCTAATATCTTAAATCAATGTATACTTGATTAGCGACTATGGATTCTGAACTTTTAACATCGGCCGGCCGTAACCACCGGTCTCTTTCTAATAAACACCTCCATCATGTCTATGCTGGTATATCTCCTTCCTTACTTTCTTCTGAACGCACATCCCTCAGACAACTTGGCCTTACCTCCAGTTGGGGTGCACAGAACAGTGGTACAGGAGTCACAGGTAACGGCAGTTTGAGCGTGGGAGAACACAGTGGTGATTTGCAAACAGCCTGGGCACTTCACGTCCATGAAGAACGATCTTGGCTCTTGCACGAGAGTCTTGAGCTTGTGTTTCTTGGCCTCAGAGGCAGCAGATGGGTGTAACAGATCTTGAACTAAAACCATGGTTGATGTCTTAGTTTGGTGAAAAATTTTTGTATTCAAGCACCGGTGCACAGTATTGATTACGTAACATTTCGTGAAAAATAAAAAATTATCTCCTTAGAAACTATAGAAAAAGTCAAACAGGGCGCAAAACTCAGACTCTTTGGTGGTGTAATGGTTTTTTGTGTGTATTTTTTTTCTCTTTTTTTCATTTTTCGGTCTTTGCCCTCTAATTCTCTCACGTGACCAAATACACGGTCTTGTCGTTTACGCTACTTAAGTATATAATGAATGCTCCCGTTGCTACCAAACCTGATAAACAACCGATTCATAAACAAACTAAATCACAAAAAGTACCCGTAGTGACACAGGTTTCGTTGGAACACACAGAAGTCGTTTAGATCATAGATTGATGGATGAAAATGTGGATTGCGACATAGTAAGCAGCGAGCTGTCAGTAATCATTTAGTAGGCTTCTTCTTGTTTTTAGGAGACTGCACTCCCGGCGGAGGTTGTGTTCCGTACCCATACTTCTTCTTCTCGGCTGGCTTTAAAATCTGGAATGAGCAAAGCAAACTCTCGTCCACACTCATCATGGCTCCCGCATTGTCGAACTCTCCACAGTAATTTGGCGCTGAGAATATGGTGACCAGTTGTCTTTTGCTGAAAAACTCGTATCCATCTTCAACCACTTGGTGCGCTCTACAAATGAGATCCATATCGTGTTTTTGTAAAAACCTCGAAACCACATCCGGTCCAAAGGTGAAGGAGACACCTCGATCGTTCTCACTCCATCCGGTTATATCTTTGTCTGGGTCGGACCAGAGCAAATCGCACAACAGTCCCACGTCCGGAATATCTGTTGGTCTCATAACTCTTCTGATCTGTTCCATGGTGTTGAGGTCTGGAGACAAACCTCCGTGCATTGTGAAGATCTTCTCATCGATGATGGCTGCAATAGGCAAGCAGTTGAAGCAATCTGTGAACGTCTTCCACAGCTTGATATTATAGCGTCTCTTGCACTCATCGTAAAAACCGTAAATTCTGTTGATGGACGCACATTCGTGGTTGCCTCTAAGAATGAAGAAATTCTCTGGGTATTTGATCTTGTATGCTAGTAATAAACAGATTGTTTCTAGTGACTGTTTCCCTCTATCGACGTAGTCACCCAGAAACAGGTAGTTAGCTTCTGGAGGGAATGCGCCGTACTCAAACAACCGGAGAAGATCGTAATACTGGCCATGGATATCACCGCAAATTTTAATTGGGGCTTCAAGCTCCAGCAAAATAGGCTGACGGATGAAGATCTCTCTGGCCTTTGTACATAGATATCTGATCTCGAACTCTTGTAGTTGGACCTGTTTTCCTGGTCTAGAACCTCTCACGTCGAGAAGTCTGTCGATGATGGACTCAATATCTGCTTCTTGTTCTGCCATGTTGGGGGAAAAGGGCGATGGGGTTAGCAAATACGAATATCGAGGCTAGGATGAACCTTGCTTAGCTAGTTAGCTGTTGTTTATTTTCCTTTGATGTCGGAAGATGATGGCAACGCGTAATTTTAGTTACCCGCTGTTACCGATGGCTTTTAAATTTGGAAAGCACCGCTGCTGAAAGGTGGGCTGAGAACGTGAGACGTTAGGAAGACGATCTAATTCTGTTTTCTCAAAAACAAAGCTCGCACCGTTGCTATTTACTTGTTTAATTTTACGGTTTTCCCAATAAATGGTCGTTGCAAAATTCGCCTCTCAGTCATCGGCCGGGTAAGCGCTATTTCTATTTTCATTTCCTTTTTCATGCTATTTTGCGGGAACTGGGGGGTGCGCAGCACAGTACTCCAGATCGGATAGCCAGATGCTCCCAATTCCTGTAACAGCCCGTGCTTCTCCCATGTCTTATTACCGACACGGTCAAATATCCAATTCCGGCCTTTGTCCGGGCCTCGCCACACTACCCTTTGCTTCCCTTATCTCTGAGACGATGTCGTGCAAACTTCAACTAAATTTTTTTAACTTTTCGACATCTCTGGTAATGTTGAGAAGATCATTAGGCTATCCGGCATCGGTTTGTCGGGCGTTTAGCACGCGTTCGGCGCTACGCCAAACTCAAGAGGCTTCTTCACAATCATCGTCCCCGGCCGGGTCGGTGATCAAGGCCCCGGAACTTGCCCAGAACACAACCACCATCGAAGGTTTGTTTAGCGAATCGGTTTTCAACGACGTGTGGTCCAAACAGGTGTCTTTGAAGCTTGACGACCTCAAATACGGCATCTCCGAGTCCCCAATCAGAACCAATCTGGAGTCCTGTTTCATCGAATCGTCCGCGAACGAGGTCTTCCTCAAGGGTAACAAACGTACAGCTTCCAATATGGTGGACGAGTTCCTTCTCACAACCACAAACCCCACCGTGGACCAATTCTGTAAGCTTTTGGAAAAAACAGCAACCAAACCAACAGAACAGTACGTGTTCCAAAACGCGGCCACCATCTACAACCTCTACTACTTCCTCTCGTCTTTAAAGTCGAACCCTGAAAATACCGTCTCCAAGGCAGATCTCAGCGAGTTGTACAAAACCCCAGACGTTTTCTCGAAAATCCAAAACCCCCCAGAGGGAAGCATAGCATCGTGGATCGAGTCGTCTTTCGGGTCGATCCAGGAGTTCAAAACCCTGTTGTTGGCTACCGCAAACTCCACCAAGGGAAATGGATACACCTGGGTTGTTCACAAGTTTAGAAAACCGGAATTGGGACAAGAGTCTAGAGATCTCACCAGGTTCTCGTCGCTTGCCATCTTGAACACATACAACAGCGGAATTCCTCTCCATTTCAGAAAAGGACAGATTTCCAACGCCAGAGCATTCAAAAAACAACAGAAAGCTGTCAAGTCCGATTCCCAGGACTCTGACTCGGTCAGCATGTACAAAATCGAGATTCCAGACTTGGAGCAGGCCCAAGACACTTATGAACCATTGACTTATTGCTACGAACCGCTTCTGGCAATCGGTAACAATCCATCGTTCTATCTGAGAGATTATGGAGTGTTTGGAAAGTCCAGATACCTGGAAAACGTCTGGAACTGCATTGATTGGGACGTGGTTGAGTCAAGATGGATCAATAGAACGTTAACCAAAAAACGCTAATGTACATAGAAGGTAGACTTTGAATAAAAGCATCTGAAATCTTTAATATGTGGTCACGTGACCGATAATTTATTTTTTGTAGGTTTTTTTTAACACTAAAAATTGTCAAATAAGACAGAGTCTCTTGATCTTACCAAAGAGCCAGCCATGAAGAACCTCAAGCTTCTAAACATAGGCCAGGTTGTTCCTCAGTCGCGGACTTATCCGGATTTGGAGGTGTTGGACTCCGTTTTCGACGTCATTTCAGACTCTCTCACTTTTGTGCTAGGAACACAAGAGAGTCAGGTTTTGGAGGTGCAGCAGTTCATGAAAACGGGCCAGGTCAACTTGTTGGCATCTTTATCTGTGAACGAATTTGACAAGATGATTATGTTTGCTCACTTTGAAGATACTCATCAGTTGGTGATCATATTTGAGCAAGGAGATATCATGAATGCTGTTTATGACGAGACAAATCCAGATCCAGACACCACGATGGTTGAGATTGTTGGGTCTATTGATTGTGGAATCAAGGCAGCTAAGTGGTCGCCGGACGAGGAGACTTTGGCTGTTTTGACTCAAGAAAACAACTTGGTGCTATTGACTAGAACTTTTGAGCCAATTGCGGAGAAATATCTAAATCCACAGGATATCAACACCAGTACACATGTTTCTGTTGGATGGGGAAAGAAAGAAACTCAATTCAAAGGCAAAGGGGCCAAACAGTTGGAAAGAGACCGACTGGCCTTGAAAAACGCAGGACTTAATATAGATAGCGACCATGCCATTTTGCACGATCCAACGGTTGCAGAAGTTCAACAAGGCCAAGTTTCTGAGTTTGACTCTTTCAAGAGCGATATTTCTTGGCGTGGAGATAGTCAGTATGTTTCTTTGAGCAATGTGGAGGAGATAGAGCCCGGTCAAGACCGTCGAGTGATACGAGTTTATTCCCGTGAGGGTGAATTGGACTCATGTTCTGAGGCCGTTGATGGTCATGAGGAGGGTCTTGCGTGGAAACCGCAAGGATCTTTGATTGCATCAACCAGAAGAAGATTCGAGGAGGAGATTAATGAACAAGTTGTTGATTTGATCTTTTTCGAAAGAAACGGTCTGAGACACGGGGAATTCCCTACTCAATTACCGGAAAACTCGAAAATACTGCAATTGGACTGGTCCTGCAACAGCGAGATGCTTGCATTCCGTCTTTATAACAGAATCCAGATTTGGACAACGAAAAACTACCATTGGTATTTGAAGCAGGAAATATACACCTCCTCGGGAGAAGAGACAGAGTTCCTCAAGTTCCACCCGGAAAATCCAACCAGAATAATGTTTGGTACTAATAAACACATTGAGATCGTGGACATGGCTTATTCTCTTGGTCTTGGGCCTACTTCATCGCCATACGACGTGGGAATGGCTTTGGTAGCAGACGGACCAGAATGCAAAATCACACCTCTTGGGCTTGCAAACGTTCCTCCTCCTTCCAGTCTTCGCGAAGTGTTGACCGAGGATAATCTTGTGGACGTTGGTGTTTCTCGCTCGAACTCGCTGTTTGCTCTGTTGAGCTACTCTGGTGTGAGTTTTGCAACCGTTGACTTGGACAAGATTATTCGTGGAAACGAGCCGGTGATTCGCAGCAGGCTATTGAAAACGAACTTTGGTCAGCCATTGGACCGTCCAAGACAGATCTGCTGCGTTGAGGACAATCTTGTGGCCGTTCTGTTTGACTCCAACCAGTTTTCCAGATTGGCTCTCATTTCTGTTGTTGACGTTGAACAGCCAACAGTGGTGAATATTTTGGACATCTTTCCTCCAAAGCCTGTTCTCTTAAAGCCTACTGCTGACTTCTCTGAACTGACATACGAAACCAGCGACGGGTCTGTTTATTTGTTGGACTCGATCAATTTTGAAGCTACCAAAATTGGCCAGTTCCCACAACTATGCTCAGACTACTGGGTTTCGTCGATCGACGAGAAAAGATACTGCTTTGGACTCTCGTCAACGGGAAAGCTGTATGTGAACCAAATGCTGGCCTGTTCGGGTGTCACGTCCTTTTTGGTGACCGACTCTTATTTGCTCTACACCACAGCCAAACACCAACTCAAGTTTGTCCATATGGACCACGAGATAGACCAGAATCCGTTTGACGAGAACGAGGAGGACGAAAGAACCCGGATGATCGAGCGTGGATCGCTCTTGGTCACTGCCATTCCGTCCAAGGCGGTTGTTGTTTTGCAGGCTCCTCGAGGAAACCTCGAAACGATCCATCCCCGGATCATGATCCTGACCGAGGTCAGACACTTGATCAAACACAAACAGTACAAGGAGGCGTTTATTGTTTGCAGAACCCATCGTATTGCGCTGGACATTCTGCACGACTACGACTCCGAGTCGTTTTTCAAGAACGTGGAGCTGTTCATCAAGGACATTAAAAAGCCAGAACACATTGAACTTTTCCTGTCGACATTGTTGGAGGAAGACGTTGTTGAGACCAAATATAGAGAAACAGAAACCACCATTGCACAGGACTTCTCGCAGCTGGAGATCTCCGAGTATAAGAAACCAACGGGTAAGGAGAAGATCAGCAAGATCTGCGAGGCTGTTTTATCGGTCTTGCTCACTCCCGCATACAAATCCAAGTATCTACAAACAATCATCACAGCGTATGCCTGTCAACATCCGCCAAAGACCACCCAGGCTTTGGAGTTGATTGGATCGTTCAAAGACGAGGCAGAGACGGAGAAAGCTGTTCAACACCTGTGTTTCCTGCTGGACGTGAACATGCTCTACGAGGAAGCTCTTGGGATCTACAATGTTCCATTGACTCTTGTGATTGCTCAACAGTCGCAGAAAGATCCAAAGGAATACCTTCCGTTTTTGCAAAAACTTCATGTGCAACCAGACCTGACTAAGAAATTCATGATTGACGAATACCTCAAGAAGTACGAAAAGGCTCTTGACTCGCTGGTTCAGTATGCTTCTGACGATGAGATCTTGGAGTTTGTGATTGAACACAGTCTGTACAAGCACGCACTGGCTCTTTACCGGTACACCAAGGACAAGTTTGATCTTGTGATGAAGTCGTATGCTGACCATTTGCATGAGTCCAGAGAATACGGCGACGCAGCTCTGGCGTACGAGACGCTGTCGATGAAAAAGGAGGCTCTGGAGAACCATGTTCTGGCAAGAAACTGGGAACAGGCTGTTGTTCTGGCTATTCACGACAACCAGCTACTGGAAGACACTTGTACCCGGTTGGTAGCTCTGTTGACCGATACCCACGAATACACTGCTGCTGCGTACATCCAGCTGAAGTTCCTCAACAACATCGAGGAGTCGCTCAAGCTGTACTGCAGCAACCACCAGTACGCGCATGCAATCATGCTGTGCTACCAGGAGAAGAAGGAGCAGCTTGTGGAGTCTGTGGTTGATCCAGCTCTTGGAGAGGGATTTGGTATCATTGCGGATCTTCTTGCTGATTGTAAGGGCCAGGTCAACTCGCAACTCGGCCGGTTACGTGAGCTGCGGTCCAAGAAACAGGAAGATCCGTTTGCATATTATGGAGAGATGGCCGAGAACGACACTCCGGACAACGTTTCGATTGCGGCCTCGGAAACGTCCACCAAGGAATCGTTCTTCACAAGGTATACGGGCAAGACCCAGGGAACGGCAAAGACGGGAGCGTCGCGCCGTACAGCCAAGAACAGACGTAGAGAAGAGCGGAAAAAAGCAAGAGGAAAGAAAGGAACCATTTACGAAGAGGAATATCTGGTGAAATCGGTCGGTCGTCTTGTTGAGCGTCTGGACCAAACACAGCCCGAGGCTCTGCGTCTGATCGACGGTCTGGTCAGACGGAACATGATGCACCAGGCGTACGAGATCCAGAAAAACTTTGTGGAGCTCAGACAACTGTTGCAAGAACACATCAAGGAGATCTACGATATCAGCGAAAAAGACCGTGAACGGATCGACGACAACGGACTGGTGTACCTGGTTCCAGAGCTGCCTGTTCCGGAGATTGTTGCGTTTCCAAAACGCAGTCTACTCGACTACTGATCATGGCTACCCCGTGCAAGGATGTGTGGTGTTTTCCGCATGTACAAAAAAAGACCTTTACGTATGTATAATTAATTATTGTTTTGTATGAGTGCCTCGTTGTTTTCTCTTGTTCAGGTTGCTGATGGGTATTTGGTGATTAACAGTGCGACCGGCGGGTCCAATTCACTGTTGGTGACCAACACCGGCGCGTGCGAGCTTGTCGACGCCGAAAAGCACTACGTCGACAAGACCCCTACTCCGATCTCAGGAGTCATTGGCGTGATCCATTTACACACAAACCACTATCTTATTGTGGCCACCGGTGCGACCGAGGTCGGAAAGGTGTACGGCAACAAGTCTGTTTACAAGGTGACTTCGTTTAGTGTTCTGCCGTTGTCTGCGACCAAGTTCCAGGTCGATGAGGACGAGGTGAAGTATCTGGAGCTGCTCAAGTCGCACTTGAATTCTGCGTCGCTCGTGTTCTCGTACGACTACGATTTGACCAAGCCGTTGACCAAACAGGCCGACAAAGGATTCGAGTCCGAGTTTATGTGGAACTACTTTGTTTCGCAGGATCTGATCAAGCTGGCCGCCTCGAACCCCGGCGCGGGCCAGTTCGTGCTGCCGATCATCTACGGATACGCCAAGTTTGTGCGCACCACGATCAACATGAAACCGATCACGTTCGGTCTGATCAGCAGACGGTCGCGCTTCAGAGCAGGAACGAGATATTTCCGTCGTGGAATCGACGCAGACGGTAACGTGGCCAACTTCAACGAGACCGAGCAGTTCCTGGCCGTCCACACCAGCGAGGGTGACAAGATTTACACGTATCTTCAAACCAGAGGCTCTGTGCCTGTGTTCTGGGCTGAGATGAACAACCTTAAATATAAACCGGTTCTGCTGTTGGGCCAGACAGACTACGTTCCAACCAGACACCATTTCAGCCGGATGATCGAAAAATACGGTACAAACTACCTGGTCAACCTGGTCAACCAGAAGGGGTACGAGGAGCCGGTGAAACTGGCGTACGAAAACGCCGTCACCGCGCTGAACGACCCAAACATCAAGTACACCTACTTTGACTTCCACCACGAGTGCAAGAACATGAAGTGGCACCGGGTCAAGCTGCTGATCGACCATCTGAAACGGATCGGACTCTCGCAGGAAGATTTCAACGTGGTCACTGTTTCCGAGAAGTTTGTGGTCTCCAAGAAACAAAGCCACGTTGTCAGAACAAACTGCATGGACTGTCTCGATAGAACCAACGTTGTTCAGTCCACATTGGGCAGATTCTACCTGCAGGAGCAGCTGATCGAGAGCGGAGTGATCAACGGCGCGCAGGACTGGGAGAAAGTCGATCCGAAGTTCAACCTGGTGTTCATGAACATCTGGGCAGACAACGCCGACGTGGTGTCCAAGTCGTACTCCGGAACTGGCGCACTGAAGACAGATTTCACTAGAACCGGACAGAGAACCAAATTGGGTGCTTTGAACGATCTGGTCAACTCCATCACCAGATACATCAAGAATAATTTCAGAGACGGACCAAGACAGGACGGATACGATCTGTTCCTGGGCAACATTCTTCCGTACGAGATCGCCACGTCTCCGTTCCAGGACCTCAGACCATCCTCGACGCAATCGATCCCATACATTCTGTTCACCTCTGTTTCGATTCTGCTGATCACGTTCATCTTCCCGAACGGGTCGCTCTCGTCGTTCAAGAACTTTTCGTTCACTCTGGTGCTGACTGCTCTTGCGGTGAACCTGTTCACGCGGATCGTGAAGCAGGGAATCCAGTACGTGAACTGGCCGCGTCTGTGCTCGCTCGACTACCTCACCCACAGAGAGGTGCTGAACGACGGCAAGTTCGACGGGCTTGTTTTCGAGAAGGCCGACTCGTTCAACAAGTTCCAGGACGTGGCCAAAAAGGAGTAACCAGCGTGCTTAGCGTGCCCGAGTATATATATCCACGGCTGTGCAAGGAAAATAAAGTATTGAAATTAATTGGATTTTTCTGACTCTTCACCAAATATGTCACTTGAAAGAACAGAGCCAAATTATTTCGGGGCCGGCCCAGCGCTGCTGCCAACGAGCGTTCTGCAACAGGCTGCCAAGGATATGATCAATTTCCAAGGACTGGGCCTGGGAGCCGGAGAGATCAGCCATCGGTCTGCTGCTGGAGGTAATATCATCGAAAGCACCAAGAAGCACCTTGCCGAGCTTCTGGATGTGCCAGACACCCACGAGGTGTTTTTCATGCAGGGAGGAGGAACCACAGGATTTTCGGCGGTGCCTACGAATCTGAGTGCCTCGTTCGCCAAGAAGACAGGCAAGAAAGGAAAGCCTGCTTATGTGATCACAGGATCCTGGTCCAAGAAGGCCGCAGAGGAGGCCCAGAGACTGGGCTTTGACCCGGAGATCGTGGTCGACTCCAAGAAGGTGGATGGCAAATTTGGCGGCATTCCTGCTGTTGAAAAGTGGTCCATCCCAGCAGATCTGTCCAACACCTCGTACGTGTACTTCTGCGACAACGAGACGGTGAACGGCGTGGAGTTCCCAGACTTCCCATTCGACAAGTTCCCAGGCGTGGAGATCGTGGCCGACATGTCGTCGAACTTCTTGTCCAAGAAGATCGACGTGAGCAAGTACGGCTGTATTCTTGCAGGAGCCCAGAAAAACGTCGGTTTGGCAGGTATCACCATCTACATCATCAAGAAGAGTCTGCTTGAGTACCCATCCGACGAAGAGCTGACCAAGCTGAACATTCCGCTGACGCCAATTGCGTTTGAGTTCCCGATCGTGGTGAAGAACAACTCTGCGTACAACACCGTTCCAACGTTCACGGTGCACATTGTCGATTTGGTGCTGCAATTGCTGGCCGAGAAGGGCGGACTTGCTAACCAACAGAAGGTCAACGAGGAAAAGGCCAAGCTGCTGTACGCTGCTCTGGACAAGTACCCATCTGTGTTCAACCTGCCTGTGGAGAAAAGCGTGAGATCCAAGATGAACGTGGTGTTCACGCTGGCCAAGGGAACCGACTCAGACTTCCTCAATGCTGCCGAGGAGAAGAAGTTGCAGGGTTTGAAGGGCCATCGGTCTGTTGGTGGCATGCGTGCGTCGTTGTATAATGCGGTTTCGCTTGACAGTGTCAAGCTTCTGTGCGAGTTTGTCGAGGATTTCGGCTCCAAGAACGCCTAATCTGTCTGGTAGCCGTTTAGATAGTATGCAATATCGCATTTCTGGTCCATATCGATGTAGCAGTGCAGAATGCCTCCTTGCGCGTGGACAATCAGCGACATCGCGTCGCACATGTCCATCAGGTGCGATCCAACGTTCCAGTGCTTGAGCTTGACTTTGAGCGACACCGGGCGCATCACCGAGGAGTCCCAGCTCTGCGGCGGTGATTCGTCCTGGTCGGGCAGCACGTCCAGCTTCTCTTTCCACTGGACCACGATCTTGCGCTGTTCCTCCTCGATGACGAACTTGAGCTGGCCCAGCTGGTTGCCCGTGATGGTGACCAGGTCGGACGTCCTATATCTGTCCAGACGACGCAGAAGCGGCGCGATCCGCATCGGCAGCTTCATGGCCAATTTCATGGTATCCATCGCGGGCTCCACGATTCGCAGGTCGCTGTCCATTTTCAGCAGCCGCACCGGCACGTTGAACGAGTGGCTAACGTTCGAGCTCATCGAGATCTGTTCCGTGTAAAACAACGCCAGCGACGCGACAGCCTTGTTCTTCACCTCCATCCCGTTTGACGGCCGTCGTTGCAGCCGGATCACCAGGTTGCTCGTCACGTTCGACTTCTCGTAGTTCCGCAAAACCTGGCACAACGGCTCGATGTTGATCTCGAACGGAATAACCTTGTCTCTTGTGGAGTCCACCTCGTACAATTGGAACACGCTCGAGTCCAACTTACACCAGACAGTAGGCTCGTTCAATGCAGACGAAATAATGACCAACTGGTGCTCCGTGAACCGGAAAACACACATCTTCCGTAACGACACCAGAAAACTCAAACATTTCCGTAACTCGACCGGTTTCTCCACAATAACTTTAAGCTTCATAAAGAGGGATCAAATAATTTATTTTCTTTTATTTATTTATATAATATAAATATTTCACTCACTCATTCTAATCCGTAATTGCGACGTTCGGTCGAATTCATCTTGGGAAACAGGTCAATAGGAGAAGTGACCAGTCCCAAAGCACGAATACCGCTCTTGTCGAGATTCTCCAATCCCAATAAATACCCGGCATTGACCCAGCCAAACCCTTCGGTAGCAACTCCCTTGAAGTCTGACCCCTGGTTGCCGTACTCGGCGTCGACTTTATGCGGCTCCTGTGTCGACGTTGCGTCGTACTTCTCAACAACAATTCCGTTGAAGTCCACAAACGCAAGAGTGATTAGATAGCACCATCTGTACGACAACCGTTTGGCTATGGCCCCATAGCCATAGTTCTGCAAACCTTTCCAGGTCATGATCTGGTGCGGCGACCACGCGAACGGATAGTCCCATTGTCTAGACGGTTTGTCCAAACCAATCTCTCCCAAGGACTCCTTGGTACCGCTCACAATCCCGCCAAACACCTCGAACTTCGGTAGAGCTTTCTCTACCAACGCTCTGGCCTGCTCCCGTGAAGCAAGCTTGGCCCATAGCGGATAGAACGTCGTGGCAGACTCGTACAGACTCTGCTTCTTGGTCCGCACGTTGTAGTCAAAGTAGATGCCCTTCTCCTCGTTCCACATGTACTTATCGATGAGCTGTTTGCGGCGTTCGGCTAGCTGCTCCCATTTCTCGGCCGTCTCTGTGTTGTCGTTGATCACCAGATGGTTGTTGAAGTACTTGCGAATTATCTGCGCAATGTCGCGCTCGTACTTGTACAACAGCGAGTTTAGGTCCACGGTGGCCAAATCAGCACACACTCCTTCCAGCCGGTACGACGTGTCATGGCCGCTTTCTCTCACTGCACGGTCGTGCAGAAAGTAAATGTCCAGCTCGTGGTCCACGATCTCGCCGTTATTGTACTTCTTTGTAAATTCCTCAAACGAAACGCCGTATTTCTCACAGTATGGTTGTAAAACAGCACAGAAATGCGTGGCCTCTGTTTCTGGAGGAATGCCTTTACCATCTGGGTGGTAGCACGACAACCCGGTCTCTGGGTCAAGTCTTGGTTCGGAACACCAGACGGTATAGTATTCTTTGATAGCTGCGCGAACAGATCTTTCCAAGAAATCAAGATCCTCAATATCTCTCTTCTGTTGCAAATAGGTGAAAACCTGGATTGCCATGTCGGTTAAAAATGGAGGCTGTGATCTTCCCAAGTAGTACGACCGGTTTGCGTTCAGGATCTTGCCGTAGTTCTCGATCTCGAAAATAAAGTTCTCGCACATGCCGATACACGGCTCGACAATATCGCAGGAGAGCAATCCCAGGGTCTCGAAATAGGAATCCCAGCCATACTGTTCGTTAAACCGTCCGCCAGGAACAACGTACGGGAACCCTTCCAAATCGCCGTACTTGTTGCTCTTTCTGCGTGCAGCCAATGCCAGAAGTCCCGGCTTGTGATTGATTGACTTGATGTAGTCGGCATCAATCTTCTCGGGAAGATACTCTACCTGGAGATTTTGTTCGGGACATTTCTTGGCCAGCGACTCGTAGAAGGCAAAATGCTCTTGACAGTTGTGGGGAACGTAGATCCTAGGCATCTTCGCCTCTGGAGTGTCGATCTTGGTATCCAAAGCCATCTCAATCACCGTGTCCTCGTCAAGTCTTCGAGTGAGGTTTTTCCAGAACGTCTTGGAAATGAGTCTTTTGAGTCTGTTGACCGGGTTCTCGTTCAATCTGGCCTCGTCGAGAATCATCTGCTTGCGACCCATGCGTTTGGCAATTGTCAATTCCTGTAGTAAGTTGGACAACATGTATGTTCCTCTGATATCGTATTGTCTGAACCCGTTGGAGTTTGCGGTTCCCAGTTTCAAAACCTTGGGTCCACTATCCTCGATGGTGATCTGGTAGTTTCTATCTGTGTCTTCGTTTTCCAACAGCTCTTCCAAAGTGGCGTCGATGTCACTGATAAAAAACCGTTTGGAGTTCTTCATGCTGGAAGAATCGTCTGCAGATCCACGCCGTCTCAGCGTGGTGTTGCTCGTGCCGCTGTTCAACGTTCCCGACGACGGCGCCGGAAGCGAGTACATCTTGCTGGCATTGACAGCGTCCAGATTGTGATCCCGAACAAGCAATGAGGTAGATTCGGAGGGAGAAGCAACGTCCGATCCCGATGCACAGGGCGGACCCGACACCGCCGAGTCGTTGTCATCGTCCGATTCATGGTGCAGGTCAAACACCGCCGACCCGTTCGAAGGCGTGGGCGAAGGCGAGAACGTATCTTGATGGAACAGTTTGCGGTGGCTAGGAACAACCGCAGACATTGTCCTTGTTCGGCCATACCTGGAGTTCTTATTGGACTTCGAGGGGTCTGTCTGGGGCCCGTAGTAGGTATCTGCCGCGGCAAATGGGTCTATTTCTTCAAAAGAGGTCTTTCTTTGGTGAGAAAAAGGCATGGTTACAGGTTAAGAATTTACTAGACAAGTATGGGGAAAAAGAATATATGCTTATGTCAGCAACATGGAGAGGGGAGCCAGGGGTTGATGGGGCGGGGAGCAACCGAGAATGGGACAAGGCGGATGTGTGCTGGAGAAATCCGTATGTGAGCAAATTGCAACGATTTGCAACTAGATTACGGTTGCAACAAGATGAATGTTGTTTGGACACGGTTGATCACCCATCAGGGTGTTGTTACCCTGCTTAAAAAATTTAACGGCGAAAATTAGATCAATTCATAAACAACATGAGTGAGGACAAGAGCGTTTCCAGCGTGCCAAAGACAGAAGAATCGGGCCTGAAGCCACCTACTTCGAACGTGTTTGCTATGTTTGGCGGAGCTGGCGCCAAGAAGGAGGAAAAGAAGGAGGAAAAAGAGGAAAAGGAAGAGTCCAAGAAAGAGTCCAAGGATAAAGAAGAGGACGAGGAAGAGGAGCCAGAAAACGACGATATCCATTTTGAGCCGCTTGTTCAGCTGGAGAAGGTCGAGGTGAAGACGAACGAGGAAAACGAGGAGGTTCTGTTCAAGATCCGTGCCAAGTTGTTCAAGTTCCATCCAGATTCCAAAGAGTGGAAAGAACGGGGTACTGGAGACGTCAAGTTCTTACAACACAAGGAAACCAAGAAGGTGAGATTGTTGATGAGAAGAGACAAGACCTTGAAGGTGTGCGCCAACCATATCATTGCTCCTGAATACAAGCTGACTCCGAACGTTGGATCTGACCGTTCGTGGGTGTACAATGTCACTGCTGACGTGAGTGACGGGTTGCCAGAGGCACAAACGTTGGCCATTCGGTTCGGCAACAAGGAGAACGCCGACAAGTTCAAGGATGAGTTTGAGAAGGCACAAAAGCTCAACAAATAGTGCAAATAGTGGCATATATACCAGTAATTATTGTATTAACGGTAAATGTATGGTACAACGGATCAGTCGTCCTTTTCGTGGCGTTGTAAAAGCCGATCGTTTCGCCGTGTTCTGGAAGACCTGTTCCACCCCCACTTGAACAAGGTCCAGAGCATCAAGGTGGGGGTGAACTGTGGCCAGAGCACAGAAAGTATTTCAATGTCGCAGTCAACGTCCACGGCTTCCCAGAGCATAAAGTCGCTTAGTCTGTAAACTCCCGAGGTTCGTATAAGAAGTTGCAATCGTGGGATTCCCCCCGTGTACAAATTATCTGCGATCAGGTCCTGGTCAATCATTTCCGGGTCGTAGCCCTTGGCAAGGATGGTTTTAATGGAATGTGTCATGTCGTCTCTGGCGGTGTAGGGACAGCAGATATTGAGCACTGCGCGGGTGTTATTCTTGGTCATTTCCTGGGCCTCGAGCAAGGAGTCTCGCACGTCGTGCGGCAGCAGCTTGACGTTGCCCAGAATGCGGATCCGGATGCCGTACCTGTCGCACAGCTCGCCGTGCTCTATGACTTGTTTCATTTTGGATTTGGCGAGTTTCATCAGCCACTCGATCTCGTACTCGGGCCGATTGAAGTTCTCGATCGAGAACGCAAACACGGTTGCTGCCTCGACGCCGCAGTCGTAGCAGATCTCCAATAGTCGGGCCATGGTGTCGAAGCCGGCACTGTGACCCTCGTTTGTCTCCATCTTGTTGATCTTGGCAAACCGTCTGTTGCCATCCATGATGAACCCAATGTGTTTAGGGACCGCTCCGCTCTTCAGAACATGGCACAGCTGCCGTTTGGTGTACTCCAAGACGTGGCGCGTGAGAGGAAACGTGGATATCCAGTCCATGAAAAAAATATCCAACCAATATTAGTTTTTTATTTAATAATTGGCAACTGGTGATGTTGCGGCCAATTTGTTTGATTAGACGCTACTCGTCGTTTTCGGCGGCTATCGAGACCGCCGAGAAGCTCGTGCAGCCCCACGCCAGCTCCAAATTCGACCCCTTCAGCATGGTGTCGGCGGAAATGCGGGTCCTGGCAAAGAACATTGCTTCTCTTATTGGCTCTGGACATCCGACCTTGAATAGGGTTACCTCGTACTATTTCGAGGCAGAGGGCAAGAACGTGAGGCCGTTGATCGTTCTGCTGCTCTCGAAGGCCCTGGCGAAAATCCCCGAGTCCGAAAGAACTCGCATAGCAATTGACCCGTACGACGTCAACGAGCAGGACGAGTTTAGAGGAACCCCAAAGGCGTTTTCGTTTGCTGGACAGAACCCGCTGGACTCAATCAGCCCGTTGCGGGTGCTGCACGGGATCAACCCGAACATCATCCTGAACCCGTTGTCCAAACCCATGATGAGCAGAGAACAGTACCGCGAAAAAGACCTGGCCAACGGGATTCTCCCGAAACAACGAAGACTGGCCGAGATCGCAGAGATGATCCACACCGCGTCGTTGCTGCACGACGACGTGATCGACTTCTCCGACTCCCGACGCGGCAGAGACTCCGGCAACATTGCGTTCAGCAACAAGATGGCCATTCTTGCCGGCGACTTTCTTCTGGGGCGGGCGTCTGTTTCGCTGGGGCGGCTGCGCAACAGCGAGGTGGTCGAGCTCATGTCGACCGCCATAGCGAACCTTGTGGAAGGCGAATTCATGCAACTGAAAAATACCGTTATGCAACCAAATCTCGACCAGATCGAAAACGACGGCGCGGTGAAGCAGATCCCGGCCCCCACGGGCAAGGTTCCCGTGGAGGTGCACGAGTACTCGGTCAAGAGTCCTCAACAGATCTCGCACGAGGAAAACGTCGAGGCCGCGTTCCAATACTATTTGCATAAAACCTACCTGAAAACAGCGTCGCTCATGTCCAAGTCGTCGCGGTCGGCCGCAATTCTGGCCGGCTGTAACGAGGAGATGATCGAGAACTGCTACCAATTCGGCAGAAATCTGGGACTCTGTTTCCAAATCGTGGACGATATGTTGGACTATACAACCACCGCAGAGCTGCTTGGAAAACCAGCAGGAGCAGACTTGCAGCTCGGTCTGGCCACGGCCCCTGTTCTGTACGCGTGGAAGGACAAGCCGGAACTCGGCCCAATGATCGGCCGCAAGTTCTCCAAGCCTGAGGACGTGGAGCTAGCCAAGAAGGCCGTGCTGGAGGCTCGTGGAGTCGAGAAAACCAGACAGTTGGCTGAACAGTACTGTTCCGAGGCCCTGAAGAATTTGCGAACGCTCCCGGACTCGGACGCAAGAAACGCTCTAGAGCTGCTCACAAACTCCGTGCTAACCAGATCCAACTAGCTCTGTAGGCCATTACCTGTCGATGTATATACTGGATAGACAAGAACTGGCGTCGATAGTCGCGCCAACGACCTTGAAAAATTTAAAGTTATTTTCTCCCTACTTAGTGGTTTATGATCCCCCGGAGATCTGCTGGTTTGGCCAAACTTATGCCGTCTGTCGCTGCAAGACTGCAATCCACAATGACTCCCAAAGAATTAGACGCCGAGTTCCAAAAATCCGTCCATGATCTGGCGCCAAAATACCAATCCAACCCTGGAACCCAAACAAAGAACGGGGTGCTCCCCGTGGCAGAGGCCCTCCAACTGATCAACTCTCGCTCCTACAACCTTTTGTCGCTTGACATCGAACACTACGAGCGCCACTCCCAGAACGTGCTCGAACTCGGCGTGTCCGTGTACAAGCCCGCGTACCAGGCCCATGCATTATTCCCTCATATAGTCAACTTCCATATCATTCTGAAAGAAGGACTCAATTACTTCAACGGCAAATACGTTCCAGATAATCGACTCAAAAACGTCACGGGCCAGTCGATTCTCGCAACCAAGACAGAGGCCATCGAGATCCTCGCCAAGATCTTTGAGGAGCTGGACGTCTCGAAAACGCTGCTAGTAGGCCATGGAATCGGATCAGACCTCTCAGTGCTCCGCAAATGGGGACTCCAGATTCCCGAGACGCTGCGGGTGGTGGACACGACGAAACTTTGGCTATCGCTGCGAATTACGTCGAAAAAATCCGCGCTCTGGTTCGTGCTCGATAAATTAGGCATTCCTTACGCGTTTCTACATAACGCGGTCAACGACTCGTACTATACACTGGTTGCGTGTCTGATGCTGTCGTCGCCCGAGATTCGCAATAATCTCGTCGCTAAAGATTTGAAGTTCGACCTGGAAACAGAGGAAGAGTTGGAAGTGCGCTCGGTGCGCTGCTCTCCAAGCGACGAATCGCTCGATAAAAGAGGCCCGGTAAGAAATAGCTCGATCGTGAAACCCATGTACTTCCACCTGCCTGTCGCTAAAGATGCTGTCAAGTTCGTCGAGGACAAGCTCAAAGAGCTGCCCTGAGATCACTGGGAAATAATGTCCCTGTTCTGAAGAGTGATCGACTTGGTCATGTTGCTCACTTTGTAAATACCAACCAGCTGTTTAGCCAACTCGAACATGTTGTTCCGCAGAGAAATCACAATGAACTGCGCGTTCTTTGTCCGCTCCTTGATATAATTTGCAACAATGCTCACGTTTCTGAAATCCAACGCAGCATCGATCTCGTCCATAACATATAACGGTGTAGGTTTGTACCGATGGAGAGCAAACACCAGCGCCAACGAAGAAAGCGTCTTTTCTCCTCCAGAAAGATTGCTGATGTTCTTCCACGACTTCTTTGGTGGCATCACAGAGAATAGAATACCTTCAGAAAACGGATCCAAAGAGTCAACAAGCTCAAGCTCCGCGTTTCCTCCCATGGTGATCATCTGGTACATCTGCTTCAACGTCAGCGAGATCTGGTTGAAACCCGCCATGAACTCGTCCAGCCTCTGCTTCTTGAGGTTCTCGCACGCTTCTTTCAACTCGTCCCGTTTCACAACAGACTCGTTCAAGTCGGCTTTCCGTTCAGTGAACTCCTTGAACCGTCTGGCGTACTCGTGCAAAGTGTCCAGATCAACCGTCATGGAATCAACCTCCTTCTCCAGCTCCTCGATCTCGGCCTCAAGAGTCTCCGGGTTGACTTTCTCCAGCTCTTCAGGAGTGTACTCGTGAGGTGGGGCAAGCAGCTGTTGTTTCTCCTCGCCGTCCTCCATCCATCCTATCAACCCTTCAAGTTCACGATACTCTGCCGTTCCTATCTCGTTGGTGATCTTCTTGATGTTGCGTTCGTAGCTGTTGATACTGCTCTCGCACCTCTCAACCTCACTAGCAAGTTTAATCTCTTCCTTGCGCAAGTCGGCTATCTGAGATTGTTTGGCATTGAGTTCTTCCTTCGACTGTTCGCATTTCTCGGTGACGTCTTCCAATTGGCTCGTCAGCTCCTCGAGCTCTTTCTCAGAGCTCTGGAACTTGCGCAGACTCGAGTCGTACGTCTCTTTGATCTTGGAAATGTCGTTTTCTGCTTCCTGGATCTCGATCGAGTTTTCCGAGATCTGGCCTTTGAGTCGCGTGACCATATTGTGCAATTTAGTGAGCTGTAAACTGTCGCTCGACTCCTTCTCGTTCAGAATCTCAAGCTTTTGCAAAACAGATTCCACCTTCGATTGTTGCATTTTCAGCTTGACTCCTCCAGCCTCCATGATTTTCTCCTGGATTTCGGCAATCTGGTCTGCAAGTCCCTGAGACTGATCCTTCAAACTCTTCTTCTCGGACTCGAGCTTCTCGATCGCTGTGGACTCCTCAACTATCTGCTTGTGCATCTTGGCGAGTTTGTCCTTGTTGGCCAAAACATCCTTCGACCGAGCTTTTGCAGCTTCGGCTTCCTGACGATCCATATCGTGTTCGAGCTCCAGTTTCGAGATCTCCATGTCAATCTCCGGAAGTCTGTCGTGGAAATTGGAAAGAGCATTTTCCATCTCGTAGAAAGCAGATTGAGCTTTCGTAAATGCGTCCTCCTTCAGTTGAACCTCGTCGGCCATAGCTTTAAGCTCCGTCTCGGAAATCTCGTTCCCTGTCTTGGCAGCAGACTTCAATCTCATCGCACCTCTGAACATCCTGTTTCCTCCTCCAGATAATGTACCACTGGTGTCCACCAGCTTACCATCCAGAGTAACCACACGCCATCTTTTGGCTCCAAAGGCAACCTTGTTGGCTTCCTGTAAATTGCGACTCACCAGAGTGTTGTACATGGAGCTGTAGAACGCAGGCGCAAACTTGGGATCAACAGGCGTGATGAGATCAAACAGCCGCGGAACATTATTTGGAGTCTGGATCTTGGACAAGTTGAATTTACGCAACTTGTCCAAAACGATAAACTTTCCAAACCCAAGGTTGTTCTTTCTCATGTATGAAATACACTGTTGTGCAATCTCAACAGTATCAACCACCATGTCGTCCAATGAACCTCCTCCCGTGGAAACAGCAACGTCATACTTGTCATCGATCACTCCGAGATCTCCCAATCTGCCGTGGAACCCGGTAAGACGCCCTGAGTTCTTCAGATGCGTAAGAGCTTGTAAAACCCTGTTTCTCGACTGAGTGTTTGTGACTCTGACATTTGCCTCGTTCATTCTATCTCTCAAAGAAGTGATCTCCGACTCCATAGCATCTAACTTCTTCTTTGCCTCGTTAACCTCTTTTTCGCCCAGTTTGATCTGCTCAGCAACATGGAGCTTCTCTTTCTTCAAATGTGCTATCTGTTTCTTTTTTGCCTGTGCAAGTGCAAGCTTCTCTTCTGCTTTCCCTTCAAGATTGGAAGTTTCGGTTTCCAGCTCTTGGAGCTTGTTCTTGACAATCTCAAGCTGCGATGTCTTGATATCGATCTCCGCCTGCTTTGCGCCAATCTTGTCCTTCCAAGGCTCCATTTCCTGTTGCAATTTAGACACAGCCATGGACAGATCCTTGGTTTTCTCAGAAACCTCCACTTTGATACTTTCAAGTTGTTTCTTCTCCTGATCCAGAGTCCTGGTCAATTGCTCGCTTTGGGCAGTGTACTCCTGCTGGTTCCTTTCAAGATCGGCGATCTTGGACTCGCTCTCGCGAAGTTGAGACGAGCTGGTCTGCTGGGCCTTTTCAGCCTTTTTTTTGCGATTCTCGTTGTGCTTGATTTTCTCGTCCATCGAAACTTTCTCCTTCTCGATCTTCTTATGCGCATTCTTGAGGTTCGTCACCTCTTTTTCCAAATGTTTAACCTCCGAACTTAACTCGTGGTATCTCTTTGTCTCCTCCTCAACCTGTTGAATATGCTCTGCGTTCTGGTGCTTCATCTCGGTGAGTTTCTGTTTGAGCGTCTCGAGACTGGCTTTTTTCTCGGAAAGGAGGCCTTTGTCTTTCAACAGACGACACTGCAAGTACACAGACTGCTTGTCAGAAAGCGATTTTTCCTTGCGCAGAAAAGTCAACGCTGTTTCTTTGCCAGCTTCCAAGTCGTTTTTCGCTTTCTCAACAATCTCGTACCGGTGCTCTTTCTGAACACACACCTCGTTCAGCTCGTCGATCTGAACCAGACTGCCCTCGATCGAGGCCTTATACTTTGCTGTGCCAATGATATCTTCCAGATACTCCAACAACCCATCGTCGCTCTGGCCTTCTGCTTTCGGTTTCATCTGTGCTATGCTTTCCACCTCACCTTGGAGAATCAGAAATCGCTTGTGGTCCAGATCAATACCCTGATCTTTCAACAGTGTCTGGACTTCTGTGTAGGTGCATTTTTTGTCGTTGATGTAGTACTCTGACGAGTTGGTCCGGTACGCTTTTCTGCTAACCACCAGATCTGCCACCGGAAGAGCCTCTGTCTGTAACTCGCCGTTTTCGTCGTAGCTGTCGAGAACCGTTTTGAAATGGATATCGACCTGACAGAAATTGAGGTTTGGGAAGTTTTCGGAATTGTGGATCAACTCGCTCAGCTTGGATTGTCTCATCTTTGTTGCGCGAAACCCAAACACGAAAAGAAGCGAGTCGATCACGTTTGATTTACCCGACCCGTTGGGCCCAACAACCGCCGAAAAGCTCGAATTGAACGGCCCCACAACCTGTCTACCCGCATACGACTTGAAGTTGGTGAGAACAAGCTGTTCTATCACCAAACGTGGCTGAAACTGTTCCTCCAGATCTGGTTTCTGGTCCATGGAGTACTGGCTCTGGACACCGTTGGTCTGTTGGGACGCCGGACCGGGGTTCTCTGGCTTGAGAGCAACCACCTGAACCGGCTGCTGGTTCACGTTACGGGGCCCCAACATCTTTCGAGAAGGCTCTGTTTGATTCATAAACAAAACACGAAAAACAAAACACAAAAAAATATATGGGCCGTATTAGCTAAGCAGGTTTTTACGTTAGCCGGAGAAACCAGGACTGGGGCCGGACTGGTGTCGGAACCTAACCAGAACGGGTAAGGCACACACACACTCAAACTCAGGCCCACTATCGACACCATCTCATGTTTTCCACAAACGGCCAACCCCATTTGGCTTACCCGACCTGCTCCTTCAGCCCTACCCCCACAGGCCCCCCATCTATCGGAAAAATTTTTATACACTTCCCCCGTGGATACCCACAATAGGTACCCCGCGATCGTATTGTCGCGCAAAAGTTTGTCCGCCTTTTTAAAATTTTAAATTGTATCTGTTATGTTTGGTTATAAGCTTTTTGGCAATAACGGGCAGGAACTGTACTCCACGCCACGTGAATTCCACGTAAAGGCGCGGGAGGACATCCAGCGCCATTTACAAAAGCTCCAGGATAAAAAAACCGCCAAATCCACCGAACAAGCTCAGCCGGTTCCGGAACAAGAGGCGTCGCTCACGTACGGCTCATCGCCGCTCCGCAGGGCCATCACGGTCTCGTCGCAGGACTCGTCCGATGAGACGTCCATAGATTCCGAACCGGTGCAATTGCAAAGACGCCAGACGATGGAATCGGCTGAGTCGTCGCTGTTCACCCAACTTTCGCAAATATACTCAAATACTACGCTTCCGACGCAGGTCAGCGACGTTCCTGTTGCTCATTCGGACCAGATATCGCTGGCAGAGGCGCTTCCTCGCGATTTCAGAGATTATTACTCGCCAGATCTGCAAACCCCACGGTTCCCCAACGGACGCCCCCTTTTCACCAAGAGAAATTTACGGGATTGGGAACTTAACGACATCAGGTCGCTTTTGATTGTCGATAGTGTGCGGCCGGAATGGAAGGGCAAATCGCCGCTGATTCGGCTGCCATATGTGCCTGTTACGCTGAAAATCCAGGTGCTACCGCTGGACGCACCCGATGCCCAATACGTCGAAACTCTGGCCAATTCTGACATCTACGAGGAGAGTCGGTTCGATATCGAGTTTAGACAGAAAACAGCAAACTACATTGTCCAACAGGCGCGTCAGCGACACGCCAGCCAGTTCCAGCATCAGACTTTTATGAAGTACGAATGGCGCAACATTGTGGAGAACTATTTGCTGAATCTCGCGATCGAAAATCAATGCAGATATGAGTTCAAGCAGAAGGTGAGCGGGCTTAAAAAGGCTAAAAACCAGGGCATTCGTGGTGACGAAGTGCTATACAAAAAAGTGTTGAAGAACAGAATCGAACTAACCGACGAGGTTAAGTTCCAGATCTGGCAGGAGGTGCAGAAATCGGTGTATAAGAGTTTGGAGAGCGCATGACCGAACTTACTAGGCAATCTTTATAGAAAAGCTGAATCCAAGTGGTGTAAATTTAAAAAAGAGTCGTTATTAATTGTGAAGTCTATATGGAGCAAATTAATTTATGGTGGACTTCTGTTTAAGGGCCTTGATGAATCCAGACTCTTCTCCTAGTACTGTGTACACTTTCAGAAGCTCGAACTTGTCCTCGTTTGAAGCAGATTGGACTTTGCTGTCGAGAACGCTTTTCAGCTCCATTTTCATTCCGGCAATCTTCTTGCCCACCATCGCTACCATCTCCAGGTTCTTGTACTTGAGCACAGATTCGTAGATGCGGTTCACCGACAAAAATAGGACCACGAGCTCCTTGACGTCGCCAGAGCTGATTTTCTTGGAAAAAAGCGTTGCTTGCTCGTCCAATATCATCAGCTGGTTGATGATGGCTTTGTAAACGCTGAGTTTGCGTTTGTACAACAACAGATCGTCCACCACCTCGAGATCGGCGTCGATCTTCACGTTGGCCAGCGACAGGTCTCGAATGTATCCGTTGAGGTCGATTTTGCAGTCGTGAATCAGGTCCACCGACCCGTCGATCGAGTTTCCGAGCTGGATGAAGTTCAAATAGTCGTTGTTGACCAGATCGATCAGTTCCTGATCGATTTCATGCAATAGAGAGCCCAGAGACTTGGTCAGGTCGTCCAGCGACCAGTACTTGTAGCTCTGGGAAATGAACCGCGACGGGTCGAACTCGCCCGGCGGCAGTTTGGCAAGGTTGTATTGGAACGACTCACGCGTCAGCGTGGAGTAAAAGTCCAGGGAATCTTCAGAATGAATGGATTCCGTCATTATTTATAACAAATAACCCAGATGAATTTTTAAAAAATAACTTTTAATCTCCTGTTGCTTTCTTTATGCTCCCTCCGGAGGTTTGGACAATTATTTGCAGCCAGTTGTCACAATTCGACCTGTGCTCGCTGCTATTGGTCAATAAAGAACTATCCGATATAGCATTGGCCCAGTTGTATTGCTCAATTATCGTCGATAGCCATTACACCCAGTTCGATCCAGAATACGTCCAGACAAACCGGCTTTTCCAGACCAGAAAGACGTTTATCCGCACGAAACCCAACATCAACGGGTTTCTTCACAGTTCCAAGGTGGCCAAGGTGAAATGTCTGGAAATTGTTCATTGTCCCCAGGAATTTATCGACTTTGAGCTCAAACTGTCTAAATCACTGGCCAGCTTCACCAGCTTGGCGGCTTTGCGAATAGATCAGCCTGTTTCGCTTGATCTTCTCGAGAACATCCACTCGAATCTCGACCATTTGTCTCTCGCAATCAACAACTTCCGGCCGTGCAGACTCCAATTTGCTCCGCTGTGCTTGAAATCCATCTCGATCGGGCCCTCAAGCCAGCCAAACGATTTGACCTCCGCGTTGGTCCAGGACACGTCCAAATTGCAGGCTTTGGAACTCGTTCGTCCTCACCGCAAAATCCATCTCAGAGACCTCATTTCGTCCTCAATCAGATACCCCAGAACAGTGCTGGACTTCCCGGCCGTGTCTCATTTGAGTCTCGTGAGCGCAATTCTCACTCCGCAAGACTCCATCCCGCTGGCGGTGCAAAACAACCTGAAATCCATCTGTTTCGCAGACACCAACGAGATCGCCGAGTCTGAGTCGCTGCTGGACACGCTCAACCCTCCCAAGCTGGAAATCCTAGCAATAGACCTTCGTCAAGGGTCCATCGACTCTGTGGCTCCGTTTCTGAACCGATTGTCCCCAAACTCGCTCCGCGAACTGAGTCTCGTAATCAGATACAACATCCTGAAACAATCCCCGCTCATGCAGCTGCTCGATCAGTACGTCGCTGCCATTTCCAGACAGTCCGGGTCGCTTGAAAAACTGTCTTTGGAAATCAGGTCCGAAAAAGAACTCGTGGAACTCCACGAACAACTGTCCGAGTCGCAATTTTCGCAACTATTCATGAAACAGTCGTTTCCGCGTCTATCTTCGCTTCGAATCCAAACCCAGTTCGCCTTCATCAGCAAAAATAAACAGTCTTTCTTCAACTGCCTGCCAAATTTGCAGAAATTGTGGATTCTTGGTAGCAACTCGTTCGAAAAACATTGGGGGCTCGGCAACGCGTATCCGGGCGTTTTCGACAACTGGCTTCGGATCCAACACCTCCCTACAGGTCTGCTCAACGACGCACCAAAACCAAACACAAAACTAGAGTACATCAAGATCGACGAGTGTTTGTTCCAAATCAAAAAGGAACAAGACGTCTACGAAATCGTTCCTAGAGACTCGATCGACAGCTGGTTTGAGTCCCACACAGATGTGAGATGGAACCCCAGACTGTGGTCGAGCGAGATCCTCATGGTGGACTCCTGACCCGCAAAAACCCTGTGCATAGACCTACAACACATACCGTGTCATGATACGACAAAGTTTTTATTTTACATCAGTACGACCCCTGAGACACCCAATTTGTGTAGAAATAGGTCCCAACACCGTGGGGGTCCTTGCCAGCCACCTAGGACGCCGTGGAGGAAGTAAAAAAATATGGACGAGACCGGAGTCGAACCGATGACCTTCTGCTTGCAAGGCAGACGCGCTACCAACTACGCCACACGCCCTAACGTTCCAAAAATTGAGACTCCGTGCACTAAGTGCGCCTTGCTCACGCAGCCCGGTTGACCAAACCTGCCCTGCATGCAGCGGCCGTGGGTCGCTACCAGATACCACACTATGTGTATTCTTCCGTGCGACACAGTCCAGATCGACGTGCGAGCCAGCTGCACAGTCTGACAGGTGTGGCTACAGAAAATTGTCCGACAATGGTTGCAAACCATGGTTTACAGGTGGGTGACAACAGCGAGCAACAGGGTCCATCTCCAACGCCCGCAAAGAACTCCCTGTCCGACCCCCAAACCATCCCATCGACGAATATCAGCCCAACCGTTAGGCGAAGAGCACTAAAATTTCGCGCACTCCGGTTCCGGCACTTTTTTTTCCAATTTATGACTCTTCCTCAACCATGTCATTAGCAGCGTCAGTATCGTCCCTCTACTCCCTACAAACTGGATGGATAGTCCAGAAATTCGGCGGCACAAGTGTCGGCAAGTTCCCCGAGCAGATATGCGACGACATTATCAAGGTGTACAACGAATCTCACAAGGTGGTTGTGGTGTGCAGTGCTAGATCGACCCATTTGAAGACACAAGGCACCACCACGCGACTTCTGACCGCAGCAGAGCTTGCAGCAGACGACAAACAGGAGGAATTTCAGCAGCTGCTGAAACTGGTGCAGGAAGACCATGTGAATAATGCCAAAGAAAAGATCAAGAACCCAGAGCTCAGAGAGCGACTGGTGAAGGAGACGGTGGAGGAGATCGAGCACGTGAAGCGGCTGTTGAACGCGTGCTTGATCATCGGAGAGATCAGCGCGAAATCGAACGACGTGGTCATGGCATGCGGCGAGAAGCTGAGCTGCCGGTTTATGGCGTATTTACTAAAGGACAGAGGTGTCCGTGCCAGCTATGTTGATCTTTCGTCTGTGACTACGAACATGGACTTCAGCAACGGGCTGGATGCGGCCAGTTACAAGACTCTGGGCGAGCGGTTTGCTGCCGAGGTGCGCAAGTTGCCCGAAGGGACGGTTCCTGTTATGACAGGGTTTTTTGGACTAATTCCTGGAGGGTTATTACGTGGGGTGGGCAGAGGTTATACAGACCTTTGTGCTGCGCTGACGGCCGTTGGTCTCGGTGCCGATGAGCTGCAGATCTGGAAAGAGGTGGACGGCATTTTCACGGCAGACCCTCGCAAAGTGCAGCGGGCCAAGCTTCTGTCCTCTGTCACGCCCGACGAGGCCGCAGAGCTCACCTACTACGGTTCCGAGGTTATTCATCCGTTCACCATGGAGCAGGTTATCAAGGCACGGATCCCGATTCGCATCAAGAACGTCATGAACCCAACGGGCGAGGGCACCATCATCTACCCGGACAATCTGGGCAAGCGCGGCGAGGCCACGCCGCCCCATCCGCCGATTTCCGTGCAGAACCTGCCATCTTCTGTGTTCACAGCCTCCAAAACAGCCACCGCCGTCACTGCCAAGTCGGACATCGCCGTTCTCAACATCCACTCCAACAAAAAGACGCTCTCGCACGGGTTTCTGGCCAACGTGTTCACCATCCTGGACAAGCACAAGTTGGTGGTGGACCTGATTTCCACGTCGGAGGTGCACATTTCCATGGCCTTGCACTATACCAGCGATTTGAAGCACAATTTCGGTAAGGCCCTGGAAGAGCTGACCAAGTACGGAGATTGCGACGTGACCAAAGACCTGTGCATTGTCTCGCTGGTGGGGATCCACATGAAACAGCTGATTGGTATTGCCGGCGCCATGTTCAAAATTCTGGCCGATGAACGCATCAACATCGAGATGATCAGTCAGGGAGCCAACGAGATCAACATTTCCTGTGTTATAGACAAAAAAGACGTGATCAAGGCGCTGAACGCGCTGCACGACCGGCTGCTACTGCGTGCGTTCACGGGCGGCAACGCGGTCGACCAGCGGCTCGAAAACCTCAAGCTGGACGATGTAATTTAGATAGTCAAGTTCAGTACTCTAATTAGGTTTAAAACACAAAGATGTGGTCGCCGAGTTTGGACACCGGCTTGGCCTTTCTGAAGCCCAGCTCGTTGGCTGCTTTCTTCAATGCACTGGTCATTGGTGGAGGTCCACATAGGAGCACCTGGACGTCGTCTGCGGCCGCAGCACCGTGTTTTTGCAACAGGTCCTTGGTGATAAAACCGACTTCACCGGTCCACCCTTCCGGAGCGTTGTTGAGAACATGAACCACCTTGATGTTAGGGAACTCCTTCTCGATCAGATCGAGCTCTGCCTTGAGCAAAATGTCCTCGGCAGTCACGTTTCCATACAAAAGAGTCACCTTGGTGCGGTCTTCTGGATTGTTGGTTATGGCCTTGATGATCTGGTACATTGGAGTGATGCCTGTTCCTCCTGCAACCATCACAAACTCTCTCACCATGTTCGGGGTGTAGGTGAAGAATCCCTTTGGCCCACGCACACGGATACATTCGCCCAGTTCGAGCCCGTCAACGTGCTTGGAGATGTTACCCTTGTCGTAAACCTTGATCAACAGGTCAAAGTAGCCCTTGCAATCCTCGTCCAAGGACATTGGAGTGTACGAGCGGACAATCTCCTTGCCGCCGATATCGGCGCCAATGGAAATATGCTGGCCAACAGGCAATCCCAGAACGTCTGTTGGTCTTGGAAGTCCAAATCTGAAGATAGCGGAATTCTTGGACACGATGGTCTTTTGGATCAATGGGAACTCCTGGAACCGGTCGGCCTTCAGAACCTTGCGCTCCTTGGGCGACAGAAGATAGAAACCAACCAGGGCAGCAACCAAAGCAGACAGAGCTGCGTAAATCAAACTGTTTTCAGTCATGGACACAAAGTTTAATGGGTGGTGAAATTTATTTTATAGGGAAGCTTACCTAATAAATCTCGGCGGATTTGAGTGCTTTATTTGGCAAAAGAAAACGAACGATGGTTGTTTAGACATTGCGACAGGGTTGATACCGTTATGACGCATCTTGTTCCCATGCGGCTGTAAAATATAGGGCGGATCTTTTCACCCTCGCTACCTGACACATGCGCAGCTCATACCATCGCATCGAGATCGACCGCAGTCTCCTCGCGCCGATCGACGCAATCCCGACCCACGGCAGTCACCCTTTTTTTTAATTTTTTGATTTGTTTCCTTCATTTCCATGGGAAGATGAACCTCACGCAAAGCCCTGCAGACGGCCACTCTGCCGGCTCCCACACGCCGCGCACCAGCATGGACCGTTTGCGGTTGATCGGCCATCGGCTTTCGTTTTCGAAACATACACCACCCAACCCCACATCCCACAGCAACTTATCGTCGTCTTTAAAAGTCCAAACCAACGAGTACAACCCGGAAGAACTCGCGGAGTCGTCGGAATCCGAGTCGGAAACAGAGGAGAATCTCAAGAAAGAGGAGGACGAGAAGGACTATTGCGAAGGAGGGTATCATCCCACGTATTTCGGTGAGCGGTACGGCACAGAGAAACAGTATGTGATTGTGCGGAAGCTTGGCTGGGGCCATTTTTCCACCGTTTGGCTCGCGTACGATTCTATACACCATCGCCATGTGGCCATCAAGATTGTTCGGTCTTCCAAGAACTACAGAGAGGCCGCCTTGGACGAGATCAAGATATTGGAGAAAGTCAACAATGGGCCAGAAAACCATCCCGGACGAAGACATGTGGTGCAGATGTTGGACCATTTCGTCCACACGGGGCCGAACGGAGAACATATTTGTATGATTTTCGAGGTTTTGGGCGAAAATATGCTCAGCCTTCTACTCAGATACAAGCAGTTTCAGAAGCAAAAAACAGAGGAGTACAAAAAAACGTCTGTTTCAGACGACGACAACTTGTCTGCGATTTCTGTTGAACATCACATGAGCACGATCAACGATCTTACGATACTGAAGGAAAGCTACGGGGGTCTTCCGCTGACTTTGGTCAAGCAGATCGCCAAACAATTATTGTTGGCCCTCGATTACCTGCACAGAGAGTGCGGCATAATTCATACTGACATCAAGCCGGAAAACGTTTTGGTGGAGATCAACGACGTGGAGAAACTCGTGCAGATGCTCGAGCGAGAAAGAAAAGATAGAAAGCTCTCGCGTCACCGGAACTCGAGATCTCAGCAGAGCTCGGACCCCGTCGTTGGCGACAGGTCCCGATCCGCGTCGCACAGACCCAAGCCGATCCGCCTGTCCAAGCCGTTGACATCCCCTGTGGAAACCAGGGGCTCGGTGGACAATTTCTTCCGTTCGTTCTCGTTCTCGCAGAAACGTGCCAGCTCTCATGAGTCGTTCATGCATGCCAAGAGCGAATCTGCGCCGGCCGTCTCCTCGATTCCGCCGGTGCCGCCTGTTCTTGCTCCGAATCCTGCAGCGTTTACAATTTCCCCGCAGGCGATTCCCGAAGAAGAGGAGTCGTCCGAGGAGAACGACGAGGAGTTTGTGGACGCCACCGAACCGCCGATCCCGTTCCCGGACCCAGTGACGAGCGCCACGCGGCGTGTATCGTCGTTGACAATAGACCCGCACCAGCCTGTCTCGCGGCGAGAATCTGTGCTGTCCACCGTGTCGCGCCAGTCGTCCACTGCCACCACGACGATGGACTTCGACTCGATTATTTCTGTCAAGATTGCAGATCTGGGAAACGCCTGCTGGACCAACCTGCACTACACGAACGACATCCAAACGCGACAGTACCGTGCGCCAGAGGTGATCCTAGGCGGCAAGTGGGGCTGCTCCACCGATCTCTGGTCTGCAGGATGTTTGATCTTCGAGCTGATCACGGGCGACTATTTATTCGACCCCAAGACAGGAACAACGTACAACAAGAACGACGACCATCTGGCCCAGATCATCGAGCTGCTCCAGATCTGGCCGTCCAAGTTGTACTTGAAGAAGTGCAAGTACTCGCGAGAGTTTTTTGACAAGTCGTTCCAGTCGCTCAAGAACATTTCCAAGCTCAAGATCTGGACGTTACTTGCGGTGTTGGTGGAGAAGTACCACATCGAGGAGCCTCTTGCTTACGACATTTCCAAGTTCCTGCTTGCCATGCTGGAGTTTGAGCCAAAACGACGCATGGACGCTGGCTCTTTGAGCAATTCGCCCTGGCTCAGCGACTGTCAGCTGGAAGAGCACTTGGACAGAGAATACGGGCTGCGCGGGCAGGACATCAAGGGATGGTGCTGCGAGCAGTCCGACTGAGTAGGGTTGATAGAAGTGTAGTGCATGGAAAAAATAAATTTAATTTATTCATGTCTATAGAGCCTGCCCCGAGTGGGGTTTTGCGGTGGCAGTCGATCAAAGGGTCGCTGGAGGTGGTCTGTTTTGGTGAACAGACGCCCATTGCGAGCAGGCGGCTTGCAGAACACGTCCAGGACGGGTCCCAGATGGTGATCAAAAGGGCCACTGAGCAGTACGTTGAGTGGGTGGCCGAGAGTGGGGGGTCTGTGTTTGCGAACGAGCGCAATTCGCGGATCCGGTTTTCGCAGCCTTTTATGGTGGCCACGGATGGGAAATTCCCAGGGCGATACGTGGTGACGTTGCAGTCGGGGCTCGAGTCGCAGTTCCCAGGGTGGACGATTTTGGGGAAAGTGCGCGGCGATGGAGTGTTTTGGCTGCGTGCGCTGACGGGCACGGGCACTTCACGCGACAAGGACGGGGTGCTTGAGTATCCAGTGCGTGGGGTTGGCGGCGAGATTGTGGAAAACGTGTGGGGGGTCCAGAAGAAGGCCAAGGAGCACGAGCGTACAACCCCCAAGGACGCGAAACGGCCGCGCAAACAGGTTGTTTTGAGCTTCGAGGACGAGGAGGAGGGCGACGCGCTGGAAATACGTATGCGGCCGGTCAAGAAGGCGAAGAAGAAGAAGAAGGTGGGGCCGGTGGAACCAGCACAGCCGGTGCAAGAGTCTGTTACGAAGCAGGCCGTGCAACCCCCCACAGAGGAGGCTGTGCCACCCCCCGCCGAGGAGGAGGACGCGACGTTGCAGAGCCTGCGCAGGTTCCAGCGGTCGCTACGCGAGCCGGTCACCCCAACCCCGCGCACAGAGCCCGACTCGTCCGGACTCAGCTCCGAGGACGAAGACCTATCGTTTTTGACGCATCGCTGGACGAAAAATACATAGACCACTAATATATTACTGAGTCTGGCACATTGCACTATAAACAGCCGGTCTAGAAGAAGATCCGGATCAACTCAAGCAGTCCTCCACCCACAAGCAAAAACGAAAGCAGCACTGACGTTAGTAAACCCCCACCTCAAATCAACTCACCTATCCAGCCAATCGACAACGGCAGCTCTCTCTTTTTCTGGACCGCCTTGGCCTTTCCGACCTTTTTCTCGTTGCGTTTCGCAAACTTGGCGTTTGCCTTTCTCTGTTTTGGAGTTTGCAGCGCCTAATGTTAGTAGCGGGAAACGTGTCACGTACCATTTGGTGAATAAAAACAGTAATTTTTTCGATATTTTCCATTTCTTCATGGCTATTGCGTATCCCAAAGAATTCGACACCCTTACACTTGACCCGCCCCAGTTCCGGTCTGTGCTTGTGGAATGGGACGTGGACGGGCCGCGGCTCGCGTGTGCGCGCACAGACCGCTCGATCAAGGTCTCGCGAGTGGACCATGTCAAGCAGAAGCTCGAGGACTCCATAGTGATTGGGGCCGCACACGAGCACCCGGTGGTGTGTTTGGCGTGGGATCCGCGCAAGAACGGCCGGCTGGTATCGCTCTCACAGGACGCCACGCTTAAAGTCTGGGAAATCAAGGCCAGAACACACAAACTGGTGAGATCTATAAAATTGGCATGTGCTGCTCCAACCAGAGCCCGGTTTTCGCCCAACGGCCGGTTTCTTGCCGTCACAGACTCGCTCTCGTGGCTCATGGTGCTGGACTCGGCCAGTCTCCAGCTGGACACCGCCATCTCGATCCGCATCAGCACCCAGATCTGCGACCTGGACTGGGACTCGGCCTCCCAGACACTCGTTCTGGCGCTCGCGAGCGGCCACGTCCAGCTGTTCCGACTACAACGCTCGAACGGGCTCTACAAGATCGAGCTCGTGCAGTCGCTGGCGCTGTCGAGCTCGCAGGTCACCTCCATAAAATACGTTGCTACCAAAAACGAGATTCTGGCAACCACCCAGGACGGCAACATACTCACCATTGACGCCCAGCAGCTCGTTTGCACGGCATCTACTCATAACCTTGATGACTCGCCCACAGACGTCGATCTGCGTTTGCCGGCGGCCGCGATTTCGTATCATGACAATAACGTTCGTATATTCGATATGGACGCGGGCCAGGAGCTGTGCGAGGTGAAGAATAGCAGGGGCGCACTCGCACACGCCAAATTCCACCCAGATACGCGCCAGGTGCTGGCATTTATTGACGGCTCCGGCAGGGCTACCGTTCTGGTGCCCAAGAAAAAAACGGGACCAGCCCGTGTTCAACAACGGCCTGCTCCGCCCAGACCCCGTGTGGCTCCAATGGCCGCAAGACCCCAACGGGGACCCGACCGTTTCGAAAGACCGCCGTCCAAACGCACTAAGTACTAGATTCAGCGCAGAGACGCCGGCTCTGGGAGCACGATCTCGTTCAGCTGGTCGGTCGAGTCCAACGGAATCACCAACGACTGCTGCGACAAGGAGGGCTCCATGTTGTTGTATGCAGGAGGAGACAGCGCGCCAACGGCGTTGTAGGTGGGCGGGACCTCGTCGTCCCAGGACATCCCCAGCCCGGGTCTTTCCATTAACACGAGTCTGAACTGCATTCTCAGGACTCTGGCCACTCCGGTGGGGATTCCTGTTCTGTGGTTGTACGGGTCGCTTCTATTGCCGCTCACGTGATCGGGTCCTGTTCCGCCGTCGTTGTGTTTGGAGGCTGTGGAATGGTGTGTTGCGGAACTGTTGGTGCTGTTCTGGCTGGAGGTGCCTGTTTGCACTGGAGAAGTGTTCATCGACGTGATGGCGCTCAGATACGCCGACGAAGGGGTCGGAGACGCCGTGGCCCGGTTGGGCTGGGCGTTTGTGTTGTGCATCATCTCCTCAGCAACAATCACCTCGAGCACCAAGTTGTGGTGCACAAAAATGCCAGCCTCGTAGTCCTCAATGTCACAGGCGCAATTGACTCCGCTTTCGGGCTCCAGCTTGAAGATTGGCGACTCGCAGTTCTGCGAGTTGATTGCCGAAAGGTTGCTCAGCGAGGCGTTCAATCCCATAGAAATTAATTCCATCAACGAGATATCGGCCACGATCTCGATTCTGCCCTTATTAGAGAAATCAGACTTCCATCCGCTCTTGAGCTCTCCGGACTTGATCACACGGATCTCCTCCACGTACATCGGGGTCTCTGTCTCGGCAGGCGTCGGGTGGGGGTCGTTGCTCATCGACGCAGACAACGACGGGGTCATTTGTGGCGCGATCTGGTTCGAGATCTGGGGCACGATATTTTCTGCTCCCGAAGCAACAGACCACGACGAAGCCACGGGGGCCAGGTCGTGCGACGCCGAGGGCGTGACATCGTTCGACGCGGTCTGGTCAGCCGTCTCTGTAGGAACCTCGTTTTCCTCGGTGACCTCCCGTCTCCGAGGATTCTCAAACGTGTAATTGTAAACGGGTTTTCCGGGACCGCCACAGTTCTTGTACACTTTGCGGCCCTTGTGGGACCGTTTGGTGTGCTCGACAATGCTGGCATACTTGCTCTTGTGGGCATCGCAATGGTTCACACGCACCTTGACGCTTTCCTCGAGCTTCCAATTTAATTTCCGCATTCTCCATCTCCGTTCAGCGGAGCAGACGTTGTCCATTCGGATTTCCACAGGGAAAACAGACTTCGGGTACGCCACGTTGGGGATCACCGCCGTGGCCGTCACGTCGGTGGGCGGGAACACCCGCAACGAGTTGCGGTCCTGGCCTCTGGTGAGAGACCGCCGTATCATGACCGGCAGACCGAGATTGATCTCGTCCAGTTTTCCCTTAGTATTCACAAACGTAGTCTTGCAAATGAGCTCGTAGCGGATCGAACAGGTCACGTTAGACAGCACAGCCGTGGCTGGAACCGTTCCTGGAACAAGATGGCTGAACGGGAAGGCGTGCGAGGAGCCCTTGGCGAAGTTGGATGGACGAGAGAGCACGTCCCATTTGGCCAGCTCGGTGGTCTTGCGACGACAGTCTGCACACGAGTCCATTGTGCTTGAGCTGGCCTCAAAAGGACGGCCGTAGTCGATGATCTGGATAAACGAGAGCTGGACATCTCTGACCTCAACATAATCTGCTTTCGAAACTGTACCGACTGTATTTAACGAATTGACAGATCTGATGGAATTGCTTGGAACCAGCGCCACTCCGCCAGATGCAGCAGAATTCTCATTTGGGAACACGTCCAGAACTAACAGACCACTAAATATCGCGCTCGATCTATTTTCCGGCAGACCATACAACATCAAAGGAGGAGACTCTATCTGGATGGATATTTGGAGCCCTGCAAAAGGGTTGGTCTTATTGAGATTCGGCTTATGGTATGGGTCTGTATGGGGATGAAAACCCTGTTGTGAAGGTTCCTGCTTAACAGCATTGCTTATTCCAGAGAATAGTTTGGTGAACGAGGGCATAAACAAGGAGAACTAATTTTTTAGTGTGAAAATTGCTTAAATGAACTAATGAAAATAGAGGGTAGTATAATTTCCAGCCACACTCAAAAAAATTTAAAAAAAATATTTACACTGATGCACCAGCCACGGAGTCAGATGTGCCAGTGGCTTGAATACAGACGCGTCTTGAGGGATCAAAAGTTTACTTCTTGTTTTTAATCGTTTATTGTTTGAAGATGGCGATTTCCAAAGGATTGGAAACGCTAAAATTCAACGACGCGCTTGTTGGCACGGTCAACAAGCCAATTCCAACAAAAGATCTTGTTTTGAGACTCCAACAGCTGCAAAACGAGCTCTCTTCTTTGGACCAGGATAAAGTCGATCTCAAGTCGTTGGACAAGATAAAGGATTCATTGATCAACAAAAAGCTGGTGAAACACTCAAATAGTGGCGTTCAGGCATACTGTGCTTGTTGTTTGGCCGATGTTCTCCGTTTCTACGCCCCAGACGCTCCGTATAACGCATCGCAACTCTCGGATTTGTTTGGGTTGTTTTATTCTCAGTTCAAACAACTCAATAACCAAGACGGCCCATACTACCATCAACAAACATACCTTTTAACAAGACTTGCCGAGACGCGTTCGGTTGTCCTGATCACCGACCTTCCTAACTCGGAGGCTCTTGTGGAGCAGATCTTTGACATTTTCTACAACTTAGCGTCCTCAGGAACCTTCAACAGCAGACTGGAGCCGCTGGCCTGCGAGATTCTCAGTGAAGTCATTGCAGAGTCCAGCACAATCCCTACGAAAACTTTGAAACTGATTTTGAACAAGTTCCTTGCCAATACCATGGTTTTGAAAAAAGGTTCTACTTCGATCCCTGGGTTTAAATTCACTCTGGAAATTTGCAACTCCAACGCCGACAGGATGTCGCGTTTGCTCACACAACTTTTCTCAGAAACGATTTACGAGGCAACAAGAGGAAAGGAAAACGAAGACTATGACGAAGACAAATCCGACATTAATAAATTGCTCGAACAGCTCAAAAAACTGCACACTTTGGCCATAGAATTGTGGAAGTACGTTCCAGAGATGCTTTCGTCTGTTATGGGACTGATTGACAACGAACTTGATGCCGAAGAGGAAAAGATCAGGATCACTGCTACCGAAACTATTGGCAAGATGTTGGCTATCCCGAACTCTCGTCTCAACTTCGCGAGCGCACATAACGATACATATATGAACTGGCTCAAGAAACCACTGGATAAGTCGCCTCACGTTAGAAGCTTCTGGGTCAAATCTGCCATTCAGGTCATTTCGAAAAAACCAAGCATTGCAAGCGAACTTTCAGGCGGTCTTGTCAAAACTTTGGTCGATAGCGATGAAAGAACAAGACTCACAACCGTCAGGGAGCTCTCAAACATCAACCCAAGCGTCTTTATCTCAAAGGTTGCTAACAAAACAATAATGAATACTTTGGGCCAGCTGGTGAGAGAGAAACACTCAGAAATCAGAAGTTCCTGTCTCCAGCTTCTGGGAAACATTTATGACTCCAACTTTGATCTCCTTTACAAAGGAGATCCAACACTCGACCAACTGGTAGGATGGATTCCCGACGATGTGCTGAAGCTGGTGTACATCAATGACAAAACTGTCAACGCCCAGGTCGATTATACCCTATTTGAACTGATCTTACCATTTGAAGAAGACCACTATAAACGTGTTACGAGACTACTCACGGTTGTCGATCATCTTTCAGAAAAAGGCCGCAGCTCGTTCTACGCGATTGTCAAAAGGCAACAGCAGTTATCCAAGGCTGTGAATCAGCTGCTCACTCTTGCTGAAATGAAGCAAACCGAGGAAGTCTCTTCAAAGTTTGAGAAACTTATCAATTGGCTGGTTGCTTCGTTCCCTGAAACGGTTGACTGTCGAGCAGCATTGAGACAGTTGGTCAAGCTGAATAATAAACGCTATTTCAAGCTGATTAGGGTCTGTGCGGATATGAAGTCGGATTACAAGACAGTGTCAAGCTCCACGAAAGAGCTGTTCAATAAAGTGAGCGAGCTTAAGAATATCAAGATCGAGGACGAGCAAAGCGTCTCTCCTCACGACATGCTATTCACCGTCAAGTTGCTTGTTTACCGGTCGTCTGTGATCTTCTACAACCAGAACAATATTGGACATATTCTCAAGGCTACCAAGGACTCGTCTAACCAAAACAACAAGATCGCTCAAGATATCCTCGAGAATATCTCGACCGTTGTTCCTGAAGTTTTAAGTGCAAACATTTCCACGTTAGTGCAAGCACTTCTACACGGAGAAGACATTGGAGTGAAGGACATGAAGGCAATTTATCAGTTTGGTAAGAAGTTTCCTGATTTGTTAAATCCTGGTGATGATGAGGAATATATTGAGAGTTTGAAAAAAATTGCCATGAATGGTTCTCCTTCTGAAGCCAAATACGCAGTCAGATTACTTGGGCAGGTTCCTCGGAGCGTGACAAGAGAAGTTGTTGTTTCTGAGATCATGGACGAGATTTGGCCGCTCGATCTTGCCAAAGCGAACCTCAACACTTCGCTTGCAACCATTTCCGAGCTGTTCTTGACAGATTACAACGTTTTGGAAGATAAGACCAAAGAGCTTAGTTCTGTGCTTGCATCCCAGATTTTGCTCATGAATCAGACCGTTGGAAAAGAAGATGAAGAAGACGCCAACGGATGGATCGCCGATAACGAGTTGCAAAATAACAAGGACTGTCACTCAAAATTACTAGCCATCCAGATCTTTGTGAATTGGCTCATAGCAGTCGAGGAGGCAGAAAACGCCGCCAAAGTCGCAGAGCCTGTTTTCAAGCTTCTCAAGTCGATCATTGGCAATGGTGGAGAGATCGTCTCCGTCAAGTCGGAGACGTACCCTACTCCAAAACAATATCAGTCAAGATTGAGATTGGAAGCAGGAACTAAGCTATTGAAACTATCGAGATATCCAAAGTACAATTTCCTTATTGAGCAGGAAATGGTCAATCGGCTGATCTTGTTGATCCAGGACGAGAACGAGAATGTTCGTGCCCAATTCATGGCAAAGCTCAAGAAGAGTTTGACGCTTGGATTGATCTCTGATCGGTTTTACCCTCTGGTCTTCTTCATTGCTCATGAACCGAACGCGTCGCTTCGTGAGGACACAAAGACATGGGTCAGATCGATGTTCAAGAGAAAACTGAAGACTAACAAGAACGAATTGCTATTTGAGAAATCCTTTGTCCGGATGCTCAACATATTATCTCACCACCAAGAGTTTTTGGAGTTACTGGAATCATCGAAACAGGACTCGAATTATATTCCGGTGTTGAACTTTGCGCTGACATACATTTCATTGGCGTTGGATTTGATCTCCAATGCCAACAACATTTCGCTGCTATACTATCTTGCTTCTCGGATGAAACAATACAGAGATAGACAGACTCCAGAGTTGTCTCCGAACATGTACCTAGTGTCTGATCTTACACAGTTCACCATCAAGTCTTTGTGCAAACACAAGAGTTGGAGTTTGGCAACGTGGCCAGGAAAGTTGACACTTCCAAGCGACTTGTACCAATCGATTGGCGATTCAGAGCAGCTCCATGAACTTTCTGTGAAATCATTCATTCCTGAATCAGAAACCAAAGCATTGACGGATCTTGTGCGCGATCGGATCAAGCACCTTTCTGGCTCCTCTCCACAAGCGGCAGCTGTTGCAGTGGAAAGAAAGAGACAGCTGGAAGAAGAGGAGAAGCCAAAAAGCAAGAAACCCTTAATCAAAGCCGAGCCGCAACGGAGAAGCTCGATCCAACGTGCTACCGTCAATTACAAGGAAGACGAAGATGAAGAATATGTTCAATAACGTATTATACATGCAGATTGATCCTATGATTGCAAAAACTCGAGTAATTTCTCGTGCCCTTTGAGTTCCATTAGTTTCTTAACAATCATCAAGTCGTGAAGTTCCTGTGTCGACAATTCCTCGTTTTCGATTCTATACTCATCATCGATTTGTTTGAGTAATTGGTCAAGGTTCAACTTTTTCTGTTTATTGGTGATGATCGATCGCTCGCTCAATCTGGACACACCAACAAGGTAATCTTTAAGATCGGGAGGCACTTGCTGATAGATCTTGAGATTTTCCGAGTCCTGCTTCCGTTGCTGAACCTCCTGTTTCGATTTGGTTCCACGAATAAAGTCCAGGATGATTGCCTCCTCTTTAATCTGGTAGGTGACGTTTTCAGTCTCCTCGGCCTTGGTGTTCTTAACCGTCTCCTTATTGAGTCTATACGCCGTTCCATCGGGCGTGCTTCGAAACTGGAATATTGGGTCCACCGGGAATCTGTCTTCAAGGTCAAATTCGTCCACGTCATAATCTTCCACATTTATAATCTCAATATTAGAATCCTTTGGAGCTTTGAAATTGCGTGTGAGAGCAACCTGGACCTTTGGCTGATGTCTGAGCTTGCGTCTGCTCTTGTTGACCGTTTCGACGTGATTCGGACACATCCATTTGGAGCCCAGCATCTTCACCGACGTGAGAGGCGGGTCCAGACAATCAAGATGCCATGCCAACGAACAATAGTCGCATCGTGTCAACAGGCGGTCGTTGAGTCCGGATTTGGCGCACTTATAGCAGAACAGCGGGTTCCCTTCCTTGTCATAAACGTTCGTCAACGGATCTTGCGACTCTGCAAGCAACTGGCTATATGATTTGAAAGGTTTCATGCTGTCGTCTTCGAAATCGCCGTCCTTGTTCATGGTGACTCCTTCGAACGCCTCGGCAACCTCGCGCGGAAGTCGGAAGGCTAGCGGGTTGTGAGTCTGCAGATCGTCCAACAGCGCTGAAAAAATCCCAATGTGGTGCTTTTTGGGTTTCTGTCGCGAGGCCATGCACTCTTTGCAGAACCAATGATCGGGCAGATCGGCCTCCTCTGCGGGAGGATCGAGACACTGGAAATGGAACGAGCGCGGACATCCTTCGCAGCACAAAAATAATCCCGTAAGTCCGCACGAGGAGCAAAAATCATAGTTGTTCACCGTTGGATCTTCGGTGCTGTCAGTTTCTGCGGGAACGGGCTCTGGCTTTGCCGGCAAACCAAACCCTATTGCGCTGGTCTTTTTCCGCGGCGACTGCTTGATTCTCTTGGACACCAACGAGACGTTATTTGCTGGTTTCCCGCGTTTTTTGCTCGCTTGCTTCGGCTGTCCATTGATTTTCGTCGGCATTGGTTCTCGGGACTGTTTTGGAATGGGCCGCAATTTACGATGGTCGTGGTCTCTTTCGGTGCTTAATTTTGTGACCGCCTCCGACTCCTGCGTGTTCAGCTTGGCTCTATAGTTTGATTCAGTTGTTGCGAACGATTCGTCGTCGTCCTGTTCGGAAAGTTCTGGTGTAGACGACCGTTTCATCGGTTTTCCTCTTCCTCTGCGTCTTGCTCCAAACGCTTCCTTTTTGATTTTGAGCGACGGAGGCTCCTCCAGCGGCTGTCCCGTCAGGGCGCTCGTCAGCGGCACAGACTCGTTGTCCAGGGCCCAATCTGCGGTCGATCCGTTCACCTCGTCCTGCAACGTTCTTTTGGTGTTTAGCGACGCGTTTTCCTCCCAATCAACAATCCCCTCCGACTTGACGCTCCCGGAAGACCCCCTGTCCCGCAGTTCGCGCCGCACTACCGGCTTGTTCGTCTTGGCGCCTTTGATTCTGATGCGCGGAGCGTAAACCATGATGGTAGAGAAAGAAAAAAAGTTTGAAAAGTCGCGTCGATCGGCTGGCCGGTTGCAGATTGCAGGGGACAGCGTTGGCGATCTGGCGCGTGTGGGGTGCTTCTGGCGGACAGATGGAATCCAGAATACCACAGAGAGCTATAAACGTCAATCACAGCTACACTTTGGTTTGTAAGAAGGGGTGTTATCGAGATAACTGTTAAGGGATGGAATCGACAGATCGCACACTACATAACCACACAATTTTGCGTCTGCAGCTCGGACGTGGCCCCGCGCACAGTTCGGACTCCAGCACGAAAATCGCTCCGTGAGTCATTTTCATTGGTTATTATATAACCTATTTCGCTATCTCTAATCGAGCTCCAAGAAAAAATAATTTTCATCATGCGTAAGTTCTCCTCTGCAACCACCCTGCTCAATAAGTCCCGGTTTGTACCAACGTCCGGCTCCTATCCCCAGGGATACAATGTGGGTGCCATAGCAACCGGCGTCAAGAAAGCAGACGCCCTGGACCTGTCTGTTCTGTCGTCCACGGTGCCTGCTTCTGCAGCAGCTGTTTTTACCACCAACAAAGTATTTGCGGCCCCTGTGCAGGTCTCCAGAGACGTTCTTTCCAAGACCGGCGGTAAAGACATTGGTGCCATTGTGATGAATAGTGGCTGTGCCAACGCAGTGACCGGAGAAGGCGGTCTCAAGGACGCAAGAACCATGGTTAGCCAGGTGAGTCACGACCTGGGAATTGCTCCCGAGTCTGCTCTGGTTATGTCCACGGGAGTTATAGGTCAACGTTTACAAATCGACAAAATAACCAAAGGTATAACCGAGCTCACATCTTCCAAGCTCGGCTCGTCCCACAATCACTGGCTCGAGTGTGCAAAGGGTATCATGACCACAGACACGTTTCCTAAACTTGTGTCGAAGAGCTTTGAGTTTGACGGTGTCAAGTACTCGATGGCTGGTCTATCTAAAGGTGCTGGTATGATCTGTCCTAATATGGCTACATTGCTCGGTTTCTTCGTCACTGATGCTCCAATTACTCCGTCTGCCTTGAACAAGATGCTCAAATACACCGTCGACCGCTCGTTCAACTGTATTGCCGTCGACACAGACATGTCCACCAACGACACGATTGCTGCCATGGCTAACGGAGCTGCTGGTGGTGAGACCATCACCGAGGACCACAAGAACTTCGAGGCCTTCCAGGCTGAGATGCTCGCTTTCGCCAGGGAACTTGCTCAATTGGTCGTCAGGGACGGCGAAGGTGCCACCAAGTTTATCACTTTGAACATCAAAGACGCAGCAACGTACCAGGACGCCAAGCAGGTTGCAAACTCCATTGCCAACTCTTCGCTGTTCAAGACAGCAATGTACGGCAAGGACGCCAACTGGGGCCGGATTCTTTGTGCCACTGGATACTCTGGTGTTGATGTGGATCCATTCAAGATCAGTGTTGCATTGAGCTCGGCTGCTGGTGAGGTGCAGTTATTGTCCAACGGGGAGCCTGTTGCTCTGGACGAGGCAAAGGCTGCCGTGATTCTCGAGGAAGAGGATCTCAACATCGAGCTGAGTCTCGGAACCGGCGGTGGCCAGGAATGCCAGTTCTGGACCTGCGACCTGTCTCACGAGTACGTTACCGTGAATGGTAGCTACCGTTCATAACTTTGAAAATTATAGAAGTAAATTATTTTATTTATCTTTTTTTCTGTCTAGTTATGTTTGAGGGTTCCTCAGGCGGCCAACCGCCTCCGCAACAGCAAATGACGCCGCAAATGATCATCCAGAATCTCATGCGCATGGATCCTCAACAGAGAAACGCGGTGATAATGAAAAACCCGCAGTTACAGATGTTCCTTCAACACTACGAACAACAAAGGAACGCAGCTCTCCAACAACCAATGAACCCGCAAATGCAAGCAAAGATGATACAACAACAACAACAGAGACAGATCCAGCAGCAGAGACAGCAGATGTCGGGCCATATTCCGGGCCAGATTCCTGGCCAAATGCCGGGCCAAGTGCCTCAACCCCAAGTTGGCCAGAAAAAACCGAGTCTCCAACAACAACAACAACCTAAACGCATGGTTCGCAAAAGAAGTTCTGTTAAGGACCCATTAGATACTTCTGGATCCGCAGAAAGCCCAATGATACCCCAGGGAGTCCCATCGGTGCCGCCGGGGCCCAACATGCCGTTCCCTCCTAATCGTGTCCAGTCCGAGATACCACCGGGGGTTCCAGGCTCGCAGCAACAGATTCCAATTCCTTTGCCGGAGAGGCTCCAGGACGTTCACAAATGGTCCAAGGAGCTGGAAGAGGAGGGTAAAGAGGTGCCTACGTCGATTCGCGTGTACGAACAGATGATAGACCGCGACCTGGATTACGGCCATCGGAGTGTTGCCGAGTCAAAGAAACCGTTCAACGCAGAACTGCTCAAGAGCATGTCCCGCGACCTCAAGTACTATCAGACGGTTAGAGACTCGCGGCTCAAGGCAATTGGGCTCTCTGACGCCGGAAAAAACATTGAAAGCATTTGGGGTGACGGTTATTCTGGCTATGGAAATGGTTTCAGTGCAGGCAAGACCCGGCTGGTGTTTCCAAAGAACAGAAAAAGACATTCCCGCGTTCCTGAGGATTACATTCCTCCGGAGGCGTACGAAAAGCAGGCTGTTAAGCCTGACGAGCTGGTTCCTATTCGTCTTGAGTTTGACGTTGATAGAGACTCGTTCAAATTGAACGATACATTCCTGTGGAACTTGAATGAAGGTGTTATCACAGTGGAGAGGTTTGCTCAGATATTAATGGAGGATTATCGATTCCCGAACGGCCAGGGCCACAATTTGGAGAAAATCGTGAGCAGCATCAAAGAGCAAATCAGCGAGTATCATCCAATGGTGTATGGAGACTTCAAAGGTTCTGACATGCGACTACCGATATTTCTGGACATAACCATCGGCAATAACCATCTGGTTGACAAGTTTGATTGGGATATTGCAAACTCGGAAAACGATTATGAAGAATTTGCTCGAGTCATGTGCGACGAAATGGCTCTACCTAATGCGTTTGTGACGGCCATTTCGCACTCGATCAGGGAACAGTGCCAGATTTACGTGAAGTCGCTATTTTCCATTGGATACAAGTTTGACGGGTCTGCGGTGACCAGTGAGGAGTTCAAGGACGTTATTCGGTCGTCTCTGGACGCCCAGTCGGTGATCCGGCCCCGCACACAATTGCAGGAGTACACGCCTTCTTTGCAAGAGGTTTCGTTTGATACTCTGGAGAAACTTACTAAAGAAAGAGAAAGAGAGTCTCGTCGTAAGAAAAGAGGCCAGACCCGTGTGGGGAGAAGAGGGGGAGTGGTTATGCCGGATTTGCACGATTTACCAAAGACGTACCGGACCCCTGTTCCATCGACTGTTCTACCCTCTGGAATTGACTTGGGTCCTCCAGTGGATAGCTACATGGACTTCCCGTTGCAGGTGGAGGTTCCGGAGAAACAGCTGCGTGATCTGGAACAACATCGTGCGAGGGAACGTGCGGTTGCCAGCGGAAGCGAGTACGATGGGACGGTTACAGGCTCGAACGGTGTGAGCTACCAGATAGATTCTCACCGGGCGATGGTCAGAATCAGATTAAATAACTAGCTCTATAACAAAGTTATTTTTTTTTGTCTAGAAATACTTGGCTGCTAATCGGGGGCGGAGCTTTACAGAAATTATTTTATATTTCCTACACATCCATAACTTCTCATGGTTAATGACATAGAGCTTAATAGCATACAAACAGTCTCGGGAACGGCTCATGAGCCGACTCAGGACGCGTTGCTAGATTCCTTCAATCTTTCCAGTCCCGTTGAGGACGATACTCGCCTTCAACAAGAGGATTCCTCAACGCAGGCATCCCAAGCTTTTACGACCAGCATCGAAAACCGGCTTGCTCCCGCTGAACCCGCCGAATCCAACGCTTCCACTCTCACTACAGTCAAGAACCACGTCCGCTACATGCTTACGAATGCGCCTCTTCTTCGCTTTGTTGTTCCGCAAAATCGCTACAACTCGGTGCGAACGTCCGCGCCGTCTGTTGGTCCTGGCCAGGACGGGGTGTTCAGCAACCTTTCAGCCAAGCCGAGCGTGCAAACCGGGAACGAGCCGTCGTACCAACTGCCGTCTTACGACGAGGCCTCGCAGGACCCTACCCCTCCGTATTGGGAGGCGTCCATTATGGCAGGCTTTGACGACGAGATCTTTGTTGACGGTCTGCCGGTTGGCAACATCATCAATTTCCTGTGGAACATGATGGTGAGCGTGGCGTTCCAGTTCGTCGGCTTTGTTATTACTTATTTGTTACACACGTCTCATGCTGCTAAAAATGGATCCCAGGCAGGTTTGGGAATAACTTTGATCAGCTTCGGATACAGCTCGATTCCGATCTCTTATGGAAGCAACGCGCAACACGAAGAACAGAGATTGGAGCCTGTTTCACCAAACATCATCGATATAGACTCGTCCAACGCGCTGGACGGAGACTTGGACAAATTCACTTCGAAATTGCCGCTTTTAGAAACGTCCGAGGTTGAGGACCCGACCTACTGGAACACTACGCCTGTCTTCTCGTACGCTTTGATTGCATTAGGAATCTTTCTAATTGTCAAAGCTCTAATCAGCTTTTCCAGAGCGAGAAGAGCAGAAAAAGCGATTTTACAGCCACAACTTGTCGTCTAATCAGTTCATTATCAAAAGCATTTTCTCGTAAATCGTGAAGACGATTCCTCCGCTCAAAATCAGCCGTCCCAAACGAGGCGTGGCGCCCTTCCAGAAGGTCATCAGTCCTTCCTCTTTGAAAATCTTGACAAAACAGTTGGCTGTGCTCGTGTACAGCTTGTCCGAACCAAGAGACTGCATCCGTGTCTTGACCGTGTCGATTGGCATCGTTGTGTACACTGTGACGACTCCGGCAAACGCTCCCAGCAAGAACGTCAACTGACTGCTTAATGGTTCATTTGGCTTTGCTCCCGTTGCCTGCTGCAAGAAAGTTTTGATGCTGTTGTATGCTCCGAGTCTGACCGCAGAGTTGGCTCCCTGTCTCAAAGCAACCGGCAATAGACCCTGGTAAAGACCCTTGATTCCCAGATCTTTCACCAGTCTGACGGTCGCAAACCCGGATTGGTATTTCGGGGTCGCGCTACGTTTGTCGTCGATCATGGCCGTCTTGATGGCCTCTGCTGGGGTCACCGCAACCACACTTTCCAGCAGTCCGGCTCCGAGTCCAGCAATCACGCCTCGAGGTCCACTCAACTTTCCGTCCTTGTCGACCAGCTGTCTTTTGATTGCGTCGAATCCCAAGAACCGCACAGAAGCCTTGGCTGTGTTTCCGATCACAAACGCCGGACATCCAACGTACAGAGCTCCTATTCCCTGTGTTCTGGCCACGGTGTAGATCAACACCAGCGGGTTTCTGGACATCTTGGAGCTCTTGTCAACGAGTTGGAGCCGCGTCTTGGCAAACTCGAACGGGTAGGTGACAACTCCCTCGACAGCACCAGCCACTCCGCCGGCTATGAACGATTTAAAAGGATCTGGTTTTTCCGGCATTAAAGATTTTCAATCTGTGAATATTTTTCAATTATATTTTTTTACTCATTTCCACCCCCCTTTTTCGTTAGTTTGATTTTTTTCGATTATCTATGTAGCTGAGCATTTTCATTAATTATTAGCTCATTTCGTCCTCAAACATGGCGTCGTCCAGTTCTTCATCATCATCGTCGTTGTCCTCCTCCTGGTTGGCCCGCAACTGGGCGTAGTAGGTGGCCAGGGCGTCCAATTCCTCGGCCGTATCGGCAGTCTCTGGCGATGGAGAGTCCTGTGGAGTCGATTCCACCTCTGGGGTTTCTGTTTTGATCGAGTCTTTGGACTCCTTTTTAATTTCCGACCCGGACGGCGACTCCGACCCGCTCAGAAGAGGCTTGCCAACAGTGCTTTCCACGTGCCACGACGGAAGAGCGTTCTGCCGCAACGTTTCTGACTTCTGTTCCTTCATCTCGCGATCCAGCTTGGCGTCCTCGTCGTCTGCCGTGATCGACACATGAACCGTAGCCTGCGACTTCTGCGCAGCGTTCTGTAACGACTGTGACAACCCGGCCGCTTTATTCGCACGAGAAACCTTCGAACTGACCGTGTACGAAGCAGTAGAACTCGAGGTGGCAGGAATGGCCTTGACCAACGACGACTCGAAGTTGTTGTCCTCGATCTTCATGTTGTCAATCTTCTTGAGCGACTCGATGATCGGCTCGATCTGCGACATGAGCCGTTCCAGCTTCTCCTGTCCCTTCTGCGCCTCCAGTCCAGAGTCGTCCTCGATCAGCTTGTCTCCGCAGACAGAACACTCGAACGACGTCTTGTCGTCACTCAGAAGCGACGAAGCGTCCAAAAGAGAGTATTTCGTCCGACAAGACGGACACATGTACCCCTGTGGGTCGCTCAACTGGTCCACCTCGTCCTTGACCATCTTGACCAGAAAATGAATTTTCCACTTGATGGCATCGATTGCGTCGATCCAGCGGATGAAAAAATACGTCTTGGCCATCATTCTGTACTGAGGCGAGTCCTCCTTTTGCGTGTAGGCCACAATGAGACGGTCTTCCAGCAATCGATTGCAATACGACCGAAACACCTTCCGATGCATACACGTCAGCTTGAGCATGTCCTCCTCGTAGACGACCGAGTGGAACAGCAAGACCTCCATGATCAGCACACACGGCGCTGCATAGAACGCCCGTGTGGCGATCCGTAGCAGGTTCTTGACCTCGTTCTCAGACTCCTTTGATTGAGACATGGCGAGAAAAAATTCACTGGACGATCGTCCGGCTTTCTACCTGTCGACGCAAAATTTCTACCAGTACAGACAATCAGCCTGTGGTTGCCCCAGTAACCGTAACGCCTCATTTTAGCCAACCGCGCGTTGCCATGCTGGTTGTGGCTAGCCAGTTTCAACCATGCGGTCACGTGAACAGATTACACCACCCCTCCATCTGAAACTGGAAGTACCACCATAGTTATATCGATGCGGCCCACGGATTGCAAATCCCCCAGTAAGTGCGAGTCATCTCACGCGCAGACATTTCATCGCCCTCCGGTATCCTGTTTCTCCTTTAGGCCTTATCACGTCAATCTTATCAGTCGTGCCCCAGCTTTTCCTGTTTGGGATTTGCCACCCAAAAAATAAAAGAAACGCAATAACCTCCCATCTGAGCAAATTCCTATTTCTCTTTCTTTATACCATACTCCTCTTTTCCATCTCTTCACTATGAAACACGCAGTCGCAGTTTCCTTGGTCGCGGCAATGGCCGTCCAAGGTCTTGTTATCCCTCATTTCGAGGACATGCCTCAACAGGTTGCCCTGGTTGCACAGCCTCACCAGGTTGCTCAAGCTCACGAGGTTGCCCAACAAGCCCTCCCAACCGTTTCTTTGCTTTCTGTTGAGAATTCCAGACCATTGGTCACCTCTCCAGTTGCTTCTCAGAACATCGTGCCAAACTCGTACATTGTCGTGTTCAAGAATGGCGTGTCTTCAGACTCTGTGGACTTCCACATGTCCTGGTTGCAAGATATCCACGCACAGGCTTTGCAGGCTTTCGAGTCGAACCCAGAAGAGGCTTCCACATTGGGCTTCACCAATGAGTCATTGAACCTCACCCAAATGTTCAAGATTAGCGACTTCTTCTCCGGCTACACCGGCCACTTCCCAGAGTCTGTTGTCGACCTTATCAGAAGACACCCAGACGTTGCATTCGTCGAGCACGACTCAATGGTGTACGCATCCAAGGAGGAGACCCAGGTGGGTGCTCCATGGGGTCTTTCCAGAATTTCCCACAGAGAATCCCTCAGTCTCGGAAACTTCAACCAATACATCTATGACGATATCGCCGGAGATGGTGTCACCTCCTACATTATCGATACTGGTATCAACATCCACCACCAGGAGTTTGGCGGCAGAGCAAAATGGGGTAAGACTATCCCAGTTGGTGACGCCGATGAGGACGGAAACGGTCACGGAACCCACTGTGCAGGTACTATTGGTTCTGAGCACTACGGTGTTTCCAAGAACGCCAACTTGGTTGCAGTCAAGGTCCTTAGATCCAACGGTTCTGGTTCTATGTCCGATGTCGTCAAGGGTGTCGAATTCGCCGCCAACTCCCACCTTGCTGAGTCTAAGGAAAAGAAGGCTGGTTTCAAGGGTTCCACCGCCAACATGTCTCTTGGAGGTGGTAAGTCGCCAGCTCTCGACTTGGCCGTCAATGCTGCTGTCAAGGCCGGTCTCCACTTTGCCGTTGCTGCTGGTAACGACAATGCTGACGCTTGCGACTACTCTCCAGCTGCCGCAGAATCTGCTGTCACTGTTGGTGCTTCCACGCTTTCTGACTCCAGAGCATACTTCTCCAACTACGGTAAGTGTGTTGACATCTTTGGTCCTGGTTTGAACGTGCTGTCCACTTACATTGGCTCCGAGACTGCCACTGCCACTCTTTCCGGAACTTCTATGGCTTCTCCACACGTTGCTGGATTGTTGACCTACTTCCTTGGTCTGCAACCAGACGACGACTCCGCATTTGCATCTGCTTCGATCTCTCCTGCTCAATTGAAGAAGAACATCATCAAGTACGGTACCAAGAATGTTTTGTCGGACATTCCAGACGACGGAACTCCAAACATTTTGATCTACAACGGAGCTGGCAAGAACTTGACTGATTTCTGGAACACAGACTACGAGTACACTGCCGAGCACTCTTTCAAGGACGACTTGGACAAGGCCCTGAAGATTGTGTCTTCTGTGGAGATCGACCTGGAGGGTGTCAAGGAGAAGTTTGACGAGCTTTTGAACGAGGTGCAAAATGACGTCAAGTCTTTGTTGAACTAGTTAAAATAATCAGCGGAGCCGGTTCTTTGTTTATTGGGTTTTAGTTTAGGATTGAATCATTGCTATTGGGGATGGATTGCACGAATATGTTTCACTGCATTGATTACCTTAGGTTTCGATCTTTTTATATGAATGCATTAGTATTAGATATCTACCATGAAAATACCCTAGTGATATTCCATAGAGGTTGGAGTAGAGACGTCAATCCAACGTAGACACCGTATAGGAACCTAATGACCCATGCGTACGCGAAGATCTCCATGACAACGACGATTTCTGGCGGTAGCAACGGCATGGAGTAGAGAATTCCAAACAGTTGGAACAGAACGCCAACAACCGGGATGAACTGGAGCGACGATTGGATGGATTCATGGATTTTGAAGATGGTGGATTGAAGTTGCGGTTTGGACGGTTGCGATGGTTGTTGATGAACAGGAGCCACCATCTCGACTACTCGTTCTCTGTTTTGAAGTCCTTTCTGTCTGTCCGGGTACTTGACTCCGTTATTGTACCACATATAATCTCTGAGGTTCTTATCGAAATCTGTTCCTGCAAACTTCGAGCCTGTTGGCTGTTGTCGGTGGGCCCTGGGCCTGTCTGCTTTCACTTTGGAGCTGATTTTCTGGAACCACTCTGTGGGCCCGTTATTTGATCTTTCGAGGAACGACTCTCTGAAAACCCGTTCTTCGTCACCATTCGAACGACGTATCTCGCGCATCTCCCGCTCGACCTTTCTGTTGGACGGCAGCGACTGTCTGTCGAAAAGCTCCGGCATTTGGGGCGGTGCTACCGTGCTATTCTGACGCTCTCTCCACTCGTCGTTACGTCGCTCAAACCTACTCACCATCGGCATCGACGGGATCTTGGTGCCCGAAATGTTCAAATCGAGGTTCTTGCTGCGCCGTTTGCGATCCACCATCGATTTGAGCCAGTTCTTCTTTTTCTTGGTGAATAGCTGGTCTCCGATCTGGTCAACCTCGCCAACGCTCTCGTCCCCACGAGCGACGCTGAACTGGTAAAACTGGTCGGGCGGGTCGACCGACTCGACGTCCATGTCTTCGTGGTAACTATGCGACATGGGTTTATCTAATTTATTTGATCCGTCATTTATCACAACAAACTAGACAAAAGTTACCCTGCCAGCTTTTCGTGTCCCAAATAAACAAATAAGTAATGTTTTTTTTTTCCTCCATGTAGAATAACATGAGTGTTTTTCTTACGTGTACGGGTGTGCAGCTATCGACCGCAACCGGCAACTTATTGTCCGGGATATGGGGCCGTGAGCCGTCCGATGACGTGCCCTGTATGTTGCACATGAGCAACTCGATCGTTTCATAACGAAAACCGCGTTCTTGTCAACTCCAAATAGCCAAGTAACTCAATCTCCCATGTGTGGCAGCACCTTCTGCATTTCTACTTAAAACTGTAAATAATAATATTTCTAAGGACAAAAAGAATTTATTATTTACCTCCTTGTTAGCCGAGGTTTTGTTGTTGTTGGACAAGCTTGTGCGTCGCATTTCTCCAAACAAGGAACTAGTGTGCCCTGATTATCAACTGTTTATCAAAGGGCTAATTGATAGAGATTTGTCAAGTTGCACTATATGAACACATCCGAAACTACGCCAACAGGACTTTCCAATTCCGCGTCCAGCGAAGAACAACAACCAGTCATGAGCCAGATAAGAGAACCAACAACCCCGTCTTTGAAGAAGTCGTCCTCGTTCACGTCCCATCCGTATCCCCAAACCCCGGAACGAACGCCTCACCAACTAACCTCCGAAGAGACCCATGAAACGCCCCTATTGTCTCCAACTGCCCAATTCAATTCCACCACCCCGTCCAAACGGCGCAGCACAGACTTCTACAGCCTGCTAAAGTCTCCGGACCTTAATAGAAACGACGATTTGAAAAGACGCTCGCTGGAATTGAACAAAATTATCAACAAGAGTCCGGATAAACTTAACAACTACATTTTCCACGACAATGCGTTGAAATCGCCCAAACGCCAGGCAGCAGCCACTTTCAGAGTCCACAAGAAGAACGACACAGAAATAAAGGAAATCTCGGAGAACCTCAAGACGAGGCTCAACTACGCAAACGTGAAAATTCAGCACGGATGGTCCGCAAAGTCGATCTCCGAGCTCGAAAAGAACCTCGAGGAGGAGAAGTCTCGCAAATTGCTCACATCCAAGGACAAGGAACAACATCAGGACTTTTGGAACCTGAAAAGCGACCAGCTCCCAACTTATACACAGCCAGCTACCAGTCCAAGCCACAAGGCAAGTGCTCCATCCACGCCGCGTCGGAAAACTTCGAGGCTCAAGCTGGACGAGGTGGCGAGTAAACAGGGCTCTGCTGAGTCGGCCTTGTACAAGGCCTTATCTCCCGAACGTCCCAAGCTGAAGATCGACTCTGCGCCGATCCTGCCTCCTATTAACAACCATCACCGATCCGCTTCCGACAGCAAGTTGGAGCAGGAAGCCATCATGTCTTTAATTTCGCTCTCTTCGCCCGTCAAGTACTCCGGTTCGCAGTCTCCGTCGCCCCCTCGTCCTGTTGGACTTCAAAAGCCGCCCACTTTACATTTTGAAAGACCACGACGCAGAGCAGAAGAAAGTACCGATGAAGAAACAGAGCTCGAAGACGAATCTTCTGCACGCAACCGGATATTTCGCTCTCCGCCAAGAAACGGTCTTAAAGGACTCGGCCTGAGTTCGCGGGTTGCTGCTGATGACGACGATAAAACGGCTAGTGACTATTCAGAATGATTAACAAGCCGCGTCGATCGGCGTGGATATGTTTTTTTTATATTTACTGGAAAGGACGATAATTAATATTTAAACATCTCTCTTGTTTAACGATTAGATGAAGGATACCGTGAAGCCGTTTCTGACCCATCACGAGGATCTCGTTTTGGACGTCAAGTACGATTATTACGGGCGCCAATTGGCCACCTGTTCTGCGGACCAGCATGTCAAGGTGTTTGACCTTGACCCAGAGACCTCATCGTGGACGCTGAACGACTCCTGGAAAGCGCACAATTCTACCATCGTCAAGGTCGATTTTGCCAACCCGGAGTTTGGCCACTTGTTGCTGTCGATTTCGTACGACAGAACGCTGAAAATCTGGGAAGAGAAGTTCGACGAGCCAGCAGGCTCTGGTCGCAGATGGCGAAAGCTGTGCACAATTGCAGATTCGCACGGGCCTCTTTACGACGCCTGTTTCGCGCCTGCCCATTTGGGGCTGGTTGTGGGAACTATTGGGTCGGACGGGAAGCTGCGAATCTATTCGTCATTAGACCCCTCGAATCTCAAGACATGGACTCTGGTTCACGAGATAAACGTTCTACACTCGTCTGTGGCGTCGCATTTGCAGAGCGACTTCTCGCTGTGTTGGTGTCCGTCCCGGTTTTCCGGTGAAAAGCTCGTGGTGAGTGCATTGGATCAAGCTTACATATATTACAAAGACGAATCGGACAACAAGTTCAAGCAGGGCGTGGTGCTTCCCGAGCACAACGGGCTGATCCGGTCTGTTTCGTGGGCCCCATCCATGGGGCGGTCGTACCACCTGATTGCAACGGCGTGCAAAGACGGGTTCATGCGGATATTCAAGCTGGTGGAAAAACGCGGCAACGAGTTCGAGATCGAGCTGTTGGCCTCGTTCAACGATCACAAGGGAGAGGTCTGGAAAGTGAGCTGGAACCTCACGGGGACGGTTTTGAGCAGCTGTGGCGACGACGGATCCATCAGACTGTACAAGTCCAATTATGCCAACAATTTCCAATGTATGAGTGTGATTAGTGCGCAGCCCAGATAAACAGCCGGCTAGAAACACTTTTCGGTGATATATTTGAGCAGTTGCTCGAACCTTTCGTCGCTGAGCTGGTCGCGCATCTGGTCGAGACTCTCCAGCTGGCCGATCGACGTCTCGACGCTGCGGAAGTTGTCCACGCTTTCGTTGTGGAGCTGTTTTATCTGGCTCACCAGCGCACTATTTTCTGACTTGAGCGACGCCAATTTGGTCGCCAGCACGTCGATGGATCGCTGTTTCAGGTTGATCAGCCGGTTTTCCACAATCTCGTGCGGCGCGAGCCGGTGTATCTCAAAAGCAGCGTCTTTTCGTGTTTGCCGTTGTTGCGACTCGTACACGATCTCATCGAGCTCGTTGAGCCTCTGTTCAAGGTCCTTCTCCTCATAGATGCCCTGGAACTCGTCCAGAGCCTTGGACGTCCACATGTCTGTGATCTGCTGCTGGAAGTCTGCCAATGTTGCGCGGTCCACCTCCGGATAACACTCAACAAGCTTGTCAAGAGTGAGTTTATTGACGGTTTCCTGCAACGAGAACTCGGCCGCCTTTCGCAGCCCGTCGAATCGCACGTATTTGAGCGGCTGGTCGTGGTGTTTTGCTGTTCTGCTTGCTCTTCCACCCGCTTTGGCACTCATAGAGAATAACTACTGTATATTATTTGTTTACAAGTTACACAGCCTGGGGAAAAAAATAATTCACAAAAATTCCAAAAAAATTATTCAAGTAGCTGGAAATGAAGCTTTTGGTTTCTGCCGAGGAATCGGGCGCTTTGAAGGAGATTGTTTGCGAAAGGGGAACAGACACCTCCAAACAACAGGCTGTGCAGCCATCTTCCATCAGAACCGTGTGTCAGGAGACCAGAGACACCCGGGTGCAGATCTTCATTCTGTACGAGAAGTATCTGATTGCGGCCAGAAAGGGCGGTTTGGTCACGATCTACGACATTGGGGATAAATATACAGAGATCAAGAGGCTTGAGGGTTTGTCAAACTCTCCAGAAGACGTTTTTGTGGCGCTTTTCCAGCTCCATGGGAAAATATACGCTTGCACAGAGGAAGGTAAAGTTTCCATTGTTGAGCCGGAGTCCTGGGCCGTGGAACATGTCAGCATCAAGGGTCCCATCAGCAGTTTTGTCGGAGACCAGTTCAGACCCGACGTGTTTGCCTATGGAGGCAAGGAGAACGATCTGGTTGTGATCGACCTGGCCACCAAGAAAGAGCTCTACAAGGTCAAGAACGTGCCGAATAACAAGTTAGACCTGCGCGAGCCCGTGTGGATTTCGAAGATTGCATTTGCGACCGAGAAAGACGACAAAAAAGACGTCTACAAACTAATTACAGTGACCAGGTACGGCCAGGTCAGATTTTACGATTCCGCGCACGGACGGCGACCAGTGCTGAACTTCAAGCTGAGCGACAAGCCGCTGATCACGCTGGCAAAGCTCGACGACCACTCGATTGTTTGTTCCGACACGCACACCACAACGGCGAAATTCGACTTCAAAACGGGCAAGATGCTTGGCAAGTTCCAGGGCGCTGTTGGGTCGATTCAGGCGATCGACGTGCACTCTGGGCTGTTGGCCACCGGTGGACTAGACAGATACGTTCGCTGTTTCGACCTGGAATCAAGAGAGGTGGTGGCAAAGGTGTATCTGGGGACGCAGATTAGCGACGTGCGCGTGGTGGAAGCAGAGGAGCAAGAAGTGGCAGCAGAGTCTGCTGCCGAGCAGAAACAGCCAGCAGTTGAGGAAGAAGAAGACGCTGAGTCGAGCGACGACGACGACGACGACGAGATGTGGCAGAAACTGGAAACCACGCTGGTGGAAAAGAGAAAAAGACGGAAACTTAAATAATCGCATCCTTTAAAAGTACACATGCTAATTAGTTGAATTGTTTGGCCATTTTGCGGTCGTGGCCCGTCTTGCGGTTGTTGCGGCCGCCCGAGTGGCCATGGCGGGGACGTGATGACGACCGCGACGAGTCCGGGGTATCTGGTTCCTTAGGCTGTTGATACTTGGTTCGAGAAAGCGTTCCGTTTAATGAGCCACCAGTGTCCAGTAGCTTCTCCTCCAACAGCTTGAACCGGCGCGGCTGGCGCTCGAGCATCCGCGCCCAGCCTTCGAGTTGCTCGTCGGTCCAGCCCGTCTCTTTCTTCAGCTGTCCTCTATAGTTTGAGTATCTGGAGCTCCGGTCAAAAACCTCAGGGTTGCTCTTAAAGATCTGCAACAGTTTCAGCTCCAACGTCTCCATCGAGTCGTCCTTCTCGCGATTACCGTTCGTGCTCTCCGGGAACTCCTCGTCTTCCTCGTAGTCCTCGTTTTTCTCGGAGCTTTTCGCTCCCTTGGTGAGCTCCTGGTCGTCGTACGTGTCGTCCGGCTCGTCCTCGTCAGACTCGTACAAGAGTCTCAATGCATTCTCCAGAGTCTTCTTCTTGAACCGCTGCTCTGTGGCGGTGTCCATCTTCATGGAAAACTGTTTCTTCCCGAACTGAACGTCCTTTTGCGCCTGTGGCTTCCGGGCAGACTTGTCCTTATACTCTTCTACCACCTCGCCTTCAAGGACTTTATTCATCGCCTGCTCAACAGTGTGGTACTTCTTCAAAAGTGTTTTGCATTGGCCCTCGGTCAGCTGCGGAAACACGTCCAACAGGCTCTGGATCTTGTGCTGGTCAAAATTGTCCTTCTGTTTGAACAGCTCCTTGCGCAGATCCGGGTTCATGTCCTGGAACCGTGACGACAGCACTATCCGCGAGGTCAGCGGGTATTGCTTCACAAACGCTGCCCGCGAACCAACTTTCAGGTCGTTAACTAGCCGAACAACCTTGGCAGTTGTCAAACTGACCAGCGATACAAGCAGGATCTCGAAACATTGCTGCGAGTGCAGAGAATCGCCCTTGTTGTACAGCTCCTCAATAAGCTCGACCCAGTAAACGTTCACAAACCGTTCGCTGAAATTGTCCTGCTGTGCTTTGCCGGCAAACACTCGCTGCTTGTTGCTACCGGATCTGCGGATCTTCTGGCCCAGCAGCATACTCAGCGTTTCCAGGTCGATTCTATTGAACTTGGCGTTTCCAACACGCAGTTTTAAATAGTCCTGCAGCGACTTTATCAACGAAACGTCGTCGGACTTGGAGTTCAGTCGAGACTTGACTGTTCCTTGGACCAGGCTCCGCACCAAACTGACGTTGATCACCGATTGATTCACGTTGGAGTTCTCGTACGCCAATCGCAAATACACTTTGCAAAAGTCCCAGACCGAATCGCCGCTCAGTTTCAGGTTCACCAGGTTGTACGTCTTGATGAACTGAAATACTATCAACTTGAGAGTCTTTTGGTTTTTCACAATTTCCGGGTTGATTGCACCCAAAGAAAAGATCTTGGTAGATTCCTCGCTCGTTTCCGCCAAATAAACCTTCATAAACGTTGTGAGCTGCTGTTGACTCTTGGTAGACAGTTTGACACCTTTTGTAGTGGAAATGATAATCAACTTGCGAAACAACTCGATATACGACTCCAATAAATGCTGCCATATGACGGGATCCTTGTCGATCAGACTCGATCGCAGCTTGAACGGCGGAAACGCCACGATGGGGATGTTCAACTGGTCCATCGATGATGTCTAAAATGAGTCTTTGTTAATATTTTCCCGGGTCGATCGTCGAAAATAGTCTTAATTTATAGATCTTTACAGTTTCCCCCAATGTCGCCTTTAGCCTTCATAGTTTTGGGCCTTTCGCTAGTGTTTGTGCCCAGCGACCGGTTCCAGCCCGTCCAGGCGGCGGTCGGGTTTGCGTTGATCGGCTACCAGATCACCACGGCAGTGATCCCCCGTGTGGGAAATGCCTTCATAAAACGTGGCCTGGGAGGTCGAGATCTGTCCAAACCGGGCAAACCACTCATCCCCGAAACCATCGGCGTGATACCGGCAATCACATACCTGTTTCTCATGATCCTGTTCATCCCATTCTTGTTCATATTCGGCTCTACCCAGACCTCCGGTGCACAGATGTTCCCCAAGACCATGCTGTCACCCTATCTCAGTTGTCTGCTTTGTTTGCAGTCGATGATCCTGCTCGGACTCATGGACGACCTGTTTGACATCAGATGGCGCCACAAGTTCTTTCTGCCTGCAATTGCGTCGATCCCGCTGCTGATTGTCTACTACGTCGATTTCGGAATCACCTCCATTTTGATCCCCAACGTGCTCAGAAACTGGCTTCGACTCACGTCCAACTCGGTCGACCTTGGCTTCGTGTACTACCTGTACATGGCGTCGGTCAGCATCTTCTGTCCCAACTCCGTCAACATCCTCGCTGGAGTCAACGGACTCGAGGTCGGCCAGACCGTCGTTATTGCCGTGCTTCTGCTGCTCAACGACGTCTGGTACCTCCTAATCGGCACAGTCGCGTCGCCAAGCTACTCTATCCACCTGTTCAGCATGTGTTTCCTGATTCCGTTCATGGGAATCACCCTCGGCCTGCTCAAGTACAACTGGTATCCGGCTAAGGTGTTTGTCGGAGACACTTGGTGCTACTTTGGAGGAATGGTGTTTGCCGTGGTGGGGATTTCCGGTCATTTTGCAAAGACTCTGATGCTGTTTTTCCTGCCCCAGATCGTCAACTTTATCTACTCGGGTCCACAGCTATTTGGCCTGATCCCGTGCCCCCGTCACAGACTGCCAAAGTTCAACGAGAAGGACGGCCTTCTATACAACTCGTACACCGAGTACGGTGCAGTGGACGCTACAAGCGAACAAGCACGGCAAAACCCGCCGCTGAATCGCAAATTGGTTCCAATTATTCTATTTCTGGAAAAATTAAAGCTCCTGGGAGTCGTGAAAGAGTACCACGAAGGACAATGGGTCATCAAGAAAACGACAAATCTCACGATCATCAACCTGTTTCTTGTCTGGACAGGGCCAATCAGAGAAGACAAGCTATGCACGCTGCTGTTGGTGGCACAGTTTGGAGTCGGGTTCCTGATGCTTATCTTGCGACACACGCTCGCCCCAATGGTGTTTGGCTTCGACAACTCCTGGAGCATGCTGAATAGATACAACTGAGTGTTATTTCAACGAGTTCCAAAACGTGTCTCGCTCCTCCAAAAGACTGTCTGCCAGGCTCTGGATCTCCGGGTGTTTGATCAGCGCGCGGGATCTGAAAAACTCATCCAACGGCTTATGGGTGCTTTTCTCGTACTCGAACGCCTGGATCAGCATCTCGTACTTGTCGATGTCCTTCACGATGGTGGCCTCGAAGTTTCGCTGGTTCTCATAGTCCAGCCACAACTCCACGATCTCCTCCGAGAACGCCTTGTTGTACGGCTGGATCACCTCGCTTAGATACACGATGGTGCTATACTCGCGTCTGTTCTTCTCTGTCTTGTCGACGTTGGCGTCGTGCGGCACTATATCGCCAACAAGACTCTCTGCAATGTCGTGGACAAGAGCGATCTTTGCACACTTGGCCAGGTCCGGGGTCTGCGAAAAGGCGTCCTTGCTGAGCGACATGGCGATGATCGACATCCGATACATGTGATCGGCAATGCTTTCCGGATTCGGCACCTGGTGATCAACCCATCCCGTTCGCTTCTGGCTTTTAAGCAGAGAAACGATCTGGTAGAATGCGTTGATGTAGTTGTAATTTTTGCCCGAAGTTGGCGGCGTCAGCAGCCGGCGGATATCCTGCGGCAGAGCCTCGCGCGGATCCCAGGGAGAGGTGGTCATGTTGGGTGCTACGCAGAGTCAAGCCAAGCGGGAGGACAGTAAATAAACAAACATTTTTAGACTCAGAAAAACTTTACACCAGCAAAGCCGTGTCCGAGCAGACTGAACATGGACTCGTATTACTGGTCCAGGGTGAACAGCCATGGATAACCACCACAAACCGTCCGTACTCTTCTTCTACTGTCTACAGTCAGCGTCTATCTGATACATCTGGTCATGCTCATTTATTATTCGCATACTTAAGCAATAAGCTCAACAACACCTCCAGCAGCACGGATCTTCTCCTCGGCCAACTTCGAAACGTATCTAGCCTTCACAATGACTGGAACTTCTGGCAATCTTCCCTTACCCAAAACCTTTCCGTATCCAGAGGCCAAGGTGTCGATGACAACAGCGGAATCTTTGGTGCTAGAAGCGATCTTCTTGTCCTTCTCCTCAACCAGAGACCACAGCTTGTCAAGGTTGATGACTGGGCTCCAGAAGTGGGCTTGTTGCTTGTGGAAATATCTCATACCAACTTTACCAAAGTAACCTGGGTGGTATTTGTCCAAGTTGGTTCTGTGGTGGTGCTGACCACCGGCCATACCTCTACCACCGGGATGCTTTCTGTGCTTTCCAACACGACCCTTACCGGCCGACACGTTACCTCTGTGCTTTCTAGTCTTTGTTAATCTGGTAGGCATGTTTGGTGAAAGAAATTATTTGATTTTCCAATTTTCACTGTAATTTTACTCTGCCATTTTCCAGCCCCCACAAAAAATCGGGTCACTAAAATATTTTCGTCCTGGTGCTAACCCTGTCAGCCCAGAAAGAAAGTCACGTGGGAAAATGAATTAGCTAATCACCACGCGTCTCCCAGACCTCGGCGTACGTGCTCTTGCCCTTGGTCTCCGGCACAAACGTCGCGATGAACACGTAGAAGGCTGCACACACCGCGGCAAACAGGAGGAACGTGTAGCCCCCGATCCAGCTGTTCAGCACAGGGAACAGGAACCCGACCAGGAAACAGCTGACCCAGTTGCAGTCTGTTGCCCAGCTCTGTGCGAGATCCTTGATTTCCAGCTGCGACACCTCGCTGATCAGCAGAAACGGGATCGGCCCGCATCCTATGGCGAACGAGCCAACGTAGGTGAGAACACTGAGCAACGTTAGGGCAGAGTTCTGGAAGATGATTCCAACACTGAGCGCGATGGAAGCAAGGCCCATCACCGCGACGGAGCCCAACAGCATTGGTTTGCGGCCGAGTCTGTCGAGGAACAGCGACGCGATGAACGTAATGACCATGTTTCCGGTGCTGATGAGACAGTTGACCAGGATAGCGTGTGCAGGGAACAGTCCTGTGAGGATTTTCACTCCGTAGAACACGATCGAATTGATTCCGGCAAACTGCTGGCCAACCATCGCGAAGGTGGCCACTATACGCGAGTTGGAGTAGTTTCTATTGCTCAGGTAAGTGTAGAACGAGAGGTTCTGCAATGACGGGTTGGACTCGATCAATGAGGCGTGTTTGCGTTTCTCCTCCTTCCAGATCTGGACTTCCTGTGTGCACTGAATGGTGTTGTGGTTTCGCAGCCGGTTGAGGATCTGGAGACCTTTGGACTCGTCGCCGGCGGTGAGAATCAGCCATTTCGGCGATTCTTCCAATAGAAACACAGACGACAGCAGCGAAACGAATGCGATGAACGCGCCCGAGCCGAGAATCGACCGCCAATGTGTTTCTGTGGACCAATTGATTGCCAGCAGCTGTGCAAGAAGGATCCCCACGTTGATGCTGACCTGGTTCATGGACCCAAGCACGCCTCTTAGCGACACAGGGGACACCTCGTTGATGTACAATGGCACTAAAACAAGCGCAAAACCGGCACCTAATCCACTCACAAACCGACCTAATAGCATCCACAAGTACGTTTGAGCTGAGTACTCCACGTAGGAGCCCAGGGTGTAATGCAATGCTGTAATGACGAAACTGAACCGCAACCCGATCCGCGAACTCAATTGGCCGGCAAAAGTAGACGAGACTAGTCCACCAATAGAGAAGATGGACGTAACAAGACCGATTTGCGAACTATCCAGATCTAATGCCCCTTTGATCAGTTCCTCGGGGGCATTCAGCTCAGACATGTGGAACCCGTACTGGATGGACGTGAGACACACAAGCGCCACAGAACTCACCAATGGAACGGTGTAGATATCACTGAACGGCTTGGAAACACCAGAGACCAGCGGAGTGGCCGAAGAGACGGAATCTCCATTCATATTTAAAGAGGGAACTATTTAAACAAGCCAAACTTATCTTATCGAGAACATCAGTGCACCAGAAAAATTGTAACGTTAATTAATATGCCACTCACGGTGGACCACATTCCTGGGCTCCAGCAGCTGGACAAGGTGGATCGGGACCGACTGGGGATCCCGTCCGAGACAAGACTGCCTCTGTTAGCCGGCTACGCCACGCTATTGGGCGCGGTTCCCGGTCTGGTGGCCGGGTACAGACATGCGGGCATGAACTTTATAGCAATGAACTCGCACAGATTGCCGCGGGATCAGGAGGAAAAAACGGCGTTCGGCAGGTACAGGACGTCCCATGCGGTGAAAAGTGCCGTTTGGGAAGGTGTCAGGTCGGCGGTGCGGTTTGGGTTGGTGTCGTCGGCGTTTTTTGGGCTCGAAGATTTATTTGACCGGCTGCGGAGAAAGAAAGACTTCCTGAACAGTACGGTTTCGGGCGCTGTGACAGGACTGTTTAGCGCCAGACTCACAAGAACACCATTGGCTCGTCAATGGACTCTTATGGGCGCCAAATGTGGCCTCATCATCGGATTGGCCCAGGATATCTTTACAGCTACAAAAAAACTCATCATGATCTCCGACCAGACTGCATTAACATGAGCCGTTTAAATATTTATTCGTCGTCCTCGTCGTCGTCCAGGTTCGGCACAGGGTAGTTGAGAATCACAGCAACACCCGTCAACTGGTTCAGTTGCTCGCCGCTATCGTGCAAACTCGAAAACACAACCACCTCGCCGCCGTTCTCCTTGACCTGCTCTGTGAGACTCACGTACTTTTTGCGCTGTGCGAGGTCGTCGCTCTTGAACAGCGAGTCTGTCACCATCAGCGTGCGAACGGCGCCCTGGAGCTCGACCGCCTTGGTCACTTCTGCCTCGCCGTACCATGCCTTGCCGTCGTCGTCGTTTAGAAGCTTCGAAAACTCGTCAAATAACATCACGTTGCGCTGAAATTTGGTATCCGACAGCTGTTTCTGCAACTCTGGCGACTTCAATGCCTCTTCCAGACCTTGCAGATACCCCGTGGACGAATGGGCCACCACAAACTTGGACTTGGCCTGGACCAGCGGCTTGTTCTGTGTGGTGGTTGCTATGCTGAAAAGTTTGTCGTAGAGTTGTCTGGCACTGAATCCGGGTGAAACCAGCACGATGACTTGCAATTTCTCGATGTTGAAGTTTCTAATCAACGACTCGGCGGCGGCCTCCATGAACTTGTCGAGCTGTTTGTCGTGGGCGCTGGAATCGCCGCGCCGTTTCTTGGGGATCGACTTCTCGATCTTGGACCTCAGAATAGTCATGTTTTCCGTGATCAAACACAGATGCGCAACTCCCTCCTGCAACACGACGGCCCCCACCTCGGCCTTGGCCTCGATCGAACACGACTTGTTCACAAGGTCCAGACTGATCTCGTCCCAGTCGTTCTTGTACAGAGTGAACTTCTGGTTGAACTCGAGCTCTGCGGTGTGGTACGAGCCGAGCGGAACGTCGTCGTGTTGGACTGTGGTTCGACCCTTGATCCGCATCACCTCGTCGCTCGGCGTGAAATCCACGTTCTCCACACTCAACGACAACGAGAGCAGCTTTCTTGTAGGCTTGTCAGACGGACTTTTCTTCACGTTGCGGATGGTTTTCAGTCGAACCTCATCGTCCTTCCCAATCAGATTGTACAAAGTCCAAAGATCCTCCTTGTCCTGCGCAACAAGCGAAACAGACCCGCTTTTATCCTTCTCAAAGGAAGAATGAACCAACTTCATTTAATTTAATTATTTTTTTGTGCATTTATTACTAGAAAATTATTCATTTCACGGCAGCACCAACAAGCGTCTTGGATTTACATGGCAAACCGGCCTTGTTGACGAGTCTGGCGTCGGGCTTCCCTTCCTGCTTGAAAACAACGTCGAGATTGTCGCTGGTGGAGAAGTTTGGCTGTAGTTGCTCAAAGATCTTCTTCTTTGGATTGAGCTGTTTCTCAGGCACCCCGTCAAACCCTTCGAAAAACAACTTGTCGCCCGGCTTGGACCCTTCTGGAGGAATCACAAACTCCACCGTCTCGCCCTCAGAAGCACAGAACACCATACCGGCAGACTTGATTCCTCTCATGGAGACAGGCTTGAGGTTGGCAATCACAACCACGTATCTTTGTTGCATCTCTTCCAAAGTGTAGTAGTTCACCAAACCGGAACAGATGGTTCTAGGACCTTCCTCGTCGCCCATCTGGATCGTCGACACGTACAACGAGTCCGCGTCCGGGTGTTTGATGGCCTTCTCGATGAATCCAACACGGATGTCCACCATTGCCGGGGTTGGGCCAGCGGCAGCAGGCTTGGCAGCGTTGGCTTGTGCGTTGGCCTTGGCCTTTGCTGCCTTCTTGGCCTCCTTAGCGGCCTTGGCAGCGGCCAGGGCTTCTGGGTCCAATGGGGCCTTGCCCTTGGTCTTTGGCTGTTCTGCTGGCTTGGTCTCCTTGGTGTCCTTTGCTTCCTTGGTGTCCTTCTTCTTCTTCTCCTTAATTTCCCGTGGAAGTTCCATCGACAAGTCGATCTTGAGCTTGTTGTCGAGCCCGACCTTGTTCTGGACCAGATCCACCCATCTCAGAATGTGTCTGTACTTGGCCACGTCGTCCACAGACGTCCATTTCGAGGCCAGCGGGAACACCTTGTCGAAAACGGCAGAGTCTGCTTTGGAGGGCTTCACTCCAACAATGTAGGTTTTCGATCTGAGCGAGTCGTTGAGCTCGTCGAGATGCTGCTCGATGCGGCCACTCAGCGTGGTCCATTGGTCGGCGAGGGCGAGTTCCTCGGTCGAGAGAGTTTCTGCCACGTTAAGGCGGGCAAGTTTGGCTTCAAGGGACATTGGTTAAAATTTTTACCACGAAAAATTATTACTCAGTCTTAGCGGTAGCTGGGGTGAGTGGGAGGTGAGCGGGAGCAACTGGGAAAAATGGCGACTCAAACAGACCATCGGGGAACAATTCACCACTTCGTAGGGAACAACCAGCTTCATTTGACGAATTCCCGTTCTGCGTGGTTCCTTCGGGCAACCCTATTGTCCTGTCTTATCAGCTAATCAACAGCTCGCTTTTTTCACCCTCGCAGAATTACCCCTGCTACTAAATATCGGCCCATGAAGGTAATTATAGTCGGTTCCGGCGTGTTTGGCCTGTCCACGGCCTACCATCTCGCACAGAACCCCGAAAACCAGGTGCTTGTTCTTGACAGACTCGACCTCGCAGCTATTCGATATGACTCGCTGAAAGGCGCGGACGGCGCCTCGTGCGACATCAACAAGATCTTCCGCGCGTCCTACGGCGACGACGCGTTGTACGAGAAGCTCGCGTACCAGGCCCAGGACGTGTGGTTGCAATGGAACAGCGAGATTGAGCAAGGTTTGTACAAAGACGCTGGTTTTGGCGAAAAAGACATCCTGCTGGACAATTGCGGGTTCCTGCGCATGTTCAAGGAATCCATCTCGGACTACGAGAAGGATACTATCAACACCATGGCGAAAAACGGCCGCCGCGACGTGCAGGTGCTCACCACAGACCAGGCAGATATGGACAGGATCCGCGGGACGCGCTGGGAAAAGATGATGGACCCGGCAAACAGAAAGGCCCGCGCGCTGCCGTACGTGGGCGTCTTGGAGACAACAGGCGGTTTCACCCACGCGTCAAGGGCCATTTACTTCCTCTACACCAAGTGCACAGCCATGAAAAACATACAGTTTGCAACCGGGCAAGCTGGCGAGTTTGTGCGGTTTGCTACAGACACGGCGGACCCGCAAACGGTGCTGGGCGTTGTCACAGCAGACGGGCAACAGTATCTGGGAGACCGGGTTCTGCTTGCCTGTGGCGGCTGGAACACCTCGTTGCTGCCGGAGCTGGAAGGACTGGTGCAGTCCACGTTTGGTTCCGTGGGCATTTTGCAGCTGCCGCCCGACAGAAAAGACCTGTGGAGCAAGTTTGACTCGCAGAACTTCCCCGTGTGGAGCTGGGAAATGGAGGACAGTTCCCAGGGCGGCGTGTACGGGTTCCCGCACAACGGGTCCGGGTTGCTCAAGTTTGGGTTCCGTGCCACCAAATGGACCAGGCACACAAACTGCCACGGACGGTGTCTTTCTGTTCCTGCCACGGCCAGCACAGACGATAAACTAACGGGCATCCCGCTGGTTGCCCTGAACCGGTTCAAAACTGTTCTGCTGGACAACTTCCCGGAACTCAAGGGCCTCAGGTTCACCAAGACGCGTGTGTGCTGGTACAGCGACTCGTGGGACGACAATTTCATTATTGACTACGTGCCGGGCTACAAGAACCTTGTGGTGGCCACGGGCGACTCGGGCCACGGGTTCAAGCACACGCCTGTGATCGGGCAACACATCGTGGACGTGCTGGAGCAGAACCGCACCGAGTACACGGACCTTTTCAGGTGGAGGACTCCCTCGGGCGCGGTGCTGAACGAGGTGGCCGAGAACAAGGACAGTCCGCTGGACGTTTCGAAGTGGGAGCTGGCCACCGAGGCGGACTGGGAGCTGTAAAGACATAACTTTTTTTTATAGTGGGGGGAGCACCCCAAACCCCACCCTGTGTATGGATGTCTAAATAGCCAAAATTCACCAACCTTTCACACAAAGAGGAGATCCGGCAAAGTCATGGCCTGTGCCCAAAATGAGCGGACCTGCCCCTAAACGAAGACGCAACGTGAAGAAGAAGGTGTCACGTGCGTGCAACCACTGCCGCACCGCGCACATGACCTGCGACGACGCCCGTCCGTGCTCCAGGTGTGTGGCCAAAGGCACTGCCGATACCTGTGCGGACGCGCCACGTAAGACCAAGAAGTATCTGACCGGAGAAACTCCGGGCGACGGGATGGGCGCGACGGTTCTGGAGACCCGCAAACCGTTCATGTCGTCTGCGGCGGACATGGAGTACTCCACACTGGGTAATATCATTAACCAGGACTTTCTGAGCCCGGAAACACAGCAGTCAACGCAGTTCTTCAGCCCCGCGGTGAGCAACTCGAACTCGGAGGACCAGCTGGACCGCGTGGCGCAGCAGACACCGATTTACCAGGCCCCAAGCCAGCAGCTGTTTTCGCCAGAGCCGTCCTTGATGCCTATTTATAAGCTCGAGTCGCTGAAAACAAATTGCGACCCGTTGATCAACCAGTACTACATTGGGGCGCAGTCGACGTTCCCGCAGATCGTCAAGATGATCTCGCAGTTCCGCCAGCAAAACCCGGCCCAATTCCACGAACGCAACCAGCTGTCGGCCATATCTTTCTCTGTGGCGGTGCCGCAGAGCAACGACCGGCTGCCCACGAAAATGCCGTGCGGCCTGCTGTTCAAAGAGCCGTCCGAGATCTACTCCAAGATCGCGGCCCCGTTCAACTACGTCAAGCCGTACCACGACCTCAACCTGTACCTGCGGAAACGGTTCGACAAGAGCCATCTGGTGTCGATGTCCAAGTCGATGTCCGAGTACAGACCGTCGTTCATTGCCGGGATGATCCATCTGAAGGGCGACGACCTGATTTTCGCCGAACAGTGTTTCCAGCGAACGCTACTGGAATACGATAACTACATCTCGATCTCGGGCACCCCGACGCTGGTTTGGCGACGCACGTCGCAGATCGCGTACGTGGGCGACGAGTTCTGTGTGCTGACCGGGTGGAGCAAAGAACAGCTGCTGGACAAGTCTGTGTTTGCCGTGGAGATCATGGACGACAAGTCGTGTGTGGAGTATTTCCAGCTCTTTTCGAAAATCGCGTTTGGCGACTTCCGAGGAGCCACCATGACGGAATGCACATTGCTGACCCCGGCCGGCGACACCATCCGCGTGTCCAGCATCTGGACACTGAAAAGAGACGTTTTCGGCATCCCCATGATGATCATCGCCAGTTTCTTGCCCATCCTAACCTGACAATTGTAACATAGGTATAAATTAACGACACATTGTATATCTCTGCTTATTGGGCCAGAATACTCTTGACAAACTCGACATAGTCGACGGTCTGCTCGTCGGTGACGTTGACGCCCTTCAAAAGCTCGTCCACCTCGCTCTCGTTCAATTTCTCGCCAACAGACGTGAGAATGTACTTGAGTTCTCCAACACCAATGAATCCGGTCAGGTTCTTGTCAAAGATCTGGAACGCCTTAATGTAGTCTTCTGGCTGGCCTGCCTTCTTGAACCCGCCCTCTCTGTTGACGATCTTGGCGAAGTTGTCGAAAGTCAGCTCGCTAGGAGCTGTTTCTTGCAACTCGCTAATCTCTTGCAAGGTGGGATTCTGGCCAACAGATCTGAGCAAATCGCCCAGATGCTCGCTGCTCACCTTTCCTGTTCCCTTCTTGTCGAACAGCGCGAAGGAGTCTTTGTATGCTTTGGTATCGGACTGGGCGGTTAGCGGGGGAATCCCTGGAAACACTTACCATCTTGTTTATTTGTTTGTTGATTTTGTTTACACGAAACCTGGGAAATATTATTTGGGGTCGTGGGAAGCACAGTTTAGGAACTTTAAAATATGCCATCTTCTGTGTCTCGACGGCTGGTGGACCACACAGAGTTGCCGCCATGTGCTTTGAGGATCCATCCCGCCAATCCAACGGTGGTTTACATTGGAACTTACAAACTCGTCAAGGACGAAGAGCGCTACGGCTCCATAGAGATCTGGACCTGCACAGACTCGCTTGCGAAGGTCCGCTCCGTTGCCACGGCCTCGGCCGTGCTGGACCTCAAGTTCGACCCGTTCGATGCCACACGGTTGGTCAGCGTGCACTCCACGGGAAACCTCATAATCTGGAAAATTAGCGACGATTTGCTCGACATTTCCGAAACGTTCAATTACCAAGCGTACGAAAACTCAACGCTGATCACGGCCATCAACTTCCACCTGACCATCCCCAACACGCTCACGCTGAGCACCACCGCAGGAACGTGCTCGGTGCTCAAACTAAACGGCTCAGACATCGAGAAAACCGATTTCGACACCGAACACCAGCTCGAATGCTGGTTCTCAACGTTCGGAACGTTTGCCGGTCTCGAACACGTTGTGTTTTCAGGGGGAGATGACAGGAAACTGGTGGCACATGACGCAAGACAGCCGGAGTTGCCCATTTGGGAAACAGACCGTCTGCACGACGCAGGGATCGTATCGGTGCTACCAGCTTCAACTTTTTGGAACAGTACACACCCGTACACCGTGTGGACGGGAAGCTACGACGACCAGGTGCGGTCGCTGGATTTGAGGGTTTCTGCTCCGCAGGCGCTGATCTCGGGACTGCCTCCGCGAGCCAAACAGACAGAGAACTTGGGAGGCGGTGTATGGCGGCTGATTCCAAATCCCGCTGGAGATGACAGGGTTCTTTGCTGTGCCATGTATGCGGGTTGCAGAATGTTGAAAAGCACGGTCCAGGGGATTGGTGTGGAAGACGAGTTCCAGGGCGAGCACGAGTCGATGGTGTACGGGGGCGACTGGGTCGGCGACAACATGATAACGTGCAGTTTCTACGATCGGGTGGTGCAGGTGTGGCAGGATACATAGGCCTATTTATCGATAGCGTGCGACTCGACCCATTTCTTGAGCTTTTCGTAATCCACGTCAGATTCGGGGTTATTCAGCAATTGTTCGTCGACATACGTGCTCTGAGCGATCTGGTTTCTCAGGCACACAATTGACGGGATTTTGGTGACCTGGTAGTCCAAGAGCAATCCTTTGTTACCAGGCTCGTCGCTCTCGATATCCACCATATTGACAAGCTTGTCATCGTCGATATCGTAGCCGACGATCCGCTGCAAAGCACCAGTCTGCTTATTTGACGCGGTGTCTCCTCTGAAAACAAAATTCAACAATAACGGCGGCCGAAGAGGGATCAACGGTTGCAGCTCGGAACGGTCTCTAACAGCAAGGAAGATCCTATTTTTGGGGGTCGATTGTGGCTGCCAAACAACAGGTTTTGGCTTAACAAGAGGGTTTTTCGAGGATTGGATCAACACTGCAAGAGCTCCGGCTGCAAGTGTGCCTCCCAGTATCCATTTTTGTCTCTCGGTCAAAGGCATGATAATAATAGGAGAAAATATTGCTTGTAGATTATTAAAGCACTTAGTACTCCTTGCACCGATATGTCACTTTTCATTATTTCGGATTTAGGCTTCTGGTGCTAACGGTTTGGAATTTCAGTCAGGAAACGAAAGTTGACCATGAATTGCAATATGGACACTTCCGACGTCTTTGATCAAATGCCTCTTATCTCCCCCACTATCTCTCCTTCCAAGGCGCTCAGCGCTGACGGGCTGGAGAGTCATCATCTGAGCCGTACCCAGCTTCCTGAGACCCTTCCTGTGGTCCAGTGCGTTGCTAGAGCACGGATCCCCACCACCCAAGGGCCTGAGATTTTCCTCCACTTGTATTCCAACAACGTGGACAACAAGGAGCATCTGGCCATCGTGTTTGGAGAAGATATCCGCTCCAAGTCGCTTTTCAAAAAGAGACCGGGCGAGTCTCAGCAGGACCGCATGACACGAGGCGCCTACGTGGGCAAGCTGTACCCGGGCCGCAAGCTTGCAGACAGAGATGATAATTTGGGTTTGGAGCTACGATTTGACGACCAAGGAAATGTACTAACGGAAACTAATTTGAACGAGCCGACTTTGGTTCGAATCCACTCCGAGTGCTACACGGGAGAGACCGCCTGGTCCGCCCGGTGCGACTGCGGAGAGCAGTTCGACGAGGCCGGCCGTCTAATGGGCGAAAACGGACACGGATGCATCGTGTACCTGCGACAAGAGGGCCGAGGAATTGGTCTTGGCGAAAAACTCAAGGCTTACAATCTGCAGGACCTGGGAGCAGACACCGTTCAGGCCAATTTGATGCTGAGACATCCGGCCGACAAGCGCAGTTTCTCATTGGCCACGGCCATTCTGTTGGACCTGGGGTTGTTGGAGATCACTCTTTTGACCAATAACCCCGATAAAATCATCGCTGTGGAGGGTAAAAACAGAATGGTCAAGGTGGTCAGCCGTGTTCCGATGATCCCATTGGCCTGGCAACAAAATGGTGCCGGCATCAAGTCCAAGGAGGTCGAGGGATATCTACGTACCAAGGTGGAGAAGATGGGCCATTTACTCAGTAGACCTAGTTCCGATAAATAGACAAGCGAAGATCATTATGAATTTTTCACTATACAGTTAATCACGTGGTTCGAATCACAAACAAGAGCGCCTTATTGTTTGAGCAACCGCTCAACGTCAGGACCGATCTTTGGAGGGGTCTTGATGGATGCGTATCTTTCAACAACGTTTCCGTGACGGTCGATCAAAAACTTCTCAAAGTTCCATTTGATTCCTTTGAATCCGAGCAATCCAGACTTTTGGTTCTTGAGCCACACGTAAACCGGGCTGGCCTCTGGGCCGTTCACGTCGATCTTCTTCATCAGTGGGAAGTCGACGCCGTAGTTCAGACTGCAAAATTGCACAATCTCCTCATCCGTTCCCGGCTCTTGGTTTCCGAACTGGTTGCATGGGAATCCGATCACCACAAATCCCTCATCTTTGTACTTTTGGTACAACTCTTCAAGCTCCTTATATTGTTTAGTGAAGCCGCACTTCGAGGCAACATTCACAATCAGAACCACTTTTCCTTCAAGCTCCTTGAAAGAGAAAGGTTGGCCCTTGTTGTTGGTAACAGTGAAATCGTAGAATCCAGACATGATAATTAGATGTGTTGATATTGATAGATTCCACAACAGCGGGATAGAGCCCTTAAATACCTGTAAAATGCTTAATAAAAAAATTTAGTGCGTATTTGCGGAACTCGTTTTTAGTCCCGAATCTGCTTGAACTTGACTAATGTTAGGTAAACAATACACACCACATTTCTCCAGAAGTTTCACCAGCCTAAAAAAAATTGCCGGGCTAAACCTCGCATCTGACAGCTCGGCTATGCAAAAACGGTGGAATTCATTTTCTCCGTTGTTTTTTTCCGTTTTTGGCCACTTTTTTCGCCGAATTTCGTTTACGAGAAACGCTCTTCTCGTATTCTCTCACAACACAGGCCAATAGCGTCGCGCATCGCCGGTTGATCTCTGTAGAGTTGCGACTCTGGAAAAAGAAATCAAACTCAAACATGGGGCTGGCTCGGATGTTTTCCAGGATCCGCTCGTAAACATCTTCCGAGTCCAAGCCAAGGCGATAAAGCTGCACCAGTAGATACCTGTCTTCCTCGTCGCTGAACACTCGTTTCGATGACGACATCGATGACGAAGGCGGATACTTCAAACTCAACTCCAGCAACGGGAACCGGGTCTCGGCAATCTTGCGCCGTAGCGCTTCCTTCTGAATCTTTATCTTTTCTATCTTTTCTTCTCCAGCCTCAATCTGCCCCACATACCGTTCATACCCTTCGATGCTCGAAACATTGTTCCAAAACGCCTGGGCGTACTCCTTCACCTCGTCGTACGTCTTGTCCTCAAACTCGGAAGCAATGGAAGAAATCGCCGTGCGGCCATACTTGACGTTTAACGAAATAAACTGGTAGAACTCGCGTCGACTCCAATTGTGGTACCCCTGTGTCAACAGCTCCTGCTTCAACGTCTCCTCCTCCTCTGTCAACGCGCGGGAATGGTCGATCTCTAGCTGCTCTAACTGCTGGTTCAGTTTCCTCTGCTCGGCAGTGCCGTTGCCTTTGCTGCTGTCGGCTTTCTGCTTGGTCTGTTTCTTGAAGTAGTTGCGTTCCAGATCGTACAGCTCCCAGAGCTGCGCCGGCAGGAACTGGTGGTCGTAGATAGGGGCCTGTTTCAAAGGCTTCACGCCCGGAAACTGTGGCTGCGCAGACCCAGACCGTGCGTTCGGATTCAACACGTCTCTGTAATAGTTGTCGATCGAGTAGTTCTCCTTACGTTCACGCTTGGACGGGTTGATCCATGTGTATGCATTGCCCAGTGGGCCAGCAACAACTGGCTCTTTCTTCTGGAAATTCTTGCCGTCCCACTCATAAAGAGAGTCGGACGACGAGGTGAAGTTTTGCAAGTCGTCCAGCCCCAGTTTGGAATACTTGCTGTTCAATTCCTGGGTCTTTTTTTCCGACTCCATCAAGATCTGGTCGATCTCGTCGTCGTCCAGCTGTTCTTTCTGTTCTTCCTCCGAGTTGGTCATCTGTTGGCCCAGCACGTCCGCAGCTCCAAATTGAATCATGTTCAGCAACTCGTCCTTCGAGTTTCCTCTATTCTTTTCCTGCTGACCGTTCAATTGTCTGCCCTGTTGAATAACAAGCTGGTCCAGTCTCAGTTTCTGAGACGCTCTTTCCAAAACCTTCTCCTCAATGGCCTGCTGGGTCACAAACCTAAACACTCTCACCTGTTTTGTCTGTCCAATACGATGCGCTCTGTCCATGGCTTGCAAATCGGCCTGTGGATTCCAGTCCGAGTCATATAGGAAAACAATATCTGCCGACGTCAGGTTGATTCCCAGACCTCCTGCTCTGGTGGTCAGCAAAAACACAAACTTTTTGGAGTCTGGTGCCGAGTACTCGTCGATCGCACGGATTCTATCAACATGGTCTGTTTGTCCGTCGATTCGACTATACTCGAAACCTCTGAAAGAACAGTAGTCTTCTAAAATGTCTAGCATTCTGCTCATTTGTGAGAAAATCAGCACTCTGGATCCTTGCTCTTTGAACCGTTTCAGCATGCGATCCAGCACTTTCATCTTCTGCGAGTTAAAAACAAGATGCTCGTCTGTGGTGAATGGAGGACCAGGTTCTGCTCCTTCGAAAAGATACGGATGGTTGCAGCATTTTCTCAGCTGCATCACAATGTTGAGCAGTCTGGTTTTGGACTCTCGTTTCCCGTTGGCGCCATTCACTGCATCGATGTCTCGCTCCAGCAGCTTCTGGTACCATTTCTTTTGCATTTCTGTCATTCCAACGTACACGTTGAGCTCTTTCTTCGGGAGCAAGCTTTTTTCCACGTCCGATTTGATTCTTCTCAAAAGGAACGGCTGAAGGACTTTATGGAGCTGCTGAACAATGGTGTCGTCTTTATTTTCCGAGTCACCAGACGAAAACCACTCGTCAAAGGTCTCAGAGTCGGCAAAAACGTCTGGAAGCAGGAAATTCAACAACGCCCAGAGCTCGTGCAAATTGTTCTGCAACGGGGTACCTGTGATAAGCATTCTATTTTTCGAGTGGAACGTCCGAATGATCTGTGACAAGAGCGAGTCCTCGTTTTTCAGTCTGTGTGCCTCGTCAACAACAATGTACTCCCAGGCAAACTTTCTAAGTGCTGTTTTTTCTCTGATCACGATCTCGTATGACGAGATTACCACGTCAAATTTGCAGGTGTACAATCCGTCCTTGATGATTTCGTTTCTCTGCTGTTGATCTCCAGTCAGAACAAGAGTTTCCACTTCTGGCGTCCATTTGGCAAATTCTCTCTGCCAGTTCTCCAAAGTAGACTTTGGAACAATCACCAAATGCGGACCTGCTTTGCCCCGAACGTATCTGAGATAACCCAGAAACGAGATCGTCTGCAACGTTTTGCCCAGTCCCATCTCGTCGGCCAAAATCCCCGACAGATTGTTCTGGTTCAGCGAGATCAGCCAGTTGAGTCCCTGAATCTGGTACGGCCGCAGTTTGCCGTTGATGAACGCGGGGCTTTCTGTGAACTCGAATGCCTCCGACACGGTTTCCTCGTCTTTCAACAACTCCGCGTCCTCCTCCTTCTCTGTCTTTCTTCGTCTATGATCCTGATCCTGGCCAGAGGAGATCAAGGAGTCCTGCTGCAGCATGTTCCAGACCTCGCCGAATCGCGGGTCGCTCGCCGCCTTGGCCTTGAGAAAGTGCTCAAACAGCCCCGTCAGCCCCAAAAGGTACTTGAACCTCGTGGCCGTGGCGTCCACGTCAAACGGGATCTTTTCAGTATCGGTGAAATATTTTGCTCTCCTCTCCTGTAACGACAACGGGCGGTACGTTGTTCCGACCGCCGGTTGTGTGTGCGATTGCGGCGCAGGACTCGCCTCCAGCGACGTCCCGGTGCTCAAATTCGCCGCAAATTCAGCCATCAAGTTTCAACAAGGAGGTTTTTTTCCTTGCATCTTTTTGTTTTTGTACGCGTTGTTGCCAACCAGCAGTAACTCTCTGCACAGCCAGAAATTTAGAAATTAGTAATCTTTGAGGAAAAAATAAAATCAGAGATGGTCTTAGGATTACATTTCCATAACATTTTGCACAGCCTTTGCACAGCCTCGTTTTTAAAATGTTATGTCTGAGTCCTAGACGAAATTACATATTATATAATCAACAGTAAACGGTTTCAATCGCTTGATATATCCTCAATCTCCATACGAGAGTACTCGTCATCTTCATCTTCAATTGCAAAGCGAAATTGATGTTCCAATTTTTGCAGCTCCGGGATAGAATTGACAAACGAGGGAATACACATTAGTTTTGAAAGCTTTTCATCGCCGAGATTGACCCTCCTTGATCCAATCACGTTGTTGGCAAGGCTGAACGTACTCTCAAGAGCAGCATTTGAACAAGGAATCTCTTTGAGGAGCTGATATGTATCTCTCAA